AGCGAAGTTGACTGTACACAGTGAATTGTCCTTTGTCGTGTCCACTGTCCGTCAATGTATCTATGATCTTCATGCAGACCATAGATACATCCGGGATGTTCTTGTGCCTGTGGCTGATCAATCTATGCTCACATTGTCATCATCGCCATGTCTATTTAAAGCAGTACCCAATCAGAGATGTGGCGGATGTTGCCTGCTACTCAACATGGTTTAAAGGCGTCTGGAAAGTGTTTCGGAGGTAAGCACTGCAGAATTGATCGCATGCTTCAAATAGTTATAGTGGTGGACAAGGAAACATGCGGCACACAACACATGCCAGTGCTGGTGTTGCTGTGGGTGAAACTGTTCACAATCCAGGATGTCAAGGATAGCCTTTCATGTTGCTGTACAGAGTACTGCCCTTGGCAGCCAGGATCAAATCCCCACCCCCACCCCACCCCCTTGCCGAAAATCAGCAAAAGGAACGCAGCGGGGGCTGTGTGTGAGTGGTTTAGGTGTGGGTGTGTGTGTGTGTGGGGGGGGCACTTGGCGATACTATTAGGGCTTCGAAGTGTGATGTCAGATCCTTGTCAACTTCGTAGCAGCTGGGTACAAACAACCATTGCGTTCCCCAGCACGTGGTGTTTTGCACTGAAAATTGTTATTAATTGTACATCATGGCTTGTGCAGATTAGAGTAGATACCTCACATGAAATACCTGGTCAACCTCTTATTGTCCTTTCGGGAAGTCGACCCTATGCTTAAAGCAAAGGCGTTTTGTGATATTGCTCTGCTCCCTACATAGACATGTGTCGCTCATTATTCTATACCTGAATTTAAGAGAGCATGTCTGAGAATACCAACGTATGTGTGCAAGTCAATCTCTCGGATTTTGCTCAAAATTTGCAGGTAGGTTCCGTTTGGGGTGTAGATCGACTGTGCAAAGCCAATGAAAAAGTTTCTGAAGGGAACCTTGAAATTTGCATACCCCTTAAAAAATGGCCACAAATTGCATTATTTATGGGTCTACAGACGAGTCACGCGACAGCGTACACGGACAAGCTACGAACAAAAATCAATCACGCCAACATTGCCTCACCTTAAAAGAGTTCCTGGAGCAGTACCGCTTAGCCACGCCAGCATCCCAGAAGACGAGGGCCATCACCCCCTGGCGCCACAAATCATCGTCTTGAAAGTAGAAGATAGTAGAATACCTCTTCTAGCACTGAGGACATGTCCCCAATCTTCGTTCTAGGGTTTTCTTGAAATAAAACCTTTTTGAACTTTTTCCACTCCATGCTGAAATACTGTCAAACTCATACCTGCGCAGGAAAGCTCTCCCCTCCGCGACGCCTCCGCAGCAATGTATACTCCAACACAAAGAGCCCGGGCTGTGATGGCATACCAACCCGCCTACTGAAAGAGGCAGCCAGTTCACTTTCGCCGTCCCTAGCAACCCTTTTTAACATCTCCTTCTTCACTATCCCGCAAGAGTGGAGGGACGCAACAGTCACCCCCATCCACAAGAAGGGCAGCAAAACCGAGCCCTCCAACTATCAACCGATATCGCTACTCAGCGTGACGTCGAAAGTACAAGAGAGGATAGTTGCTGACCGCATCTCGAAGCACATCCAACCTCACCTCCCCAACGGCCAATCAGGCTTTCGGCCAAACGATGGCACCACACAGCAGCTATCTCGGTTAATCCATCAGATCACCGAGGAAAGAGACGCCGGGCAAACAGTAATTGCTTGCTTCTTCGACCTATCTAAGGCGTTTGACCGGGTGTGGCACCAAGGACTGCTTGCAAAATTGGCCCAATTCGGACTCGATGGCAAATGCCTCCAGTGGCTTGCCTCTTATCTCACCAATAGACGACAACGTGTGCAAGTGGAGAGCAGCAAATCAACCTGGCTAAACATTCCAGCGGGGGTCCCCCAAGGCTCTGTCTTGGGGCCGCTTTTGTTCACGGCCTACACAGTTGATCTGCCAACCGCCTGCATAAATGCCAACACTGAGTGCAGCCAGTTTGCCGACGACACTGCCATCATTGCCGCTCACGAGAATTTTCTAGCCACAGAAGAGCACCTCCAGTCAGCTGTGACAACCGCGGCACAGTGGCTGAAGGATTGGCATCTCCTGGTCAACGAAAGTAAGACCACTGTCATCCACTTTCACCACACCAACCGGCCACCTCCCAGACCACCATCAATCACACTCAACGATACCAACCTCACTGTGGCAAGGCATCGCCACCTTGGCCTCCTCATACAGCAGAATCTATGCTGGAACTCGCATGTTGACTACATCATCACTAAAGCGACCAGGAAGATGTTCCTTCTCCTGCGACTACGCAATTCCTTAAACACTTCTGCTCTCTCCTCCATCTATCTAACCTACATCCGCCCTATTCTTGAGTATGCTTGCACTGTCCTCTCACCCCTCCCCGCAACCCTGAACGACCGGCTTGAGCGCATCCAACGGCGCGCTGCTCGCCTCTGTTTGCATCTCCCCCTCTTTGAACACAGAACCCACTCCGTGCTGCTGCACCGACTCAAATGGCCATCACTCAGCAGCCGCCGTACCCTCTCCCATATCCTTCTTGCACATAGCCTGCATCATAGATATGCACCACCACACCTTCTTGCAATTCACCTACCCCGAATACAACCCATTCGCACGTTCAGGTTCCCCCGAACCTTTGAGCTACCCACAACACGTACAAACCGGCTAAGAGACTCCCCCATCTATGCTTCTCTTGATCTCTTTAAGAGCATCCCAACCAGCATCCGGCAAATCAACCCCAGACGAGATTTCAAAGCAAACATCCTACCACTTGTCATCTCTTCCGTATGTACTTGCTCACATTGCTCAGCACATCTATAGCTCCATTGCGCCCAGCCTACGTGATTAACTCACAATTAGTATTGCCATCGCTACTGCCTCAGCAAGCAGCTAAACTTTGATCTCTCTGTATCTGATCCCCGTGCCTGTAATTATTTTTCTCTTATTGGCCACAGGCCATCGTGAGAAAAGAATTCAAAAACACTACTCCCAACGCTGCAGAACAAAGTGTATTGTTGACTCTGACAAGGAAAAGCAGCGGTGATCACTTGTTACTCCAAACGACAAGCTTCTCCTTCCGCCATCAACAATTTTTGGTGCGACCGTTGATGCCAGAGTGACTGAAGTCCTGAGAGCAGTTTTTTTGAATTTTACTGCAAAAGGCACTGTGGAACGTGAAAATCGGTTGAATTTGAGCAAGGAGCCGAACAAGAATGTGTGACTGAGTTGTTATTTCCTTCCGAGGCATGGTGGGCCAGTTTGGAGAAGTCGTGGAAGTGGCCCTGGTGGGACTATGGTGCTGAGAGCTTCCACGATGGATTCGCTTGGTCCTGACCTTTCCAACAAGCCCAGGATGATGAACTTCCATCGAGGTGAACTGAAATGAGAATAAATTTCGCTCGGATTATGTCGCCCAAACCCCACCAGCAGGAGAGTCCGTGCGCTGGAGTGCCAGTTGATTGGGGAAAACAGGCCAGCATGCAAAGGGTTAAAGGCTAGCTGTAGATCGTGACAGCTGGAAAAATATTTTGCATTACGTGCGCTACTTCTTTCCTGATGTGTTCTGTGCGTGCTCGTCCATGTGGGTACGTGCATGCATGTGCACATGTGTGTGCTTGCATGTGTGTGTGTGTGTGTGTGTGCGTGTGCATGTACGCGCACGTATGTATAATTATAATAAAAGTAGAGCCTCCGGATTTATTGCAATTACATACCAGTATTAAAACCGAGGTCCCCGAGGTTTTTATAACTGGTATGTAATTGCAATAAATCCTGAGGCTACTACATTTATTATACATATGTTCACCTTCACTTTCCCCGAAAAGGAGTATTTTATAAACAGTATTTATTGGCCTTAGTGGTATTTTATAAACAGTATTTATTGGCCCAAAAGCCAATAAATACTGTTTATAAAATACCACTAGGCCAATAAATACTGTTTATAAAATACTCCTTTTTAGGGAAAAGTGCAGTGCTGCATGGAAAAGTACAGTGGTATTTATTGAGTCAAGCAAATTTATTTGAATTTGATACTGTTGATGGTGTGGTCACTAATGAGTGTGGGTATTTATCAAAGGTCAATATATACGTTCGTACGTACATGCCTGCATGCGTTCTATTTTGTATACCCAGACTTTCATCAACCTGAGATTCATGCAAGGTATCGCTATCGCTATTGCTGACAAATTCGTCAGCGTTGTCTGCTGCTGCTGTTGCTGGTGTCAGTGGCTTTATCAGAGCGGGTGTGCAAAGGGTTATTTTGTGTGGCTGAATAGATTACCGTGGATGTATCCTATTATAAATTATAAATACCTCCCGGACCTTAGGCTGCATGCAAGTACTACTAGTACTTACAGTATGCTTGATATCCACCCGGTTGGCTACGCTGCGGACTTTCCAACAGATTTAATACATTCAATCTCATAATATGGAATCCAAACTTCTGTGGAACGTTGGATACGCTTATAATGCTGCAGGCCTCTCGTGTCTGTTTGGATGGGTTACTTGTTGCATTATCCCATGGAAACACGCCTCCTATGTATGTGACTTGCTCAGGGCTTGATCTCGTTTGTTTTCTAAGTTTGACCTCCCTGGCATGTGGGCTGGTTTTTTCGAATCTTGACTCCCAACGGATCCATCAGCAAACTATGACTGCAGTGCATGTGTCAGTTACCATGCTTACCCAAACTGAGAAGGAATGGTCAGTCTGCATGCTAACAATTATAGTAATAATACTCAGAGAATTAAAAAAACCCACAACTGGACTCCTTGGTCTACACAATGCAGTGCTATGCCCTTGCTGGTCCCAAGCAAGGGTTATCTCCTTCCTCATACCTAGAAAGAGAAAGAGGAACAATTCGGATATTCTACCGGAGAACAAAGTCTAAAATTCTTTATAAGCCTATCCTAGCACTGAACTTCACACCTGAAAACATTGGTCAACCGCCCTCGGCCAATCAGAGTTCAGTAGTGTCTACAAGTACATACCGGTACATTCACTGTACAGAGTCGCTCTTCTGCTAAGGACATCCAATGTACCCTATCATCAATATGGTGGGGCATCCATAAAAATGTGTTACAAAGGAAATCAATAAGCCTTTCATTGTTGAGTTTTACACACGTGCAATGCATTATTGGGGGGCATTATGACTCTGAGCCATGTGTTCAAGCACATGTGTGTGCGTCATTTTTAAACATGCGACAAGCACGTGCAATGCATTAAATTGTCAGTAGTTGAAATAGGAATGTGTAGCTGACTATGCACTATACCAGTATTGGCTCTATGCGCTATGCCAGTATTGGCTCTATGCACTATGCCAGTATTGGCTCTATGCGCTACTAAAGTCAAGATCTAGTGCAATTGCATGATGTGGTTGGCTGCCTATCATCTACAGTACGGTGGTGTGTGTATGTGTGTAATACTTGAACTTGTACTTGTACTTGTAGTACTGCAGCGGGAGTATGGACAATCTAGGCAGCCATTTCCTGTGCAATGTATTAGGCAGTGAACACACACACGCGCATGCAGTACGCAAGGTCAATGTTTCCAGTGCAATGAACGTCCTAAACCAGTCGGGAAATCTCTCGCCGGAACCATGAGACATGATGGACTGACTGGTGGTGCGCACTGGCGGAGCATACGATGGCATGCTACCATACCATTGCTTATCCTAAGAACAATTGGGCAAAACTCACGTTCGTAATGTTCATCAGCAAGCCTGCGAGGACTCCAGAGTACAAGGGGCACACATCAATGTGTCGGCAGTCTGCACTCCAGCCAGCGCATTAGATTCATGCATTGTCAGCTATCGCCATCATCCTGGACACCGTGGAGGCATCAGACACTTTATGAGAGAACTCCGCCGGGCTCAGGGATGCACCCATCTTGACGGAGCTGTTGCGGAAGGTCATTACAGAGTTCTTTACTCGAGTACGACAAGAAGCATGGAACTCAGATGCTTGGCAGCCTGACAAGATTCTGTCCAGGTTTTTCTCGGTAATACCACCACCTGTAAGCCAGCAGTCGGCAATACACATGAGAAGTTCAGCAGTCGGCAATACACATGAGAAGTTCAGCAGTCGGCAATACACATGTACACGTACGCCCGCACCTTTAGCCATGGCCGTACATTCGATTATAAAGCCATGCGAAAACATTTGAAATTTGTTTTGTGAAATGAAGCATTTTAGAACTACAGTAGAGTCGCACGCTGAAGAACGTGGAGCCCAAGAACGTCCGGCCTGAAATGCTAAGAACGCCATAGCCTTAAGTTAACAACGGCGGAGTTGGTTTTCTGGCAGCTCGTGGGATACATTGATCCAGTACGGATTGTTTCTTAGAACGTGCAATAAGAATGCAGCCAGATTGCTGAAAAATAAGAACGTCTCAGGCTAACCCCTTGGAAACAACGTTCTTGGGCGCGCGACTCTACTGTATACTAACAAAACTTCCAGGGCAGCAGAAAGGGCAAAAAGTGGAATTAGCCGAACATTTTGCGTGGACTTTGACTTTTACACCATGGCGTAGTAGGTGGGTCAATTCGCATTATAGAATAGCTAGCCAAAAGCAGCGGTGTTTTTGAGTATAAGGTCATACATAAAGTATGTTTTTCACCGGGTAACAGAGGTGCAGCGCACAGAGGTAGTAGGGCTGACATGTACAGTTCTGTACTGTACGTCGCAAGGACATTGTCACGGACACAGCCAATGACAAGCCTTAGTTCACAATATCACCCTTGCAGCTCAGTGATTGTTTGGCGCGGGAGCTACTGGCTGGATGCACGTTTCCGGATGAAAGCGACGTGAACTAAAACTAAGAGCGCACCACCACCACAACAGTTCAGTGAGCTGTTTTCTTGCATACAAGCGTCACTGCAGCTAGAGCACTGCAGGACATGTGTGCGCTGTACAGCCCGCCTGTGAGTGCGTACACAGGTGATACCCTCTCTCTGATACATGCCCACATGGCTACATCATTCTGGCATGCATCGGCCTGTATTTCCTGTGTACGCACTCACAGGCCGACTGCATACCCGGTATACTAGTAGCCATAATATTACGACATGATCATTACTATCAGCAAACACAGTTACAGCCACTTTACGGATATCATGGTAAGAACAAGTGTCCTGGGTTAGAGTCTATGGCTTCGCGTGTTTCCGAGTCCAGACTTCTACGCAGAGATGAGGATGTATACGTTGTGGCACATGCAAAGGAAATATGCACGGATCTGGGAAAATCTCAATTTTAAATTTTGGCAGCACTGCACATTCCGCTACATGTACAGTGTGTGGACATGGAGCAGAACATGTTCTCTAGGTCACCTGAAGCCCTAAGACACGAGCACTCAAATATTCGTGTAACGTTTCCGTAGCGTAGAGCAAAACCACACGATAACCAATGTAGCCACACACAGCAGTACATGTAACGTAAGTTCAATAGTAGGGAATACAATAGCAAATGTGACAACTTACCAGGCACAACAATGATGCGATTTGCCGCCTAAACATCAACAGAGAAAAGAGTCCAGGAGTTAGTCAAACAAATCTGAACTCCAACCAAACACATCCCGGCCACAGCATGAATAAAGTATCAACATGCAGGTAAATAAATAAATAAGTTGCCTGCTCCCAACACAGAGCGGACACTTCCTGCCCAAATTGACTGACACTTACCCCTCATCAGTTGAGCTGGAGTAGGCTAATAAGCATGAGCACAATATATCGCTATAAAATGTTACCATGGAGCAAATGTACTTGTCACTGGTACTGATCGGCAGTACGGGTGGGTGCAAAACGGCAAACGTCGAAGGTGACAGAGCTAAGTGATCGGACATCGTCCATCAAGCGTCATTTGTCGGGCAGTGCTAGTTGTCGTGAGTTGTATCGTGATGATATCTTTTCTATTTTGACTCGTGGAAGGTCTAAGTTACATCTTGCTGTGTTAGAAGCTCTGTATATTCGTAAACTAGATCCAGAACTATGTGTACAGAAGAAGAATGTGTTATCGTTGCAGTTGTTTGGTGTCACACCTCGTGAAAGTGTGACAAGTGTTCCCTGATGTGTTCAACGTGTTTGTCTACAACTTGCACCTTTTGTTTTTGAGTTTTTAACACTTTAATCATTTTATCACCTATGTTGAAGTGTTGACTTTTTCTTTCTTTTTCTATAATTATAGTATGTGTTTTTCCAAATTTCCAACATTCCCTGTACTATCCTGAAGAGAAGGGAAAGAAAACGTTTGATAGAAGGAAGTGTCTACTGAATTGTGTGGATTTATTTCGTTGCATGCGAAGGTACAGATTGCGAAACTGTTTTTTCACCGCCTCCAAACTACCGGCTTGAATTATGTATTTTTGTTAATTTTTACACAGGAGAAGTTCTTGCCAGTACACCTCCAACTCGTAATGCACAAAGTCCTCGGCTACACCACGTACAACGAGTATTTCCAATTTTCACCCGGGAGGGCATCATCAGGGATATAGGAGAAGATACAAAGATGGCCTAAGTCAGTAAGTGCAATGGTGATATAGATATAAGTGATGTAAGACAGTCATGTGTGAGTTGGTGTCACAGTATGTATGTGTGGTTGTTGAGGGGGTAGGGGGTGGGGTGTAACATGTGTGGTTTAGAGAGAGAGAGAGAGAGAGGGGATATCCTCAAGTCAGGCGTCGCTATCCACTAGAGTTGTCAAATCAGAGATCTCGCGCTCAGAGTGATAACAGCGCAGTGCAAGTTCTTTGGAATACATGTACAATCATTGCCCCCTCCCCCCCCCCCCCCCCCCCCCCTCTCGACTAGTGGATACTCAATGTTAATGGGCATAGGGTATAAGAAGTTTCCAATTCAACCGCCATCGTTTAAAAACCTCATCATAAATGGATCAAATTCTAGATACCATACTGATACTGCCCTGCCAAAACACTGATGGTACCGGTCCTACTACCGGATCAATAGTATTATTGCAAATAAATACAAAACTCAAAACATTAACGAGTTCGAGGGAGTTGAAAACGGGAAACATCTGAAGAAAAAACTCAGAACAGAGCTATGGAGAGAATATAGAGTTGTTGATCTGTGAGTGACTGTGACCTACCTGTTTTACAAGCTGTGCTAACATGGGCAGTCCCTCTAGACAAGTACTTTCTCCACCACTAGTCAGTACACGCTCAATACCAAGTTCAACAAGGTCTTCTAAGGCCTGCACAAGATCCACAGCCATGTCAAATGCTACAGTCAAGCAGAGAAGAAGAAAAACACCATGTCGACGTTTTAGCGACCTTTTATTAGCGATCAGAGTAGACAGTATTTTTGGGTAATGTGGGCAAACGGAGTACTAGTACATAGATCTACAGTCGCAGATTGAGTATTTTCGCTCCTGCTCTTGTAGTAGTTGAGCACTCTCATGTGGGGTAGTGCCTTTGCTGTTTGCATTACGCAGAGCTCACTGACTTGTCAGTTTGAGCACTCTGGCAAGGTACGTTCGGGCCTGATTGGAAATTTTTATTTCCATTGCTATCAGGTTCGGCCTCATTTCCTCTGTGCTGTGCTGATGAGTTCACAAAGAACGAAACAGCATGCTGTCCGCAGATTGAGTACATCTACAGTATGTGTACTAGTGAAGAAAGGAAAAAAAAAGCTCAGAAGAAAGGTAGCTGAGTTACTACACAGTAACCATGGTAACACAGACAGGTATGCAGTGCCAAGCACATGTATGTGATGGTACCGTTTACTACGAAAAAAGAAAAAGGAAAAAAGGTGATTCGCGACCCCTGACTTTAATTATTTATTATTATTACCGGTATTATTCCACAATCACGATGACATAGTGCCAATAAGCATGTGATGCGGGCGATTTTTTTAATAGCGAATTTGACTGATATGTACATACCGTATATTCTCTATTATAAGCGCCGTGCTTATATTTTTTCAACACCCCTCTACCCCGTGCTTATATTGGAGACCGCGCTTATATTGGAGACTGCGCTTATATTTTTTCAACCAATACAATCCATACAGAGCAAGAAGAAATACATGCTAGATATCATGCATGCAGCATTGATTTCCACCAAGACCGTGCTTATAATAGAGACTGTGCTTATAATGTTTCGAAAGGTGCTCACAGTGTGCTAGTATTAGAGACTGTGCTAGTAATGGAGACCTGTGCTTATAATAGAGAATATACGGTATGTGTCGCTAGAATTAGGGGGTTCATAGTGTGTGACATATTATTACAGCAAGAGTACATAAATAAGAGTGTGCAGCATTGGTTTGCCTCACGGACGAATTTCTCGTTGACGTCTCCTTTTCTGGAGATCGTGAGTCATACCGTACAAGGCATGCACTGCGAGTCTGTGGCCGCGTGAACTCGGCAGGGTTTCACTAAACTTGCACTGCGAGTACGGTAAAAAGCTGTAGAAGCGGGAGAAAAGGATAAATGTTTCGTTATGAAAGCGGTAAAAACAACTCGCGGTGAAGGTCATCTTCCAGCGCATGCTTTGTACGACATGCGTCATAGGTTCTGAAACAGGCGACGTCGACAAAAAATTCCGCCGTGGACAATATAATGTACAAGCTAGCTATGGAATTGCACACTCTTGTTTATATACTCTTGGTAACCATAGTAACATTGATTCAGAGACTGAGCGCATTACAAAAGGAGAGCACTATACACAGATACAGGCATAGGCACATGGTGCATACAAGTGAAACAAGGACAGAGTTACAAAAGATTTTTTTTAACTCAATTTGCTTACAACACACAGTACAATCATGTAGACTGTTTTCACAAAAAAAACTCTTCTCTTGTATACCATATTTTACCGGTTGTAAGTCGACCCCGGCTATAGGTCAACCCCCGTATCCGGAGGTCTCAATTCTGCTTTTTAAAGTTTTCACCCAACGAAGCTCTACTAACCATTCCCTGCTACTAACACATCAACAAATCATGTAAACATTCCTTATCGGAGGGTATAACGTCCCAATCCTTGAAAAAGGCCAATTAACTGGCAAAATGTGTACACATGGTGCACTCATGCATGCAGTGCAGGTCATTTTTTGTAAGATACTAATAGTTCCCGGTTATAATTCGAATCCCGGTTGTAAGTCGACCCCCACCCTTTCTCCTTCTATTTTTAGTCGTAAAAGGTCGACTTACAACCGGAAAAATACGGTATACACTTAACCACTTACCTCGATGGAATGTGACAGGAAGAGGCCTTGCCAGTGCTAAAAAAGAAGAAGCAATGACACAATACATATAGACAAGAACATTATCATACTGACATACTTACATACTGACATACTGACATACTTACATACTGACATACTGACATACTGACATACTGACATACCGTATTATCTCTAATATAAGCACGGTCCTTTATTTTTTCAATGTACCTCTGCCCCGTGCTATTAATGGAGACGTTCCTTTATTGGAGACTGTTCCATTATTATTTCAACCTCATTTCAGAGGCATGTTGCCATGCCAAATTCATGTATGACACACACATTTCAGGGTTTTTTTCGCCGGTACAGATAATGAATTTACACAGTGTGCTTATAATGGAGACTGAGCACTTTATTTTTGAATGCCGCCCCAAGGTGTTCTATTATTGGAGACGTGCTATTATTGGAGACTGTGCTTATATTAGAGATAATACGGTACTTACATACTTACATACATATAGACAAGAACATTATCATACTTACATACTGTAAGACATGTATATATAACGAGGAAGTAAATCTAACGCTTTTATATAATAACGGATAACATTTCTTCGTTATAATAAGATCCGTTGAGGCCATACTGCTTCATATATATTGTGTGAGGATATGCCGGAATACTGCAAGGTCGTTAAACATATCTTCTCGTTAACTTATGAATTTTGGACAATCGTTAAATTTGCGACTCGTTATAATAACATGTCTTACATACTTACATACTTACATGTAGTTATTGTACAGTACTGCTCAGTGAAATACATACTTACATGTAGTTATTGTACAGTACTGCTCAGTGAAATACATACTTACATGTAGTTATTGTACAGTACTGCTCAGTGAAATACATACTTACATGTAGTTATTGTACAGTACTGCTCAGTGAAATACATACTTACATGTAGTTATTGTACAGTACTGCTCAGTGAAATCCGATCAAGCAAGAATTTTGGACAATCGTTAAATTTGCGACTCGTTATAATAACATGTCTTACATACTTACATACTTACATGTAGTTATTGTACAGTACTGCTCAGTGAAATACATACTTACATGTAGTTATTGTACAGTACTGCTCAGTGAAATACATACTTACATGTAGTTATTGTACAGTACTGCTCAGTGAAATACATACTTACATGTAGTTATTGTACAGTACTGCTCAGTGAAATACATACTTACATGTAGTTATTGTACAGTACTGCTCAGTGAAATCCGATCAAGCAAGAATTTTGGACAATCGTTAAATTTGCGACTCGTTATAATAACATGTCTTACATACTTACATACTTACATGTAGTTATTGTACAGTACTGCTCAGTGAAATACATACTTACATGTAGTTATTGTACAGTACTGCTCAGTGAAATACATACTTACATGTAGTTATTGTACAGTACTGCTCAGTGAAATACATACTTACATGTAGTTATTGTACAGTACTGCTCAGTGAAATCCGATCAAGCAAGCCAATGCCACGCTAGTGCTGTGCAGCCCCAGACCTGCGAACACTGGGATGCGAACTGGCGCAGGGTGCAAACTTAACACACACGATCGGATTTCAATGAGCAGCACTGTGCATTTATAATCATACAGACTCAGTGTAATCATAATTATTATCGATACTCAAAAGGTGAAGTGTTGGCAGCTTTCTACTTTATTTGGTGGAGCTGAGAGCCTGAGTTGGAGTGTTCAGGATGGAGGTGTTTTCAAGCGTTGAGATGTACTTTATGGGGAAACATACTGTACGAGTATTGACCAGAGCCAAACAAGATCCATGGAAATCAGTGACGTGTCTTTGATCCCACATATACAATTCCCTGGTTCTCACCCACAAGTTCAGCAGTCAGTTGTCTGTCAACACGTCCTTCCCTGCAGGCAGCACAATTTTAAGAAAACAACCAGACCAGCAACAGAGAGCAAGCAGGAGAAGTGAAGGCATAAGACATAAGACATAAGACATAACAGCGGCAGCAGCAGCAGCGGCGAGGCAGCGATGCCATGGATTGGCCATATGACTGGACACTGTGGACAGCCTCGGTACTGAATAGTGAACTCAGTGGTTTCACATCTTAATCGTGTGATTAAATGTGTGTAGAAAGTGATCATGGCATGGGTACAATGGAGCGAAAATGGCCAACATCATGTGACCCATTGATGCAGGGGTTGAGTGGAGTTGGAAGCAACATGGCTGCCCTGTATGGTCATGTGATAGATGTGCAGTAGCTCTATACATGATGATGAGTAAGAATGGCCGACTTGACCCTATGAACATAACGGTCAAGAGGGAGTGTGTAACTCGACGATCTCTCAGCTCACTGCGGATTTTTATGACATCAGTCTTTCGCGGACATTTAGCTCACTGATGCCATCATCTCGATAGCTTCAAGCAGTTTATCTCAATAGTTTCAAGCAGTTTATCTCGATAGCTTGAAGCAGTTTCCTTGATGATAGTACAATCTCACAGCCAAGAATCCAGCAAGGATTCCTTGCCTGTTGGTAGCATATACTACTGTCGTGGACCTGGAAATCCGGTCGCACGTCTAGCGCCCCCAGGGCGCTGGCCATGCAGCCGTGGCACGTATTATGCGCTGCTGCTGGTCGCATCGGATCAACATGATTGTGCACTGCATGCAACGACTTACGTTCTGTAGGCGCTGAGACAGTGAGGGCGCCGGCCCCGGTCAATCGACTGGATTTCCATGTCCGCGACAGTAGATAACATAGTATGCTATCTAGTATATGACCGACAGTACTACTACTACTATATTATAGTAGTAGTACTGTAGTACTGTCGGTCGCTGAAGAACTGGGGGGGGGGGGGGGGGGGGGTCAGCCTCCTAGCCTAGATCGTTCTTATTTTCATGTATTACAGTCTATGCACAGTTGAGTCACCGTGTATACATTGGTATGCTGTGCTTGGTAAAATTCTAGCCTGGCCGTTCTTTGGCGCTCCGCTCTTCGGGGCCCGCCAGTGCTGTACTGATACCGCCCTGCAGCATAAGCACACTTGCTTCATTTTCACAACCTCCCTCCGGCCAGTGCTCCTATTGGAGACGCACTGTTATGATTACAAGACCATTTTCGCTCATTTTTTGGAGTGATATTTCAATTATTACTGCACACGTCTAAAGCAATTTATTACTGGAAATTGTGTAAGAAAAAAAACAGGACGCTTGCCTTTACAGGAGACTGTCAGTCATACTGTTAGATGCATTGCAAACTCTGCTTATGATAAAGAAAATATAGTAGCGTAAAGCCTGCCTTTACTGGACACCCTTGGTGCAGCGGAAACCGTCCTGATACTAGTATGACAGGATTCCGCTTGATCCAGTGATGCATGTTCGATCCACAGCACTTTGGTGTATGAACGTTTCACCGGTCAATACAGGATTCCGTTTGGGTCACAGGGTCCCGCAAACACAGGGTTTACTGTACCGCAGTTTCTGGAGTATCAGTCGCACTTTGAACACTCAACTTCATCCCCAAAAAGTGGGTTGCGGCTTATACTCCGAAGATCAAATTAACGGTGATATAGGGTAGATGTCTTGTATTTCGTGGCAAAAGGGGGGGGGGGGGGGGGTGGTGCGGCTTATACTCCGGAAAATACGTGTGCTGAATAATGCCTGAATTTCGGCTCATTTTACACAGACTGGTGAATGCCTGCGGCAAGAGCATGTGACATTGTCTATTCATTAGTTTGGGGGAAGTGAACAGGGAAGAATGTGAAGTTTTCGTACATACCACTGCACTGATCAAAATCTGGTAGGACATAGTCACACATGTATCCATAGACAACATCACATTAATTTGTGCTTCACAGTTGCTTACTTCGTGAGGGCACCCAGAACAATACCGCTGGCACCTGCTTCCTTGAAAATGCAAATGTTTTCCTTCATCACTTCTACTTCCATGGGATCATAGCAGAAATCAGCACTGCGAGGTCGAATAATGACAAACACGTCTATGGCAGTCACTTTCTTGACTTGACGGAACATACCTGATTAGATCATGAAAACATATACAAGATGTACGTGCTTCATTAAAAGCGGCAGGAGGCTAAAGCTTCAGCTGCATGTTCAAGCCACTTCAAGGGTGCATTCATGTTTAGGACACTCATCACATCACAGCTTTACAGGGGATACGTGCAATGCACTGGCTCAGTGCACCAACACCACGCTCCTGGCAGCACACACAATGGCGTATATGGGGGGGGGGGGGGGGGGGGAGGGGATTTCCAGGTGTCCAGATGTCTCTAGTGCATGTAGTAGTGTGGTTGTGCCCAAAAATCACCACTAGTCTTGCTTCGTGACAGGGTGCAAGATACACCCCTGATACCCCCCCCCCCCCCAAAAAAAACCTGGGACATGATTCCTTCTGACCACAAGGATAATCTGTGGATAGCACTATGTATTTCATTCATTGTGAGCTCGTCTGTGAAACATACACTGAAATAAGGCTGGGCCAGACTGGTAGTAACAAAGATATTAGTACAGTTTGTAATAGTACATGTAGTACCATGTATGCTGTGCAAGGTAAGTCTGACACTATACGATACATACATTTCAAGGCAGTTTGTGACAAATTCACTTCATAAATGCATGGACTTAGGTGAAGTTACCTAATGTTGGGGTTGTGCCTCCTTCAATCAAGCCAGAACATAACTCGACGCGATGTGCCCCTGCAGCACAGTATCAGTACAAAACACAAGACCCAGGCTTTAGAACAAGGTCCCATACACTTGCGGCATATCGGATCGTGCACATACTTCCATGCAGTATTCATATTGACAGGTGTGGAGCATAGAACACTTTCGTGCCGGCAAAGCACCCATGAGTTTCACACCTCACTCAAGTGCATGCAGCGCACCCTGCACTGTCACTTGTCAATTCTGCTGGCTGCATGCACTCGCTTCTGAGCGCACTTCGACCCTGTTGCAGTCAAGCCTGCCAGCCAGAATAGCACTTTCGGCTAGTTTTGGTTGCTGGTCGCGCAACGCAGTTGGTTTCCGGTGCAGTTTCTATGCAGAACTGTCGGTGTGTGGAAAAACGGTTCAGGGATGAATTTACTGTCATGTTTTTGCATAGCAGTTTTTGCTATGCAAAATCTCAATTGTGTAGCCGTCTTTGATATTAAATATGTTTGATTAGCACTTTTCTTCGAAAGTTGGGTAGTTGCCACATCGTTCTTGTCGAGAGTGATTCCTGAAACCTCCTTGAAGTATCCACAAAATAATGACTGAAAATGCTTAGACCACGGAGGGACATCTCGCGTTCCTCACACACCAGTCAAAAGCACTGTGTGCATGTTTCTTGACAGCGTAAGCTAGGCATGGATAGCCTGTATGTATCGCAGTTTTCTGCGAGTCACTGTGACTTTTTGAGTAGCAATAGATTGATTTTGCATAGCATACTGCGATGCGATACCGGATAAATTCATCCCTGCGGTTATTACCGTAAGATCAGGTGGTCACTAATACCAGAGGTCGCTTAAAGGGGAAGTCCGGTGAAAAATTTAAATTTCAGGGTCGGTAGAGTTTCGGCCGCTGAGTCGAATGGTGTTGGTCCCACGTGTCTCCGACAAAGCGTTCTCGAGATATTTCCGTTTGAAAAACTGAGTTTCGGGGGCTGCGCCATGACGTCATGCGGCCGCGCCACACCCTCTGCAACGTCATAGCGTGCAGCTAGGTCAAAAGGAGTGCGTGAAAGCAATAGTGTCAGTGCTATTTCAAATGATTTGGCGACTGATAGTTTGGTGCAAGCGACCCCGAAGACCTGTAACTCCTTGTGAGAGTGAGGACGTAGCCATGGCTGACCTTCATGAGTTCGGTCTGGGGCTGAGAACCTCGGTATTCAGCTGAAGAAATGGCCACGCGGGCCGGTCAAGAGTGAGCGCTACTGAGTTTCCGACTGATGAAGAAGCAGCAGCTATTGCAGACGAGGCTGATCAGATCGCTGGAGAGCAGGGTCGCCAAAATGGAGAAGAGTGATGCGAGTGCTCTAAATGTTGTTCCATACCGATTAGATTCGCTTAGACTCCAGGAGCCTGCCACATGGTGATGTTTTGGTGCGAACTTGGAATATTTCGGACTACTCAATTGGAGAACAGTGCAGGCTCTTTGAACCACGGGCACGACTCTTCGCTCGCAACGCTATGGAATCTGAAAGTTCTAGGTCCGGGAGCTGTTCGCTGTTTTGTCACTTGTCACGGTTAACCGGTTGTGCACTCATCGCTGTAACATAAAAATAATGAGGCGGGTGCGGAAAACTAAAATTTTCCTTCTCAAAGCACAACCACCGGCAAGGAGAAACGCACGTTCTCTGACTACATGACTGTACAATACGACTGATACGAGTGTAGTACATGTACATGACAAGTCCGTGTGTTGACTAGTTTTCTGAGTCTTGTGTCAGTTGTGACTCGAGTCTTGTACATACTACCCCAGCTAGCACGGCAGTGCGGGAGTAGTTCCTCTGTGCATGTGATGAGTTTGTTGACTGCACTACAGCTAGATAACACACTGCACGCACTGCATGCACGCAGCGCAGAGCGCGTAGAGCTAGAGGCTGACGGAAAAGTCCAACTCGGAAACGGCTATAATACGGTATAACCTCCAGGTTTACCGAGCTGAAAATTACAGGGTACGTAGTGTTTGTAACACTGAATCGAATGGTCTTGGTCCGAAGAAGCTGCGACAAACGGTTCCCCAATCGAACGCGCTCCGAATATGGCCATTTTTGTACACAACTAGATGGTGTGGCTACCTGACTGCACGCTGTGACGTCATCACCTGGATCTGGGTGATGCGCGCTCAAATTCGCACATGTTCGATTGGGCGTATCTGACAAACCATAAGCCGCAGCCTCCTCGGACAAAGACCATTCGACTCAGCGACCCGAACTCTACGGACAGTGAAATTTAAATTTTTCACCGGACTTCCCCTTTAATACATGCGTGCATGCGCACACGCACACACACATTTTTTAAAACTTTTTTTCTATTTTATCTTCGGCCAGTATGACTACTAACTACTGTATTCACTTCGTCACAGTCTTGGGGTGAGACATTGGGGGGGGGGGTTCACTTCGTCACAGTCTTGGGGTGAGACATTGGGGGGTTCACTTCGTCACAGTCTTGGGGTGAGACATTGGGGGGTTCACTTCGTCACAATCTTGGGGTGAGACATGGGGGGGGGGGGGGGGTTCACTTCGTCACAGTCTTGGGGTGAGACATTGGGGGGTTCACTTCGTCACAGTCTTGGGGTGAGACATTGGGAAGTTGCCACACTGGGGTGTGATCGGCCGCCCCTTGGCACCGGAAGTACAGCTCGCTCGACTCGTCTCTACTGAGTGAAGACCCACACATTGATCTGGTGAGCTGTGTCATGGGGATTTGCAGTCAGATGTGCGACCGCGGAATGCTATGGACGTCAAGGAGTTTTCATGCCATTATAAGTTACAAAGCCACACTGGTTTAGAAAACCAGCTTTCATTGAAGACCAGCAGATTGATGTACGTCGATATGTGCAGGCCATTTTCAAAATTAATTAGCTTGAGGGACTAGGGTAGGGAAAGAGAGGGCCATTCTTCTATTCGCATCACCCATCAGAACGCTATGCAACACCATAAAGCGAATAAACAAGACAAAATGGAGTAGTGTCGGAGAGGCCTTTTGTTTGTACCGTGAAGAACTGCCAGAGCGCCCTGTCTCTCAAAAGTGCCCCACCTTCATTTTAGAGCCAGGGAGAGGAAAATTGTATGGCAGAAATGAGAATGCCACCAAGTTAGCACGATGTGAGAACCTTGGTGTATTTAGCTCACACTTCGCACGTTCTTTCTTGTTTGGAGTGTGCATCCACTTAAAAAGCTAAGCCGAGTACAGACGTGCAATATGTGTGTTCAAGGTAAAATACAGACAAGAGCCCACCTCGAAAACACGACCAGGTAAGGGTGACATAGGCGGGGCGCTCTTGCGGTACTAAAGGTTTTGTATACTATTAAGGTAGCAGTACTGGAAAACGGGTGTCAGATTTAGCCAAAATATCAATTTCACGGGAACTGCTTCAAGTGTGATTTTTCTGAAAGAAGGAATACCAAAGGGTCTACAAATGAATTTTTTTGGCATTCGAACCAGCCAAAGCAGAGATATGGCCCTTCAAAAACTGAAAATACCCGTCAAAATTTCAAAATTGCACTGATCAGCTGATCGATGTCAATCAATTTCGAGAGGGTTTCTGTACAATATCAGCGCATCCTTGCCAATCTCGGCCTGATTCACACTATCTGTCCAGCTAAAACCAGTTTAGAGCTGGGCTGAGTGTCGCGATCGCCACATGCAGCGCCTGCCTGGCCCAAGCTAGCTGGCCTGGCTGGCCTGCACTCAACCCACGCAATTGTATTTTCAAAAATGATAAAAAAATTCTTTGTTCTCAAACTGTTTGCCAATGCGACGAGCGTTTGTCAGCGACGTTGGAGCTCTGCGCTTGAGTTTTGTGCTGGCGCTACTTGGTCAGGAGACGGGTGATGAACACAAACGAAGGTCGCTCAGCAGGCCAAGGAAAAGCAAATTTCCTAGAGTTACGTCCAAGCTCGTCTCAAATCCTGAAGTATTTGAGCCAATTGAGGGGAGTGAAAGCGAACACGAGTCGCAGGCTGATGGAGCTGGTGAGGGCCTAGGGCGTAGAAGATGACTCTGATCTTCCAGCTGATTTTTTATCCAGTGATGCCTCGTGTGATAACGATGGAGATTAGTCTGAAGAGGATTGCGATGATATTCCATCAGGAATTCGAATTGTTCACATGGAGAGCTTACAGCAATTGGTGACGTCAGCGTGTGTATGTAGTAATTATCAAGAGGGCAACCTGACTATCAAAGATAAGTTTCGTCATGGCCTCGCCTCAACAATTAGTTTGCAGTGCGAATCGTGCTGCTCATCAACCAGTGTAGCCCTGGCAGAAAGACACCCACTTGCTAAATTGTACGATATAAACCGCCGCCGCAGTGTGCTTGCCATGCGCCTTATTGGTAGTGGACGAGAAGGTCTGAACAGTATCTGTGGGATATTGGATATGCCGCCTCCTGTTAGCAATTCTGGGCACAGCGATGCACTACACACTGCTGTGGAAACTGATGCTAGGGACAGCATGAAGAGTGCTGCACAGCGTCTTCTTGTTCGGCGAACAACAGAACAGCATTCCCACCCGGAGCATGTTGCAGTTAGCACCGATGGAACGTGGATGAAGCGCGGATTCTCATCAATGTTTGGTATGCCAACTGTTGTGTCCTATGAGACAGAAAAGGTTCTGGACGCGGAGGTGCTATCAAAACACTGCAGTGGATGTGAAACTTGGAAGAACAGATGGCAAGCAAGAAAGATTTCTAATGCTGAGTACGAACAATGGAAATGTTTTCGGCTGTGCTGGAAATGATGAGCTGCTCTAAGTTTCACTTGCCAGCTCTGGTCTTCTCAAGTTGGATAAAGAGAAGCAGTATCACAGGAGGAGAAGGTCCAGTGAGGAGCAAAAGTCAGCCAGGAAGAGAAGAAGAGCCATTCGAAAGGGATTTGCTGACACGATACAGCAAGCAGAGATAGTCACATACATTGCTGGAGGGTTTTCAGAGTGCCAAAAGTTAGTGTTTTTTGGCCTTCCGACCAAACTTTGGTACACTATATCTCCAGACTGGCTCATCACAGCCCAATAAACCTTATATGTAGATTGATCAGTGGAAAATTTCCCAGATGCTGAATATATTTATAAAGCCATAGTTTTTTGTTTGGCGGATGTTAGCTGCCTCAGTAGTAATAATCTTTTTCGACGGTGACGGGCGTCTTCACAGATGATGTTGACTGGGTGGTGCTATTTGTGTCCTATCTCCAATCTGTTCTATTCAGCATCTGCTACTATTGTAGACTGTCGCTTATGATGCATTTTTAACACTTCAGCTGATATTATGTTGCTGCTAGCATGTACCAAAAATCTGAGATGACGGCATTTTTTTACTCTCCAGTGCAGTGAACTTTTGGGACGATGCGAAGTAAATAAGTTCAAGGTAGTACTTTTATTAGGTGGTGGCGTGAATCATGAATCTGTGCTCAAAATTTTGTGGGAAAAGATTCACAGACACCGAAGTAATACCCGATTTTAGTTGTGTGTATTTGCGAATGGCATATTCCAGTACTGCTACCTTAAAGTGGTCTTGAACTGCCGCCATTAATGCCATGCCAATTGGTCAGCTCGCATCACTACTTGACCTCCAGTAGCATTCCGCGGTCGCACATCTGACTGCAAATCCGCATGACGCAGCTCACCAGTTCAGAGCCCAGAAAATTGTAGCAAACATACCCCCCACCACCACACAAGGATACAAAGGAAAGGGCAATCCTACGTCACTACTTAGTGACGCCATCCACCTCTGCCATACCTATAAAAGGAGATGAAATTAAAATAAATCCACTCGCCCCCCTGGCCACGTTCACTTAAAAAAAAGGACGATCATCAATGAATGTACATGCATTTAGCTTGACCTGAATGCACCTCATTCGCTTCTCTATCATACACTCTAGCATGATCATTATTGAAGAGGCATTATGATAAAGAAAAGACAGAGGCCTACCTCCATTCTCAGCTTCCATAGCTGACTCCACACTATCAATGCAGACTTCTAGTCTCGTTTTCTGTGCCATGTTGGAATACCTGCGGGAAGAGTGTGTTTCCTTGTCTTTATTTTCGACACCTGCAAGAAGCTAGCTACTGAGTTCTTATCGTCAGGACCCTTGACTTTGCTTTGGGATACTATTATAATACTACTACTACAGCAGCTGTACTAGTTATTGAATCAAAAGTCCAAATGATTTTTGAAAGTCTTGCAAGAAACAAGTATACAAGTGGACTCTGCAATGACATTCAAATATGCCACGAGCTTGGATTTGATGTTGTGCATGCACGCACACACGTGCACGTGCATGCGAGGCGCACGTGATGAATCGAGATGACTGTGTATCAAGATTCAAATACTCTGAAATAGGAACGGATAAACAGTGTCAAAATGTTTTCGAGTCTAGAAAGAGATGATGCTTGTATTTTCATGACCGCACAAGTTTCTTTCGTGTTGTACTCGTATTGGCACTTGTTGCAGTTGATCTAGTCTTCCTTTTCTTCACCAGTTGTTTTTACCACCGGATTGGTGGTCCACTGAAATGAGTCAAAAACGTGATGGTCTTCGAGTTTCTGACGCTCAAATGAGAGCGGAAATTCATCAAAAGCTTGTCGAGTCTGGAGAATTAGAAAGGTATTATGTTTGCTGAGGGCTAGAGGCCATTCAAACTATATGCTTTCCCCACTGCAGTTAAATTTAAAAGTCAGACACTGAGACAGAATATCGGAGCACAGAGTCAAAGAAATTTCTCATCTCGCCCACTATTACATGTATGTTATACGATGGCTTGTAGCTACGTGTATTGCGTGGTACTGAAACATTCCTTCTCTGTATTTCATGGTGATTAGATTGCAGGCTTTGGTCAGTAGCCGTCTGGAGAGTAGTGGGTGGCGTGAGCAGCTCAAGGCTCATTGTAAAGGTGAGCTTACGAAAACCATGGATATGGGTGCATGTTCTTGAACTTGTTGAAGCTTTATTTGATATCGCACACATACACTGCCACACAACGAATAAGCACTTGGATAAAAACTTGTTGGATTCACACAGCAATAGTGAAGTAGGGGCATGGGGTAGTGAGAGGAGGTAGCATGTGTGTGTGTGCGTGCGCGCGTGCGTGCGTGCGTGGCATTGTGACAGCTGTTTAAAATACAGAATGCTTGCATTTTTGTTATAATCAGTGTCGTGGTCTCTTCGCTGGAAGCGTCTTTTCTACTTCTCCAAATTTTTTGACAGGGCATTCCAGGGTGAAACTATCACAATAAACTGTTTACATGTGTGCATTTTTCCAGAGACATTTTGTATGTCTGGCTTTCAACTACCCTACATATAATATTTTGTTTCAGGTTTTAGAGCTACTAAAGTTATAGAGTGAATAGGTACTGTATCGGTCTGTATGTCATATCAATAATGATGTACTGTACGTAATGCACCAGTATTACAGTGTAGTGCAGGATTATGCAGTTTGGGAAATCATTGTTTCCTTTCCATGCAGTGTTCTCTGCTTCCTGTGATTTGCCATGTACATGTCTGACACTATCTGTGTACTGTAAGACATGTTATTATAACGAGTCGCAAATTTAACGATTGTCCAAAATTCATAGGTTAACGAGAAGATATGTTAACGATCTTGCAGTATTCTGCCATATCCACACACAGCGTATATGAAGCAGTACGGCCTCAACGAATCTTATTAAAACGAAGAAATGTCATCCGTTAAAACGTTAGATTTGCTTCCTCGTTATATATACATGTCTTACAGTACTTCCTGTGACTTGTCTTTCAGATGTTGTGCAGCGCAAGGGTGTTCAGAACCTCACTGTGGAAAGCTTAGCTCAAGAAATAATGCCCAGGGCTAAAGGTTAGTGGACATGTTTGCAATATGTGCTGTGTGGCCTGGCCTTGTGTAAATCTACTATAAATCTTCATGAGTGATGAGATGCAAGAACAAGTGCTTCACGTTCAATACATCTGTATGACATTGTGTTCATCCTCTGTGTGTGTGTGTGTGTGTGTGTGTGTGTGTGTGTGTGTGTGTGTGTGTGTGTGTGTGTGTAAAAAGTCACTTCAATCAGCTGTGTGGTGGATACCAGGCTAAAAATAGTGGTGGTCAATTCATCAGCCTTGCAAGCTGTTGAATGGTGTCATCCCAGCACAAGTTGCTATGTCTAACATAGCTGTTCGCTATCATCGCTTCCGCGATGGGCAGGTCTGAGGTCTGAGGTGTGTGTGTGTGTGTGTGTTTGTGTCGTGTGTACGCTCGTGTGCGTATTCACGGTTTGTCCACTCAGATCTTGTTCCGCCGGAAATCAAGCAGGAAGTCCTGAGTAAAATCCATGATCACTTAGCTGCAAGTTCATGACGACATGATAAGATCATGCCATAAAGGCATAAACTGTCTGTACAATTGTACCTACATGTAGTCATGTACGATAGCATCTTGTCTAGTTTGAGTGAGGTGAGCATGATGAATAGCAAGTGGTAGTCCAATGCTGATTACTCATCGCCACCATTCTGCAAAGAATTATATTGAGATTACTCTTGAGAGTGTATATATTAATTTTGTTCTCGTTACTCCGAAGTAGGACTATCCATAGCGGTATGTGACCTAACCCCATGACATAATCATGTTACAACCCGCATTCCTTTTCTCATGATCATCATACAGCTGTGTATTGTATGGTGACATGCACAGTGTGCCTTGGCTTTTGCTGTACATGTCATGTATCTTCTGCTGGGCAGAATCTCTATTGTGTGTGTGTGTGTGTGTGTGTGTGTGTGTGTGTGTGTATTTTAGTAAATGTACCTTAATGTTGTGCTGCAGCTAACTCTAGGCTAGTCTAGCTTGTCTCCGGTCCAGATACCTGTATGGTTTTTTGCACCGCCAATAAACTATTCTCAGGTTTGAGCAAGTACTGGTGCTAGTGGTGGTGCTAGTGGTGGTGATGCTGGTGGTGGTGGTGTAGGTGCAGCTGTAGGTGGTATACCAGTGCAGTCGTCCCTCTCTACTCCGGCATTTGTTAATCCGGAACCCTTGCAAACCAGCACACTTTCTGACAAAACGACTTTTCCAGTTCCTTTTCTATGCTTTTTTAATCCAGCACTTGAATTCCGGCTTCAGCAGCAATTTTCTGCAACAAATCGCTCAAATTGTACACAATTCGATTTTATAACCCAGCAATTGTACATCGCATGCCATACCGGTGCACAGCTATGCCAGTTTGGTCAGTGCATGAACTGACTTACCAGGGAGCATTTTACACATGCGACAATTGAGAGAAAAAAAATCACCCCTACGCACTGTATAGACATGCAAAGTACAGGGATTGACACAGAAAAACCCTGCGTGTTGACGCCCGACACAAACATGTGTGTTAATAGGTGGGTTGGAGAGCAGGATTTGATAATCCAGCACCCTTGTGTATCCAGCAGAAAATGCTGTTGCAAAAGGTGCCGGATTAGAGAGGGGGCCGCGGGGGGACAACTGTACTTGGATTTTCTTCACGCACCGGTCAGTAGTGAGAAGCAAGTACACACGAAAACGAGTGAAAGTACTCCGGGGGAATAATAAAAATGTAAAAAGGGCCATAAATGAATTGCTGGCAAGTGAGAAAATTCGAAGGACGTGAAAAAGAACGTTTCTGTTTAGTAACAATAAACAATAATGTTTGAGGAAGTTGCATGGCCAGATCCCTCCCGGACCTTTCAAGTTCTCCTTCCACCTTCGCTTCACAATACAGGAAATAGATTTGAAAGAAAACACGAGACTACAACATCGTGGCCTGGCAGTACCCGATAGTCAACGAAAGGCAGCTAAGCTGCTACTACATAACACGTCATATAAAAATGTTGAACGGAAGAAAAGGAACTGAAACTCAATGCAATAAGAGGATGGAATATCTGCATCTATGAATAAACATACAAACTAGAAGCAATAAAGACAAAGGACAGTACTACACCCTAGGATAAAACAGCATAAAACAACCACTCCTTCGACATGGCATAGAAAAAAGCACTCGCAAAGACTCACATGATTGCATGCTTTCTCAGCTAAAATAATGGCCAGTATAAGTAGACAAACAACTTGATCAAACCACACACACACACACACACACACACACACACACACACACACACACACACACACACACACACACACACACAACCCTGAAAGAATAGAGAATGGCCTTTGAAGCAAACCTGCACAAGTCCAAGACACAGATAGCAGCGATATAAGAAAGCAAAGGGTGCGTATCTCCTCAAAAGCAGAGGTACAGCATAGCTAAAACTTGAAGAAGGGCAAACAGTTTAATTTGTTCATTCCTCGGATGGTAAAGGAGGTTCTTTACTATCTGAGCCATCATTCAATCCTGGTGGAGGCTTGAGTTCTGTACACCCACTTGGTAATTCTGTGGAGGGAGAGAGAGAAAAAGAGTGAGAGAGTGAGTGTGTGTGTATGCGTGTGTGTGTGTGTATGCGTGTGTGTGTGTGTGTGTGTGTGCGTGTGTGTGTGTGTGTGAGAGAGAGAGAGAGAGAGAGAGAGAGAGAGAGAGAGAGAGAGAGAGAGAGAGAGAGAGAGAGAGAGAGAGAGAGAGAGGATAGTAAACACATATGCCCTGTGTTACCCATGTACTTCGAAGTACAGTACATCTGCTACCAGTACTTACTGGGTATTGAGCACTTTCTGAACAGAGTCAATTTTCTAATGTGGATACTGTACTGGTACTGGTAATCTGGTAATGTCACATTAACAAAGTAGCGGAAGGCCATTATTTTGATATCACCCAAACCACCTGAATATCGTTGACTGACACACAATCGTGGATAAGTGCTTTGTTGTAGTTAGATTTCATTGGTTGCAGCATCACTAAGGGGCCATCCGTAAATACCGATATTTATTTAGAAACGAAAACTAGTCATTTCTCTTCACCCCCGTCCGTGAGAAACGAACACAATACAGATGGTACATAGTATCGATATTTTTCCATTGTTTCTGGACGTACGTGCTCACACATACAAACTGTGCATCGGTATTTTTCTAGAAACGAACAGTGCACTGGTTCCCTACCCTCGTCTAAGTGACCACCACTCAACACTCTACACTCACCAGACAAAGCTTGTCCAATACTCCTGGGCCCAGTACTCTCTTCTGCCCCATCATGTGAAGTCTGAAGGTATAAATCAAGCACACAAAGCAAGAAAACACACACAAGGTAAAACACCGTTATGCAAGGTACAGTGCATACAGGCCCGTAGCACGGGGATTTCAGGTAATCCGGCCACATGGGATACTGGACCAGATGTGAAAATTATTGACAAACAACCCTGTTTTACACGAATTAGGAGGGTTAGTTTTGCTACAGCCCAGCCATATACAAAGCCCTGTACATATTATTATAACATTCCACTTGTCTTTCTCGTTGTCTTCTTGTAGACGCCAAAAAGTGACTGGGCCCCGGAAGTGTGCACGTGTATAGAACTTTCAGAAGGATTGACGGAAATCGAGGGGGGGGGGGAGACTATTAGCATTCTTCAAGTGAACGAGGTTTGGCTGGCTAGTGATGGTAGCAAACAGACAGGGAATTAGGAAAGTGCAGCATCGCAAAACACCAGTATTCATGCAAGTGGTTCGCCAGGGAATACACCAGTATAGATGCAAGTGGTACTACATCAAGGTATCCTTGTGTGAGAGAGAGAGAGTTAGAATGAGCAAGTGACAGCAATGCTGACGACGATGGCAACTTACTGTCTTGCCATCACCATTGCCAGGTACAATTGGGTCAACACTGGTGGTTGTGTCAGCGGCAGGGGAAGTCATGCAAAGCTCATCAGATTTCATTCCTTGTTCATCGTCCCCAGCATTGTCGCCATGCTGGCTTGGAGTAGAATTACCGGACTGGGCATCCACACTTGTCGTACTTACAGCCTCGCCAGTACAGGACTGTGGTACATCATCAGTACTGCTACATCTATTAGCAGCTTCAGCACTACTGGCAGAACAATCAGCAGCAGCAGCACCATTGATAACACTACCCGCTGTCGTTTCAGCCATACCAGCTCCATCAATGGCTAGATTGCTGGAGTTTGTATCTCCGTCCTCAGCCTCTCCAGCATCACTAACAGCAGCAGGCAAACTGTCATCAGTCCTTTCATGACAGCCGTTGCCGGATGTCATACTCGCAACATCAGTTGATTGTTGATCGCTTGGAGCAGTGGTGAGCGCAGTATTCTGCACATTGTGTTCACTACTACCATCCTCTGCTGTTTGGCTGCTGGATGCATTGTCATCTTGTGTCGACTGGCTTGTGGATGAATCATCGTCATCATCCTTCACTACTTGGCCAGCATGCGTATTGCTTTCATCACCAGATACATTTCTGAGCAGAGATCACAGAAAACACCCGAGCAACATTTTAGAGGCTTTATTTGTACTCAGGCAATGTCTTTCTGGCAGCATACCTATTATTGCCTACCCAGTTTGGCGTATACGTTTATGATCACTTGTACTCAATGACAGTACTTCAGTACAAGTGCCCCGCAGGTTCTAAACAACCCCAGATCTGTGCTATCCAATACCAGTAACTCTTTTTAAACAAGTTGTACCAAGAGAGCAATGACCCTAGCTCACCACACTGTGAAGTGAGGACACAGGCATAACAGAGTACCGTTATTATTACTGGTATGAAGTTTGCAGACGTAACTAGTCTCTTTAGTTTGCAGCACATCGGGCTTGGTAACTACACTTCAACTCAATGAAATCCGGGCGCTGTGAGTCAGCGCTAGCACTGTGCACTGTGAGCCAGCGCTAACACTGTGCACTGCGCAGCCCAGGGAGTACTGAAAACCGCTTTTTTTAGTACTCTCTGGTGCAGCCCCAGACATGCCCTGCACACCGTGCTGTGAACTGGTGCAGAGTGCTAACATATTCATGAGATCAGATTTCTGTAACCAGGACACTAGAAGACTTTGTTTTATTTATGTATAGTCTTATCTTAAATGTATATAGCAGGGTATATTCTAGGACGAATTTCCAACCGGTTACGGTCCAATGAAGAGTCGGGGGGTCCGGGGGTCCCCCCGTAATTTTTTTTCAAAATACAACCCAAATATGGCACTCGACAGCAATTTAACAGATTTCTTGGTGCACACCGTACAAACTCGTGACCCTAGTACCAGCCCACGCGGCTTCGCTGGAAGTATCCGTCCAGAAAAAGCGTTTGACCATTCACAGCTCCATTCACCCACAGAAAAGTACGGGCGGTTGGAACTGATTTGTAACTTTTCAACCGGTCGCCAACAATTTCAACTGGTCGAAAACCGGTTGGGGCGGTTCTAGAAAATTCCCTGCACGATTTCATTCCGACAGTCATTTAGTGTTGTTTCTATTGTAAGTAGGAAAGTATCAGGAGAATTCTACCGAAACACATGAAATAGAACCCTGCTCAATGCTATGAAGTTACAACGTCAAGCAGCAGTGAATACTTGTCGCACATAAAATGTGATTTAGCACAACCAAGTAAAACGGGACTTACCTCAATGGTGATGCTGGTGACGGTGTGGAATGCAAATCAAAATCGCTATCTTCACTCCGTGCTGTTGCACTCTCCTTGTCTGCATCCTGCAGAAGTCATACGCAATACAACCATGCATACACGAACACATCACACAAACACATCACACAAACACATCACACGAACACATCACACAAACACATCACACAAACACATCACACATTACACGAACAAATCACACGAACACATCACACAAACACATCACACGAACACATCACACGAACACATCACACGAACACATCACACGAACACATCACACGAACACATCACACGAACACATCACACGAACACATCACACGAACACATCACACGAACACATCACACGAACACATCACACGAACACACAAACACACACACACACACACACACACACACACACACACACACAAACACCATGTACCATGCATACGCTCGTCACAAGAGAAGCACGCAAATCTGCAAATGCACTGGATGTGCACCCACAGATTTTCTCTTTATAGCAACAATAGCAACGATTCACACAACTGGCGAAGCCATGTGAATCGACCTCCAATGCACACACGAACAAACACACACACACAAACACACACACACACACACACACACACACATGCACACAAGCAAGCACACGTGCACACACACACACACACACACCATGTACCATGTACCATGTTTACGCCCGTCGCAAGAGAAGCACGCAAATCTGCAAATGCACTGGATGTGCACCCACAGAATCTCGCAACTGCATGCAAGTCATGTGATCAACAGTTAAGAGTAGGGGTGAAATGAGTGCATCAACCCGCTCGACAACTTCGATCGTTTTTTGCTTCAAGAGTGTACAACATAAAGCATACAGTTTTTGTTGCGTGTTGCGTGGGTCTGTGCGTGCTGGAGTGGCTAGCAACATTGTATGGTCTGTGTGTGCTGGAGTGGCTAGCAACATTGTATGGTCTGTGCGTGCTGGAGTGGCTAGCAACATTGTATGGTCTGTGTGTGCTGGAGTGGCTAGCAACATTGTATGGTCTGTGCGTGCTGGAGTGGCTAGCAACATTGTATGGTCTGTGTGTGCTGGAGTGGCTAGCAACATTGTATGGATACTGTTAGCCTCTGGTAGCACTGAAACTGTCATACCTGAGCTGAAAATTCCACCAGGAACAAGAAAGAGGATTTAGGGTTGGTGGCAGAAATAGTGGGTGAGGTGTATACCAGCATTGCGCTTTGAGCACTCAATAGTTGCCGGGCTCGTTCGAAAGCAATGCACCCGCTTGACCCCTAGTTGAGAGTAGATATAAAGTCAGACTACAGACAAGCGTCACACCACCACCAGCAGCAGCAACAGCAGCAGCAGCAGCAGGAGGAGGAGGAGGTAGCGTGACAGGAATAGACTATACCTTGTCTTCGCGCACACCAGCCTCATGTACATGTAGATCTGACACAAACGGAGGTTCACTTGGCGTGTCGAGGCTGCTTGCAGACTCCACACTTTCCATGTAGTCAAAGTTACCCAGCATGGATGGATCCTGATTTTAGAAACACACACACACACACACACACACACACACACACACACACAATCATGCGGAGCTTATGCCGCTGTGTAAGCAAGTATGCAGCATGCGTTCTACACTGACATCAAGCAACTCGTCAGCACATGGCAAACCAACATGTGCTGGTCACACATCAGTCAGTGACAACAACGTCGCCTAGTGCATCTCAATAATATACTTCAAAGTATACACGTGCAGTTTTCTGTAGTTTTTCAGCAAGGTATTTTTAAAAGTCATTGGGGACATTCTCGACGGCAATGGGTGTCTGTACTTCACAATTCAGCTAATACCGTAATCCTGCGCGCACAAGAACATAGTCTCTTGTTCGAAGACTATACTAGTACCTGTTTGTTCTGATACCTAACAACAATGTACTCAGTGCACCACACAGTGTGAAGATGAGAGCAGCTATACTACATCCACGGTCCCCGACCTGCCCTACTTCATTGCGACAGTTGAGTAAAGTATTGCAATAGACAAGTAAGTTACAACGCTCTACATGTACTACCCCATGCGTGGATATGTACAACTAGTTAACTGTGCACAGACTTTCCCAGCCGGCCCTGTTCAATGTCAGCCTGGCAATGGTGTTGCTGTACACTGGGATATTGGCCTGGGAAGGGCTAGCTCTCCCAAGCTGATCTAAGGGATCTCAACCGTGGCGGAGGTGTAGGCACCAAGCATTTAGCATCCCATTTAGTACTCATCGCCATTATTCTACACCCAAACGCAAATTGTGGAACAGAAAAACAGACACACGGACACACACACGGACACACATACGGCACACACCAGACAGACATGCAGACAGACAGACAGACAGACATACTTACCACAGTACACACACACACACACACACACACACACACGCATACACACACACACATGGAGGCCCACAGATGATGTCACAGTATGATACCTGGCTGGGATCCAGCGACAATGACTTCAGGTGGTGTGTGAGGAATCTTTCCACATTGTCCGCTTGCGCCAGCAGCTCATCAAGACTAGCCTCTCGCTCTGTACCTGCCAATGCCCCCTTCATACAAAATAGACAAGAAGAAGAGAAGAAATTCATAAGTTTGAGGGAGTTGAAACAGGAGAAGAGTTAAAAAAAATAACAGTAAAGAATCAGCAAAATTCACTATGCAAGACACGGGGCTGGGGGAGTAGCTATCACAGCGCGAACCCTAAACGGTTGGTTGTATGCTGTACATGTAGGTGAAACTGGCATGGGTTGGTTCTGAACGCACTCACCATGTAATTATGTCTACATTTGGTAGAACAGTGCATTCAACAACCTCAGTCCTGGGTAGTAATAGCTTGGGCAGATATCTCGGTGGCTACGCTTAAACATGACAGGAAACGAAAACAACAATGTGGATCAATTGCCAAGCTCAATCTCCGGACAGGTAGCTGTAAAAACTCAATGTCGCCCTAGGTTAGGAGCACAAAGCAAGGCTTGCGTACCTCAGCACGCTCCTCGGTCACTTTTTCCGCTGCCGCAATTGCTGCTTCGGCTTGATGAACATCCGTGCTGGTCAAGTAGTCGGAAAGGGTGTTGGAGAGCAATTGAAGTGTCTGTTGACGTAAGTAGTCTGATGTCATCAGTTGAAGACTGCGAAACACCTCCAACTGCAAGAACACATGCACATGTGACAATCTGTTAAGGTGGCTGGGGCGGTACAACTTTTTGGGGAATTTTTTGACTGCATTTTTGTGTTTATCCGCAAGGCAGAGATGAAATTTGAAAATGTTTTCTGGTGAATATCTGGAGAATAGCCTTCTCTAGCTTCCTATAGTTTTATTTTTACTTTTGGACAAAAATTGAAAACGTTTTATGAAAGGTTCGTGTTATTTTTTCACGGACCTTTCATAAAACCTTTTCAAATTTTGTCCAAAAGCAAAAATAAAACTATAGGAAGCTAGAGAAGGCTCTTCTCCAGAGATTCACCAGAAAACATTTTCAAATTTTATCTCCACCTTGCCGATAAACTCAAAAATGCAGTCAAAATGTGATCAAAAAGACCCCTAAAAAGTTGTACCGCCCCAGCCACCTTAATTCAGGCCAAAATTGACCAACATGAAGAAAAGCATTGAATTCCGGAGGTTTTATTAAACCACAAAACAAATTGAATTTACGGGAGTTATCAAAGAGAGTCATCACCATTCCAACAAACCACTTGGAGTTGGCTGTCAGGCCACATCGCCCCAGCACTATTATTTCATCAGTGTTTTTTGTATTGAATGGGCGCTTTTGATTACACGTTTACACAATTCTGGAACTGGGTTTTGTAATTCTCGAATGACCAAAATGTACGAATTCCGGCCATGTAAACGAACGACTGGAATTCACAACGCATTTTATTCATGGCATATCACAAACAAAATTGGTCGTAAAAAGATATCACGTGCGCGCGCACGCGCGCGTCGACCCAGCTTCGCGTACCGGTCCATCCCGGCGAAGGCTCCATGCCGGCAACAATACTGGGCTTCGATAAAGCTGAACGCGTGTGCGAAAGGAACACCCAAAATGATCTGGTCTAATAATCAGCTCCCAGCGGAAACTCAACAGCGGCAATTAGCTTTTCGGGAAGACAAAAGTAGCAACTACATGCAGTTGTAGCCCTGCTTTCGCGCCACACCGGCCAGGGAGGCTCTTCCTGGACTTGAGTCATGCATGACCAGACCGGTAACACACCGAGTGTGCAATTCTGGCGCCAGAATTAGAGAAATTCCGCCCTCTCTTCAGAATTGACGGATTTGACGGAATTGGATAAAATCAATTCTAACGACGGAATTTGTCACTTTTTGTGTAATCGAACTGTGCATCAACAATAACTAATTCTAGAATTGACCGAAATGCGTGTAATCGAAAGCGCCCAATGTGGCACTAACCCCTGTGGTCTGTCAAGCTTTTCGGCGGTGATGGCTGTGCATGTACTTCGAAGTAGAAGTATCTCAATGCAGGCAGCATAGGACCAGCATTATCGTCAGTGCATGATCTGTATATCGCTATGCACAGTAGCTGTCAGGTATACATAGTCACTTTAGTAAGAGTGATGACTGTCAAACTGTCAAACAGTCACCGTCAACATACTCCAGGTACAAAGACATAACTACACGTATAGTATGTAACTAGGTCAGGCCTGTTTTCCTAATCCACTTAAAAAATATAAACAACGACAATGACGACGACTGCAACAACAACAACAACAACAACAACAACAACAACAACAACAACAACAACAACAACAACAACAACAACAAAAAGTAGCTAAACCTTGATCTATCTGTATCCGATCCCCATGCCTGTAATTATTTTTCTCATATTGGCCACAGGCCATCGTGAGAATAAAAGATTTCAAACAACAACAACAACAACAACAACAACAACAACAACTTACCAGAAAGTGTGGCCTATGTTCATGTAGAGATATGACAGTAGCAACCTCGGAGTAGATGGAGTCACGCAGAGCGTCAAACAAGGCGTATGCCTCCGTGGAACTCGCTTTGCTGCCAGATGTTGCTTGTCGTGGCTGGCTGCTCGCAGCAGCTGTGGCTGATGTAGAAATATCGCGCATCCAATCATCTAATTGCAAGTCATCCAAACCATCACCGACGCCAATACTACCAGTTAACGCAGTAGCAGGAGCGGCAGTAGCAAACGTTGTGTCTTGAATAGCGGCTTCCAGCCAGCGTGATTGCGAACCAACCTCCATCTTAGGCAGATCTGTGACAGGTCGATCTCTTACATCTAAATCACAAGGAAAACCCCAACCAACGAATCGTTAGGCCAGAGTTGAGGAATTCATAAAGCAGTACATGCGCTACATGTTTGCCAGTACAGTACAGTACTGTACTGGCCGGCGCCGAAGAACGGACCGCCGAAGAACAGCCAGGCTAGAATTTCACCAATTTTTAAGAACGGTGTAGGCTGGATTTTTTTGCAGATAAGAACGGAAACGGTAATGTACACTCAGACATATAACTCTGTATAAATGAAAAAACGTATTAAAGACTGTACCATCGAATAAGAACGAAACTGCTGTGTTCGCTAAAAATCAGAACGGGCTAGGCTAGAACCCTGACCCCCCCCCAGTTCTTCAGCACCCGGCAGTACTGTACCCAGGACACATAATTATTATAATACTAACACTAGTACCTTTTGCCACTACTGGCACAATTACAAGGCAGCTCAGCTCAGCGCGCACACGAGCGTGTGTATGTTTTCAATACTGCTATATGAAGGCTACTTCGAATTATTTTTTAAATATACAATATTCTTCACAGCAGCAGCAGCGACAGCAACTACAAAAAGCAGAGTACTTGACTTTAAGAGCAGGTACAGTAGTGAGTATGACTGCAGCCATAGCGTTGCCTTACCCTTTCCTGGACTAAGTGTAGCTGATGGTGTCTTCTTGCGCACAGATGCACCTTTCTTGGCTCGAGGGGAACGTGCAGCAACTTTAGAAGCACTTGGAGAAGAATGTGACATTGTGTGTCTCATATCCACGTACTGAGAAGGGTGGGATGACGTGCCTGAGAAGATGTAGGGACCAGCTCCACTACTCCGGGAATGAGTTGCAGAGCTAGTCACTGGAGCAGATGGGCGGGATGGGCTGGCAGGGAAGTAGGAGCTTGCTGTGGTTGGCATTGCGTGTGCTGCAGCTGCAGATCTCTGAAGCTGTTGCGTTGCAGTGTACATAGGTGGCATCATTAACGGTGCGCTCTGTGAATACAATCCGGATGATGTAGTGCTGGCATCAACACTGCTCCCGCTGCTGCTCACACGGACACCGGTGTCTTGCAGACTGTCTTCTAGTTGCTGCTGAAGCATGATCTGTTGACACGACGCCCAGTACATTTGCAGGCTAGACAACATATGAGGTGGTAAGGACTGTTGCTGCGCTGCTGTTGCCGCCATGTGTAAACCTTGCTCAGTTAGTAGTTGATTGGAAAGCTGCACACTGGCTAACAGCTGTGCTTGAAGGTCATCCAAGCCCTGTCCCTGAGCAGGCTGCTGGCGGTGTTGCTGTGGACGCTGCGGAGAGCCATGTCCAGCGCCAGTGATGCCTGCACTGGTTGCTGGAACCTGTACACAAACACGCGCACACACACACGCGCGCGCACACACACACACGCACACACACACACGCACACACACGCACACACACACACACCATTACAAACAGGAGCAGACAAATTTCTGCCCCTGGGCTAACTGAGTATGTAGCAGCATGGGAAACGCAGCATTATGCACTGAATGACTTCTGAGTAGTACAGTACAAGCACATTAATTTGTAATAGAATTTGTTCCTATAATTAAAAGCAGAATGATAACAATACTGAACCAACATTCTGGCAGCGTTTGTTTTGGAAAATTTCAGCAGAGATTCTATAGCGAAATACATCTCTACCACAAACGTTGCATTCTGTACACATAAGCCTGCACCAAGGGTTTGATTGCTTTTAGGAATACTACTCTCGATCTGCAACGTTTGCGGTAGAGATGTATTTCGGTATAGAATCTTTGCTGAAATTTTCAAAAACAAAAGCTGCCAGAATGTTGTTGAGAAGGTTTTTCGGTTTGCAAGCGTTATGTTCAGCTTGACTTCAAGTCCATTCCTGCTGAACGCAACCCTGAAACATCACCTAGACAAGTATCAAGCTGATGACCATGGTTTCGTCAGCGTTGCGGGAGATTCGATGTACGTTGACGACATGGCTGCTGGGGCGGAAGATGAGAAAAGCACAGTCACTCTCTACTCCAAGTTGAAGGAGCGCATGGGTGACGGTGGCTTCAACATCCGAAAGTTTGCATCAAGTTCTCTTTCCATCCAGTAGCACATCGACACAGCTGAAAAGGCAGATTTGGTGACTTGCTCCGTATCACATCAGGAAGATGACCTGACGTATGCAAAGACATCAGTGAACAGCAGCGAGAACGACAAAGTTCTAGGAGTCAAGTGGAATCGAGTGCACGATGAACTAATCGTGGACATACAGTAGCAGCCATCTTAGCCAAGCCGAGCACCCGAATGACGAAGCGCGCCGTGTCATCGGAGGCCGCCCGCAACTTCGATCCCTTGGCTTAGTATCACCCATCACGATAAAGTTGACGTTGCTTCTGCAGCAGCTGCACGTGGCCGGGTTAGATTGGGACAACCGTTATCGCCACAATTGGCTCAAGAGTGGACCACTCTCGTCAACGCACTGCAGAACGCCACGCCGAGACGAGTTCCTCGTCGCTACTGCAGCAGCACTGTCAGCAGTGGTCGGGTATCTCTGCATAGGTTCTGTGATGCTTCTCAGACGGCTCACGGTGCCGTGGTCTACTTGAAGGTAGAAACTGACGAGGTGGCGGTTCAGTTGCTCATGGCCAAGGCGCGGGTGGTCCCAACTGCCAAGCAGACAATCCTGAGACTTGAACTGCTATCAGCTCTGATTCTAGCTCGCCCAATGGTCACAGTGAGGAGGAGCTTGATTCTCTCTGTTCAGTGTTCGTGAAGAATGGTTGATCAGTAGCACTAGTGCGATTTCATGAATAATAGCAGCCTAGGCTTGTTGGTTTGGCACGAAGGTAGTATAGTACATTTGCATAAGTTGTGTTTTGCGAACTGAACGCTATGCCTTAGGTTATCACTAGTGTAGGGTTTCATTTTATCACCTACATTTCACGCTTGTTAGGTTTCTCACACTCAGTGCACCTCACACTTGCTTTACTAGCAAAACCTTTCAGATGTTGTAGAATAAGAGTGTGTGTAGCAGTGAGTTTTCTCTCTCTCGTTGTAGCATTTTAGATTCGTGGCGAAGAAGTGAAGAATTGCATTTACTATTGCTACAAGACTTGTTGCGTGTTGTGCGTGCGGGTTGAGATTACCGAGGATTCTCACCAATGGTTATCCTGAGTTTTTGTTGCAGAAGTTGTTATCCGTCGAACAAACTACTAAGGCTCCGTTGATTGGTCCTGCTTGTTGCCCCGTCTATTTACGTTTGCCTTGGAAAGGGCAGGAGTCGACTAAAGTTTGTAGTGCAGTCAAATCTGTCGTTCGTCGAACATACTACGCAGTGCACTTCGTGCCAGTCTTTACAAGCTCTGAAGAAGATGATTCCCATCGCATCCGTTCACTGTCGGGCAGACTCACAAGTCGCACTCGGGTGGATCACCAATGAGAACCAAGAGTGGAAGCAGTTTGTCCAGAATCATGTTGATGAAATCCACCGATTGACTGGCACGGACGCATGGGGATTTTGCCCAGGGACACTCAATCCAGCGGACCTCCCGTCTCGGGGCACAACACCCGCTGAACTCCACACATCAATGTGGTTGACTGGTCCAGCCTGGTTGCACACTGCAAACCGACCACCTGGCCAGCAGCCTCAAAAGGGAGAAGTGCCAGAAGAGTGTACAGCTGAGAGGAAGAAGAAAGTGGCACCAGCACCCGTCACTCTACCGTCTGTACCAAAGCGGAGGGTATCTAGAGCGGCGGCCACTCGAGTGAACAGTCTGCGGCACCAGTTGATCCTGCAAGGCAGAATATGACAATAATGTTATGTTATTTATGTTTGCTGCTCTCTCTTTTCTCTCTTTTCTCTCTCTCTCTCTCTCTCTCTCTCTCTCTCTCTCTCTCTCTCTCTCTCTCTCTCTCTCTCTCTCACACACACACCACGCATACAGACCAGCACACTCACAGTGAAACTTGGTGCAGCCCAACTACTGTTCACACTTGTCTGACTTGGCTCTCCACGGGAGAATATAACAGAGGGCCAGACACCACTGAAGCCAGATGAGGGCTTAGCAAATTCTTCGTCAGCTTCCAGAACGTAGGGCCGTACCGATGCTGCTGCTGCTGCTGTAGAGAAGTACATAAATAAATGTAGCACACACACACATGCATACAAGACAAGAACACGAGACTCATGGACCAAGCAAGAGTACCATTGTGCTTCCAGAGTAAAGCAGCTAGAAGTTGTCACTTCAGTGATATCACAGCTTTCTCGGAATCGGCCTGGCTCAGGCTGGCTACCTTCAGTGATATCACAGCTTTCTCGGAATCGGCCTGGCTCAGGCTGGCTACCTTCAGTGATATCACACCTTTCTCGGAATCGGCCTGGCTCAGGCTGGCTACCTTCAGTGATATCACACCTTTCTCGGAATCGGCCTGGCTCAGGCTGGCTACCAGATTCTTTCTTGTTTCGTGACAACAAAAGTCTTGGAAGATTTGGGACACCGACATGGCATCAGATGTCCTAAACTGAAGTATGAGAAACATCAAGACATCCTTGCGATAGTGGAAAGCTAAAATACTGACATTTCCCTATCTACTCCCATACCAAGGGTATCTCTCTGTGACGTTCTGTTACTCACAGATCTGGCCTCTTCTGGGCAAGTTATGATGTCATCATGTCACTGAATTGAGTGAAAACCTCCAGCTGCAACCAGAACAGCTACTCTGATCAGCCTTGGGGTTTCACCACTGGAATCAATGCATTTTTCACTACAAGTTGTGATGTCTTCATAACAGGTGAACATACCCTTTAATTGTAGTCGCTGAATCATCATCACTGTAGTAGTTCATGTAGAGTAATCCCACTACGGTAAAAGCCACACAAGGTCACCTATCTAATTAGAAATGGCATGTCACCAACCTGCCCTGTCTCTGCCTGGTCCAGATTGCTTTGTGCTAGGAACGGATCGGCGTCTCTTCTTGCCAACAATATCGCTACTGGCATCATCACTGTCGCTAATAAAACTGCGTCGCTGTGCTCGCTTGCCAAAACCGCTATCCCACAATAGATCATCATCACAGTCTGCAGGACGACGTGCGCGGCAGCCTGATACTTCAACAGTGTACGTCCCAGTATCCGATAGTTCTCCTTCGTCATCTTGGTCTGGCAAGGAGAGGTCTCCCCGACCAGCACTAGCAGCAGCACTAGCAGCAATGCCTACAGTGGCAGTAGCACCTGACTCTTCCGCCTGCAGAAGAGGCAGAATGCCACAGGAATAGAGAACACACGGACAGCATACTCTCTGCTCACCAAATGTACTGACTCTGACACTAAGTATACTACACCCACTGGGGAACTGTTGCAACACATGATACATTACAGAGAAACTCAAATTGCTAGGAAACACAGGTACCGTATTCTCCGGAGTACAAGCCGCACCCAGATTTTGGTCACGAAACACAGACATCTACCCTGTTTATCACCATTAATTTCCAAACACAGACATCTACCCTGTTTATCACCATTAATTTCCAAACACAGACATCTACCCTGTTTATCACCATTAATTTGACCATCATAGCATAAGCTGTATAAGACTAGTATGATGTCGAATGTGCGGCGTATACTCCAGAAAATACAGCACTTCATGCTAAGGCCACCCTTTGTTAATTCATTGTTTAACGTCCTTTTTTTCGCGAAAAGGTACGCGGGAGGGCGGAAAAAAAACAAAAGCCCATTCCAAAAACTGGAAACCCCAATCAAACATTTTGACCAGTAAAGCATGTGATATATACAATATATCTGGGTCTAACGGCACTTGCAGGCATAGAACAACACTCTTTGATGGTACATTGGAGCACATGCCTGATGAATCCAACAAAACAGGTACATAGCATGGATTTAGCATGTCATGAATTCATTACATCTGGATTTTTACTAGGACACACACCGTACGATATTTAAAAGCCAACAAAAAAAGAAAAAGAACACAAGACAAAGGCATGCCCGGGAGGCAAGATTATAAGTTTACGGTCATGATCGGCACACTGTGAAACTACACAATCATGTATTTACAACTTCGCATATTATTGGTACTACTACTTTCTTGTTTTTTTTCCCGGTCGGAGGCAAAAAGGTACGCGGGCGCGGACGTTAAACAACGAATAAAGAAAGGGTGGCCTAACAAAGGAACACACCACAAAACCTACACAGTGTCAGACATGGCAGGCGACCAAACATTGGCTGGCATTCCCATTGAGATTTTTCGACAAGATCACACATTTCCCCAGAATACACTGCTATACGGAAAACCAAGCGCATTGAAATAGCCACAGCTACTTCTCAAAGCATTCTGCTCAAAAGAACTTGAAATGAGTGAGTGTATGTGGCAGTTCAGGTAACCGCCACAGGAGTGTTCCGCCATTGCAGCCAGGTGCATGTGAGAACAGTCCAGGTGGAGTTACTCAAAGCACCTACATTACATCGGGTGCGCACTGGTTACGAGGACATCACTTACAGCTCTGGATATCATGCTGGCTTTCATTTGAATAACTTGTGCGCACTCATCCTCCAATGTCTTCTGCAAGTCTAGCTGCTGCACCATTTCTTCCTTCAAGCGACGAAGTGTGACTGAACAAAGTAGAAGCAAACAAAGACGTACTACTCCGTAAATGACACACGTCAACGTCAGATGCATAATTAACTGATGGCTTTGTCCATGCACAGGCCAATTGGATACCCAGGCTTCTATTACAACTGCCTACCCTCTATAGTATTCCACTATCATTAGCAAAACCATCCCAACTCCATTTCTTCTGTCTACTAAATTGACGATACAATTGGGTGAACTTACCCATTCCACAATATAGTGGAATGGGTGAGTTCACCCAATTGTATCTACTATGAAACTGCAGGAAGCCTCCAAACTTCTTCTCTACTAAATTGACAACATGGAAAACAGAGGAGTACAAGCTATGCGTTGGAGTCCACTAACTAGACCAGATTTTGAACAGTCAGACGTGCACAATCTAGCACAAAACTGACAAGGAGCACTGAGACATTCCACGGCATGAAAGTGAGCTTGAGCACTGCTCGATAGCGCTAGCCAACAGCCTTCCAACTTGGAAGGTTCATGGATAATATTTATTAGTGATAATTCCAAAGAGGGGAAGGTAAGCGCCATCGCATACCGCGTGCCCCACTGTTTCCATGTTTTCAATTTAATATTTCCTTGCCTCACCATCTGATTTCTTCTGCCTACATTCAATATTTGCCAGTTTTCAACATAAAAATGGCAGTGTTATCAGATAGTGAAACATGTTCATTGAATGTATCAACAAAGGAGTGGAGACAAGTAATAGCCTATGCATTGTTAACAAAACCCTGTCCTGAAACAAACACGAACGAAGATCAGCCCTGTAATAAGACTCTGTGCAAGGGCCCTTTCAACTGTGTTTGTCACCGCAACAGCTTACCCATTGCACATACTAAAATTAATAGTGGCAGAGAACTTGAATCTTTCAGCGAAACCCTATTGTTTTTAGTTAAAAATAAAATGAAATTTAGCTTACCATCTGAATGCAATCGGGCACTGGCACCATTCGCTACGTGCTATTCATGTAAGCAAACAAAAAAACCACATAAGTCCATTACGATTCACAAACACACAAACACAGACACACAGACACCCTAACATAATTCACAAAGAAACTCAATGAGCTACTCATGACCCACTGCTCTTCACAGTGTGAACATGTACACGCACATACTACATGCCACATGACCGTTGCCTTGTCTACAGCCAATCAACGACTTTCCTCTGTGGGTCACATATATCTATAATCAAGCGGGCAGATATATACTTATTACAAACTAGTATATACACGTACACATACTGATTACATACTAGTATATACAGCAAAGAGAGAGAACAATTCGCTGTGACTCTAGTTCCGTGTCCATGCACGATCATCAACCAACCCCCTTTCTCCTCTCTCCGCTTACTGAAACCCTGCTAACCTCTGGACATATGAGTGCTCTTCGTGCAGTGAAACACCTTGCTTATTTATATAATTTGTCCTACTCCATCATTCCACACAGTGCGCTTGGCCGCCTCACTCCACTTGCACAATACCACCACAATACCAGCACAGTGAGGACAATTCTGTTATGGTATTGACTGTGCCATACTGTCATCATGGTCATCCCTGCGCATCACAATATAATTCAATAGGATAGTCCTCGTGAAGGCAAACAGCACAGCGGCGAGTGGCGGTTTAAGCAATGACCGAGTCAGTTTTAACTTCCTTTTTCAGGTACTTACTAAATCACCAAAATTAGCACGTTCCAACTCATAGTTGTCAAGCTCCTTCTTCAACTTTTCCAGTCGTTCTCTTTGATCAAGCAGTTGAACATACTGTGCCATGTCATCAGCTGTCACATAACGCATAAAATTGGAATAGCCTTCTCCATCTTCATCTTCCTCCTCCTCTTCTTCCTCCTCCTCCTCCTCATCATCATCGTCGTCGTTTGTTGTATCAGCATCGTCATCATCATCACCCTCATCCTCTTCATCTTCTGCATGCTCTTCTTCCTCCTCATCCTCACCTTCCTCTTCACCATCTGAAGATGACTCATCAGCATATGCTGCACTCACCAGTGACAAGCCTCTACCAGGTGCCTGTACAAAGACATGCCGATACATGCATACACATGCCCACGTCCACACACACACACACACACACATACACGCATGTACGCACCCCCCCCCCCCCCACACACACACATAGACAGGTAACATGCAGACAGACAGACAGACACAGACACACACAAACAAACAAACACAGGTATAGGGTCTTTGCACAAGCAATACAATGACTATAGCCAGCAAACTGAGAATACAGAGGCGGCAAAGCCAGCCAGGACTAGGACGTATGTGTGCGTATGCAAACAAGTCAGACAAGGGAAAGGATGTGACTATTTCAGTGTATCAGTATTCCTTACCGTGGCTTCAAGCCGTGTAGGCTGTCTCTGACTACCTTCTTCAGCCTGAATACAACATGGCACATCCACGATACCGGTATACATGTAGAGGCATACAGTGACAGGCAGAACACATGCTGTATGAATCTACACTGATACTTGGGATGAGACTAAGGCCACACCAAGTTGATTCTATGTTTCGCGTCGGAAACTTTCTGGAACATGTATGCGGGCGAAAAAAGAAAAAAATACGGGTGGGAAAAAACAAAACTCCATTCTCTGTTTACTGATCCATGTCGCATTCTCTGTTTACTGATCCATGTCCATGCACACAGATAGCACTACTAAACAGTCAAGTATTAGTTATTACACTACACTACAGTGCACACACACACACACACACACACACACACACACACACACACACACACACACACACACACACACACACACACACACACACACACACCTGAGCATGTACATATCCCGGAGAAATAATAACAAACACTATTTATAATATGAATAGACAGAAGCAGTCGTTCCGCAGCTATCTTCCGATCACCACAGAATCGGCAAGACTCGCGGAATTCCTCGGATCCCCGAGGCTCTGGCTAGGAAAGCATTGTTGCCCCAGTCATCGAGACGGCACCGGGGTCCAGGTTCAGCTCGTTACGCATGGCGAAACGAGGCGCCGTGACATGTCATGAAATATCCAAATGACGACAATGCGCCACAGCTGGCAGACTGGGCTGGAGTGATACCGCAGTGGATTTCATCGATGGCTCCTTCTGCACTTTGCCAAGAGTCGAGTGGAATTCCTCTCCATCACAATTATCCCGGAAAATCTCGAAGTCCTTGAAACCTGGAATCTCCGCTCGCTTGGCGAGCAGGCCCTCCAGGATGGCTTTGAAAGACATGTTATCGTTCACACTTTCTCCATACTATTCCAGGCATCTACCTGGAATAGTTATCTATCGAGAAGTTGAGAACCTCCGCCATACTGGCTAGAGAATGTTTGCCAGAACAGCCTTCGATTGATTCGTATGGGGTGCTTTTTTTCCTTTCTTGTCAGCCATTCGAAAAGGTACGCGTGCGGTGACGCGAAACATAGAAATTACTTGGCGTGGCCTAATGAATAACACAAGCTTCAGGCTCTTTCCAATCAACATTTCAAATGTCCACAAACACTTTCATTGCCTTCTCTTCAGATGGATACAGGCAGAAGAAGAAACTAACCAGTGCAATACTCCTTTAAACAATGTATAGGTGATATAAGCAGCAGTAGGTAGATTAGCGAGAACAAAACACAGAATAAGGAGTAAAGTGGTACTTCTCACACACATAAAAGATAACAAATTCTACAGTCATGAACTAGCGCTGTACCAGTATGTGTGAAGAGGTGTGATTAGCGTGATAGGCGTTGCGACAACAGTAGACGACAAAATGAACCGAACTAACGATGTGTGGATGTCCTACCTAACAGCTGCGCATGAAGAATAGTCCTACCTAGTGCATGACTGTCCTGTGTGTAGGATTTGTTATGTTTCTACGTGCGTGAGAATCATCACCGTACCCCTAATACTGGGTTCGTTTATCGTCAATCTATCTACTGCTGCTTATATCACCTAGTTACAGTGTTTAAAGAGTACTGCACTGGTGAATTTCTTCTTCTGTCTGTATCCACCTGAACAGAAGGCAATAAAAGTGCGCGTGGAAATGTTGATCGGAAAGAGCGTGAGACTGAGTCCTGTGGCGTTCATCACTGACATCAGTGACATCACTGACATCAGTGACATCACTGACATCAGTCTCATCACACCGCCACACTGTCGTAACAGTTACTACTTCGAAGTAGGAACATCAATGCTTGGGTTCTGGGTGGTTTTGAAGTCAGTTCACACAGCAGCACGTCTGGAATGTCACATGATATCAGTGACCCGCTTCATAACATGCTGGTAATATGCAAAGCACACAAGTTACAGTGAAAAGCCAATGGACAAGGTTGGGAATAACCGTTGCCACAAATTCAAGAGAGAAACAATGAAATATCACCTTACTTCTACACATAAGTTAGCAATGGAACTACTGTAAGACATGTATATATAACGAGGAAGCAAATCTAACGTTTTAACGGATGACATTTCTTCGTTATAATAAGATCCGTTGAGGCCGTACTGCTTCATATATGCTGTGTGTGGATATGGCAGAATACTGCAAGATCGTTAACATATCTTCTCGTTAACCTATGAATTTTGGACAATCGTTAAATTTGCGACTCGTTATAATAACATGTCTTACAGTAGGCTATAGTGTCTGTGAGCCTCAATCTGCGGACAGAAGTGTTTGTGTCTGTGAGCCAATGGATAATGTATGTATTGCCTGTGAAAAAGGCTAGCGAAGCAAACAAGACACTGCGAGGACCTACCTTATCCCTCATCTTCATCAACCCACCGAGTTCTTCTCTGTAGGATTTGATCCTACTCTGACGGATGTTCATTTCCCGAATATGCTGAGCCAATATTGGGTCGCGGGCTTCACTGCGTGTTTTCAGATAATATTCATACTGGGCATGAGCTACAGCATCGGCTCTAGCAACTTCGAGATCTCTGCTATCATCACCATGATCTAGTGGGCTCTGCTGACTGGCTGCCATAAAACGTGGGCTGGTACCAGCATGATGTGATTCACCCTGCATACAGTGTACACATACGTGTAGAACAAAAATGGGCTCTTATTTAAACCAACAGAGCTTCTTCCCTTACAACAAGCAGGAGAGAGAGAGAGAGAGAGAGAGAGAGAGAGAGAGAGAGAGAGAGAGAGAGAGAGAGAGACAGACGGACAGAAGAAGAAGAAGAGAGGGAGAGGAAGAGAGAAATACTTAAAATAAGCTCTATACAGTATCTTCTATATTTCCTGCAGCTTGCGCTCCACCCGTAACCCTTCAGCGCCTTCAAGCTACTAGGGATTGGTCATTTCATCAGGAAAACAAATCTAGTTTCACTAAGTAGAATGTATGCATTAGTTGTGGATGAACTTGTCACATATGCAAGAAGCCCACACCCCATGATCCCTCATGCAAAGTGGGTCTGACCATATCAATCTTTTTTCTTCTTCACAAAACCAAGTTCCGTCTGTGCCTCTGTGGGTGGGTGGCTCAATCGAGGCCAGTTCCACTACACAAAATGTCGATAGCTAAACAATCAAGGCATACTACACTGAGTGCCAGGTTTCAAGACAATCCATTGTTCGGTTTCAAGGGACAGAGGTCACAAGGTTCGTGAGCAAACTTTTTCGTTCCCTGAAAACTACTGATAATGACGGATCACCCCTAAAACAGCATTGGGGCGTAGCAAAGTACTTCTACATTTAATTCCCGTAGCTATGCAGAAGACGTTACTTCAGTAACGTCTGGCGCTAGCCAGGGTCCACACAGCTTTAATTCCCGTAGCTATGCAGAAGACGTTACGTCAGTAACGTCTGGCGCTAGCCAGGGTCCACACAGCTTTAATTTGGTATTTGTGTGTGTGTTTGTTTGTTTGTTTGTTTGTGTCACGCCTGGCGCTATCCCGTATCTGTCCCGTACTGTACCGTACCAGCAAAGACAGCTGGCCACAATATTTTTGTTTGTGTGTGCCATCGACATGCCTGGCGCTATCCCGTACCTGTCACGTACCATCAAGAGTACGGTACCATCAAGAGCATGAGTATATATGCGAAGTGTATCGGGGGAATGCATTCAGTGCATTAACATTTTGTGTGGATTTGTGTGCGAGGCCGAGATCCCACTAGCAGGCTGGCTGGGCCGCCTGTGGACCAGCCTGGGAATCGCATGTAGGCTGATAGCATAATAATTATAACGTACTTATATACAGTCATGTAGATGTATAGCAGGGAGTCATATTATGTAAACGAATCCCTCCTGTAAGGGGAGATTTTCTGGAAAGAAATACGAAGTAGGGAGACGAGTAAATGCAATCAGAATGGATGTTAGTTGCCGTCAGTATAGTAATAAGAAGAAGAAGAACGCCCGTGATCGGCAGAGTCAGCGCCGGTCCCAGGAAACGTCAGGACAGACATCCCGTCGACTCCAGAACGCCCGTGATCGGCAGAGTCAGCGCCGGTCCCATAGCTATGCAGAAGACGTTACTTCAGTATCTCATTGAAACATTTTTGCAATACAATGATGTAGCTAATCAAAGGAAAAAGCATTTCCATCAGTTCTAACAACATGCACGATGAGCTAGGCAACAAAGCATAGCGCAGGGCCCTGAGCTTCCAAGCTCTCTCGTTTGGTATTTGTTTGTTTGTGTGTTTGTTTGTGTCACGCCTGGCGCTATCCGTATCTGACGGCAAAAAAGCATAGGATGTTATAAATTTTTCAATTCTCCAATTTTTTTCAGACATATCCTGGGATTCGAACCCGCACTATCGCCCTTCATGCATTCCCCCATACACTTTGCATTCATACCCATTCTTCCAAGTTGCTTCACGTTATGATCTTGCGTTTGAAAGCCCTATTTGAATATTGCGGGCAGCTGTATGTGGCCAGCTGTGTTTGCTGGTACGGTACGGTACGGGAGACGGTGTCGTATTACCCTCGATCGTACCTGTCCCGTACCTATCCCCTACCGTACCGTGCCATCAAAGACGGCTGGCCACAATGCATATTCAAATAGGGCTTTCAAATGCAAGATCACAATGTGAAACAACTTGGAAGAATTAGTATGTATGCGAAGTGTATCGGGGGATGCATGCAGGGCGCGCGATAGTGCGGGTTCGAATCCCAGATTATGTCTTAAAAAAAGGATTTTTTAAAAGAATTTATAACATCCCTATGCTTTTTTTTGTCTAGGTCATCAAGGCAAAAAAGCATAGCGTAGGGCCCTGAGCTTCCAAGCTCTCTCGTTGGTTACCCCCACACACACACGTGCACACACATGTGCACACACACGTGCACACACCATGTACCATGTATACGCCCGTCACAAGAGAAGCACACATATCTGCGAATGCACTGGATATGCACCCACAGATTTTCTCTTATAGCGACGATAGCGGATCTGAATCTGTATGAAACAGATCAAGACTAGCGCCAGATAACTATCTAATCCACACAACTGGCAAAGCCATGTGAATCGACCCCTAATGCACACCTGGTCTACACCACACGGAGTACATCGGACACACACACACACACACACACGCACACACACACACACAGAGCAGATTCTGGACAATGACTGACCTTGGGTTGTTTTCTTGGCGAAGCCCTAAGATGAGACAAAAGTCAGTCAAAACAGGAATGGCCAGTGTTTAATGCAGGTATGTCTCCACACAGATGGAACTTTAACACTCACGCTCCATACATTGCTGAAAAAGTATTCACGATTTCCAGCAATTCAGCCAACGCCATCAACAACTACAGACAGTGTCAGTGGCGCCTGGTGAATTCCAACCCTGGAAGCTGTAAAGCTGTGATCCCTGGGGTTGATTTCACCCCTGGAAACTGTAAGCCTGTGATCCTGGGGGTGAAATCCAACCCTGACCCCTGGAAACTGTAAGGTTGTAAGCCTGTGATCCCTGGGTGAAATCCAACCCTGACCCCTGGACACTGTAAGGTTGTGATCCCTGGGGTGGATTTAACCCCTAGAAACTGTAAAGATTAGATCTCTGGGGCGAAATCCCCCTGGCAACATTGTAATTTGGTACAGAGTTACTACAGAGTTGTAGAATCCACCAGGTCAATACCAAACTAAACTCTACAATAGCTGTGGGTTCTCATCTTACATGGTAGGCCTTTGGGAAGAAGTAGGAAATGGCAAGGATGAGGATGATGATGGTGCCGCCACCGCCGTTGCCTCCCGAGCACCAGCCACTGCAGCAGCTCCATTTGTTCCACTGCCTCTGGTACTCGTGCGCATCAGATCAAGCTGAGCAGCTGCTAATGCACCTAGCAAAGTAGTACAGAATAGAGCAAGAGAAGAAAACTGCCAATGTAAGATAAAATGGAGATCCTGAACGCTTTCACTGGCAACATGAGATTCAAATCACCAGTATGCTACATAGCCTTGGGCTAGTTTTCAAGAATAAGCTGATAATCGTCTGCATATTTGAGAAGCATAACAAGGTGGGTAACACAAAATTTGCAAGTCTAAACGGAAAACTGCACCTGTAGGCAGTGTAAGCTGTGTTCGTACTGTCCAAAGCAGGGGTTGCTTTTTAGAGTACTTTTTAGTGCTCCCTGGTTCACAGACTGCAGATCACCAGTTGCAGTGTACTACCTGGCCGGTGTACAGGCACCATGTTTTATGCAGGCATAGGATAGTGCCAAACCACACGTTTAGGCGACAAAAAAATAGGACGTGTTTCAGAATTTCAATTTCTGAAAATATTGGACCAGCTTTGGACACACCTGCCGCACTGGTTCCCCTGAATAATCACCCCTGCACAGAACACAAATGCAGACAAGATCATTCACAGCAACACAAGCTCATACCTGTCTGCGACTCGTGCAACCTTTTCAAGTCATCGCGCCGTGTTTCTAACTGTTGAGTTGACCTCATAACTTCTTGAAGACGTTCAGCAAGAAGAAGATAGTAATCCTGGATAGCAGTAAGCTCCTCTTGGGCTTGAGACACTTTCTCTCTTGCTTCTGCAGTGGATTCACAAGCATCACTGGCATCACCAGTGGTACTACCACTATTACTGCTGCTTGTACCAGCTAAGTGTGGTGGTAAACTATCACTGGCCTCATCCTCTGATGTTGAATCTGGAGACTAAGTAGACACACACACATGTAGACACACACGCGCACACACACACACACACACGCACACGCACACACACACACACAATCTTGTTCTGGTGACACTGCAGCCACCACCACCACCACAGTACACTTGTCCATGGCACCCAAGTGAACAATAAAATTATCCACGCCTGCCAGTCTCAGATTATCCACGCCTGCCAGTCTCAGTCGGGACCATCCCAGGATGTCGTAATCTGACAAGCCACTCGATGACGAAAATGCTGTTTTTCTCCGGGCACGCGTTGCGCACTGACCCACAGTAGCATACATGCATATGAACTCTTGATTATGGACTTACGGTACTATTGCTTAGCTAGGATTCAAAGGACGGGCATATCAACCTGGATCTACACTGCCAACATCACAAACTAAACCCAATTACTGGCACATGCGCTACACTCTATACCACACACCTTGTCTTGGCACAGTCGGAAGCCGCAATCATAAACTTGCTGACAAGTGCTCACCCTGGTGTGCATAAATGCCCAAACTAGAAAGGAGACTACGCAATACGCAGTATGCACTTATCAAAGTTATCATGCCAGTAAATCAGCGAACCATGGAAACTGTGCTCAGCTGTACTGATAGTCTTAGTTATATCCAACAATGCTACAGTCGTGTGAATGGCACTTAGAGTAACAGCAGGGAGTAGTAAGAACAGAACAGAGCAACGGCAAAAAGACATAAGTTGCCAGAAGCATACTGTAAAGAAGAAGTAACGAAAGCCTGAAACACCAGCAAGGAGCCAAAACCCAATCCCCACATGACGTCACATGCGCATGCGTGGGGCACACATAGAACACACGTGTACGTGAACGCGGTACACGTGACACTCAGCTGCACTGTCTGATCCCGGATGCATTTTTGGAGCAGGTGGGTGCTTATGTGGGTGCAGTGACCATAAGGATATCCCAAAGAGGGTTGAGGTAACGAGAGATCATCCAAGGTGAAGTCCATCCTTTGAAAGTCTCCAGAACGGTGGCTGAATTCCCTTCTACAGTCCCTCAAGTTCATTCCAATGCCTGTGTGTAAGCTCAAGAAGCCCTACCAGAAGTCAAAAGCTTTGCACGGAGGTGTGCTAACTGAAAAAGATTTGTTCCAACTTCCTTAATCCCGATGCTAACTGTCGAGGAGGGAGAATATGACTTGACTGTTTTGTGCCTGTAGTTTTAGTGTTGACTAATGGAGATGTCAGAATGAGACCGGATACCTAGATGAGGCTAGATCGCAGTACCGTCGAACGCCGAAGAACGAACAGACTAGTGTTTTCAGTAAGTACAGAACACCGGTATGCACGTGCTGACTCAAGAACACATACACTGTAGTACTTGTATAAAATAAGAACGGCCTAGGCTGGTACAACTCCGACCCCTCTGACCTCCCCCCCCCCCCTCTTTGTCAGGAGACAGTACTCTGACTGAAGTGATCTACGTGGAACTGTCACTGGACTCCTTCTTCTCTACTGTCAGCGCATTCCATATCAAGGTGGTCGAGAAAATACAGAAAAAAGTATCCCCTCGCTAATCCACGGTTCAAATGTGACCCGCTTCTTGTCATTGAAGACTCAACGGTTGTAATAGTTGCGCCATAACATTCACCAAAGCAAGCAACCACTGGACAAAGGCTGAGATACCTACATCCGGCAGCTGCACAGCCATGGTCTTCTTGACATCCGTTCGAATAGCCTGAATGTATAAAAGGCGCCTTTCCAAAGCTTCAATCTCTTGCTGCTTCCTGATGATATCCTCAAGCATTGATTCTTTGTCTTGCAGCTGACGAACATGCTCCTAAATACAAAACACAAAGTCACGGAAAGAAAATCATTGTTCATGCATAAGTACAGATTCACGTGAAGACTAAAGTGCTCAAAAGAATGATGCAACACAAGCTGGTGAAGCTACTAGCCAGGGTAGTGGGCAGGCAGCAACCAGATACGGAATGCAGTGTACTATCTAGGCCAAAGAAATTGGACCACATGTAGTATATGCTCGGGTTCCAGACCAACCAATGGCGTTCCAACAAACAGCCGGCAGGCTATCAGCTGTACCCACAACTGTCTATTTCCCTGCTACCTCACGCCGACACACTCTTTTCACACAGTGACTGCTTCATCACTTTGTCTTTGCACAACCTCTAAGGGACCAGCAGAGGCAGGAAAATAGCTGCGGAGCAATCAAGGCCCAATCACTAGCCATGGAGTTGCAGGACTGCAGACATTTTTTTAATTCAGTAGAAATGAAGTTGCGAATGACCGAGGGTCCTCGACGTCTGTCTCACCGTCCAGGAGCGACACTGACTCACGCTGCTATCTGGTGTTCACGAGGTGTTTGTCGCGCTGGAAGCGGAGCGTCTCTGTAAGTTTGTATCCCTGGTGATGTTTGTGCCTGGAGAGCACTATATAAGTGGTGCTCTTCAGGCACAATCTTCCTCAGCCTACTCAAGCTCAACTGATGAGGGGTGAATTCCCCGAAACACTGTGTATTGAGCAGGGAGTGGTGCTTTCTTGCAGGTTTGCCGAGTCGAAGGTTCGATGGACTTCTCGTGTGCTCTGGATGGCAGTCGTGAGTCAGTCAAGTGTCAAGTAAAGTCGGCGGAATAGCGCGAGCTCCGGTGTGGGGAGCAAACCTTTCTTAGAAATGAAGTTTGTAATTTTAGGCAGGTTTCAGGATTCTGAAAATTCTTGGGGGTTTCAAGCTGGTAAGCCATATCCTTTGTAATAGAGAGGTTCCGGAGTACGATTTTTCGTACCAAAATCCGTAGAGGCGCTACGGATTTTTCATACGTCCCTTTTCGAGCAGTGAAATGTTCCGGAGTATGGAAATTACCAGTATATGTTTGCCGGCATTGCCTAGGTTACGATCGCAATCACGTCATATTCCCGCGCCATGCCTTTATATTTTGAAATTTTGTACCGAAATCAAAACTTCCCGCGGAAAATCGATGTTTCTCGTACCAAGTTTGTACTCGAAAAATCTTTCTGCACTTGATGACACAAAATCTCCATACGAAACATGGTTCATATGAAAGCCAGTCCACACAAATTCTCCATGCCGAAAAATCGTATGTCGCACGCCTTGAAAAAATCCGTAGCGCCCCTTCGGATTTTGGCACGGTAAATCGTACCCCGGAACCTCTCTAATGTTAAATGCCTGCATTGTGTAGAACACGTAAGCAGGCTACACTTCAAAGTTTGCGGAGTTTTCTACATTGATGTCATTGAAATCCCAGTACATGTATGAGCGTACAATGAAAGTCTCATGCAGGTTCACGCATCTAGGTTTCGAAATGCACACTGCATACTAGTACGTAGGATGCATCATCGTGCTGCTGCTGCACTTGATTGCTAAGTCCAATGGTCAGATTTCATTGGTGACCACTGAATTTAGACTGCACTATATTCATAATAATTGTACAAAAGTTCATATTCATATAAATTATCTCACCCCATTCACAGCTTCAGTAGCTGATGATGGCAATGATTCGACTTTTGATTCCATTGGCTTATCAACCATCTGACGAAAAACATAAACATACACATACTTGACAAGTGCACAGGTAAAGTAAAAAAAACTGGGAACAAACTTTACAGCATGGAGCTAAAAGCAGGAAAGAGGCAAGATAATACAGAAGAGATACCATCACCTGCATTCTTTAAAACGTACAGTTTGCATGAAACTCAATTAAAATGAGTTTTCCGCATCGGTAGGAGCGCCACCACCCTCAAGGATCAAGACATCACCTGCATTACATGTTAGGCAATTCTTGAAACTCATCCCAGTCAGTGGTACTAAGAGAGAGAGAGAGAGAGAGAGAGAGAGAGAGAGAGAGAGAGAGAGAGAGAGAGAGAGAGAGAGAGAGAGAGAGAGAGAGAGAGAGAGAGAGAGAGAGAGAGAGAGAGAGAGAGAGAGAGAGAGAGAGAGAATGGTGGATAAAACAGCTTACATCAGTAAAGTCCATCTTCTTTCTGACATGCAACAGCCTGTCCCGCTCACGCAGTGGAGTGCTCTCAGTGATACGCCGTGGCACTGTGTGTGCCCGCCGAGGAGCAGATGCAGGCTCCTGCAGTCCGAGAGCAGCTGCACGGTACACGCTGGCTGTTGCAGGCATTTGAAGTGGGCTTCCATGCTCGTCGTGCAGCTGCGGCCAGGGCTGTACAACTTCAGGACTTTGGGAGTGGCCAGTGCGTCCTCCTGTTTTAGACTTGCTCTTCTTCTGTGGAGTGGAGCTCCGTGGTTGACTCTGGTGTTTGGAATAGATCAAAATACAGTATTATCAGTCATCATCATAATTGTGCTGCGATATACAGATTGCACAAGAAAACAGACAGGATAGAGTCACAATTGACACCACCTGATCACTCACACGTGCGACACTGAACACAGCTCACCTGTACGTTTTAAAACGATACCTGGCATAGACACCACTGGTCCTATTGCCAGTATTGGTAGGACCTACTGGTAGGACAGTCATACACAGACATGCTGCACAATCTGCATTCTAACATTCACCTAAGACTTTACCCTAAACTGTTGCCAAGGGACTGACGAAAGAGTCCACAAATTGTAGAGGTGATTCTACAAGGCATGTTACTAATTATTACGAATTCCATGGCAACAGCGGAAGTGGAGAATGGAATTTCGCACTCCACCATCATGGCAAACTTAGAAAGACCATAAGTCCTAATCGTGATCCATATGCCATTGTCAATATTCACATTCGACATAGTTGCAAGCACTCCGACCATAGCATTTGCGGCCATTTTCACTATTGTTTAAATTGCACATATATGCAATGCCCAGGACATGGTCATTCATTTGTGCAAAGCGATATCTTAGGTCCTACCAGTAGGACGGCATGCAGCTATCACTTATCAATTACCAGTACATGTACTAGCACTAGCTGCAGTATCAATCACTTGCATGTACATGCCTGCTAAGAAGTGCTATCATGCTTACCAGCAACATTTCATACACACACACACACACACACACACACACACACACACACACACACACACACGAACAGATACCATTCTCTGACCCCGTACTTCAGTATTCCACAAAATATGCATAGTGAGGTATCAGTTGCTCTTTAAAAAAATACTAACAAAGGTAGGAGCCACAGGCATTTCTTGGATCAAAAGTGACAGAAAGTTGTACAACGTCACCAAATCAAGCTGATTACTAGTCACAACTCATGAGCAGCACGGTGTACTATTCAGTGTTTCCGTACATATAGCAGGTACGCATGACATGTATTATTTCTATTTCACTTGGTATGTTGACAGAGCAGAGCAGGCTGTATGCTGCGCAGGAAAGTTAACCTTTTGAGGTGTAACAATTGTGCTCGACCTCGTGACAATAAAAAGATCGGTGACACTAGCCATGTATTTCACACACACGCACGCACGCACGCACACACACACACACACTCGTACTCCTACCCATCGCCGAAGCGATGATAGCGAACAAGCTATGTTAGAAATAGAAACTTGACACACACACACACACACACACACACACACACACACACACACACACACACCTTGAACGTGCCCATTGCCGATGGCAAAGATAGCGAAGGGACTATCTGCTAGCTTTGCAGTACGGAGCGTGGCGCTTGAGATCCCCGGGACGACGGCAGACCTTTCCACATGCGCAGCGAAAGCCAGAGCACGGGCGGGAGGACGACGGTGAGCAATCTGCCTCCAGGCAGAGCGATCTTGGGCAGCAGCAAACCAGCAGTCAGAAGGTACATGGGGGTTGATGGAGCGGAGATCATCTACGATGACATCACGCCAACTGCTTGCGTGGACCATGGCGAGGACGCGCTGCAGGGAGCTTCCCAAACAAAACTCGCTTCGGCATACGGTCGTCGGTCATCCGGCCAACATGCCCAAGCCAACGCAGTCGATACTCTCGGATGATGTCCGCGACATCGCAGTCAATGCCGAGGGTTCTGGCAATGTAATGATAATGGAGGTGACGCGGCTGTCCCACTGGTCCCGTCTGGAGATGCCAATGATGATGCGGACACACTGGTGACGAAAAGTGTTGAGACAGCGCAGGTCTGGTGCCTTCGGCGTCCACGTCTCTGGTCCGTACAGGAGGGTCGTCAGCACAAGGGCGATGTATACGCGGCGCCGACAGCGGAGAGGTAACGACCGATTCTCAAACACCGGGACACGGGAGACTGCCGAACACACGCGAAGCCTTGCCGAGACGGGACTGAACATAATGCGAAGACTGCTCATCCCGATGGATGACGCTGCCAAGGTGCGTAAAACTGCCTAAGACCAAGTGCATGACTGTCAATTCGCCAATGAATGAGCCGGTGTCTCTTGGTGACAGTACCATCGAGGCCGTTGACAGTTTTACGTACCTTGGCACACACACACGTACACACACGTACACACACGTGCATGCCTCCGCCAGATCCCTGAAAGAATACTACCGGTAGTAGATGTTTATCTCAATACACAGCGTGCAGCTTACAGTTTTGCTAGCCATGCTTGTAGTAGTACCTGTTCCACAATAGAACAGCGACTATCTTGTCAACATGGAGCCTGGATTTCGGCAACACATGGGAACAACACCACAATGATACACAACACAATGTCATATTCATTGTCCTGCCCAATCAACAAAATACATGCACCAGCATCATTATAATTTACTCATACAATGTGCTTGTATCTCCTGCCACACACACACACACACACACACACACACGCGCGCACGCACACACACACACACACACACACACGTGCACATGCACGCACACACACAAACATGCACACACACACACACGTACACGTACACACACATGCACGCGCACCTAATATACATGTATCCAAACACATGCACAAAACACACACGCACGCACGCAAACTTGTACACACACACCATGTACACACACACACACGCGCGCGCGCGCGCGTGCACACGCACACACGCACGCATGCGCACGCACACACACATATGCTGTACACAGCAAGAAATGAATCTGAAAAACAAAATCATAGCAGGGTACAGGACTTTTAAAAGTTTCACTTTGCAACTACATGACATGATTATGTACATGACTGTATGTACTACATTTTAGTACGGGTTCCGCGTTGTTTCACGGGCTGCACCACATACTAAATACTACAAACATTCACAGACGATGAAATGATGGAAACAACCCACTATACAATTACCAACGGTTGCAAAATATACAGAAAACACGCATTACTACATGTACACTTGCAGATTACAGCTTCTTCTTTTTTTATTTACCTGCTAAAGGCCACTGCAACAGTCCACCTCTACAGAAACACCAGTATAAGTCCTTGGTAAATTTATTATTGTAGTGCGACTGTGGCTGATTACAAGCTACTGCCAATACTATACTCTACTAGGCACAAGCTCTGGTGGTAGGAAATAATAATTGCGTTTTGATTTTTGTCGATCGTAGACTATCATTCTATTCGTGTCAGCTCAGAGTCAGGCTCAGTTGCACTTGCATGTGTTGTGAACTGTTACTTGTGTGCACCCACGTAGACTCTACTGACGTGCCCTTTTTCATAAAGAGCGCCAAAGTTGACAAGCTGGCGACGCCAGAGCTAGCGTCCTTCATGACGTCAACAACTCGTTGCTAAGTAGTGGTTGTCAGGAGCCTGCACTCGAGTCATATCTCAGCTGCGGGGCCCGGGGAGCCGGAGCATGCATGCAGTGCATGCAGTGTTTGTAGTATCGCTGCTCGCTGCGCGCAGTGCTGTTTTTTTTTCAGCCTGCGGGCCGAGCGGGGTAAAACCAGGTCCGGTTGGTAGATATCTACGTGCACGTACTTGTGCATAATTATGCATATGCATGCTAAAGCATGACTCCATGAACACCTTGTTTGGAGTGTCCCTGCCGAAGACCTGAGGAAAGGGCAGTCCACCGGACGACGTCAGACATATTGGACCAGTACCAAGGGTAAGGATCCGATTGGCCAATGAGCGACAGTAGAGCAGCAATCAAACTTTCCATCAAGTGTTCCGGGCCGCGAATCGTGGAGTTGCGAAGTCGTTCTTGATGTTCAGTGATTTCTTGATCTCTTTTACAGAGTTCTTTCTTCTCCAAATTTCTAATCGTTCTTGGAAGCTGGCTGCTTCGTTACATTCTCATCATGCCTGTCTCAAGAGATAATGACCGCATCAAAGCGTTCAAGAACAAGGGGAAAGATCAGGAGGTAGGACAACTTCACCTTGCTCTTACGCGTGCAGATGGATATTCACCTAGAACGTGTGTGCTTCTTCGCTTTGGATTGTTTTAGGAAATGCGGCGTCGTCGAAATGACATGCAGGTCGAGTTGAGAAAGGTTCGTATTAGTGTTTTTTCTTCCATTTGGCTCTATTGATTACCTTCATTTTCATTGATCGTATAATTTGAAATTGCAATCTTGCAGTTTCACTTTTCGGCAATTCATGTATTTTCTGCGGTTGATTCTGCATTTTTTTGCTCTCCAGGCTAAACGCGAAGAGCAGATGTTGAAGAGGAGGAATATTGCAGCCCCACCTGGTGAAAATTCTGCTTCTGGGCCAGTTAAGGTATGTAGAATTGTGTATCCTGTAACTGAGTCTGTCAATAGATCAATAACTAGAATTTGCTAGTCGTTGTGTGTGGTAATCGTCAGTGTCAGTATCATTAACGTCTTATGTCGTGTAGATTTGCTCGGACTCTTCATCTCCGAGTTTAATTTTTCTGTGTGCGATCAAGCTGCTGAACGTTTGTAACACTGTTGCATTTACAGTTTTGTCAACGTGCTTGATGTTTTTCTACCAATGAATGGGCGTGGTGGTTACACTGATCTATTTGTGTGACAGCAGTTAATAGTTAATTTTTGCCTGCTGAGTGTGTTTTGCGTTCATTAGAATAAATGGTTTCTTCTGCTGTGTGTACTAGATGATTTCCCCTTTAAGGTTAGGTTGTTTGTTGTAGCTCTGTTACGAGTCAAGGAGTTAATGTCAGTTGATGTCCGGACTGCTAATACAAACAGCAATACGAGACATTTCATCTAGAACACTAATGGCCTGGCTTTGCCACACCAAACACATGTTACTTGGACAGTTATACTTTCCTTCTGTACACACAAGAAGAAGGAAATGTCTGGACCGGTTCTATTTTTGAATGTTTTGCAGCAGTAAGACTTTTGGATACAATTGTGTTGAGAAACACAACCAAGTAGTGTAATGGGGTTAAATTAAAGGAATGGCTATCGTGTAATGTACCAAGCACGTAGCTCACATGGGGGGGGGGGGTACATGCCCGCCCTCCCCCTTTATATTTTGACCTCGGTTACGCACGCACATAATGACCAAGAATGACATGCACCAGTCGTACCACACGTACATTGTATGCGGCCGTGCACCCCATCCCCCTAAAAAGGGTACCAGCTACGCCCCTGTGTACCGTATATGTTTGAGGGAGTTGAAAACGAGACAAGTCTGAAGAAAAGCATTTGCGTTGCTTGGCTACATGGTCCACGGCGCTTGGTACCACCGTACAGAGTCCTGATTTCTTTGGAGAGGACTGCATGTGAGTCTGTCAGAAGACGGAGATGTGTCAGCTGATCCTCGATATATGTTGCCTTGTGATGGTGAACAACGTGAAATTCTGAGTTGCCGCCTGTCTTCCTCTCATTGCTATGTGATCCTCAACAGAAATATGGCATTGTTGAGGAAATAACTGACTTTGTGTACAACTCCTTTGATTTTGTGTGTGTGTTTGTGTCTGTGCGTATGCTTTTAGACTGATATGAAAATCCCAGAGCTTGTCGAGGTAAGCAATTGTGCTCAGCCCATTTTTCACTATTTTTTTTGCAATGGATGTCCAATGCAATCTCCTGATGGCTTCCTGTCCATAGCATCTTATTGGTACTGCAATGGTACTTTTTATGAGGACATAGTTGATAAGTCGGCAAGGAGACAATAATCCTATAATCAACCATGAGGGTTAGATTACAACGCATCTATTTTTATGGTGCAATCAAATGAATAATATTGGATCTGAAACTAATACGAGAAACACTGGTATCATAGAATTAGCACTTTAGAAAGTGTGTTTACAAAGCAAGCAGTATTAGAGCATGTGTGGAGTGGAGAGCGGGTGTGAGTACCTGTAAATCTGCTGTCTTCAATCATTTGGTGTCCAACCCCCAATGTTTGCAGTTGTATGCTGATTCGTGCTTCAGTATGGTGTGCTATGCAAGTAGTTACCGTCTACTTTCCTTATAAGAAGCCATGTTTATTCGTACTCGCAACCCAGATTTATGCAGACAGAAGGAATTTGTTACAGTACTCACCCTCTTTACTTGACATACCAACACCCACATACTCACTCACATACCTGTAACTTTCTCTTTTGCACCCGCTCTCCGCTCCACGCATGCTCTAATACTGCTCGCTTTGCAATCACGCCTTTTATAGTGCTAATTCTAGGACACCAGTGTTCTCGTATTAGTTTTAGATCCAATATTATTCACTTGATAGTACAGTCAGACCTCGCTTAACCGCACACATCCGTTTTCCCAACAAAAAATATCCGTATACGCTAGGGAACCGGATAGCCGAACACCGGTTATGTTGGATGCATCACACATGCTGTAAATCTGCAACCAGCATTTTCTTCCGAATGGCGAGGGGTTCGGATAGGCGAGGTCTGACTGTACCATAAAAATAGATGCTTTGTAGTCTAACCCTCATTGTGACCAAGATTTCTGAGGACATAGTTGTACTTTGAATTTCATTTGCCTTCTTCCGTTACACTGCTTGTCCTTGCCGGATCTAGAGACCAGCCATGAATGTAGGGTAATCTGGTGATTTCTTGTTACACTATGCAGCATGTGCTTGATGTGGATTTCATCTTGTTTTATGATTCTTTCCTTAGAATATTCATTCAAATGATCCTCACCTTCGCCTGATGGCAACAACTGCAGCGAGGTATGTTACTAACTTCTGTCTATGGCAGCATCTTGGTCAATGCTGTTGCCTGTTCTTGAAGAAGCCATAAGTATATTACGACTGAAGACTGACTCACCAGCTTTACTTTGCGTTTTTTGCAACCCACGAATGTCATTAATAGAGGCTATCATGTTAATTTCTCCTGTACCACTTACATGTACTTGTGTTGGCATTTTTTTACCTGAAATAGATCTCTTGTAACTGACCAGAGTCCTCTTGTCGATGAAGTCATTGCGTAAGTTGTTGCCTCTTTATCACTATGGTGATGTGCTGTTCTTGTTGTAAATCGACTCTGGTTCATGGACAGGTACTGCAGTATCATGCTGTGATGCAGTAAATGTGTGCGACTCGTCATCTCTGCAATGCACTTCTGGTGTGGCTTATTTTTTTCTCAATTTCATTGAATCTGTCTGACTCTGCATCCCATCTCTTTGAACAGCAAAAGCAGTGGTGCCCCTACAGTTGCTGGGGTCAATATTATTGAAACCTTTTTTCAAGTTTTTTGTTCATGTGCATTGCTCAACGCAGCATAATTATACAGTTCCACAAATGTATGACAGGAAATAGAAGCCTTCTCAATCCAGTATGCTATTGAAATCTTGTGAACATGTCTCAGCCCACCTGCCAACATCCTTTCGTCTCATTGATGGAATTTTATATGTAGTGCACAGTGGTTTACTTCTATGTTGATTGTAAATTACAAAAAATGCACTTCAATTTTCTTCCATGTCTTGTCTATCTGTCACAGTGCTGGTCTCCTTCCAAAGTTTGTCGAGTTCCTGAGCTGTGTAGACCAGTAAGTTGCACATTGGACATGTTTCAATGCAGTGTGTGTTTCATGCTGCGGCAAGTTGTGCTTGTGGAGAGCATATTGATGCATGCGTTCATGTGTCCATCGGGGCTGCCTACCAATGCACACAAATGGCCCCCTTGCTGTCATCGGGTATTTCTGCCAGTAGAAACATTCTGCAAAAGTTCTCAGAAATCATTGTGGTACCAGCCGTGAAACTTCTGAGGATAAAAGTTATCTAGGATATAGACTTATCAGTATAAAGATATTCACAAAACTATCTAGCAGTTGTTAGTCACCATGTGCTATTGCTGCAGGTGAGTATGTGAAGATTTATTTCACCTGCAAGGCCTGTTTCTTGTTCAGAACTGGGAAAGTTTGCGCAGACTTTTGTGACTTCTGTCATGCAGAACCTGTAGTGTGTAATTCCACTAGGTGTGCCCCCCTCTCTCTCTCTTCCAGTGGGCCATTCTAGGTGTTTAACAGTATATCAGCACCTGTATTCTAGCTAGCGTGAACCATGTTAGTAGAGGTGTTAACACTTTGTCCCCCTATACGCCATACTTGAGTGCTACTCAACTATTTTGCCAACTTTTTACAGCACCTTTTTAGTTCATGGTCAGTCTACTGCAGCACAGCTCTGTGTATTTTGTGCTAAATGTGGAACTGCTGTTATGATCTGGTATTGCTGCTTTTGGGTGACAGGTTTAGCATTGCGGCCTTACAGATTCTCTTCTAGATCAATTCCTCGCTTCAGTGGTAGCTGGTTGTTTTGTATCCCGTGGCTTGGCTATAGCTCAGTTAGTAATAGATTATAGTTGATTCTGTTTCTTGTTGTGCTGTGGGAGAGCTATGTACATTTCTTTGTTGTGGGCCTATGGTGTTATCCCTCCCTGATTTGTGTGTGTGTGTGTGTGTTGGCTGTTCCTGGTAGCCCTGAACTTCAGTTTGAATCAGCTTGGACAATTACTAATGTAGCATCGGGTACTCGGCCACAGACGCAAGCTGTTGTGCAGGCTGGTGCTGTCCCTATCTTGGTCAGACTCTTGACATCAACGGATCCTCGTCTGTGCGAGCAAGCTGCTTGGGCTCTTGGAAACATCTCTGGTACGTTTCTTCTTCTGTTGAGGCATCATAAACCGTACATGTAACGTTGTTGCCAGGTCATTTATTGTATCATAATTAGCTCTGTTTAGTGCTATACTGGCTTTGCATATGCCCTGTCCTGATATCATGTTGTACACCTTGTCTTTGTTTGCTCTCTGGTAGGTGATGGCCCTGAGCTGCGAGACTTTGTCATCCGCAATGGTATTGTTCCACCTTTGATTTCGCTTATTCGTCCCGATATTCCGGTGAGTGTCTTCTTTCCCTCGATATTGTGCACATTACCTTTTCACAGGTTTCTTTGTTACTTATTGTCTTCAGGTGATGTACAGGTACTGCTACCTGGGTACCATTCCGTTTTATGTAGGAATCTTGTAGGCAGCATCCTGGCTATTGGGGCAGCACGTAAGCGTATACCATGATTGTGTTCATTGTTATCCAAATATCTGAATTATGCTTTCTCAGCTGGATCACCTGCGTACACTGGCCTGGTGTTTGGCCAATGTCTGCCGTCATCGCAATCCTGTACCTCCTATGGAAATCATTCTTCAGGTGAGGACCACTAGTAGTAGACAATGTATCCATTTTCCTTCTGGGGTTTTTTCCACTCCATGTCTGCGTACAGTGTGCGGTCTTTGTTCTTCAGTTATGGATATTCAACCTCGTTCCATTGCTAACTTGTGTGCATGTTGATGTCTGTATGTCTTGTCTATGCTGTCATAGGTTCTGCCCTCCATGAGTCAACTGCTCTACCACACTGACAAACATGTAAGCGATTGCACCTACAGTTTCACCAGTGCTTGTTTGTTGCAGTGTAGCAAGCTGACTGCTGACTAGGAGTGCTAGTTGGTTCAGTGTTACAGTGTAGCAAGCTGATTGCTGACTACTGCTTGTTGTCATGCTGTTGCATTGTCTTTGTCCTGCTTTGCCCTTTGTTCTGTATATTGATTTATTGTGCTTTTGTCTGTTCCAAATTTCCACCACTGGTCATGCTCAATATTTAGCATGTCTACCACTGGCAAATATAGGAGTGTAAGTAACAATCTTATCTATAAACTGACCCCTATTAACTGAATGTAAATATTGGATTTTTTCGAAGCGGTTTTGTTTTACTTGTTTCTCTACTACTCAGGTTGTGGCTGAAATTACTTGGGCTTTTGTGTATGTCACGGATGGCAGTGATGAACGTATTGAGGTAAGATGCGTTGTCATGAGCTTAGTGTACTCAAAGAATGCACGCATGCGTGTCGATGTGCCTCCGCTCACTGTTAGCTTTCTCCACCGTAGCACGGAATTTCAGTCTGGAAGTAATGCCTGCCCTCTTGGGAATCAATGGACAACCATCTATATTTTCTGGTGCAGATTGATCGATTGAGTTCCAAAGGGCCGACGCTCTTGCAGTCTGTGTTCTACTTTTGTACGCCGTCTTATGCCAACTTCATTCTCATGTGTGTATTTTTTGTTGTCAGGCTGTGGTTGCTGCTGGAGTTCTTCCCCGTCTTGTCGTGATGTTGACTGCAAGCGATCCAAGTCTTCTGGTACGTTCCTTTCTACACTTTTCTGCTTTGTGCTTGACCGTGTTGTGAGTTGTCGGTCATGTAATTTGAATGCTTCTTCAAAATGTAATCCTCAGCTACCAGGATGATAGCTGGGATTTTTGCCTAACCGTTCATCAGCCCGTATGGAATGGTATGTTAGACATAGGCAATATGTTGATTATGTGCTTGCATGCGAAACCAACATATGGCAGTCCAACAAACTCGACTGCCGGTTTATCACTTGGGTCGGTGCTATTTTCCTGGCTAAATAAAAGTGTGTGTGCTGAGTTAGTGGCAAGGCCATGCTGACATCCTTCTGCTTTGCTCCTTTGTCTGCACTCTTGCATCATCGTGTTCTATTCATACTTTGAAGTTTCGTACAGCCTACTTGGATTCCATTGTTTCATTGATGTTACGTGTTTGTCTGTGTGCGTGCCTGTGTGTGCAGATTGCTGCTGTGAGAGCTGTTGGCAACATTGTGTCAGGTACTGACACTCAAACACAGGTAGGTGCTAGGAAGCATGCTTTGCTTTCCCCGGCTTTCTTCTTACTGAGACTGTTGAGCACCTGCTATAATGTGTGCATGTGCAGTTGCTATATCTATTTTATCCTTGTTCTAGGCATAACTTCTCCTTCTCCTTATGGATTTCCAATTTTCCACCATCTTGGGCTTCCTGAAAAGCTGTTCCTTAGTGAAGTACATTGACTACAAACTCAACATCATTGACGTCACACATCCATAGCGGAATATCCATGTACAAGCAGACTCCCTCTATGCCAGCCATTCACTCTTCTTCACCTTTGCCCGGATGTAGGCCGTCGTGCAGGAAATGTGCCTGGATAAATTGGCGTGCCAGGAGAGGGTTAGTCTCTTTCTTGAGGCATGCCACTGAGAGAAAAAAGTTTGACCGGGACTGTTTTATTGGAATGCTGGGCTCTTCAGCTTCTTCCTAGGTATTTCGATGGTGAAATTCCACCAGGGATCCGAATGAGTTGCGATGTTTTGTGCATGAAAATCCCATCAGTCGATTTTTATTTGATCTGGTACTAAAGACTCGTAAAGAGTTAATCTATCAAGCTGCTTCCGGATATTGCAGTGCCGCTTTGTCCTGCAGGCGTTTTTTTGTTGTTGTGTTCTTATATTTGTTTTGTCTGTGTCTCTTCTGTATTCTTTGTAGGCTGTCATTGAAGCTGGAGCATTGAATTACTTTGCAACATTGGCCATGAGTGATGATAAGAAAATTCAGAAGGTATTTTCAATTATATCAGTGCTACTTGCTGCATTGCATGTTTATGGATAATTTGTTATGCCATTTTAGAACTACAGTGCGTTTCAAAAAAATAGACGCGTGATTTCAAAAAAACGTCAGGCCAGCATCTATACCACATAACATCTGTGATCACTTTGTGCATAAAAATTTCGAAATTACTTCCTCCGCGTCATCGAAATTGTCGCAGTTTGACTTTTGATGTAAAACGCGGTATTTACTCACCAGCACTCGTACCAGAGGCAAGGAATCGGACATAGGCGATAGTCATCAGTATAGGGTGACGGCAAAGTTCTATTTTCTGTTATTGGAAGCTTGAATTTTTGAACTAGACGCAATTTCTTCGCTGATGTCGCTGCGCTGGTAATTTCGACTCGCTGAGATCAGTCAGGCGTTCCAGCCTGCACATTTCTCGTGCTTATGGCCATTCACTCAAGCCCCATCACTGTTCTACCTTAGCTGGGGTGGGAATGACTTCGTGGAACAAGTGGCAGCGCTTGGAGAAAGATCGAGGGGTCGGCAAACTAAATGCCTGCAACAGCGATAAAATGTGTCGCTCTGGCTGAGACACTCAGTACTAGTACATGATTGTACCTGCAAGAGCCGTGTAGACTCTACACGTAGTGCTAGTGATGCACGCGCAGGTGCCGCACCATGGTATACCAGTGATGCTGAAAAATAGGGCGCGCTGGTCCTGATACTACACTTACCTGCATGAGCTGTGGGCATGCCACGGCTAAAAAAAGTTCATTTCAAGATCGAGGTGATTCCGAGGTGATTCCGCCGACGGTAATCAACCGACCTCGCAACGATCGTGTATTCTTACTAGGCTTCGTTGGTGGTGAAGTAGAAATCATCCAGAGCTAGCAGACAACAAGCATAGCAGCTCTTGTCCTGTGGAAAAAGTCAAAGCGTTTGAGATGAGGCACGACCAACTTTCAACCTTCCTTGAAATATTTCGGAACGATATTTTTGCGTCCATTAACATCAGTGACAAGGAGGAATTCATCTCTGCATGAAAACTCTCAGTCCAATTGTCCTGGAACGTTACTCTAGTCTTCAGACTATCATACTGCGTAATAAGTTTTGAATGGCTTAGTTTATGGAGTTGTCAGTAACAAAAGACAAGTCACTAGTCATACGGCGACAATTTCGATGACGCGGAGGAAGTAGGTGTTTGCTATCCGATCGCTTAAAAATCTATATTATGAGAGAAATTGTGGGAAGGACCTCAGCAATATTCCGAAATAATTCCAAGAATGGGTGGGTCCACTTTTTATTTGGATTCCTGCTGCATTTGTCACTTCTTCAAGCTGGCAGCATACCAACTGCTTGACTCGTAATCTGTTCTCCAAATTTCTTCACGCTTCACAGGAGGTAGCGTGGACGATATCCAACATCACGGCCGGAACTCAGCCACAGATTCAGGTATGTGTACTTTTTTTTGGATGCCTCCGTTTTCACAGCTCCTTTGGTCTTCGTTCGTTTTTGTTTACCTGGTGGAGTAGAAAGCCTGGTTCACACTAGACCGGGGATTTTTCAGTTGACATGGAGTTATATAAAAATTGTCAAGATCGGCGCGAAAATCGCCTATTGTGAACTGAGTCGTCGTACAGGTTTTCGACAGGTTTAGGTCGATTCTCTTGTCGTACTTTTGGCCAAGTATCGACTGGTTAAAATAGTAGTGCCGATATTTGTTTATTTACAGTGCGGTCCTGGTGTGTTTTCGCCTGGTGTCCGTCTTACATTTTTGCAAATATATTCCTGTCATTCATGACCCAAAGTTCCCAGCAAATCTTCACCGAATATATCTGCTTGTTGGGTTGCTTGGGGATTTTATCGGGACTCACTGTGAAATTTCCTGGTATTTTATCCGCATTTATCAAGCCTCTTTTTAGCAGTGATTTTGTAGTCTTAGTTTGCAGTGATTTTAGGGTTTGACAATTCTGCTCTTGTTTTTTGTCTTCCTTCTTCAGTGTGTCATTGATGCTGGCCTTGTACCACCCTTGATTAGTATGTTGGAACGAGTAAGTCACAAATGTACTGTGTGTGTGCTTGTGTACATACATGTGTACTGAGCACCATGTATTGTTTTAGCAGCAGCCTCTTTTCTATCTTATTTGTCTGAGTTTGTAACAAGCTGCATTCTCCTCTTTGTGAGTTTGTTCCTTTTGCTCTCTTGTTTTTTGCTTGTACAGAATGATTACAAGGTTCAACGTGAGGCGGCATGGGCTGTTACTAATCTCACTGCTGGTGGAACTAAGACACAGACAATGACCTTGGTCAATCACGGTGTGATTGAGCCTTTCTGCAAGCTACTCTCCATCCAAGATGCTAAGGTACAGTATTAGAGTAACGCCTATTAGGCTGTCATCATACTACCGTACCAAGCGCTGTGTCTTCGTTCGCGTAAGGAGTTTTTTGGTCGGTTGTCATGATGATCTATGTACGGTGTAAAAACTGGGGCAGAAGAAATGGGAAACGTAGACGTGGTAGGGAGAGGTGGGGGGGGGGGGGGGGGAACAACTCTTTGGATGAACATGCGTATTTCCCCAGTCTAATCCAAGCGACCTTGTATGTGCGTTTTAATCTTCCAATTTTTACAAGAACGTGACTGTGTGCACGGGTCAAGAACTGTGCCTGTTTGATGGCACGACCGCCCGTTTTGGATCTTTCACCATAGACGTAAACGGGAGTCAGAGAACGTAGTGTGATGCCGGCCCTAGAGGACAGCTGTAACTTATTCCAACCCTGTAACCTTACCTTGCTGTATGCTAGATGTACAGTATGTACTTGTGTTGACATCGTGAAGCTAATGAAAACCCCAATGTATAATGATGGTGCATGTGTAAGGGGCATGGACTGATTGTCATTGGTATTATCTATAATTTCTGCATTGTTTGAGTCTTTGGTGGCCTGGTATGTCGTATTGTGTGGGTGTACATGTGTTTTGTTCTCTGGGATTAGATCTATACCCTCTCGTTGTTCTGTTTCACCACTTGCATTTGTATTGTATGGATGCTTTCTCTGTCACTGGCTAGGTTATCGTCGTGCTTCTTGGTGGTCTTGGCCAGATATTGGAGGTGAGTACATACTGTATACGTTTAGCACTGCACTGTCCCTTCGCTTGCCATATCACATACTGTCTTGTTCTTTTCTATCGAGTACTGCTGGCTATGCTCACTGCTCTTTGCACCAGTTAGCCAGTTTTGTATAGTGATTGAGGGTTGTGTGTGTGCACGTGTGCTTGCATGTGTGTGTGTGTGTGCACGTGTGTGTGTGTGTGTGTGCAACTGTGTGCAGCTGTGTTCAACTATGTTCAATTGTGTTCAATTGTGTCTGTGTTCTAGGCTGCTGCCCAGTTTAACCGAGTTGAAGAAGTTGCACTAATGATTGAAGAAGCCGGTGGTGAGTCTTTCTTTTGGATTGGTCTGTTCATCTTGTGTCTTTTATTTTGTTGTCATGTTTATCCTGAGCTGTATGATCATCTTGACTTCCACTACTTCCAGTACAGAGTGGCGACTCTGAATTGAATCGAGAAACCCTAACTCATTTCGTCACTAATTCACCTGTGTTGCTTTGTCCGTGGTGTCAACTTGCAGGTGTTGACCGTATTGAGGAGCTTCAGGATCACCCCAATAAGGCAGTTGCACATGTGGCCTTCCACCTTATCTGCCGCTACTTCAGCGAAGGCGATGCTGTAAGTATCTTCTACTCGCCACCTACCAATAAGTACAGAACTCATGCGTAGCACGCACACATTCATACGCGCGCACACACAGTCTAGTAGGTTTACAACTAGGGAAAGAAATACTGTATGTCTGAGTGTGATTGATATCATACAGGGTTATAACATGATTATGTTCTCGTTGCTTCTCAACATGCGCATATTGTGAACCGTGTAATACAGTATTTTGTCCTATAAGTTGCTATGTCAGTCTTGTGTTTTGTCAGTGCAATACTCCCAGAGGTTAATAAGTATAACTCGATAACATTGCCAGAAAAACTCTAGTGCTAACAGAGTGAACTGCCTTCTGCATAGGCAGCACCAGTATCTGTTATGAATCTTATGGTCGGATTTCCTCGTGATTTGCGGCAACTGACTGTATCAATCGGCTGTTTTCATGTTCTTTAATATTGCTGTCTGTTAGTAGCGAGGTCAGCTTTGTACAAGTGCTCGTGTGCCATTATTGATGCTTCTCGCCAGCTTTCTGGGTGTTTTTTTTTGTAATAAATATTCAACCAAGCTAAAGGGTTTTGTAATTGTATGGATTCCACACTTGTGCTTTGTGTGTGTTGTCCTTTGCACAGTCTGCTGAAACAGCCAATCTTAATCCACAGGCTGGTGAGGGTGGCTTCCAATTCGGTGCGGCTGGAGCAGCTGCTGGAGCGCCCAATGCTGGTGGCTTCAACTTCTAAGTCCTTCTCTCCTTTCACTTCCTCTTCTTCACGCTATCCTTCTGGGTTTCTATTGTTTTGAGTATCCTAGCAGGTTGGTGGTGCTGCTGTTCTCTTCTCTCTTTCTCTGTCTCTCTCTTCTGTATCTCTTCTATTCTTCCCTTCTTGGGGTTGAGTGAGTGGATTCTTCCTCTCCCTTTCGTTTCCTCTGCTTGTTTCTCCAAGCTTATGTAGTTGTGAATGGTGACGCAACGGTAGAAATAATGCAGGTGTAATCTAGTCCACAGCTGTGCTGCTGTGCAGTGCTGAGGCTGCTGGCTCACTCCTCATCACTTTCTGTGTTTTTACTACTTTCTTTGCCACGTTCGCTTTTTCTGTTCTGTCCCGTGTCCTCGCACGATATTACCCAAGACTATTGTCACCCAGGAACACTAAACCTGTCCTTGTGTTGTTGTTGCTGTTTTCATCCCCGCCCTCAAGACGTTGACATTGTCATTCATTACTTGCACAAACGCTGGCATGAACATCAGGCACTCACTATAACCACATTTTTCATACTAGTTCTGTCTCAAATATCATCAATTCCACCATTCATCATCATTTGCTCTATAACTCCGCCATTAACTCTGCTACTGCCATACTCCTATGTCTTGTGTGTTGTCATGAAATGGTGCAATGGCAACCTGAGACTAATCTTTTTTTCATTTGTAAGTAATGAAATACATGACATTAACAGCTCCTTTTTTTCTTTCTTTTTTAATCATTTTAGTGCTCTCAGTTGTTTTTCTTGAGTCTTCACTTGCCATGCATGTCTGTAAGATACGATGTGTATGCCTCTCATTGGGTTTATGTATTATACCTTCGTTTTGTCCCCTTCGTCATCCTGTACAGCTTTTATGAGAGTCGCTGTCTCAGCTCTTCCTCTGTGTGTGTGTATGGCCCAGCATGGTGCACTGCAGGTGTGCGTGTGTATGTGCGCAGTGGGAGCTCTATCCCACATTGCATGACCAGTTTCTAGCCATGTGAATGCTGAATGCATGAGTTCATAAACTGCATGTGGAGCCAGTGCCTTGATGAGCATATTCTCACATGCAATATTGTATCCCCAAAGGAATGCACGATAGGCTTGACTGGCTTATACTCTTGGTGCTACGCGACTGTATCATGGTATGTTGATAAACAGCTATCATTACTTCCTAATTCTTCAAACCAAAATGCAATACATGACATGCACACATAAGTAGGACGTTCTAGCTGCCAAGTTTTGTGCATGTGGAGCCAGTGCCTTGATGAGCATATTCTCACATGCAATATTGTATCCCCAAAGGAATGCACGATAGGCTTGACTGGCTTATACTCTTGGTGCTACGCGACTGTATCATGGTATGTTGATAAACAGCTATCATTACTTCCTAATTCTTCAAACCAAAATGCAATACATGACATGCACACATAAGTAGGACGTTCTAGCTGCCAAGTTTTGTGCATGCATACATACACGCGCGCACAAGTGACAGCACTCCTGGCTAGTGAAAAATACCAACAGGATGGTGAACCCAGGGAGCCCTACACATACCATCAAGAGTATTATAACCCCAGGTTATATACTAAATAATAACTTCAATTATTAATAAGTCTCTTGATGCCATAATGTGTAGGGCGGCACTGGGTGAACCTTGATCCACTGCTCATAGCACAGTGTAGTGATGGCGTTGGCTAAAGTGATTTTTTTTAAGTGATAAAAAATACCAGATGCAATCCTCAAAGGCAAACTGAGGTAGACGTAGCCAAGTAGTCAATAAATGACAGTAAATTAAAGTTCTAAACTAGGCTAGCATACTAATTACTAAACCGAGGGCAGGGATAGGACTTTCAGGCAAGGAATGCGCTGCTGTTCTGCGCAAAGGAAAACGGATAGTGGTGCAGATACTTGGTAGCTTGAAATGCGATGTCTCTAAAAAGTCTGGCACAAGACAGAAATCCTGCATGTGTCTTATCTAAACACTGTGTAGTGATATGCAACAACTATGGTACCATGCCAGTAGGGAGACTATTCGAACTATGATACCATGGTACCGAGGGAGAATCGATTTGGAAGATAAACAATAGGCAAGACTTGAAGAAATGTGCCGTGTTTGGAATAGTCCCCATGAGAAGGTTCGGAAAGACTAATATTTTTTAAACAATAAACACAGCTCCAAAAAAGTGTACAACCTGCACTTTAACATCTGCAGACCAGTGAACCGAAAACATTATGGTAACAGCTCTAGTACATAAAGTAGGTTTTCAATATCGTCAAAAGCAGACAGCCAGTACAGCATGAAACGAAGATACCGACCGCAAGCTGCAGTACAGCCAACAGGCACTACAGTCAAAGCAATACGGTAGCCCGCCGTAGCTACTGTTGTCATGTGGCACACATTCAAGTAGGAGTGTTTTAATCAGCTAGCAATGATGCCATGAACTGTGTGCATTGGTCGCCGCCTCCGTGTGTACACTCCGTGGAGCAGCACCGCATTGCAACATGCTGCATCAGTCCCGTGTTACATGTTGTAAGCAACATAGATAGGATCTAGCTCATCCGCAAGGAAGCGGTCACGGAGGTGCATTCGCTGCTTCTCACCTCTTGTGTTCATTGGAATAGAGCCAGGGTCGACGACCACCACAATGCCGACAACGACTTGATGATCTTCAAGAACAGCACTGGTGACAACTGGCACAACGTTGAGAGCCTCTGTTTCAGGTGCTGACAGCTCCACCACCACTACAAGTAGCTTGGTCCAAGTGAAGACGGCACACTCGCCAATGGACTTGTGACACCGTACTGCTGTTGCTTCCAGATCAATGGGATGATAGCGATAGCCACGGATGGAGAGGGCTTCATCTAGGGCACCGACTAGGAACAGCGAGTCAAAACCAACCTCCCCGAGATTGGTTGAGCTTGAGCGATTGCTGCCTTCATGATGTCTGATGAAGCCCAGGAAGCCAGATCTGGCAAAGGTTTCACTCGCTGACCCTCCTGCTGACAGCTTAGCCCGGAAATGCTCAGTGGTGAGTTGGTCATTGACATCACTGGGCAGACCAAAGTAACCACTAGCATTATGACTGCTAGACACCCATAGCTCACCAATCTCATTCTGGAGGCACGGGGCACGCGTTTCCGGATTGACAACCACCACTCGCACACCCGGCAGGATCTTGCCGCATTCAAGCAGACTGAGAGAGTTTGGAGAGCCTCTCTCAAGTAGAGCAACACGATCTGTTCGCATGGCTCTGACATCCACGTACGCACTGCCTGGGTCTGGTTGCGATGCTCCTTGTGTGCACACACCAACATTGACCCGCGAGCCAAAGCTTGTGCTGACGGAGCGGGGTGATAACCCAAGCAGCTGGAAGAGCGTACAGAAAGCTGTTGTCAGCGCCGCTCTTGGACGTTCCTCCGCCACTACCACGCAGTTGCGCAGGCTGCTCAGGTCCACACCTTGCTTGTCACGCAGCTGTTCCAGCACAGGCGCTGTGCCCAGCTCTTTCATACACGTATCAATCACAGAGTAGGAGCAGAATGTGTCGCGGATCTTGTGCTGGCTAATGGCTTGTAGCCAGAGTGATGGATTGGTTTCAAGATCAGTGGGTGAGATGATTACCGCATGATGTCCCGAATAGACACCCGTCATACACCATAAAACCAAGCCAAGACCAGTGTAGGGATCGAGACACAGACCCAGCGTACGGCCAGGATACAGCTCACAGCTCAGCTTCAGCGAACGGCACAGGTTAGTAGCAGACGAATGTGACATCTTGATGCCAGCCAGCACACCAGTGGTAGACACGCTGAAATCTAAGTATGCCAGCATCTCAGCAGTCGGAGGCCGATACGCAGCTTGGACCTTCTTGCGTGACACATCGTCTGTTTCCAGGATAGGTGGCATAGCCTTGGGATCAACGATGGCTGTAGCCTCGCGTGAACGCATGAAGCGGTGAATGGGGTGATTTGTGAGAACAGCAACGGCTTTGCTCACTTCGACGATCATACGTATTGTTGGCAAATTGCTGACGCCGGTGCTGGATGTTGGCGGCCGAACAACAACTGGGATGAAGCCGTACAAGAGGCAAGCGTAGAATGCGATGATCAGGTCGAAGCCAGCTGGGTAGAGAAGCACTACATGATCACCTGATGACAGGTTAGCCTTGTCGGCTATGTACGCTCCAACACGCTCAGCTCTCTTCAGTAGCTGGCTGCAATTGAGCGTCTTGGATGCTTGTCCTCTCTCATTGACAGTTGTGTAGAGTATGTGATCTGGACTGGACTGTGCTCTCCATCTCAGCACCTCACTCAGGTACTGGTAGCGGCCAGCTGCATCGCGCTCGTCACCCATTGGCTCTAGCTGCTTGCCCACGGCAACGGCCATGCGGTTACCCGTAATGGCATCGCCCATCACACCAGCAGCAGCATTGCCCGCAGCAGCTTTGCGAGGCTCGGGAATATTGAGCACGGCAGCATGCGGGCACATGAGCAGTGATGTTGGATTGAGCGAACCATCGATGAAGCGTTGTCGTGCCTCAGTGACATGAACACCGCCATCACTATGCTTGGGAAGAGCACCTGCCGGGACGAGAGCTAAGCCGTAGAGATGCGACGCATGGATGCTTTCCACAGCCGGCAGAACATTGGTCATCCATTGGAAGGCATCCTCTTCGGTGCATAGTGGGTGCTGTTCAGCAACAACCACAATACGCTCTTCACGGTACACCGACATAGAGAAGACGGCAATGCGCTGGCGGTGTACAACCTGCTGAGGCTCAACAGCTAGCACCGTACTCATGATGTCATCAGCGTTGTGACGACGTCCGGATAGCTCCATCAAGCCGATGATGGTTCCACAGACAAAGACGAGGCCGCCCGGACCGATGAAGCCGAGAAGTCCAGAGCGCACATACATTTCGGAGCCCACTAGCTGGCCAGCATCGTTGACAGGCTGTACACGGAATACATGGTTGCTTTTGCCGCTCAGACCCCAGTACTGCGTGCCGGATGAGACGCCACTGACGCAGATTTCACCGACTTGATCCGTCTTGCAGAGTACAGGTGCACCTCTGTGGTGCACGACAGCCACACGACAGCCAGGCAGCACCACACCTAGGTCCTGCAGTGTGACGGAGCTGAGCGAGATCTGCTCCTCGACACGCACAACACCATAGGACATGCCTGAGATGCTCATGATACCACGACCGGTTGCAGCTCTGCTACCCAGACCTGGACGGCGTAGCGACAGTGTCATGGTCTCTGATGAGCACGCACACGGACAGAACATATCCGGCTGGAAGCCACGGCTGCTGAAGGCTTGCTGGAAGGAATCAGCCGCACCCAGGCACCATGGACTTGTTCCATCAGAGATGATGAGTGCGTGTAGACTCTCTAGGTTGGTGTTCTGCAGCTCCTTCAGCAGACGTGAACTGGCAGCACCCAGAACTGCAGATGATGCCAAGGTGAATGCTGCCTTGGTTTTCGATATAGTGTGTAGCCAGTGTAGCGGGTTGCTTTTGGCTTGGTTGGCCGGAATGCAGATGGTATGCATTCCCGCATATGTAGCAGCCAAGATAGCATTCCAGAAGCCAGCCTGTCGATGACACTCTACAGCCGAAACGATGACCTCGCCTTCTCTGTACTGCATGGACTGCAGAAGAGCACGACAGTGTGCAAGCAGCCCTTGACGCTCCACAGATACACCCATGACTGCACCGTCACGATCCACCGTGTACTCAACATACGCCGGTGCATCAGGTGGAGACCTGGATGGTGGGTTCCAGTCCTTAGGAGGCTTGGACACACTGTCGAGTGGTAGCCATGTCAGACGAGGCCATCCCTTGAACTGAACAATGTGATGGCTGCCCTCGTCCTTGGGAAGACCACGTAGCGTTGAATCGGTTGTTATGGCAACAGTAACGCCGAGTGATCCGAGTAGAAATCCAATTTGCTGTCCACCGGGATCATCTCGTGATGACGGGGGCTCAATGGCGACGGGAACGACGCACGCTGTCAGGCAGCCAAAGAAAGCCACTGAAAAGGCGGCTGGCTCATTGTGACCAATGATGATAGCAACACGATCTCCAGGCTTGAGGTTGGAGTCAACACCTTTCAGGTTGGATAGCTTGTTGAGAAGAGTGAAGGACAGCTTCAAGGAACGTGATGACAGCTTGCCGTAGGACAGCACCTGTGCAATCTTTCCATTCGGCTCAACTTGGCTAATGGCAGGAAGTTTGCCATTGTTCTTTGATGCGTAGCGCTGAATAGCAGCCTCTAGATTGCGCGGCATGCTGGAGTCCACTTGTAGTGGCTCGCTGCTAAATGGTGACATCATGGGTCCAGCAGGTTTTGGCGCATTGGGGTCTGCGGGAGCATCTTCTTTCTGGTCATCAGCGAAGTATTGCTCTATTGGTTTGCGATTCTTCTTCGGTCGCCGCAACGTGTTGAGCAGCTGCTGGATCTTCGCCGACACTTTGGTGTCTCCCAAATCAACAGGTCCAGGTGCTGGTGCATTACTAGCCGTATACACTGGAGCAGATTGTGCAGCGGCACTGCCAGCAGCGGCAACAGAAGCAGCGCTATTCCCACCACTATCGACTGCACGTGCAGCGGATGCACCCGGCCGTACTGATGGTTGATGCTGCCGGCCTGCTAAGGACTGTGGTGTGGCAGCCTTACCAGGGCCGGCAGCATTGGTGGTGGGGACTTGCTGCGGTAATACTTGTTGTCCGGCAGTAGGTGTTGTCCGGTGCATGAACTGTTGCTGTTGCTGAACAGGAGGGGGTGACTCCTGAGAAGGACTGGGGGAGGCAGATGAAGGACCTAGAGCTCGCTGTAAGCCAACTGATGCAGCAGCAGCAGCTGCAGCTCGTGACGCTGAGGACTGACCAGCAGCTACTCCACTCGCTGACACTGCTGCTGTTGATGCTGACGAGGTGGCGGCCGAACTGCCAGATACCGACATTGATGCTCTCTTGCTAGCCATGGGCATAACTGGTTCCTGCGATTCCTGAAATTTTGCCAAAGCTTGACGCACAGCTGCAGCTCTTTCAGCTGCTGCTCGGGACTGGGTCATGTCAATTCGATATGGAGATTCCTGTGTGGCCCTGGCAGCGGCTGCTGAAGAATCTACGCCAGCAGCACCAACGCTAGCAGCAGAAGAATTCGATGATCTTGCGGACGCCACGCTGCCATGTTTCTGACCCTCGTTCGTATCGCTTACAGGAGAAGCGTGCACAGCAGCCGCCGCTTGATACGGTGCGAGGAGTTTTTGTTTCTTCTTGTCATAGCCTTTCTGTGTGATGTCTCCCTCGGCTAACTCTAGGTCCAGGTCACTCAGCTGCTTCAGCACCGATGGTGGAAGTCCCGACGACATTTTTTCTTCTTCTAGGCTGCTGGTGTCCTACTTCCTAGAGAAGCAGTGTGAGCAGCAGCCAGAGGACACTGATCACAGCGCCACGACACTGCCGTTCTACACCCAGACTTTCTACCAGGACAAATCATTCATAGAACTAATATTGCTCTGCTAGTGCTAGTGCTACTCTCGGCTGCAGCTACTAGCTAGCGCTCCAGCGCTGCCGGACAGATACTGAGCTGGGCAGTCCTGCCGCTCAGTCAGTCTGCAGAATATTTTTTGCTTCGACTTCTGCTAGCAGCTCTATGTTGAAGCATGTAGCCTTGCAGGGACTCTGCCTCTGGCACTAGTGCACTGGCATGCATGTACATCATCATGATCATTGTAGTGATTGCATAGCCTGCGTGAGTTCTTGCGGTGCACTGGATCATGGAACTCGCTCTACACTGACTACCATGCATGGACTACACTCTACAGTCTACTGACCACAACATACTAGTCTACATCCGCACAATGATTATGATTGTATGCAAACACTCTACAGTACTCGTCTTATCTCTGGAACGGTGATCTCTACGACTACTAGTACTAGTACTAGTAGTAGTACAACTTCAGTCGACTCTAGGCTCTGGAACGGTGATCTCTGACTAGACTGTCTGTCTGTTTACCATTGCCATGTATTGAGTCTGTTCGCGCAAAGGCTCGCTAGCTAGCTGTGCCTGCGTGATACAACATTGATCAATGTCGCATTGTTGGGCATGATTTTTTACACGGAGTCGTGAAAACGGATTTTCACCGCTCCACCGACCGTGTTGGCGTCGCGTGTTTTGATGGTGGACCTTTGGACTGAGGCTTTGGTGGTGCCGTGCGAGGTGTGAGTCACACATGCAAGAAGTCAAGCCTCAAGGACTCGCCACCCGCCAGTCGCGACTCCACTCGTAGATCTACTCAGAACTCGCACCTGCTACATACTACATAGTATTTTATTTACCTGATTTATCCGTGTTGACGCAGATCAAAGCTGGACCAGGTCGCCGCGCGAGTGGCACATGACAAACGAACCGTGACCTGCATTGTTGACACCTCGGTGTCCTTTTATTTCGCACCAGTGCACTGGTAGTGTAGTGGTTCATGCTGTAGCTAGATTAGCTAGGCCAAATGAATCACAAGAATCATGTGCCTGAAGAACGATGTGTGCTAGCTAAGTGCGCTGGTCGGCGTTGTGTTGCAAAATTTCGATGTCAGAGACCTGCCAGGTTTCAGGGGTAATCACGGTAGCATTTCGGTGGTTTTAGAGACAGCCCCCAATAACATTACCCTGATGATGGGCCAGGCTCGAAAATGTGGTATACAGTCAACTTCGCTTATAACGACACTCTGCGGGCCTCAGAAAAGTGTCCTTATTCGCGAAGTGTCGTTGTACCCGAAGTCTCATTATATGTGTCACAGTTGGATGGGATTTTGCTCTGGGCATGAAAATTATGTCGTTATTCGCGAATTGTCGTTATATCCACAGTCGTTATTAGCGAAGTTGACTGTATTAAATGTGGATTTTAATTTGAATCGCAGTGAAGAGACCATTTTTGGAGGTTGGAGTTGAGAAGTGAAGTTTCCTAAACGTGCATTAAAGTGGCTGTGTTAGAGTTTGCGGAAAATGGCCTTCAGGAACGCCACCACCCTGTACGGATAAAGGCTGCACAGATGCAGCTCCACTTGAAAGCAGTGACAGTCCCAATACACCCACGGATAAAGGCACAGATGCAGCTCCACTTGAAAGCAGTGACAGTCCCAATACACCTGCCTGAAAACTTCCAGTCGCTGAAGATCACGTCACCAGTCATACTTTGATTGCTCAACAAATCGTACACCGAAGAACAAAAACGAAAAGAAACAATAGGCTCTAGACTGAGACATTCTAAGCACACAATCAAACCAAGTGAGACAATGCGGACACTGACGGCGATGAAAGAAAACCCAGAAAAGGCAACAGCCGCATGTAGAACTCCTAAAAAATCTTTGCTGTGAGCATTGTGATTGCTCCGACGTGTACAGACACACTCCCCGAGCTGAGTGCCAGCACCTGCATGCTGGACAAAATGACTCGAAGGATTCGACAAGGATAAATTGAAAACCTAAATAAAATTTTAATAGAAGATAGAACATATCAGATCAGTAAGGACTGAGAAGGAAGCCATTACCCAATTCCTTTGAACTGGTTCATAATGCCCTCAAGCTTTTTGTTCTTCTGATCAAAGGTCTCACGCTCCTGCTCCAAATGCTGTTTCTCCTTTGCTAGTGTCGCCTGCGATTGAAAGACAAACAGCAGGACAGAAAGCAGGGTGAAGCATTCTGATGAGAAAAACGGCAGTAGTTCAGCAAATCAGTATGGCGATTGTGTTGAATGTCTGTGCATAGGACGCTTATCAAGTGTGGGGTGGCCGCGCAGGCGTGTACGCAGTGTCACCTCTAGGGGCCCGGGTTTCATCATGACTCACTAACGTTTATACAGCCAAGAAGGCTACATGTGTTTTGCCGGTTTTGCAAATGATTCGCAGACTGAGGTGTGAGTTTCAAAAAATGTAGAACGGTCACTGCTGGACGACTACTACACCATAGCCTAGTGGTAGAGCATCGCTGACCATAAGCGGGGGTCCTGGTTCGAGCCCTGGTGGTAGCAGTCAATTTTTTTCTTCAGACTTTTCGAATGGATTGCCAATCCCACTAAGATGTACCTATATCACTCACAATGAGCCAATGTTTAGTTTTAAAAAACTCACGGTTCGCGTGAGACTCGGTGACTTTATAATTATGTAGAGGCCGAGTTTTCCGCATCCGTAGGAATGCCACCACCCTTCAAGGATCAAGGCGCAGATGCAGCTCCTAAAGCGGTGGGAGGTGAGTAGATCAGCTCACCAGCATGTGGTCAAAGACCGAAAATCCCATTCACTGCATCCATGGTTTCCTCGTGCCAGGCCACGAGTTCCCAATTAACTGTGGGTCGCAGCACGGCTGGAAAAAATCCTTCCGCTTCCAAGCAGGCAGGCATAGTGGGATGGTCTAAGACCATGATTGAGAAACAGAGGGTACGAGGTTCAAGTCCTGCTTGGAAGCGGAATGTTTAGTTAATGGACGATATAATCTCTAACCATTCCCTCCCATAGAATTATGTGAGTTAGTGTCATTGGAGGTTGTCATCTAACATGGTGATCAACAATCTCCAGGATCATGTGAAAGTGTGCCCCCCCCCCAATGGCCCCATCCCGTTTTCCAAGAAGTAGTTGTTACGTACTACCCAGTCTCAGATCTACTGCCGAGTGCAAAAAGAAAAGAGTATGCCCTGCGTAGGCTGCAGATCGTTTCATTCATGATTTGTAACATTAAGAATTGATATGTAAAGCAACTGGAATCAGATGCACTAAAGCTGCATTGTCTCCATCACACACTCACACATACCTTCTCATTTGCAATGGCCTGCCTTTCCTTGTCATTCTCAGCTCGACGATCTTCTAGCCATTCCTCATTACTTGTGCGCTGCTTCTCAAACAGCTCTTCATGTTCCTGCGAGATGGCAAGCCAAACAAATTATACGGTTCCAAAATAACGCAGTGAAAACCTGCTGAAAAACAGGCCAAGGTGCACAATACTGACAATACTGAAGGCAGAGCAGTGACATGGAGTAATCGAACTGGAGTAATCCAGGTACTTGTAGTTTCTCTATCATTTTAGTCACCTGATGATTGCTGACCCTGCATGAAACCCTGACTTGTGACGTCGTGTCAACATCCATTGCAATGACCTGTCCGAGTCGAATGGTCTTGGTCCAAGGCAAGGAAGCTCGGACACTCCCTTCGTCCTACATTCCCAATCGAACTCGAGCACTTCCCTTGAAACTGAAGTGGGGGGGGGGGTACCAGTAGGTAGATGGAACAGCGGTTAGAAGAAAACGGGCGAAGGGTTCAAACTAGAACCATTAATAAGATCCCTCGGTACCTTTTGCATCTTTTCAAGTTGGCGACGATCCTCTTCCAATCCAGCCCTCTCTAGTCGCAGCGTTTCCTTTTCCCTGTACAATAGAAATGGGAAAGCAAAGATAAAGTCTTCATATCAGAAACAAATGTTTCTCAACGGCGTAAAGTTGCAATTACATGTACATGTATACTAATTGTGAAAACGTACGTCTCAAAGTGGGGCAAACTAAATATCTTCCAAAGTTTGAGCCGCAGTATGAAGATGCATCAGCAATACTTAAAAAAGCGTGGTTCTCAAGTCTTTTAAAATAAGGTTGGATGGGAAGGAAGGCCAGAGGGAGAGAGCAGATCTTCCAACTTACTGGTCCAGTTTCAAATAGCTGTCCACCATTTGATCAAAGCTTTCCGCGATGCTTTTCACAATGTTTTGCTTCGTTTCCTCAAAATCACGGGCTGTGACCTGCAACCGATAAAGTGAGCAGTGTAAGTGAGCACTAGCATAAGACAGGAAGGCCAAAACGGAGAAGTGATTGCCAGTGGACCTGATGAATGGACACTTCAAGGCCAGAACAGAATTCTACTACACGGTGACATGTAACAACAAAGTTAAAATAAGTGAACACTTCAACTGATTGAGCAAACGTCGCAAACAAGATCTGTATCCAAGACCACTCAGAACCAAGACTAATGTGCAACAAAGTGTCAAGTTCATATCGTTCCCACGGAGTTTCAAACTGCCAACTTCTGTTCAATATCCGCAAACGCCATAGCGGGTCCTGGCATGTCGTGACTAAGCTAGTCAATGCCTAGGAAATCCATTGTCTGGCACTCAAGCAATAGAGAAAAACCATAGTTGCAATCAGACTGAGCAGTACTACCTACTCCATGCACATCTACCTATTAGGCTAATACCACATAGAGATATTAGGCTAACACCACATAGAGATATTAGGCTATCACCACATAGAGATATTAGGCTAACACCACATAGAGATATTAGGCTACGCAAGAGGTACACAAAAGGAAGTATATAGGGCTGTTTTTTGTTGTAACTCAGAGTTTCATGGCAAAAACCAATCATCAGACAACATCAGACTACGCTCTGCCCATTCCGGGCATTTGAGCACTGCGATTGCAGGTTAAGGCGCACACCCTCTGTGTAGAGATATTAGGCTATCACCACATAGAGATATTAGGCTAACACCACATAGAGATATTAGGCTAACACCACATAGAGATATTAGGCTAACACCACATAGAGATATTAGGCTATCACCACATAGAGATATTAGGCTAACACCACATAGAGATATTAGGCTAACACCACATAGAGATATTAGGCTATCACCACATAGAGATATTAGGCTAACACCACATAGAGATATTAGGCTATCACCACATAGAGATATTAGGCTAACACCACATAGAGATATTAGGCTAACACCACATAGAGATATTAGGCTAACACCACATAGAGATATTAGGCTATCACCACATAGAGATATTAGGCTAACACCACATAGAAATATTAGGCTAACACCACATAGAGATATTAGGCTATCACCACATAGAGATATTAGGCTAACACCACATAGAGATATTAGGCTAACACCACATAGAGATATTAGGCTAACACCACATAGAGATATTAGGCTAACACCACATAGAGATATTAGGCTAACACCACATAGAGATATTAGGCTATCACCACATAGAGATATTAGGCTAACACCACATAGAGATATTAGGCTATCACCACATAGCCTGGAGAGTCAAGGCAACTCTAACACAAGCCAATAGCCACACAACTTACCAGCTTTGGAGCTGGGATGGCACGGCGTCTTGCTGGCTGAGGTGGATTTGTATAGTGATTGACTGGCAGTGTTGTCGGCTCAAAACTAAAACACAGCAGCACAGAACATCAGATGCTTCCAACTAAAAAAACAGTGGCTGGTCATTGACCAAAACACGCCTGTGCCGGCGTCTGAAGACAACCAACCAGTTCATACCGAACACAGTGTGCAATAATACTTCTAGCCTGAAACATGCCAGGCCGGTTGTGTGTTGAACACTGCCGGTTTCCCGGAATACATTGCATGGACACCTAACTCTGCTAGGACACGTGCACGGTAGCAGTGATGCTTACCTGGCATTCTGATCTGCATTTTCCCAGTCGAGAGAGAGGACAACATAGGCAAAAGCCGCAAACAAACAAAAAAGAGGAAAAAGACGAACAAACAGGAAATCGAGAATGAATGACAACTCCATAACCTTTCAAAAGCAGAATAATAGAGAATGGCACAGAGAAAACAGGATGCGGAAAGAAGACTGGCTATGGAGAGAAGACAGACCGTGTAAAGAATGAACTGAACAGCAGTCATATTTGTTAGGATCGGTCAGTTTCACTGATTAATTTCACTAGGTAAAGAAGTTAACTAATCGCTTTCAAAGGCAACTTTTCACTAACGAATGGTCTCCCTGCATACTAATAGCACTGTGAAGGAAATGTGACCCAACACAAAGTAGCATGAAAGCACTTAGACCATTGTTATCCATCAAATCCACACAGCAGATACTATTTGCTACTAGTACTTGTACGTACCTATCTTCAAATCAGGGAAATGCAGCAAACAGACATCGTTGACATCCTTGTCTGTTTCACCATCATCAGTGGAACACGTACCACCAATGACCACCATCTGCCGGCCAACAAATAAAGACAAAAAAACACCAAGGAAAAAGAGGCGTGACCATAATGTTTACATGTACAAGTACATTCATGATACGAGTCGTACACATGCGGCATGTACATGTACCGTTCAAAGTAGTGTGTGCGGAGCGCTCGGCCTTAGTAGTCACTTACCATATTGCCACACATAACAGTGGCATGGCTGAAGCGAGCAACAGGGCTATCACCTTCTGCCTCCACCATCTTCCATTCTCGAGGCTTCTCTGTACAGTAGAAGTATCAGATGCAATATGGCAACAACGGCAGCAGCAGCAGCATATTTAAGACAACAGGAAACACTAAATACTTCCTGAAGTGCCCCCCCCACACACACTACACACTACACACCACCACCAACAACAACAACAAGAAACGTCTTTCACATGCCATCCTGTCTACATGCCTGAGCTGGTAGCACTATCAGCAACTGCACAGAAAAGGAAAGCAAACGAAACTGCAGTCTGCAAGTTGAGTGTTTCATGTATGAGTAATCATTACTCATCAAGCAGTGCGGCCAGCTTTGCTAGAGCAGTATGAATCATACACATGGGATGTAGAAAATAACTTTGCCAGCTAACTCTGGAAGGATACATACGAACTTTTGGACATGTGCCGTGGGCCACAATTCCATAAAGGAACAAATGCCGTGGACAGTATTGTAGAGCCAATAATGGCCAGGCTTATAGAAAGCAAAATAGGGTGTTTACCAGCTGACATAGGTCTCGGTTAGCGGCTTACTGGTTAGATCCAGATAGTAAGTCTCAGCGACGGCTTTCTCATCTCTCGACCCACCAAACACAACAAGTCCCTAGATGAAAAAAGAAGAAGAAAAAGGCAATACCCGCACAATGACCCATGTGAAACGATGGCACAGTCTGTTACCAATAACCAGTGAGCAGAGTGACTGTGAGTGGTGAGCGGGGCAGTGAGCAGTGAGCAGTACACACACATACCTCTTTCCCACATGGTACCATGGTGCAGTAGTCCCTAGCGCCAGGACTGGCTGTACTGCCACTTGCGTCCACTTGGGACCATGTAAGGGTAGCTGAACAGTCAGAAAACAACACACATGCATATCGGAGGGGGGGGGGGGAGAACAACAGTCACTTGCACAGCTAGAAAACATGCACTATTAAGACATCACTGTCTTAGTGACTTAGTGACAGTCCGGAAGGAAATAGCAAATTGTTGGCTAAACAGAACTCCAATGCACTGTCTCATAGTGTCGTATTGTCAGTCCTTGGTCTCCTCACTGCTGGAGGTATATCCAGACTAGCTGTTTCAAGTGTTTCCATTGCAGACCCTTCCGGATTGTGCGTGAGAATCCAGTGTAGTATTCATGCTCTGCTTCGATACTTGAATGCAGCAGAGCGGCCTGGTGGCCAGGAAACCATTTCACGGCCTCGCTACATGAACTGTACTCGTATGGACGACATAAGAAGCCTGGTGATAGCAGCTAAAGACTGACATGAAACATTCATGTTGTGAATCTATGTCCACCAGCTGGTGAGGGAAGTGGTTGAACCGGAGGACCAGTGGAATAGTCTAACACCATAGCAATCTATTAACACACTGGATCTCCACTAGAGATCTAGACTACCAATGAGGGTAAGTGTGCTACAGCATGTCACAGTGAAACTTGAAAGGTTCTTCAGGAAAATAGATTGTCTTTTCTGTTGGGAGTTGCTGGTAGGAATATTCACACAACACCGCGGACCTTTGGCACTCAGCAAACCTACAGTAAATGAACATGACCTAGTGACCACAACATACACGTGTCCAGCTGGTGTACATCACTGAAGATGAGATCCTCTCCACCACAGCCACCGTAGACATACAGGCTGACGCCATCACCTGCAGCACATGCTGCATGATCACATCTACAAGAGAGAATTCATATAAAAACAGGAAACAATGAGTACTGCAAGTATTTCCCACCTGTGTTGTAAAACCAAGTCACTTCGCTCTGGAAGTAAACAGTATTGTGGTTCCAGCCCTCTAAATGTGTCTCCCTGTCTCTATATCACCCCCCCCCCCCACACACACACCCACACACTCACATGGACACCCACTCACCCACATGCACACACAGGCACACACACATACACACACGTGCACACACGATCACATTGTGTGTCTATCATTGTAGGCTATGCCAATACTGTCTATGAACAGACATGTTCACCGCATTCGAGCAGCTAGCTCTAAAAATACTAAAATACATGACAAACCTACCGCGGCGCTGGAGAAGTTCCTGCACATTCCAGTAGAGTCCATTTTAATCCAACTGTAAACACAAATGCAGACCAAGAGGCGACCTCATATAAACATCAATATTCCGTAAAATTTAATACTAAAATTCAATACAGAATAGTTTCTGCATGTTCGCATTGATATGAAATACTGTACCAATAGTGGGGTGCTGCGCCCACAATTTGGCTTATGCAAAATGCAACCATATGCAAGTACGCTACTCAGACCCCATGTACAAGCACTCCTTGTCGAAAAATATGTTGCATGGAATTGTGTGGCAAACTGTGAGTGAATTTCTAGCACACGGTTGCTCAAAACACTGGTGTCACGATGAGTTGTTCCAGACCTACAGTGTAGTCACGTGACCACAGGTCTGCTTATACATGTACAATAGCACACTGGTGCCGTGATGAATTGATCCAGACGTGGTCACGTGATCACAGCCATGCTCATACCTCACACTGCACACACACACACACACACACACACACACACGCACGCACACACACGCACGCACACTTTACCTGTGTCGAGCATGTACACACTGTTGGTTGCCGTTCCGTCGAAGACGCCGCCAAACACAAATACCTTCTCCCCGATGTTGCAATAAGATGGACTGGTGCAGGTAGGAGATGTACCGGATACACTGACTTCATCCCATGATAGGTCATCTTTTAAAGGACAGTGTGACATTTCAAAGTACAGTGCAGTAGGTCGATGAGAAGGATTTCACACAAACCATGACTGAGCTGGTTGCAAATACCAGCACACTTTGTACTCCTCAAGTAGGCTCATGCTCAGTGTAGAAAATTGGTACTTGGACACAAACGGGCACACTCTGCAGGAACCAAATGGCTAAATGCAGTTGCCATGAATGCCTAGTACTACAAATACTACACGGGAATGCAATGCATAACTAGTTATATCAGAAGTACAGACCCCCCCCCCCCCAGAACAATTTTAATAGGCACTGATTGTGTAGTAATGATGCAGCAGACCAATGCCGAGGTCATCTCTGAAATGAACTTGAGCAAAATGTACCTTGTACCGAGATGAAGGAGCACAGGAGAGAAGTGCCCGCAAATGGCGATACCTAGTATATAGTACTAGATTGTACATAGTGCATGGCATAGTGCATGGCATAGTGCATGGCATAGTGCATGGCATAGTGCATGGCATAGCGCATGTGTGAAGATGCATACAAACACTGCGCCTATTGTTACTGACCAATGTTGAAGGCAAAGACTTTGTCACAAAACTTTCCATCCTCATCAGCTGTGGTACCTCCCAGCAAATACAGCCTCCGGCCAACTGACCTACCATGGCAAACGGAATAGAAACACAATTGGCAACACTATAGACAACACAAACCCTAAGCATTCATAGCCACCAAGTTCCGTCCAGTCAACAGGCACATCGGATATTCTGTCACCTGTTCCGGCTATACGCAGAAAGGTCAAATTCTGATGAGCAACATTCCGGCTTCAAAACAAGAAGTGCTTGGGTGACGTGTTCAGTGTCCACACCATGGCACTGGAAGATACGGAGTGCACCAGCAGGTGGACGACAAGACACTAGAAAAACTTCGCACTTTTATAAGTACAAGCTAAGCACAAGTTTTATCCTCACCTACTCGCTGTTTCATCATGGAGTGTGACAGGTTTTTGTTTGAATATAACTAAATTACTTGACTCAATCCACTTGCAGCAATAACAAAAAAAACTGATGAAGGAGATCGAATCAAGATATTTCTTTAAACTGAGAAAGTATGGGTGAAGGCTAAGTGTGAAATGACATAGGTATGAGTGTAGAGAGCCCTGGTGCTAATGTCATTCTGGGTGATGCCAAGAGTACATAACCCCCAAGAGTGTGCAACTCCATAACGGCTCAGGCTGCTGTCCTGACAGAATTTCAAGTTGTCATTTTTATGACACTTTCAGTGTAAGACAGCAGCGTATGCTTGTGAGTTGCACTCTTTTGGGGTTGATGTACTCCCGCCGTAGTCTTGGTGACATGTGATGGCTATAGCTATCCCTTGTGAAGGGGATGTGTTACATATCATGTACACAGTGACACCGAGTGAAATCACACTTACATGAGCCCATGCCCTTCCCTGCCTTGTGGAGCAGTGTAGCCAGTGGTCTTCACTGATTCCCAGTGAATAGTATTATCACCAGCCGTGGCTGTTTGCGGAATGCAGGCATGCACACAATATAAATAATTACATTTAGCCATTTACACAACACAGACAATACATACTAGTATAGAGATGGTGGTAGCAGTAAAAACACACTTGGCGAAATGGCGGTAAATACACAACATTGGATTGCATTGGAGTCCTCACAGTACAGTATCCAACAGACGATAAAATTAATCCGGCAAAAATAGCTCACATCACCGGAGGCCGCAAGTAATGGCTTGTCTCTTCCCACCTACTCATTATGATCAAGAGTACATAACCCCCAAGAGTGAGCAACTCTAATATGAGTGTCGTCCCGACAGAGTTTCAAGTTGATGTCATTTTAAAATGATGCAGTGCGCACTGAACATGTACAAGTACTATCAGACGTATCCTGGGTCTGTGGTGAACAAATCCCCATATGGTTACGTCCAAACTATTTCAATCTTGGGGGTTACAGCACTGCCAATCAACTGTTTTGCATACTCGGACTTCTGTTTTTCCGTATTTGCATACTAGAGTGTACATACTGTCATTGCATGCATACCTGCATTGTGCAGGTTTTTGACACACATACCACACACACACACACACTACACACACATGATTGTACACAAACACACACACACACATACATGTACACAAACACACACACACACACACACACACACACACACACACACACACACACACACACACACACACACACACATACATGTACACAAACACACACATGCTTGCACACACGGTAAACACCATCCAAAAACTAGTGGCATGATACGGCCGCGTGAACATCAACGTGTCTCTATTCTAGTCTATGGAGAAAGGGCGTTGACAAAACCTTGGTTAGCATGCGGATATTGCACAATGAATGTCAAGATCATTCTCTACATTGTATAAAGTTCCTTTCTCTCCTTTTCTGAAGTATTCCAGAAAGGTGCATGACATGGTCCTTATACAATGTACATTGTACATGTATGAGTGGCGATTCTTGTATAACGAGTACAGTCAGCTGTACAATGACATTATTATGTAGACTACTGTACTACAATGTCATGTAGGCAGTTGGTTTCTGCAGCGAGTCACTGCAGGCTCACCACATGCCTTACCCTGAAATCGGAACAAGCCTTCAAAATAAGGGGCTTCATCTTCATTGGACGTTCCTCCAAAGCAGTAAACGAATCCATCACTGGCCAAGCAAGCAGCTAGACCGAAGCTGTAAGCACGCAAGCCATAGCACAATGTCGCACGTCGACAGCGCACACCCATTTACCCAGTGCACGTGCCCGGATTCCTAATTGCCATAGCTAGGCTAGCGGCGCGTCCAACCCTACCTAGGAGAAACTCCATCACCATCCACTGCCGCTGCCAGCCACTTGCTGTTCGGAGAGCGACCCGCCATTCTCACAATCACCGGTCACCCCTCCTATCACACCTCAGCTCAAGCTCGCACTCATGCGAGGAATAGTCATGAAAAGGCCATGACTGTAATCGACGGCAGGGTCGATCGAAATCATGCATGATTATGATTCATTTTTATGGATGCACCTTTTGTAGTATACTGCACTCTGCAGCTGTACTGTCTGACTGACTGTAGCCCGTAGTGTAGGTAATTATTTTACCGGCGCGGCATAATGTTGCGGCGCGAGCGTGGCATGTCCGGCGGATGGCCCGCAGTCTGATCTGGTGAGTTGTTACTTTACACTAGTAGTAGTGTAGTACTACTACTACTAGTACTACTAGTAGTACAGGTAGACTCCCTCTAATTCGAATACGGTATAATTCGAACATTCCGTGTAATTCGAACTTTTTCGTCGTACCGATCTTCTGCAAGTCACTTCAAGTCAAAATCGAATGCATAATTCGAAGTACGAAAAGTGCGCCGGTTGGATAATTCGAACCCAGTCTTCGTACAGAAGAGCTGTTTACAGTACATTGGCTATGTCCTTTGAACGCTTATTTCGAAGTGAGATTGAGTTGCTATCCTTGTAATTCGAAGTTCATTCTTTTCTCCTTCGCTAGCCAAGAGTAGCTCAAAAACCGATCAATGTTCCGCTGAAGGATCGACTATAGCGTTCAAAAAACCCACCTTCTCTCGAAATTTGATTCAAGCCCGTGCGAGGCAAATTGAAAAGGTTTGATTGAAGATGACTTCTTCCAGGTGGCTGACTCTCTTCGCAGATCTCGATGGCCTTTCTTGCTGCGCCAGCTCGTGCGCAGAGATGTTGGCGCACAACAACACCATTGTCGTAAATATTGTCTATGCCTATGCTCCACTTCCGTTCCTCAGAACGACGTGCTGTGCTGCTGTCCGACGGCCTTTCATGACGCGGATTAGGCAGCGCAGTTCTTTTCCGTTGAAATTGTTTCAAGCAGTGACTGTTACTTCTTCACTAGAAGATGAAGATAATGTCAAAATGATTTTGTGTCGATCCAGTGTTTTGATGATCCGTTGTACATGACCGGTCGACCGGTACGCATACAACCACCTATCGTCCTATGCTTCGTTGATGCAAATAAAAAAGTGCAAAAAATATTCAGCATGCGATTTCAAGCATTTTGACATACATATCAGTGCATGGGGCTGCATTTGTATAATCAGAAGTTCTGGATAATTCGAAGTTAGGGCCTGGCAATTTGAGGTTCGAATTAAAGGGAGTCTACCTGTAGTAGCAGGGAGTCGTATAGACCAGGTCTATACGACTCCCTGGTAGTAGTAAGTCTTGTTGCACGCCGACAAAATGACTCTTTTGTTAGAAATCCGGGCATGATCATCATGACTGTACGAGTACTAAGTCTGTAGATCTACAAAACTTACATGGTATGACTGTATTGTTTTATTTCCCCACATTCTTGACGTTATCTTCAGTGGAACAGAATGACTCCCATGTGCATGTACATTTACAATAATGATGTAGATCTACTAGTAGTACATGTACTCGACATTGTACAGTAGAAAAATACTAGAAATCCCGCTATCCGGGCAGGTCGGGCTGGGCGCTGCCAGGAATTGCTCGCAACTCAGAACATACAAGTGTATGTGGCTGCACTTTGGAACTGTTTCCGTTGCCTGTGTCCTCATGTCTCTTTACTTGCATGTATTGCTGAGCGAACATAAAATAATTATGCTGATCCGTATTCGTGGGGGGATGATCCCCATATTGCATAGGCCACACGTACTCATCCGGCCGAAATGTGTGAATAATGTATTAATGATAGCAATCATGCAAGTATTCATTAGTTGAGGGTGTTAAAAAATAAAGTAAACACTTTTTACGCCTATCAATGATATAAGGGGGCCATTTTCCATCAAAAAGCTCGGTTTCGCCAGTCCTGATGGGTAGAAAGGTGCCCGGATCTGGGGAGTGCGGATTTGGGGTAGGTTTACTGTAAGTAAAAAGTAAATGATCGTGTCCATTCCCAAAGGGAACTCATGACGGCCGCTAACACCCGGTAAACCCTAGCGGCAGATGCAGCGCCTAACGGTTTACTGTACTACAGTGCAACATGCAGCTCTACAATAACAATACGTCTATTCATGCTCCCATGTCATGTACATGTACATATCACAGAACCATCATGATTACATGTATGTAGGCTACGTCTGATCAGGGCCAGGCCTCAGAGTCACACAATGATACCGTGACACAGGCTGACTTTTCCACATCCACAGGAATGTCACCACCCTCACGGATCAACATACCGGTAAGACAACTAGTTATCTTTGTAAGTAGTTAGTACAATAAAAGCTCTGAGGAGCGAGCATCCTTACAGGCTCTAAGCTGCCATTGAAAAACACAGGTAACGTTAGTTATTACATGAAAATCAGAACAGTGACCGAATGACAGCTGACAGCCGACGGGAACAGCTGAAGCGTAAACTACATACGCTGGCCGTCGTGCCGATCATGTTGAAGCAAATAAGTACAGTAATCCCGCACTAAGAGAGGATGACTGGAAACGTGTAGAGCATAGTGTTCAAGCACTGTGCATGGTATCTTGGCAGTTGGTAAGTTGTGGTGAAGTGTCAATGGGCATGTGGGTGGTAACACTGGTAAGATCTGCAGATATGTGCACACTGCATTAGCCTGGCTGCATGATTTCTAAAGTATCCCACTGCTCATTCCTATACCATGGCAGTGTTGATTCAAGCTCGACAGGCTAGTTCTACTGCAGGCCCGCCGGAACTGGTCCGGTCGGTCAGGTTATTACCGGACCAACTTGTTGTCCCGACCAGTGCATGTTAACTGCTAAGGAGGTTATATGTTCCCAATATCTCAGACACAATGTATGAAAGGCTTTGGCACGACCGGACCAATTGAATACTGCTTCCGGCGGTCCTGTGTAACTGCACAGCTCTGGTAACCATGGTAACTCAGTCAGTCCTACTTCTCTTTAGCGGGTCATGTAGTGTAAGTAAATGATCTACTGTAGTATACTGTCAATGAGCTACGCAAGATAAACAGAGGCACATGCGCACATGACGCCACACACATGCACAAACACACACCCGCACATCCGCACATACGCGCATCCACACACACGCACATCCCCACACACGCGCGCGCGTGCGAACACACACACACACACATACACACACACAGGAACATACAGGAATCAGTGCACAGTGGCAGATGCTGACTTTCGGTTTGACTAAGAGATTGACTTCTTCTTCAGTACACTTGAACGCTCACCTTATCTCGTGGACCAGCTTTTGCCAGAACATATGCACCCTCTTTTGACAGACCATGTGTCATAACCCAAAAGTGAATCCAGCCAACACAAAGTACTGGTTTGCGCCGGTAAACAGGATGGGTGGCTAAATTCAAGTTTCATCTTGATCCAAGCCTACAACCCACATTATTTACTATAAAAAATAAGAATACAATGCGGATAACACGAAAAGTTTAATACAATGTAGGCATAATTTAGCTTTCCAGCATTTTTGCCTCCGAAGAAACAGTTTAGCATTCATAAGTAAATCAATAATGTCTCAAGTATCATTGTATCATCCGTATGAGCACTACTAGTAGTTCATGTACCGTACTGTCGCGTATAAAAGCATTACCCGTATAGAAGAATAGAAGCCGATTGTTTGACGAGCCGTGATGCAGAAGCATATGTGCAAGTACATGTGTGCCAGTATGCACTGTACAGTGTAGACTGAAGATGGTGACGCAGAAGCATGGTTTGAACCCCGGCGTATACGGCCGTAAGCACATGCTTTTATACGCAACATTATGGTATGCATCACCGTTGTACTCTGGCATGCTGGAGAAGTGTTGCATGGTACAATCATGTAACGTTATTGCTAGGGCTGGAGTTAAACACTGGATTGGAACAATGGTGCCAGTGTGAATTCACTTGCTACCAGCGGGTACTGACCTTCATGAGAGCTGAGCCTGCATTGGTCAAGGATGCATCGATTTGGAAGTGATCATGTCCTTGTAACTCCTCATACTTCACCTTGACTCCTAGCTCAGCCTCAACAACCTATGAATGAAAAACAAAAGAGAAGAATGGTTTCCTACTGCACATAGTCACATACTGCACAGATTCGGTTTTCCAAGGCCAAGTACTGACAATACACTGGAAATGAGTGGAACAGATTCTTCATGGGTATGCTTGTTGGTAACAATCTGCTGCCATACATCCTATGCACCATTTTAATATGGTGCTATGGGTGGGGAAAATCTCATAGTTCTCTGAAACATGCATTAGGGATAATCGACCGCTCGGAAAGCTGATAATCGGATAATCGGCACTCTACTATGCTTCAAATACAGGAATCACGACACCCTCAACTTTAAGAATGGTAGCGGCGAATAAAGCTAGCTTTCACAGGCTTCTGTGCTTTGCATGTTTTGTGTCTTTCGCCAGGCAATCGGCATCAGGCCAGCCCCGGTTCTACTGTAGGTAGTATGTGTATACTTGGTAGTTCTATGTAGGAAGTAAAAGCTGTGTCAGATTGGCGGTCTCTGCTTGCTGAGAAGGATGAGCACTCCTAGTAGGCCGGATGTTTCCAAAACAAAGCGAGACACTCCACCGGATGCTCTGAGGCACGGTTCTGCTGCCCAGAGCTCACTGGCACAAGCCAAACAGGTCATGCAAACCGCAGAAGCTGTAGTTCCATTGTACTGTGTCAGCGTGTCCATAGATGTTCTGGTTGCTAGGTTCGAAAAGACGATGTCGAACTTGCTGGACTCCCGTCTCGCCGCCATTATTAGCCAGAACGAAGACTTGAGGGCAGAGGTAGCAAGCCTCAGCTCTCGTGTTGAGAAGTTGGAGCGGGAAAATGCTGAACTCGCTAGTAAGGTACGTTTCGTGACAGCCGACTCCACGTGTAGCACCAAACCCCTGCCACATACAGCAGCTTAGTGAGTACCCGTACCAGTAGTGGCACCCCCTCTCCACATGGTCCAGCTTTGCAAGAGCTGGTGGCAGAGGAAGTGGAACGAGGTCAGCGGCATGCTAACATCATCGTACGAGGTGTCCCAGACGATGTCATTACCAGTACTGTCGTAAACTTCTGTTGTGAGAGTTTGAAAACAACTGAACAAGAGATAATATCTGCAGAGTTTCTTGGCAAACCACCTAGTCCTAATGGCTCAAACACCCCCACCGGACGAGTCCGCCGTGTTCGCTTTCGTGAACAAGCCAGCAAAAACCGAGTTTATATGTCAAGATTCAACCTTCGCACAGTGAGTGGCCCCATCTTTGTAAACCACGACCTAACCCAGGCGCAGCAGACAGCACGACGAGATGTGCTGCCCAAGTACAAGGAGCTACGAAAGCAAAAAGTACGGTGCTCCCTGCCATACGGAGAAATTCTTGGTGACAAGGGGCAGCCACTCAGTACTGTCGACATTCATCAACTGCTGTCAGCATAGGAAGCACAAGGGAATCCTACACTAGACACCCGAGCACCCACAGAAGTTAACACATTCGCCCGTGGGACTTTCGTGAAAGAAACCAGGACACCTAAACCAATATGCGAACCTGTGCTGCTACCCGAAGAGCCAAAAGTCATCAGTCCAGTAAGCCAACTCACCATATCATCTCACATTAATATCTGTAGTCTTAGAAACAAGGTCCATCACATTCACCATCTTCTGCACCACCATGGTCCACGTTCTATCAGTGAATGAAACCCTCCTAAACAGCAGCATACCCGATTCAAGTGTTCATATCCCAGGCTACGATCTACATCGCAAGGATAGAGATCTACATGGTGGTGGGCTATACATTTATGTCCATTCTGACATTCATTCTATCAGAATTCCCATCACTGAGCTAGGAGTGGAGTGTGTCTCTGTTCGTCTTCGCCTATGTACCAAAGCTAAGGCTATTGACCTGGCTGTGTGCAGTATATATCGTCCACCGAGTACAACTGTCGACTTCTGGAACTTGTGTAGTCAGCATCTTGACGTCATCAGCCGCAAATTTCACATGGTTATTGTGCTAGGGGACTTCAACACTGATGTGCTACAACCAACATCCAATAACCACCATTACAAGCACCTGGCCAATCTGTGTGAGGAGTTCCACCTCCGCAATGTCGTGACTTCACCAACGCGACTTGCCAAGACATGTCTAGATCTAATACTCGTTTATGCTGCCGCACCACATGCTAAGACAACTGTAGTATCTGTAGACGGCGTGAGCGACCATGATCTCGTTCTGACTAACTTCTCCTACAAAGCCACGCAACAAGCTAACTCCCGCTTCAAATTCGTGTGCAAACCGCTCCCAGATGCAATTGATCCTGCTGCACTCTGTGGTGATATCAACAGCACTCTGCAGCCTCTCCCCGACTCAGCTGATGTCAATGCACACGTCACCCAGCTTTCAGACGGTATTACTCGAGTTTTAGACAAACATTCACCAATCTGCCCCGTGGTTTCACCAGCTTCCAGTAAGCCTCAGCCTCAGCCATGGGTGACACCTCAGTTGAAACACCTCCTCCAGCAACGAATCCACCTACATAGAAAGGTATGCATTCACCCGTCAGATCAACAGCGTCTGCAGAGGTATCACGCAATACGGCGAGAAGGCACTCTCCTCAACAGGCAGCTGAAGTCACAGTATTACATCAGAGAGTTCAAAAATCGTCGCCATGACCCACGAGGCCAATGGGCCATTATCAATAGCTTGTCTGGCAGAACAGCAGCGAGGGCTGCACCAGCAGCCACACTCGCTGATCTGACGACTACCTTCGCCGAGATCGTCCATGACCCTGCCTCGACCCGTTGCAGACACCAACGGCGCTACTCTTTTGGAGTTTGATACCGTCAGCATCGATGCCATCTCGAAGTTGCTTGAATCTCTGGCATCCAACAAAGCCACCGGCTCCGACGATATTCCTTCCTGCATCCTGAAATCCTGCAGAGATTCAGTCTCGTATCCCCTAACTGTTATTGTCAACCAGTCCCTTCGCTCTGGCATCTTTCCTGCTGCCTACAAATTTGCCCATGTCTGCCCTGTTACAAATCTGGTGATAAGAGCTCAGCCACCAACTACAGACCAATCTCACTGTCACCTATCGCTGCCAAGATCCTAGAGAAGGTTGTCCAGAAGCAAGTCACTTCGTATGTCACCCAGAATCCAGACCTACCTGCCATACCAGCTGAACAATTTGCGTACCGCTCACATCATAGCTGTCACACGTCGGAGGATGCCCTGACACTTTGCATAGACAAGTGGAACAGAGTACTTGACACTTGACAACGGTGACCAGTGTGGAGTAGTCTTTGCGGATATGAGCAAGGCGTTCGACCGTGTGCAGCGCACAGGTCTACTGGATGAGCTAGCCATCACTGGCTTAGGCGGCACTGTCCGCAAGTGGTTCTCAGACTATCTCATGAATCGCAGCCAGCAGGTTGCTGTCAATGGTGAGAAGGGTGACACCAAACCCTGTACAAGAGGGGTCCTCCCCCAGGGGTCTGTTTTTGGGCCATTGCTTTTCTGCATCTACATTCGCCGAGTACCCGAAATATTTCACCAAAGAGTCGTGCAGCTGTACGCCGATGATATTGCGTTCTACGTATTCGGCTCTGATGTGGCTACAATCATGCTACGCTTGCAGGATAGTATGCGCTTGCTAGAGCAATACCTCGATGAGAAAGGCCTTCTGCTCAACCCCACTAAGACACAGTTCATGTTGATACGGCGTCCTGCCCTGCCTGCACTGAGCCCAGCCCTGTACCTGACCTGTAAAGGTTTGGTAATTTCCCCTGTCTCTGCTGTGAAATACCTCGGCATACTAATCGATGAGCATCTAACGTTCCGCCCACAAGTAGAAAAGGTGTGTTCAGCGGTCTTCGCTAAACTAGCCTGTTTTGCTCATGGCCGTCGCAACTTATCAGCTACAGCTCAGAGAACTTTCTACTTGTCAATTATACTGTCTACTCTAGAATATGCAAGTACACTCGGACGTCTCTTATCCGGGCACCTTGGGACCGGGCACTGCCCGTATCTCAGGTTTGCCCGTATCTCAGGATAACTCACCTACCATGTATCATATCATTTTTTGAAGAAGTTTATTTGGCAAGTATTGCACATGTTCAGGTTACAGAAAGAATCCATTGATAAAAAATGAGTGGATCTCACAGGATCGCAGTGAAAAAAATTAATAAGCACTTGCGCATACAAAAAAAACCCCAAATTCAAAGCATTTTTGCCATAGGAACTCAAGCTGAAGGTGGCCCGGTAGAGAGACGTGCTCGTATCTGAGGCGTCCGGATAAGAGGCGTTTGAGTGTAATGCGTATGTGCACTGTTTGAAAACTACCCTATATAACAGGCTTTTAACGGTCAGCCATATTGCGATGAAGAAGGCATTTGGTTTAGATAGAATGACCCCAACTGCATTAGTTCTACAACGGTGTCATCTGTATTCGTTTGAGCAAAGAGTTAATTTGAAACTAAACGTTTTGGTCTATCGCTGCTTGTCATCAATTGCTAGCCCCCTCCTTCAATCACTGTTTCTCCTGTGTTCAGTTGGCCCGCACACAAAGGCTCGTACTCGTGGCCAGGATACAGCTGCCGTAGTATTACCTACTGTACATATTGGGTATGGACTGCGCTCAGTTTCTTTTCTGGCGGCAGGTTGGTGGAACGCTCTTCCTCCAAACTGTCGTCAGGCACAATCTGCTGGTACTTTTGCTCACCTCACAAAGACTTACCTAGGGTTCCCTGTAACAAGGTCATGCCTGTTGGGACTCCCCCTAATTAATTTCACGGTTCGCGTGAGACTCGGCTGGAAGCCGGGTTTTCCGCATCCGTAGGAACGCCACCACCCTTCAAGGATCAAGGCGCAGATGCAGCTCCTAAAGCGGTGGGAGGTGAGTAGATCAGCTCACCAGCAAGTGGTCAAAGACCGAAAATCCCATTCACTGCATCCATGTTTTCCTCGTGCCAGGCCACGAGTTCCCAATTAACTGTGGGTCGCAGCACGGCTGGAAAAAATCCTTCCGCTTCCAAGCAGGACTTGAACCTGGTACCCTCTGTTTCTCAATCATGGTATTAGACCATCCCACTATGCCTAGGGACTCCCCCTAGTCAAATAATAAATACTACTACAGTAAAACCTGTGTTTGCCGGACCCTGTACCAAGTGGAATCCTGTATTGACAGGACCCTGTACCAAGCGGAATCCTGTATTGACAGGACCCTGTACCAAGTGGAATCCTGTATTGACTGGACCCTGTACCAAGCGGAATCCTGTATTGACAGGACCCTGTACCAAGTGGAATCCTGTATTGACTGGACACATTTTCATGAACCAAAGTGCTGCAGATCGAACGTGTATTCCGGAATCAAGCGGAATCCTGTCATATCAGGACAGTTTCCGCTGCACCACGGGTGTCCGGCTAACACAGGTTTTACTGCATCTTCACCGATGCCTCGGTTCCCATCTGGGTATATCCAAGGAGCAGAACAAGGAATAAAAAAGCAAGTGTCTCCAAACTACACTCTTACATGTCTGTAGGAGTCACTGAGTTTGCGGTATTCGCTGGAATCAAATTCACCGACTGCAATCAGGAAGTTGAGAGAGTGTTTATCATTGACAAACTGCTTCATGCTCTGGACATTGTGGATGGGGCTGAGCTGCTTTGCTTCTTCCCTGTAGCAACACGTTCCAATAGACACAACACACTATTTACTACAGCCAGAGTGTCACGGTACTAATTCTGGTAAGTGCATTGGTGGGTGGGTGGGTGTGTACGGAGCCATACATCATTCTGTGAAACGTCATTGACATCAACAAAAAAGGGACTGCCAGAATTACCACTTAACTCCGACTTCATGTCACTCACCTCACTGTGAGAGCATTATACTACCAGTTCAAATAATACACTGCACGACTCCCACATGCCAACATCAATGCTCCAAATAGTAGTCGACTACCATATGCAGCATTGGCCGGATTATTTTGGCGATGATAGAACATGGAGAGACACACACACATACATCTACATGTACACACACACACACACACACACACACACACACGCACGCACGCACGCAGGCAGGCAGGCAGACGGAGGGACGAAAAGACTTTCTACAGTGCCATTGCCCCGTGCCACCTACTCAGATAGCCTCAGGAAGTCGTTTACGTAACTGCAACGCACTAAATACAGGTCAAGGAGGCCGCAGAGTGAAATCATGGCTGTAAAACGGCAACAGCAAAGAAAGCATAGAAGAGCAACACAGGTTTTGGACCAAGTACACCAAAGTTAGCAGCAGATATCACATCAGATAGATGCAGGATTGTGATTCTGTGAAGGAAAGCAATATCCTAGCTCAGTTGCCCTGGTCAAGGGGAAGTCCCTGCTACGAGTGCCGGCAAGAGTAGATAAGCAAGAGTGTGCAACTCGCGGATGGGTAGGCCCACGGCGGAATTTTTTGTTGACATAGTCTTTTCGACGACGCACGCGCTGCGAGTCTTTCGGAAAGTTTTCCCTCATGCTCTTGGCCGGCTTTACACTACAAGGTCGGTGCCCAGCACGTGCGCTCACACTGCTCTGTGGCAAAATGCGCGTTCTTCTGAAAAAAGGTGACGTCAACAAAAAATTCCGCCGTGGGCGGGGGTATCTGCAGATTATATAGGAGAGATCCGGAGTTACACACTCTTGTTTATCTACTCTTGGTGCCGGTGATGGGATCCGCATTCTGCAATCTTGGCTTGTAGTTTCCACTGGTGAAAAGAGAAGACTAATAGCCGATTCATACGACGGTCAAATCCGCGTTTGTCAGGTGCCCGCGGAAAGTGAAGCATGACTCCGCAGTTCACACGGCTGTAGGTGGCAGCCAGAGCTCCCGCGAGTAGACAGTGTTACCGTGGTGATACCGTAGTGATACGGAATGAGTAGCTTTCTCATCTAACCGTACCCAAAGGCAAAGGGCCGAACAAACACGGTTCAAGACTACCATACTGTCGTATGACAGTACGACCTCTCTGGCTCATAACTGTTTAAGTGCCTGCAGATGAGTGCACTCGCGGGCAAAGCGCTCCTGGACACTTTGGATTCCCGTGGACAAATTTTGGTCGCGCGCAGGAAAAACTCCATGGTGATTCCCTGTAAACGTGGATTTACCCGTCGTGTGAATCGTCTATAACTGGAACATTGATGAAAAGTCTCACACTGCTATACACCGCTGATAATGCCCACAGTCATTACGTTTGGTAAATAGTAAATACAGGAATTTAAGTTAACTCACAATGAAATCTTGATGGTTCTATTCCATACGCGTCCTTCCAGTTCACTGATGCCATACTTTGGGCTAGAAGGTGTGCACCAGCTGAGAATCCACATCCTACTATTCTGAACACACACACAGACACAGACACACACATGCGCGCACACCACACACACATACCCACACACACATACACATGCACGCACGCACGCACACACACACACACACACACACACACACACACACACACACACACACACACACACACACACACACACACACAAACACAACCAGATACAAAGGATTGGCATCGTAGAGCATAGCAAGATACGTTCATTTCGAGGGGGGGGGGGGGGTGAGTACGAAATGAATGAAATGAATCGTTTCAGGGACGACAAAAAAAACTTTTGCGACGGCCCCTAAGCTGGTCAGTCCATTGCGGCACTAACCTAATGACATAGCAACGTGAACCTTATAGCTTATTTAATAAGCTACACATACACACACCAAAAATATAATAATATTAGACGTTTCATTAACGAGTTTCGATAGATGTTCGTTGAGGGCAGATACACGGCTCGTTGAATTTTCACTTCCCAGAAGGCAACCCACTTTGCATTCTCAGGGTTGGTATACTGGGTACCGCTCAGAATCAACCACGAGCACATGAGCACTCTCAAGCAAAGCTACTATGAGTGAACTAAGGAAGGCAGTTTTCTTGTACCGAAACGCTACTCAAGAAAGTTTCATCAGAGGAGACTCATAGGAAAGTCACTCGTGAAACCTTCATATAATTCCAAATGCCCTACCTTGACGTGGAGAACCTACGGGCCACATAGGCAAATGCAGATTGAACTTCTTGCACCATTAGTGAGAGATGAGCTAGATAATGCACCAGAACAACATACAAAGTGCATGGAAATAGGCTATGACCACCAAACACAAATGAATTTTCTTTAAAATAGCGACGGTCATAGGACTCATAACTACATATAGAACTGCAATATACTGGCATTACTGGGGGTGCTTTAGCAACTACATGTAGAAGGAAAGTGGAAACTTCAGCTGGATAACCAATTCCCACAAAGCTGTGCATCGCTTTGGCAGCAAGTACTTCATGCCCATTTTGCACAGTAATGCAAGGTGCTCTAGGGATAAGAACATGAACTTATATAAAGGAAGAGAAAAAGCACCTGAGAAAAAGCCAAATGCAGCACTTTAGACCATGTTAACATATGCACGAGATGACAAACAAAAAGCACTCAAGTACTTCAGTAGGTCATAATAACCAAAGAGGTGTGTGGCTCCTATAACAAGGGTCAGAAAATTGGAATGGGAAGAAGTTACTTTGCACACACACACAGTGTACACATTATGCACAGTATACTGGCAGTGGGGCAGGTAGCTGATTGAAAAGGCCAGGTGAAGAGAATTGCATGTGTGCACATACTGCAGTGCAGCAGCATGTGTGTGCAATGCTTGGAAACATGGAACAGGTACATCTACAACGACCTGGCTAGAGAAAATGCAGATTACAGAGACGAGTAGATCTGCACGCATGCGTATGTGTAAAAGTTCAACATCACACGAAAGCTGTGATGGCACCAACAGTTACACGAAAAAAGGACTTCAGCGGGGGTATAATCAATTGGAGTACCTGAACCACACACTTTTCTGTGACCTTCTGTCACTGTGATCAGTTCAGCCAGTTGCTCTGATCTCCACAGATCAGCGATGAGACCTAAAAAGGTCGAACGCATATAGGAGATGTACCCTGCACTATACGATTCTATGCTTCAAGACCACAATAAAATATATTACAAGTTACACTTGTATGACAAGGGCTAACCTTTTGGTGCAAGGCTGTAACCAACTGTGACCACTACGATACCCCTGGGGCAAATAACATTGGCCATATGTCCAGCTTCCGCTGTGCTGCAAGATCACATACATGCATGCATACACCATGTGAATGTATGCACACAACCACAGCAAACACACATAGCATGGCAACATATCAGGAACACAACTTGCATGCATCCACCAGCAAACCCCATGATATTCCATGTGCAAATGTCAGAAAGAATAACATTCATGTACGTAGAGAGCCGGATACAAATACCCGCCAAACTAAGGACATAAAGAGAGAAAGAGAGAAAGAGAGAGAGAGAGAGAGAGAGAGAGAGAGAGAGAGAAAGAGAGAGAGAGAGAGAGAGAGAGAGAGAGAAAGAGAGAGAGATGGGGTATGGAGCCAAAACACCAAAGAGCTGAGCAGAATACTCACTCAGATACACACACAACTTACCTGATTGCCTCCCAGTTTCCACCATGAACATACACAAATACATACTTTGGTTCAAACTGTTGCTGATCATTATCACTGTTTTCTGGAACAAACAGAACAGAATACCAAAGAAAACATTGACAGTGCAGTATGAAAAGATATGGCTATGCATGGGTAGTCGGGTATCTACGCTACATGTGGACCTCATAGATAATATTCTACCTGAGGTAAACGTTGGTTCTTACTTCTATCTTCCTGATTTGGAAAAATCTTGGAGAGAGAGGAATACAACACACCAAAGCTAATAAAGAGGGTACTTTCCTCTTGTAACATAAAGAAGATACGATGAAAGTTTCAGAGCACAGGGCATGCAATATGAAGGGTACTGAAGATAGGAGCCATTTGTCCAGATATCTTAAAATATATTTCACTACAGCATTGAGAGAGAGAGAGAGAGAGAGAGAGAGAGAGAGAGAGAGAGAGAGAGAGAGAGAGAGAGAGCCTATTCAACATTACCAGGCCAATAAATGTCCACAGTAGATGTTTCAGAAACCTTGACATCAAGATCATGACGAAACTGATCACGTGCTTTCATTGTTTCTGTGGAAGAATGAAAAGTGGAAAATAATACTATTAATTTGGGTCTCACGCACAAACGCACATATACAATCACACACATGCACACACACACACGCACACACACACACGCGCACACACACACACACACACACACACGCGTACACACACGTGTACATACGTATGTGTCCACACGCATACACACATACTTCGAAGTATACATGTATGCACGTGCACACACACACACACATAGTCCACAGACACAAGCGTGTGCGCACACACAGCAGCACTCACCATTTCTGGCTATGTCTACATAATCTGCGATGATAGCACCTGGCGTGAAGGTTGCTGTAACTCGATTAGAACATTGACTTGGTGAATACTCCTTATCCAACACATCCTGGAAGCAGAAGGCACAAGGACAAATTTCATAGACTACTACAGTGCATTTCAAAACTATAGACGCGTAGGGTTTTTGAAATATTTCAAATTTGGCTGGAACTTTTTGAGAATAGTTTTCGGAATATTGCTCAGGATCGCTCCACAATTACTCTCATATAGTTTCTAAAGGATTGGATGACAGACGCCCAATTTGGAAAAATTTATGCACAAAGTGATCACAGATTTTATGTGGTATAGATGCTGGCATAACGGTTTTTGCCTAGGTACGCGTCTATAGTTTTGAAATGGACTGTAGTCCTCAAAAAGAGATGCCAGTGTGACATAGATACGTGTGTGTCTGACCAGGGCTGAAATTAGGCGTATAACCCCAAGCATATAACACTCACATCAAGCTTGATCTGCACCAGGTGCAACTGGGCTAGCCTAAGTGCCCGCCTATTCGTATGTACATATAACATCACTATAGTTAACTCAAAGACATCAAACAGATGCTACGAGATGCTCGTACAGTGAGACCTCGCTTTAAAACTCATACATTCGTTTTGCACGAAAATATCGCCACACCGTTTGGCAAGAACAGCCAGATAAAAGACCACCAAATAAGCGAGGTTTGTCTGCACACAATTTCTGCATTTCAGCCGAGTCATGGATATCAATTTCTTTCATGGGTGCACTCCTGCTGTTGGTATACATACCAGCTCGTTCATCCGCCCGTATAGTAGTAGTTATCGTATTAGGCTGGTATGCATAACACACAGATTCCTCTATCATCCAGACTCATGTATAGACAAGCACTGCACGCAACGTGCAGCTTGGTACAACACGTACAGTGTTTGCAGCGCTAGCAACTCTCAGGGCTCATACCGGTATATTCACAAAGTCTGATTTCACTTCCTAAGAATCCTTGGATATGTCATCGCAGAACAAAGAGAGTAAAATAAATCTGCCCCATTCATAGGGCAGAGTGGAGTTCCCTACACGGTGTTCTCAGTGCTTGTGTCATAGAGACCTGAGGGTGCCAACCTTGTGTCATACAGAGCTGAGGATGCCATCCTTGTGTCATACAGACCCGAGGGTACTATCATTGTGTCATAGAGACCTGAGGGTGCCATCCTTGTGTCATACAGACCTGAGAATGCCATCTTAACAAGGTAGGTGTTAGGTTGCTGGCTGGCACTTGCTTGAATCACAAATTTGAAACGAGCCAGGCTACTAGCATTTGGTGAACAGGTGCATGCCTGCACACAGTTATGCTGGAGTGCCTGCCTATGTGCTCACCTGATCGAACTAGGGAAATTTTGGCTTTGCACACAGGACGTGGTTTGATTCACCAATACATTGTATTGTACAACTTACTATTATCAGCAATCACGTGACCCAGCGCCTGAAATCCTTCATCGCGCGGATGTATGGTGCAGGGGTGGTGTGCATGGAACATTTTTTTCTCTCGACGTTCTACGCCTGCCTACACGTTATTCGTGTGCCCAGCACCTTCGATTTTGCATGATGGGCAAGCATACATGAATAGCTTTCCAACGGTGTGCCACATGTCATGACTCGTGGCACATCGTTTCTCTGATGTATCGCTCCGTATTTTTAGTTTTCAAAGCAAATTTTCGACATGTCAGCTACCTTGTCTGTCAATGACAGTGTCATTCTTCCCCCGTTCCGCGTCCTCGAATTAGTTTAGATAGATGCACGACAAGGTTCTTCTCCATAGCTGTTTTAGCCGTTTGAAAAGTGTGTGCCCAGCGGTTGAAGTCGACTATTAGACACCCTTAGCAAACAACGGTAACGCTATTTTTTTTACGGTACTCGTACCTTGATCACCCAAATAGCTTTGAAGCTGCAGCGTAAAAACGTTATGGGGGCTGATTTATCGTTGTGACCAACGGTACGTGTTTTGGCCAAATACTGCATAGTCCGTACGCATTTCACCTTGTATCGCGTATATGGTGACATAAATGGTTGTACCGCGCGAAATAAAAGCTATTATCGTGGCAACAGCGTACTAAAAATAGCGTGCATCTTGCTAAAGGTCGAACCCAAATCACGGTATTTCCCCCCTTACGGTAATACCGTTACAACATAACGTTTTTTTGCTAAGGGTGTCTATTGAAGTGCATGACGGAGCGAGCAGGCTTTTGACTTGTAAATCCATGGTCACTATTGTTCATTATGTTCCTTATGTCGAGACGGTGGACGTGCTTGAGTAGGAGCTGATGATTTCAATCCAGATCTGCCCAATCTGTGTAGAGCACATCCGGGATCCAGTCCAACATCTATGACGGTCTCTCCGCCAATCTCCCACGACACCGAAATTCTACATGTCGCGCATACATTGACTGTGTATTCATGATATTCATGACGTCGGAGAATCCCACTTAGTCTTTCGTGCCATCGTTCTGAGTATGGTCTCGGATGATTGCATACCAACTTCGTGGCCTCATAATTCCGTTGTGAGACAAGGTATTACCATGCCATTTTCAATGTGTGCTCTGCAGTGGCGCGTCTATCCATAATCCAGTCGCGTAATATTGTGGCCAAACTTCCAATCTTAAAATTTTGGATTGAAGCCGCTACTTAGTGTGAAAAGTACATAAAGAAGAGTGTAAAACTCCATATCTGCACTGCATAAAATCATGCAGATGCATGCCATTTGTACTCTTGATATTGTGTACAACGACATGACTATTGTACTGTCTTTTTACAGGTTCTATATTTGAAAAAACTTCTGAAATACAAATGGATATCTCACTTTTGACAGATTGGCCCTTGGGTTCTGAGCGTCCAGGATATGCTCCATGCCGCCACGATCCACACTCGGAGCCCTGCACCCGAACTATGTGCCTGACAGTGATATGAATACTCGCTTGTCACGGAAGAAACTGAGAATATACACGCAAGATTGAATATCACAAGCACTCTGACTCGCAGATAACGTAAATCACATGCATGACGTCAGTATGAATCAGGCCGGATAATTAATATTTGGATTTGAAATGAGTTGTCACAACTAATTACTTGTCAGATCCAGGATCATGCAGAGATATCTTTGACTGAAATAATTGTAGTGAAGTAATTTGTCTTGGTTATGCCAATGCCAATGGCCTCTTACTCGTGCTACGATAGGGTTGTTTTTGGGTAACTCCAAGTAACTCGATGCAAGAGCCTCTTCACACACTATTTTCAAAATGCATCGCTATTTCACTTCTGGGGTGATTATACTTGTTGCCGCAATTCTAATTCATTTTCTTGGCATCACCAAGCTGCTGCTTCTCACCAGTCAAATTGGACTGATAGTGGTCGCGGGAATTCTTGGTGCAGTAGTAGCGTTACGCACCGGTCGGCAACGAACATGGCGAGATTTCTCTGCTCCTCAGTTTGGTTTCATCTCCCATTCTATGTCAAAAGTGAGTTGTATTGTTGTTCAAACTGACTGGAATAGTGAATTACTGAAGTGCTAGTATTAGTGGTGAAACGAATGTCAAAACCTACTAGTCGAATATTCTTCAGCTTAACGAACGAATGAACGAATATTCTTTTGGTAACACAGATGACATCACATGCCCTACTCTCAGTCATTTGATGGATATTGTCAATACTAATTTATTATTAGGTATGACAAACGGTAGTGCCACGTAAAATGTACTGCCACGTAAGGGTACTTCGAAGTTCATACCTGTTATGTGCAACATTGGCAGTCCAGTATGGACATACATGTGCATGCATGCAGTACAAAGTCACAGGCAGGCTGTACCTACTGCACTGTACCATGTTCGGCGTGCATGTACGTACATGCACTGCATTCGAAGTGACGTAACGAATACTCGAATGTGACGTAACGAATATTTGAATGTGACAAACCGAACGAATGTTCGAATATTCGAATATTCGTTTCACCACTAGCTAGTATTGATGCTACTATGCTCATGGTTGCGAGTTCACGTGGAATATGATACTGTGTGATTAGAAAATTGCTAAAGGCCGAACAATTCCTGAGAAGATTGAAGAAGAGAAGAGAAGAAAAGATTGTATGGATGGGCGAGATCAGTGTTTTGCCAGTAATAATGTACTCAGTCTGTCTTATTCGAGTGGCCGTCAGCTAGCTGCTGCCTATAACATTGGAAATTTTGCAATTAAAATCTGTTTTTGGTCTTGGTAGTGGTGATATAGAAATGAAGAGAGTGCATGCATACCTTGTGTGTACCACCAAACAATCTACAATAGCATTGGGATCGTATACGTGTTTACTCATGAGCTTTGTATGATGTCACATGGTCACGTGGTAAATCTGGCGAAGTCGGGGCCCCATCGACATTTATTCCCGTAGCTATGCCAGAAGACGTTACTTCAGTAACGTCTGGCGCTAGCCAGGGTCCACACAGCTTTAATTTGGTGTTTGTTTGTTTGTTTGTTTGTTTGTGTCACGGCTGGAGCTATCCCGTATCTGTGACTACAAAGGCTCTACAGGATTGTACATAACAGCTGTCCACAATCTTTGCGGGGCCCTGTATCTGTCCCGTACAGTTACAATATTCGTCGTATTATGTATACGACTCCCTGATGTAGAGGGAAATTTGGAAAAAAAGGGAGACGAGGAGGAAATTAAATTAGAATAGACGCCGAATAGGTGATAGGATGCGTCAGCATAAACATACTTTGGAAGAGAGATCCCGTCGTCTCCAAAATAAGCGTGAACGAGCGATTCAGCGCCGGTCACAGGAAACGTCGGAAGAGAGATCCCGTCGACTCCAGAACGCCCGTGATCGGCAGAGTCCGCCGGTTCCAGGCAACGTCAGGACAGACATCGGGTTGAGTCCAGAACGCCCGTGATCGGCAGAGTCTAAGCCGGTACCAGGAAACGTCAGGACAGACATCCCGTCGAGTCCAGAACGCCCGTGATCGGCAGAGTCTAAGCCGGCCCCAGTAAACGTCAGGACAGACATCCCGTCGACACGCAGAAAAACTAAATCTGCAGCCTATTTTGCCGTCGGACAGGATACGTATTTTAGGAGACTGTAAAGTTATGTAATGTCCAAATTTCGACGTGAGCAGCAGGTCACTCGGGTTGATTTTTCGACGTGCGAGCCAAATAACGCGAGCTGAACTTTCGCATCGCAGACATCCCGTCGACGCGCAGAAAAACTAAATCTGCAGCCTCTTTTGCCGTCGGACAGGATACATATTTTAGGAGACTGTAAAGTTATGTAATGTGCTCCACAGGCAACCATGCATTCGGCGTCGTCATTGGCTCAACAGGTCAATGTACATGTATTACTACAAAAAGGCCAGAAAATCCGATTCCTGTATTAAAATCAACTAATTTTCGCTGGCGATTTAATTTCGCTGATTTCGCCGCTTGGTACCAACCGGCCGAAGTAAATCGCAGGCCAAAGTTTGTCATAATTATAGGCAAATGATGCATGATTGAGCAATGGATGCATGTGAGGAGCAAAAATACCGATCAATTTCAAATTTGACGTGAAATTGCGCGTCACGTCGGAAATAACGTGCACCTGACCCCTCTAATAGAGAGGTTTCTATTTCTCATCGGCCAAAATTTGTTGATTTACAGTATAAGGAGATAAAAAGAAAAGAAGGAGCAAACCAAAAGTAGATGATTATTCCCGTGGCTATGCAGAAGACGTTACTTCAGTAACGTCTGGCGCTAGCCAGGGTCCACACAGCTTTAATTCCCGTAGCTATGCAGAAGACGTTACTTCAGTAACGTCTGGCGCTAGCCAGGGTCAACACAGCTTTAATTCCCGTAGCTATGCAGAAGACGTTACTTCAGTAACGTCTGGCGCTAGCCAGGGTCCACACAGCTTTAATTTGTTGTTTGTTTGTTTGTTTGTTTGTGTCACGCCTGGCGCTATCCCGTATCTGTCCCGTACCGTACCGTACAGATCCAACCAAAAACAGCTGGTCACAATATTTTTGTTTGTTTGTGCCATCGGCATGCCTGACGCTATCCCGTACCGATCTCGTACCATCAAGAGTACGGTACTGTAGTGGGTAGCCGAGTAGTCGGGTGGAGGCACACACAATAAGACTGAATATTATGTTCTCCGGCTCAATCTGCCTGGAGGGACTCTGAACGGAATATAACTGCTCCGGCTCAATCTGCCAGGAGGGACTCTGTTCTGTTCTGCTCTAAACTAAACTGATCTCTGGTAGAGCAGATAGGGCTTATATAGCATAGACAGCATATACATGGCAAGGGGAGAAATAGTAGTGCAAGGAGAAGACGTACAAGGAGCTAACGTGAAAGGAATAGGTAGGAGGAAGAATGGACCTAACTTCCTAAGTAGCGAGCAACCATTAGGTAACAGGAATGCAATCTAACAGTATGAAGGAAACTAATGTGAATGGCAGGCAGGGTAATTGGGCGTGAAGGTTACTAAGAGGACAGCGGTTGGAAACGCCATTTGACTGTGTGCGAGCTAGGACATGGATTCTGGGAAGACATCTGGCAGAAGAAGAGAAGCGGAAGATATCTTAGAACTAGTAATCAAAAGAGTTAGTGATGAGGAACGGGCTATAGGAATCAATGTAATGTAGTACAGCATGAATGTGTGCAACATGTATACAGGTCATGCCGTACCGGTCTGCAGGCAGGGTTGTCTAGTAGTCCTACTTCAAAGTATTAAAGTGGTTGCTGGGAAAAGCACTTAGGAGTAATCGGCAGTGTCGCGTGCTGGCATGAATACATGTACTACTAGTCATGTGTAAACTGTAAAGCAGGGATACTACAGTACCATCAAGAGAATGAGTATATATGCGAAGTGTATCGGGGGAATGCATTCAGTGCAGTAACATATTGTGTGGATTTGTGTGCGAGGCCGAGATCCCACTAGCAGGCGGGCTGCGCCGCCTGTCGACCAGCCCGGGAATCGCATGTAGGCCCGGGCCGATAGCATAATAATTATAACGTGTTTACAGTCATGTAGATGTACATGTATAGCAGGGAGGCATATCATGTAAACGACTCCCTGCTGTATGGGGAGATTTTCTGGAAAGAAATACGAAGTAGGGAGACGAGTAAATGCAATTAGAATGGATGGTAGTTGACGTCAATATAATAATAATAAGAAGAAGAACAACGCCCGTGATCGGCAGAGTCAGCGCCGGTCCCTGGAAACGTCAGGACAGACATCCCGTCGACTCCAGAACGCCCGTGATCGGCAGAGTCAGCGCCGGTCCCATAGCTATGCAGAAGACGTTACTTCAGTAACTCATTGAAACGTTTTTGCAATAGAATGATGTAGCTTATCAAAGGAAAAAAAACATTTCCATCAGTTCTAACAACATGCACGATGAGCTAGTCAACAAAGCATAGCGCAGGGCCCTGAGCTTCCAAGCTCTCTCGTTGTGTTTCCATGCGTACATGCTCGATCGCTTGCAATTTCCTTCATTCTCTGCTCTGGGATTCCTAAAACGACTAAACTTTTACCAAGAACGTGTGTTTCATTCTAAAAACAGTTTAGCTGGAGGTTTGGAGTTTTTAAAAGAACATGCCTGTTCAACTTGTCTGCTCCATGTTCTTTTGTACACCGTTACTGTATGGACCTTACCTCATATCCTGTCAGGGTTAGCTGTCAGCATGGCTGTGCACTTGAATTCTGGCAAAGAGATTGAAAAGCAAGAATGGCAAGTCTCCCTGCAGCTTTGTAGAAGGCAAAACAGTCAGAGCAGACCGGTTTGTTTCCTTATTGCACTGCAACCATCAAACTCATTTCTACAATAAAGTAGACTAGAATGGTGTGAAGACTCCAATGCTGCATCGTATAATCATTTCACCAGGTGACCATTTCTCTGCGATATTATGGTAGAGAAATGGTGGTAAAACACATGCAAGCTCACAAAATTGGCAATGGTATGATATAATGTGCTGAAGCTGCTACATCACACTTGCTGTGATATGCTAGCAATGGTGCAAAAGTATTTATCAGAAAATTAATGCCGGTATCACTGTGTGGTGATAAGTTAAATTCACAAAAGTCTTCTTTACTACAGTACCTTCATACAAAGGAAGTCCTACCTGCGATGTACGTTTAGCAACATGTATGCATTATCAACAAAGCCCATTAATTGAACCATGCATGACTATCAGACTACATTCCAGTGTAAGAATTAGCAACCCTGATCTACATTTAGCAGAGTGGTGTCGTACTATCTAGCTTTCAGCAGCCGTGGGCGAGTTGTTTATAGCTACTATTATACCACTTGCACTGTTCGCCATTCCTTTGTGTGTATGAGCCTATGCATTTTACCCTGTTGTTCTAGCTACTCTTCTTTGTGCCGTTGTTACCACATCACTACTGTATAATATTCATTGTGCAGTGCTTGGTCAGTTTCTTTTTGCCTGTACTCCACCTGACGAAAAGGCAATGAGAGTATTTGTGGAAGAGCTTTGAGGATGTTGATTGTGAGAGGCCGGAAGCTTGTTCTTTTCTTGAGTTAGCCAAGTCGTTGGTGTTCAGCATTGATACAGAGGTGCATAAGAAATTGTTAGCTCAAAGTAATTATGATATTGAACGGACACTACATACTGCGAACAGAGAGTGGGTCCATAGGGCTTGAAAGTGATGACGTCAAAACAGCCAGGGAGTAGTAAGTTGACATCAGATTTCTATTTTTGGATCCACTAAGGTGTGACTTTGCTATTGCCTAAGTATGTGGGTGCATAGCAACCCACTCATGTCGCATGCAGGTGTGACTTTTATTTCGCCACCAGTTGTAACCCCGCCCCCAGTAACCAAATCAGTCAGTTTCACTGGCTACATCACCATGCTGTGGGTAAGACCGCTTGAAATGTGCTTGGATCCATACAAAAACTGGATCCAAGTGGATCCAGTTTTTGAATTTTTGAAATTGTTGCTATGCTGTGACGTAGCACTTTCAAGCCCTATTGTCAGCAGGTGGTCTCTCTGCAGCATGCTGTTTCTATGTGTATTTCTTCACCCCCGGACACGCCCAAATTCGTACCGTATTTTCCGGAGTATAGTGCGCACTTTAGATGTGCTATTTTAGGCCCTAAATCGCAGGTGCGCACTATGCTCCGAATATGAAATGCATGTACTTCAATGAAGATTGGAGTGCGCACCCCCAATGAAGATTGGGGGGTGCGCACTATACTCCGAAAAATACGGTACATGTACCAAATTCCTAGCTGGCCATGATTATTTTTTTGTTGTTGGTACTGTTTAGACTCCTCTCTATCGACCAAAGCGGTTGCAACCATCACTCAAATCGAGAGTGTTAGATAAAGCTATACATGAATGTAAGTAGCACCGGCTTGTTAACCACCACTGTTTTCTTTCCCTGTTAAATCAATACATGAACTATGTCCAGTTCAAAGGAACATGTAAACACGTTTCATGGGCAATGAGTGTCTTTCTTTCATATCTAATGTACATGTACGATACATGTCCCATTGGAAATTCATCTCCAATTTCTGTTCATTGTAATTTGTTGCTGGTAAACAGATTCTGTTCTTCATGAAGTCGGTAGTTTATTATTACCGTTGCTTCTGTAGTTGGTCGAGCATCAGGGCAGTTGATATCTGTACTACAAAGTACAATGCTCATTGATAACATGTGTATGATCACAGCAGCACTCATCTTGTTGAGTGATAATGACCTGCAGAAGCTCAACAGTCTAGTGTTGTGTGTTAGTCCAGTCTGATTCGCAGAACTGTAAGCTTAACATAGTTAGTGCTTCTGTACTGTTGTTGTGTGCAGTGCTGGAGCTGCTATTACGCGACTACCTACTAACTTGGTACAATGACATCGGAAAGGATCAAGAAGGCTTGAAACGCCAGCTACTGTAAGAGGCCATGCTTACTCCTTTCCATAGCCAAACAGTTACTCCTTTCCATAGCCAAACAGTTACTCCTTTCCATAGCCAAACAGTTACTCCTTTCCATAGCCAAACAGTTACTCCTTTCCATAGCCAAACAGTTACTCCTTTCCATAGCCAAACAGTTACTCCTTTCCATAGCCAAACAGTTACTCCTTTCCATAGCCAAACAGTTACTCCTTTCCATAGCCAAACAGTTACTCCTTTCCATAGCCAAACAGTTACTCCTTTCCATAGCCAAACAGTTATGAACTGTGCAATCTACCGGATCCTACCAGACTCTGGTACCACAAAGGACGAAGGAGTTCTGTCTGCAGATTGAGTTGATGTTTGAAGGGAGAATCTTTATCAACCTCATGCATAAGAACTTCTCTACATTGTATTACAGTGTCTCCTAGTCCTGCCATATCCATAAGAACTACTCAACATCACGTTGCAGTGTTTTGATTCAGGGTGTGTGTGTGTGTGCGCAGCAGTGTTTTGATTCAGGGTGTGTGTGTGTGTGTGCGCGCGCGCTCGTGCGCACGCGTGCGTTATTTGAAAGGTTTGAATGCCTAGACTAGCATTTGCTTGAAGAGATCGCCATGGTCCATTGTATGTTTTACTTGACCGACTGTATTGTTTCTTGTTTCTTCTATCAAGGGAGAATTTGCTCTTTGCAATTGAGAAGCTGGCAGAGCGCGGCAGTGCCGTGGACTGGGTGCGTAGTGCGTACTATGTGACTTTCTTTCATCAGCCCTCACGTTTTGTGGCATGTATTGCATGATTGTATTCAGTGTTGATTGAACATAGATTGCTCATAATGTTTGTTTTCAATAGCCATTATTGGACAACCCTGGGATTTTTTTCCTTTCCTCCGCTCACTATATTCCATGACGATGTTACAGGTTAAACTGCTGATGGATGACACGGTTGTCCGCTTGACTCGCCACTTTCAAGATATGAAGAATTTCCATAATAGGTACGTACGTACCTGGTAACTACGTAGATACTGCTGTGGAGTGACCTAAATCGTGATGAGTGATTGTTATCCTCAGGATACCGAACCATGAACTAGGCCTGTGTTCAGGTGCAGTCTAACATGGCATGTACCGGTACTAGTATATGACTGGCTGTACATGTGCACACATTCACTCTGCGTGCGTGCGTGCGTGCGTGCGTGTGTGTGTGTGTGTGTGTGTGTGTGTGTGTGTGTAGGGATTCACTGGCCAGAAAAAAAGCTACTTCATAGCCGTGTGGTGTAGCCAGGATGAATAATGGCGGTTAATTCTTCAGCCTTGTAAGCTGTTGAATGGTGCAATCCCAGCACAACCTGCTATGGCTTCTGCTGTAGCATCGCTATCATCGCCTCCGGCGGTGGGCGTCAAATGGTCGAATGGTGTGTGTGTGTGTGTGTGTGTGTGTGTGTGTCCAAACTGTCGGAAGGCTATCCTCTTGCCAAAACATTTTGGAAGTTGGACTAGTTTCGGCTCCACAATCCAGTGTGTCGTTACTACATAGCTTTCATGGCTGAGGTTGTTGGTACGTCTGTTGGTCCTGAGTTCCCAGTACCCAGTTGCCGAGGCTGGTTGGTAAAATAACTTCAAGGTACCAGTGCATCTAGTGTCTGCTTTTATCAAAGCAGTGTGCTGTCTATACTGGTTACCCCAGCAAGTGTAGGGTGTGCATAGGTGACTGTCTTGGCCGTCCTATTCTGATATACCCCGTGTGGTGTAGACCAGGTGTGCATTGGGGGGTCGATTCACATGGCTTCGCCAGTTGTGTGGATTAGACAGTTATCTGGCGCTTGTCTTGATCTGTTTCAATCTGAATCAGATCCGCTATCGTTGCTATAAAGAGAAAATCTGTGGGTGCAGATCCAGTGCATTTGCAGATTTGCGTGCTTCTCTTGCGACGGGTGTGTACATGGTACATGGTACATGGTGTGTGCATGCGTGCGTGCGTGCGTGTGTGTGTTTGTGTGTGTGTGTGTGTGTGTGTGTGTGTGTGTGTGTGTGTGTGTGTGGCACTGTGTGGCACTGTGTGTGTGTGTGTGTGTGTGTGTGTGTGTGTGTGTGTGTGTGTGTGTGTGTGTGTGTGTGTGTGTGTGTGTGTGTGTGTGTGTGTGTGTGTGTGTCACTGTGTGCGTGTGTGTCCCATATGGTGCAGTGGTATGTGCAGCGATTTCCAATCGATAGGTTGCGGGTTCGATTCCCGACGATTATGGTCACACACGTCTTTCTTCTCTTTCTCAGACTCTTCCTGACTTTTCTTTCATTCTCCTGGGTGGTTACCAACAGCCAGTGCATGCCGGAGTATGTGGTGTGATGTGTGTGCGGGAAAAAATAAAAAGACCAAAAATTAGGGATTCACTGGCCAGAAAAAGCCACTTCATAGCTGTGTGGTGTAGACCAGGCTGAATAGTGGCGGTCAATTCTTCAGCCTTGCAACCTGTTGAATGGTGCAATCCCAGCACAAGCTGCTATGGCTTCTGCTGTAGCATCGCTATCAACGCCTCCGGCGATGGGCGTCCAATGGTCCAATGGTGTGTGTGTTTGCATGTGCTTTTGGTACATTCATCATTCTTGTGTGTACATGTATATATGTGTGTGTGTGAATGTGTGTGCAGTCTGCCACCACCTGGAAGTGACGTTGCAGGTTTTGTTGCTCACCCGTGTATCAAGAGTGAAGCTGCAGAAATCACTTTCCTACGGCATGCGTCAGATGTGAGTGCTAGAATTCAGTGATGGCTCTTCACTTACATTTATGACAAGATGTCTCAAGCCTGCTTATCTGTATGTTGAAAATGTCATAGTGCACACCCTAATACTCTATTTCCATCGAAAGGAATGCGTGAGAATGTATGCAGACCTCATCCTTCTGATCCAGCAATGATTTGGTACCATCACGGTCATGCATGTGTAATGTATTGTTATTGATATGCATTCTTGTGTGATTGCCACCACTGTCGGTTGGCATGCAGGTGTTGCTGTTCACATTGCTACCAGAAAGCCATGTCCAATGCTCCAGTATGCGTGGTCTACTGCGTGAGCTGATTGTTTTCAAAGGTACATGTACCATCAGTGCTTGCTTAGTCGATCGTGTTGTATGTATCCACGTTGCATGTTCTGGAAATGCTTAGCATAGTATGCGATACCAGTGATTTCTGTAGTAAGTATGTGATACCGGTGATTGCTGGTAGTATGTGATACCAGTGATTGCTGGTAGTATGCGATACCGGTGATTGCTGGTAGTATGTGATACCGGTGATTGCTGGTAGTATGTGATACCGGTGATTGCTGGTAGTATGTGATACCGGTGATTGCTGGTAGTATGTGATACCAGTGATTGCTGGTAGTATGTGATACCGGTGATTGCTTGTAGTATGTGATACCAGTGATTGCTTGTAGTATGTGACTACATGTATGTGTGTATGTGTGTACGGTTGAGGCATAGATAATCTCAAATTCTTAATCACATCAGCTGCGATTGGAGGGCAGTTCTCGTCTAACACGGAATAGTTTGGCTGAGCGACATAGAATGATAGTCCTATAATTGGCTCTTTGAAATTCACTATTCCCTATTCCAAGCAAGAGAATGTTGTCCTTTTGGTGCTGTGGAATTAGCAAGTTGTGGTTGCTGAATCTAATGTTTCCTTGTGTGGACTGCTTTTGGTCATGGTCCCTATCTTTTTGTCATTGCTATCCTAGTCCTACGGCCTCTTGTGGATGGTTTATGTGATCCTGATTATATCAATCAAACACTGCTCAACTACTTGACATATCGTGAAAGCCTCTCGAAGAAGGCCAACATGCCCGGTTCTGGATACCGATATGCCGCTACCTATGAAGGTAACTCCTGAATTGTCTGACATTTCAGTTCAGTGCGTCGAAACCTGAATATTTTTTGTATGCAGATTTTAGTACTACGTTCGGTGCACCCAGTGTGCACTGCTGATACTTGATAGTGCATGGCCGATAGCATCCTTGTGTTGCTTGATGATTGCGTAAGCATGCATTGCAACTCAGAGTAGCGACAAACTAGCCTGACCTTTGTTGTTCTGTGTAGATACGCTAGGTAGGTAAAAGCTGATTGGTATGTACATGTACCGGTGCTATCAACATGATGTGTATTGACCACTTCACTAGTGACCAAATCGAATGCTCTCAATATTGGGAGCACATGCTGAGTCAAGAAGTAAACAAATTTATGTGTAACAGCTGACTTTTTGGTACAAGCTGGGTGGAATTTAGTGAAAGTCGAGAATCCCATCCGTATTTCACACTGCTCTTTCCACTGTGAGTGGTAGATTCACCAGATTTTTGGGTCTTTGGTTTCACTTTGACTTTTTTGGCTTAAGTGCAATTTTCCAAGTAAGCCCCCACCCATGGAGGGATTCAACAGTGTCTTGCAGGCTTGCAGCAGCTTCTTATGGCTGCAAAGGGTCATGTCATTGGCTTATACCTCCAGATTAGTGCCAGGCCAGAGACACTGTTCAACATCATTGATGTACATTAGAACTGCGATTGGCTTGAGACTACTTCCCTGAGATACACTGGCTTTGATTGGGTAGGTGTGAGTGTTGCTGATACGTGCCCATAGAGTTGAGTTTACATGTGATGCAGTTTACATGTGATGCATGTCAAATTATAAAGTAACTGGAATTCCTGTATCTGCACACAGTGCTTAGTGCATATAGTGGCACAGCGGTCTACACAGGAAAGCAGCAAAGTCCGTCAATGTATTCTTGTGTAATGCATGCATATATGATGCATTTGTGCTGTGTTGTGTTCAGATTTTATCAAGTTTATAACTGAATGCCGAGATCGCGCCCAGCTGGAAGGAATCCGGTATGTTCTGTAGCTGCTGACTGACAATAGTTTCTCCTTCCTGAAATCTATCATGCAGTAGTGTGCTGCCCTAAGGACGACCTATCTGGAGTTCATGTCTTTGTGTACATGTAAAATGTACCATTCACTACATGCAGTCATTGAATATGGAGCACTGGTAGCATCAGGAATACATTAATCAGAATGTGCAGTGTGCTGCTGGTCTGACCCGCGGCAGAACCTTCTGTCGACGTCAAGGTTTCCCAGCGACCTTGAGACCCCATCCTGTGCAAGATGCATGTATTAGATCAACCTTGTTTGTACATGCATCATGTTATTGGTTGACAGCATGTACCTTGTTACATGCTGTCAACCAATAACAAGATGCATGTACTTCAAGTAGCGTGGCTAACATACAGGGCACTGAAGTGGGGTTGTATCTTCGAAACTCACGTGTTGCGTGCAGTGTAGGTTTTCACTCCAAGGTTTGGAGAATACAACTGGTGGCACTTGAGGTTGCAAAACGTAGGGTGTAAGCAGTTAGTTTTCCAATTATGTATTCGTACGTGTTGACCAATGATCGGAAAATTTGACTTAGAAGAAAATTCCTCTGTAAGCGGAGTTGCCCACTCGTGTGCATATACCGTAAGTGACATTGGTATAGTACATGTCATGCTGTACTGTTTGCTGTATTGTTTGCTGTACTGTTTGCTGTATTGTTTGCTGTATTGTTTGCTGTACTGTTTGCTGTATTGTTTGCTGTACTGTTTGCTGTATTGTTTGCTGTATTGTTTGCTGTATTGTTTGCTGTATTGTTTGCTGTATTGTTTGCTGTATTGTTTGCTGTATTGTTTGCTGTACTGTTTGCTGTATTGTTTGCTGTATTGTTTGCTGTACTGTTTGCTGTATTGTTTGCTGTACTGTTTGCTGTATTGTTTGCTGTATTGTTTGCTGTATTGTTTGCTGTATTGTTTGCTGTATTGTTTGCTGTATTGTTTGCTGTATTGTTTGCTGTATTGTTTGCTGTATTGTTTGCTGTTGTTATCTGTATGTAGATACCATGTCATATCTGAGATCATGTTGATCACAGCAGCATTGAACTTCTACAGCTCCTCTAAAAGCATGAGTGCTGAAGGTTAGTCTGCTGGCTTTAAGCTGCCAGGTTCAATGCTTGACGTGTGTGTGTGTGTGTGTGTGTGTGTGTGTGTGTGTGTGTGTGTGTGTGTGTGAGTTTTCTCTTGAGAGAGGAGGAAGCAGTTTTTGGGGCTCCGAACTCTTCTTTCTTCGTAGTGAGTTTAGGGCCACGGGCTGGCTCCTGGCTTCTGCCAGGGCCAGCCCTGGTGAGTAGAAAACACTTAGTGACGCGGTGTTAGACAAGGCAGTCTTCATCTTGCTGCCGCGGAGGAGGAAAAATTCAGCGTTGACGACATGGCCACTTCGGATGTGACCACTCGCGCTGACCCTCTTTCGCCTGGGTGTAGAGGTCTTGCAAACCCTCGCCCAGAGTCTTTTCACTCGCGTGCACCAGCGGCTCGAAAGGTTGTTCTGTCTCTGGGAACGTGGAACGTCAGGACTCTTGTCGACACTGACGGAAATTTGAATACGGCGTCCAAAGCAAAAAAATCAAGGAAAGTTTGTTCGAATATTCGCGAGGAGAGAAAAATTGACCTTGTGTGTCGTCAGCTCAAAAAGTATGGAATGGACATCGTTGGCCTCCAGGAGACGCTTTGGTTTGGCTCTCATCAATATACTGTCGGAGATTGCTTAGTTTTGACAAGTGGTCGCCCAACACCGACTGGGGATGAGCCTGCTCGTCGTGGTGAAGGGGTTGCTGTCGTTTTGCGAGGCAGATGCAGGGAGGCATTTGAACGCGGAGGCTCTCGCTGGACGGCGGTCAGCTCCAGACTCCTGTCATTGCAGGTAAAATTCGTATGTGGTCGGAATCAATCTGTGTCTTGCCTGCACTTCGCTGTGGCGTATGCCCCCACGTTTGTCAGGCCCCGTGAGGAGAAAACTCAATTCTACGCAGATGTCCAGTCCTTCATTGACAGTATTCCCAGGAACGATCAATTCGTCCTTCTTGGTGACTTCAACGCCCGCGTTGGCAGTGCTGGTGCGGATGGTGACTGGTCAGGTGTCAGAGGCCCTCATGGTTTTGGTCGAATGAACTCAGCTGGAGAGGATTTGCTCAATTTCTTGTCCAGAAATGGTGCCCTCATATGTAACACGTGGTTTCGGAAGAATGATGTTCATAAGCATACCTGGTTTCATCCTCGATACAAACAGCCTCACTGCATTGACTACTGCATCATTCCTCAGAGCCGACGCTCCCAGTGTATTGATTGCCAAGTCATCCGGTCTGCGGAATGTGATACCGATCATAAATTCTTGGCTATGAAATTGCGCCTGGCAGAGAATCCCTGTTTCCATCGTACCCGTGCTGTCATCAGAAAACCCATTGCTGTGTCCAAGCTGTTGTGCAAGCCTGGCGGAGATGACGAACCGGACACTCGTAGGGTCTTTCGCGACATGCTGGATGCAGAGTTGGAGGGAGCCTGGTCGCATGAGCCATCCTTGGATGACTGGTGGACTACCATCAAGACAACAACTATCAAGGTTGCAGAGGATTGCTTGGGCAGAGAGAGCCGTAGACAGCCGGAGTGGTTTCGGGATAGTCAGGCAGAGCTTGAACCTTTCCTACTGGAGAGGGATCGGCTGTTTGCTGTTTGGGTGTCTACACGCAAAGTCAGTGATTGCAATGCCTATAAGTGTGCCCGCAGCTCCGCGCGGAGGGAAGTCAGACGCGTCAAGCAGGAATGGCTACTCAACAAGGCCCAGGATTGCAAACGTTTCAGCCTCACGTCCAAGGGTGGCTGGGAGTGCATCAGACACATCCAGGCTGCGTTTCAGGGACTAAAACCGAAGGTCACAACAGCGATCAAGAATTCAATGGGACAGGTTTGTGACACCCCCGAGGCCACGAACATGCGGTGGCGGGAGCACTTTGGGGGAGTTCTCAATATCGTCAGCGACTTTGACGTGGAAACCCTCGACTCTATTCACCAGCGTCCGGTCTTGGGGGAGCTTGCGGATGTTCCCGACCGTGTGGAGATTCGTAAGGCCATGCAAGCACTGAAGAACGGCAAAGCTTGTGGTAGCTCTGAAGTCTTTGCCGAGATGCTGAAGTATGGTGGTCCTGTTCTACTGGGTAAGCTGCAGGCATTGCTGGAGGAGGTATGGCGGGCTGGTCGAGTACCGCAGGATTGGGTGGATGCCATCCTGGTCCCTATCCCCAAGAAGGGTGATCTGAGTCTGACTGATAACTGGCGCGGGATTGCCCTTCTCGACGTGGTTGGCAAGCTTGCTGCACGGCTTATAGCGGACCGTCTGCAGCGTGTTGGGGAACAGTATCTGCCTGATTCTCAGTGCGGTTTTCGCAGAGGCAGGGGCTGCTCGGATATGGTATTCTCTGTTCGGCAAGTCGCGGAGAAGTTGCATGAGCATTCTTCCAAGGGATTCGCAGTATTCATTGACCTCCGAAAGGCCTATGACTCGGTGCCGCGGGCCGCCTTGTGGAGGGTGCTTGCAAAGCTTGGCGTACCAGAGGTGCTGGTTTCCGTAATTCGATCGTTCCATGTCGACATGTCAGCATCTATACGCATTGGTGGCGAGCTGTTGGAGCCGATTGCGGTGGGGAACGGACTGCGTCAAGGATGCACCATGGCCCCGATTCTTTTCAATTTGTACATGCTTGCTGTTGTCGAGAAATGGCATGAAGCAATAGCTGGTGACGACGAGATTGGACTATCAATTTGTCAGTTTCGTCAGGACAGACTGTTCAACACGCGTCTCCGAGCATACACCAGGGCTCCACTAACGGAATGCCAGTTTGCGGATGACTCTGCACTTCTTGCCAAGACTCACCCCGGCGCAGAGAGAGCACTCGCTGGGTTTGAGACTACTGCTTCTGCCTTTGGGCTCAAGGTTAACATGGCCAAGACAAAGTTCATGGCTATTGGGACTGGGGTGGTGAACGAGGACATGGCACCTTTAAACGGCACGGTGGAGCATGTGCACTCCTTTCGTTATCTTGGATGCCATGTGACACCGGATGCCAGGTGTACCTATGATGTGTCGCGTAGGATTGCTGCTGCATCGGGCGCTTTCCACAGTTTGAAGGATGCAGTGTTCTACAACTCGGACTTCACCATCGGCATCAAGCGTGTAGTCTATGGCGTCACTGTTCTGGCTGTCCTCCTGTATGGTTCTGAGACTTGGACAACACGGCAAAGGGACCTGCAGCGGCTTGACGTGTTTCACCATCAGTGCTTGAGGATGATCTTGCACATCGGTCGTGCACGCCAGATTGATGAGCACATCTCCAATTTGCAGGTGCGGAAATGGTGGGGCGACTTGGAGCAGCCGGCTGACAAGATTCGCAGGCGGCGGCTGCAGTGGCTGGGCCATATGGCACGTATGCCGAGGGGCGACCGCATCCCTCGTCAGCTGTTGTTTGGCTCCTTGCCATCGAAGCGCCCGCCCCATGGTCCGAGGAAGCGATGGAAGGACGTGGTGCGGACCGACCTGGCGGCAATTGGCATTGAGCCCAATTCCTGGCTCGACGTGGCAAGTAATCGCCGTGAGTGGAAGTCCCAGTGCCTTGATGGGGTGGATCGTATTGTACTTGCCCGTCAAGAGCCTGTCGACAAGCCTCTGCTTTGCGGTGTGTGCAACCGCAGTTTCCGCCGCCGTCAGGATATCGCACGGCATCGTTGTACATCGCGGCGTTCAATAGCAATTATAACCCGTGGGAATGCGCCGTCACGTCAGTCGTCGGGTCCTGGTGCCGCTTCCCGGAGACAGCGCTAATCCAAGAGCTGCCCCGTATGGGGCCACTTAGCCAGTCATGGCAGTGGAGAAGAAGGAAGGAAGTGTGTGTGTGTGTGTGTGTGTGTGTGTGCACGCGTGCGTGCACGCGTGCGTGCAATCAGTAATCACCTGTATCACATACTACCAGCACAGTTGCACTTGTTCTGCTCTTCCTTTCAATGTTGATTGATGCCAACAGAACGTCAAGCCTTGGAGAGTCTTGTTTTGTCACGCGATAGGTTTGCACGCATGAAAGATCGCAATCTGAAGAGATACTTCAACAATGTGAGTGCACACACACACACACACGCAACGCACACACACACGCACACACACACACACGCACGCACACACACACACACACATGCATGCACATAATCATCCAACCAGTAAGACTACATTGCAAGACAATGGCAGTTTTTGTTGCATTGCTGAAGGATATCAGTCTTGTACTATAACCGTGTCACTAGGACTACTGCAGACCCACAACCGAACTCATAGTTACGTTTCACACTGATTTAATTCCATGAGGTTATTGTTGGGACTAAGAAAAAGAACTAACTAAAAACAATGTTGGGAGAGCAAGAACCATGTCGCACCATACCGGACGCATGCGCATGGTGCATCGAACCGGAACTAAAGACTAAAGTACAGAGCACGCGAAGGTGCAGTACATGTATGCGCTTGCAAGCAGCAGTGTCAGGAATGCAGTGAATCGCACACACCGCACGGCAGCCACCGTTAGCACGTCATGCAGTCTATACAACGCAGTGGCTCATGATCATGAAGAGAAAGCGCACACCAACCGCACGAAGCCTATAGATTAGAAGATAAGAAGCACACCGCACATGCAGTGGAGCAAGGAGTCACGCACGACTCATCCCTGAACGACAACGCCATGCAAGTACTCATGTACACAGGAAAGAACACAAACAGTGCACACAGCAACGAACAGAAGCAGCTAGTACACGTACTTGTACTAGGAGACATTCACACAACACCATGAATACTAGCTAGTGTCAGCCAGGATGGTGGAGGGGGTCACCATTACACTTCATCCCTCCGCCTGGTGACATTTCCTGCCAAGCAGCATCAATCCTGGAAGCGAGCTGGTCGCTGGATGCCTTGTCGGTTTCGAAGATCCATGCGGACATGCTGGCCATCGGCAGCAGGCTCCTGCGGATCAGGGAGCCATCCAAGCCAGCCATCTGCTTTGAAGCTGTCACCCTCCTGGCCGTCATCTCCATCAGGGAAGTTTTCCGTTGGCAATTCCAGACCTGGCCGTGGAGCATCCGGCTTGATGAGTTCCACGTTCACCACCTTCTCTCTCGAGGGGATCTACCATCAGACCTCCGCCAGATCACGACAGTTGATGGAGAAATGACTTTCTTCACAGTCCAGCCGGATTCAAAAGGCGGCAATCGCTTCTGACGACGACTAGGCATCCGCAGCATGACTGCATCTCCAGCCTGGTAAGCGCAGGGCAGCACCTCGTCATGGCAGTCGCCTTCCGACATGGCGTCTTCCAGAAGGTCTCGGATCCTAGCAGATCGTGCTGCGTGTTCTGCTTGCCACGTGTCAAAGTCGTACCTAGGGCGTCCATCGTCAATCAACACAGGTGGATCCCACCCAACCATGGCCATCATTGGGGACATGCCAGTCACTGAATGCGGTCGAGAGCGGTAGAAGTGGACCAGCATCTGAAGATCGTCCATCCAGTCCGATGATTCGTCGAGGACCTTCCTGATGAGAGTCAGCAATGTCCGATTGTACCTGTCGGCGGCTCCCTGGGATTGCGGATGGCGAACGGCACCTGTCTTCACCCTCACGCCGAACACTTGAAAGACAGACTGGACAATGGCATTGCTGAACTCAGTCCCATTGTCCACACGGATGACGTCTGGTGGTCCCCACCTACAGCACAAGCTCACGAAGGCCGAGGCAACACTGGGCCCGTCGTGCCGTTTCATTGGCACTATTTCCACCCACTTTGTCAGCACATCCACGCACACGAGCACGCAGTGGTGTGTCCCGCCACGGTTCAGCCCAAGCTCCAGGGTGTCCATTTGCACTGTTCCCCATGGTCGACCTGGGATCTCTGCTCTGGCGCTGGGGGCTGCTGGGCCTTTTGCTGGACTAGCGGCTTGGCAGTTCTGGCACCCCTTGACGTGGTCTTGGCAGGCAGACGCCATCTCAGGAAAGTAACAGTGCTTGCGGAGCAACTCATACATTGGCTGCCAGGAAGCATGACCAGTGTTGACATGAGCAGCAGTCACGACATCAGGCACTAACAACTCGGGAACGACTGGCACATTGACTTCCCCTTCCACAGGCAGCTTCAGGCTCCTGACTAGGCGGCCTTCCTCCACATGAAGCTGACCGGCGCAACTGCGGAAGCGCCGACTTGCTACTGGCTGGCCAACTTGAATCTGCTGAATCACTCCTTGGATGACCTCGTCCGATGCCTGGGCTTTGCCCAAGTCATCGCTAGAGAAAGGGCTAACAGCCACAGCCCTCGGCAGACTGGCCACAACATCAGAGCTCTTCTTCGGCCAGTTGAACGGCACGCGCGTCAGCTTGTCTGCAAGGTTTTCAGTCGTTGGCACCCACTCCACAGTCACCTGCATCTCCGTCATGCTAAGAAGATCATTGACTATCTGCAGCCGACGCTGCACCAGAACCTCATGCAGACCACCAACCCGGACGCGACGTGACCCACCAACAACCGAAGCCAGCCGTCCCGCAGTAGTCTTCGAGTCAGTCTTCAGAACCACATGCGTCGCGTTCCACCTCGTGGCTAGCGTGAGGGCCTTAATGGCAGAGTCAAGCTCAGCAACATTTACATGGAGCTTGTCCCCTGCAGGCCGAAGCCATGATGCATCTTCCACAACGGTCCCGTCGAGCTCAAGAACGACACCAATAGCTAGGCCAGATGCATCGCACCACGCAGTCCAGGTGGAGTCAGCCTGCGCGTGCACGTCCCACTGACCATGCACCGGATCGTCGGAGGAGAGCCTCGCGAACAGCTCTTGGCAGCATTCAACAAGGGTTTCCGGCAGTGGATCGTCCCATCCATTGCCACCTGCAGCAGTCGCCAGCCGCTTCAGGTAACTGCAAGCAGGCCTGAGCCACGAACAGACCGGGTAGTGGCCAATAAGGCGTCCACACCACGAGAAGACCTTGCGTCTTGTCATCTTTGGTGGTGGCTCTAGATCGATCTCTCTCCTGGACCAGCCCATGGCGCCATCGGCATTAGCCTTCAGTTGCATACCAAGAACACGGGACTCCTCCATGGGTTCGGCAGGCTTCGTTGGGAGTCCATAGGCTGCAAGCTCGTCGGCAACACACTGAGTCACTTCTGCTGGAGCTCGGATATCATCAACATAGTTGTCGACTTCTGGGCGATGGCGAGTGATCCACTGGATGACGAGGTGCATAAACTTCGGCGCAATGGCCAACCCGAAGCCCATTCTCGTCATCACGTACACCTTGTTGTTCCAGAGAACGGCCTGGTAGCGCACTAGCTCAGCACTGACATGCACCTGGAGATATGCTTTCTTCACGTCTAGCATCTCCCACTGACCATCACTGCTGCGTCTCCACTGCCTGATCTTCTCGGCGCACACGGGGGCTTCATAGCCAGGCTCAGACTCAATGAGCTCATTAAGCTTACGATAATCCAGGCATGGTCTGATCGGGGTGGATGCTTTATGCTCTTGGGTGCGAGCAATCAACGGAAGCACACCAGCCACTGCTCCATGTGTGGCTTCATCGTGCGGCACAAGCCAACCATTAGCGATCCAAGCGTCGACTTCCTTGCAGAACAACTTCTCCTGCTCTGGGCTCAGTTTCTCCCTGGAGTACTGGCCGATGCCAGAGCCCACTGGAACCTCAGGGGCTGCACCACTTTTCCACTTCCAGCGGAGAATCCAACGCTTGGTTTCATGACACCATTGGACCTCTCCATCACGTGCCGACAACGTGACACCTTGTCCATGACGGCTCACTTGCACGTGGCGGGAAGGGTGACCGTCCTGAGGAAGTGCAGCAGACACAGGACTTGACACTGGCCCAAACCTCACACTCTCCAGCCGGCCATCATTGGCATACTCAAGATGTAGGCCACCACAGCTGCTCGCTACATCACAACCGATCAACAAATCGGCGTGTACGACACTCAGATCGTTGACGACTAACAGCTCCACACTGGCTTCTGGCATCTGCACTGGGATAGGGCCATCCAATCGTCCAATGTTGACGGCCACTTTCCCAAGAACAGCAATAGACTGGCCATCCAGCGCCACGAGTCTGCTTTCACACTCTGACCACGCAAGGCCACAGGACAGGGCTTGGTCCTTAGTCAGCAGTGATCGGACAGCACCAGTGTCAATGACTGCTGTCATACGTGACACATCATCCTTGTTGCCCGTTGTCCACATGTCTACCTTGATCCTAGGCAGCTGCCCTGGCGAAGGCACAGACACAGAGGCCAAGGCTGGACTAGGCTCCTCTCCAGCTGCTGCTGCAGCACTCCCGCCTTGCCGGCTCGCCAGCCAAGCTTTCCGGTCCGGACAGTCTGGCTTCCTGTGACCAGGCCTGTCACAGAAGTAGCACGTACTGCCACGGCCTCCACCATCCTTGGAGCTGGACCCACTCTGCTGCCCCTGCTTCCTCCTTGGGCAATCTCGCTTCATGTGGCCGACCTCATTGCAGAGGTAGCACAAGAAAGACTTCCTGCTGGTCTTGTCGCCACGTGCTCCACCAGCCAAACTACCAGTTCCAGCACCTGTACCTACTGCAGCTGTCACAGAATCGCCATCACTAAGCTGAACAGCACGGACTAATTCTAAGCAGGCGCTCACAGTCTGGTCCTTTCCCACAAGTGACAACCTAACCTGCTTTGCCCACGCATGTGGAAGCCCGTCAAGAAACTGCTCAACAATGGAGTGATTTTTGTCATCCCCAGGCGACGCATCGCCGGCCAAACTGGTGAGGCGCTGCAAATCGGCAACATAGGCATCTGGTGACTCCTCTTGTCTCATGCGTCGGGCCTTGAACCGCCGGTAGGCTTCCGACTTCGTCATACAAAACGCCTCTTCCATTTTCTTCTGGACGGCGTCAGGCTTCTTCTTGTCATCCGACTTCATTCGGCTGAACACCAGGAACGCATCCTGCTCCAGAAACAAGGGTAACTGGGCCATTTTCTTCTCGTCCGAGTTCCACTTGTTGATTGTCGCCAGCACGTCAAATTTCGCCCAGAACGTCTGGAAATCATCGACCTTTCCCCGGTAGGGTCGCAGGTATCCTTCAGCTTTCGACATCGTACTTAGATCGGAAAATTCAGTTTCCCCACGAGTCCACACGCGACAGTACAATCAACCACGACGCCAACCAGCAACCCAGCTGGTATCCCTGACGTCCTCCCGGGTTTCGGCACCACAAGCTGTACTATAACCGTGTCACTAGGACTACTGCAGACCCACAACCGAACTCATAGTTACGTTTCACACTGATTTAATTCCATGAGGTTATTGTTGGGACTAAGAAAAAGAACTAACTAAAAACAATGTTGGGAGAGCAAGAACCATGTCGCACCATACCGGACGCATGCGCATGGTGCATCGAACCGGAACTAAAGACTAAAGTACAGAGCACGCGAAGGTGCAGTACATGTATGCGCTTGCAAGCAGCAGTGTCAGGAATGCAGTGAATCGCACACACCGCACGGCAGCCACCGTTAGCACGTCATGCAGTCTATACAACGCAGTGGCTCATGATCATGAAGAGAAAGCGGACACCAACCGCACGAAGCCTATAGATTAGAAGATAAGAAGCACACCGCACATGCAGTGGAACAAGGAGTCACGCACGACTCATCCCTGAACGACAACGCCATGCAAGTACTCATGTACACAGGAAAGAACACAAACAGTGCACACAGCAACGAACAGAAGCAGCTAGTACACGTACTTGTACTAGGAGACATTCACACAACACCATGAATACTAGCTAGTGTCAGTCAGGATGGTGGAGGGGGTCACCATTACACTTCAGTCTCTTACATGTAACTTACTTTGAGAATCGTGAGAGATGAGATACACTGATGTAATCATAATTATGTGGCCAGGCGCGTGCACCACGTGGTTTTCTTGGAGCCCGGAAACCACCCTTTTGCTTCTGCATTCTGCAAACACTCAAATATTTCGTAACTCGGCTTTCCCTGAACGGAATTGATGAGTAATCGAAAGGTCTATTCGCATTAGAAAGTTCTCAGCTGTCGGCTCTAACACATCCGAAGTCGATCCAAGGTCGAATAGTGGAGTTACGGCACTCGACAGGTATTTTACGTCCCATTGCAAATTTTCACTTCCGCACTTGGGTGGCAATCATAATAATTATTATTATTAATATTTTGTCATAATTTTTTTCCTCTATTGCACGGCAGTCCAGACATGCATAGACATGTTTGACGTCAGGCACAGGTCTATAGCGGTCAGCTACAAAGGAAAGGAGCGCTCAACGATGAATACTACAAAAATACCATGGATCTTAGCGAATTGTCTCAATTTCCGGTTGGGCGTGTCTTCCAAGGGCTATAGTGCCACTGCAGACTCAGACAGTGACATGGATTGACATGCTTCTTTGACTCACTTACTAGCAAGAGTGTCTGAATCTTCCTTCACTACTTCGAACTACTTGTGCAATGTATAACGTCGGCTAGCCTATTCATTTATCCTGTGTCAGGGAAATGCCTTTGTACCACATTTGTTTTGATGACTCGGTGGGACTGGCAGCCATAACTTTTAAAGCTTTCTTTCAGTGTGTAATGCAGGGAGTCGTATATACCCTATATACGACTCCCTGGTGTAATGCGTGTAATACTGCTGAATCTGCAGGTAGCTTATTGCAAAATGGCGGTTGAAATTTTTTGGAAACCACCTTTTTTTGACCCGGTGCACGCGCCTGGTGGCAAGGGATTTTATTTTAAAGAATTGTTGGGAGGGTATAGATCTGTGCTGTGTATCTATGCCTGTGTATATTCCCCAAGTGTTAACGTAGTAAGTTATGCTGGTGCAATGCTCTTGCTCTCTCTCTCTCTCTCTCTCTCTCTCTCTCTCTCTCTCTCTCTCTCTCTCTCTCTCTCTCTCTCTCTCTCTCTCTCTCTCTCTCTCTCGCCCTCCCTCCCTCTCTTTCTTTCTCCCTCTTTCTATCTATCAATCTATCCCTCTTGTTGGTGCGTGTACTCTTGTTTTGGCAGTGTCAAGTTGCTATGTCACATTGTGACAAGAGGCTGAAGTTCTTGGGTGGTGCAGCTGAGGAGGTGTGTTGGAAGGAGAAGGTTGTCTTTGAGGAAATTCTTCAGTCTATGTATTGTGGAACGTTGGTTCCGACTATCTTGCATTCACAGACCTCCCCGGATATGTGACCACTTTTTTCCTAGTCCTCCAAAGTTCCCCCTTGCACAGATGCAAAATTCATCGGACCACCTCGCACATGTGACTTCTTAGCTCGGTCTGAAAAGTGGTGTTTTTTCTGATGTTCCACTGTACTGGAAGTATCACTGTAAAATACACCCACCCACAGTGAGTTAGGAGTGTAGGTATCACTGTAAAATACACCCACCCACAGTGAGTTAGGAGTGTAGGTATCTGTAAAATAAACACACCCACTGTGAGTTAGGAGCGTAGGTATCTGCAGCATTGAGTAACAAAGAAAACTTTCGTTTTGCAGGTGTATCAGAAATTCATCCTTTAGTAAACTAGCTGACTTGATTTTCCCTCAATTTTATATACCGGTAAAGTTACGGTATTGTAAAGCTGAGGATCACGCGTCCTAGTTTTTATTCACACGTTTCTATGGTCTCTCTTGCATATGAATCCGATTGGTTATATTGTGCATGTGTTATGTGTACTGTAAAGTACACCCTAGTACAGGTTATTAGAACATGTTTTAGTACATCTATGGTGCTAGTGACGGTGTATTCACCATTACAAAATGCAAACCAATCGTGCAACTGCTTTTCCTGTATGCTGTAGTACCCTTTCATACCCCGTAGGTCTCTGTAGTGCCCTGTAGTGTTTGTTTGTGTTAACCTATGGCATTGTGCCGTGCCTCCCTGTGACAGGAAGCAGCTGGTTCTTCCAAGAAACGTGCGTCTTTCAGTAAGAATCCATCAAAGGCAGCTGCACGTCGCCAGACAGGCAATGTCAGAATGGTGAGTGGAGTGTTCGGACTCTGTGCTCTGTGCTCATGCTATGGGTAACTACTGACTAGGTTTCTATTGTTGTTGTTGTTGTTGTTTATTTTACTTCGCAGATTCTAACGGGCAAGTTGCCCAATAACAAGAAAGCGAATTGAACTGCCAGTATTAACATGACTGATTGTACTTGTTGCTTTTTGCTCTCTTGAAAGATGACATTTTCCAGTCCTTTGATACGTGACTTTGTGTTGGTCCTTCTCAGTGACTCATTCTCTTTTTTCTTCGTGTGATTGTGTTGCTAGATGACCTTCAAGGAAGTCATGGAAACAGAATCTGCGTTTGCCCAATTCATTCAATTTCTCCAGCGCAAAGGCTCTGCTGCTCCTCTCTTGTAAGCAATACAACGGCATGTATATTGTGACTGTTAGAGTCAGTAGAGAGAAGGAAAGAAGCTATGTTGCAACTCCGAATTTTTACGTTATGCACGGTCATCAGGCAACTGGTGGTCCGAAACAGGTAGCTCGAACATAAGGGGAAGCGAGATGAGGAGGGGAAAACAATAGCTTTTAAAGTTATTGTAACTGCTATTACTACCGTTTTTGTTGACTTGCAACATCTTCCATCTCTTTGATGGCCTTTTGTTTGCTTTTTGTGTAGTTCTACTTCCTTGTATGTAGCATGACTCTCGAGAAGAGTTCAATAAATACTTTCTACCACTGATGTTGCACATGTGGAATGTGTCTGGGTTCTTAAGTACGAATAGAAATTATATATCTTTCCTTCTATGGCATGAGTGTAGACGGAATTGGAACCCTACTTACAAGTACGTTTGTGGTGTGCAGTGTAGCTTTTATCACCCTAGCCATGTACAGGTTCTTATTTTATCTTCACCATCACGCTCCAATTATATCGATGGCTGTAAACTGCAGATATAAATATACGCTTCTTCTATTCCTTTTTGTTCTAGCTTTGTTGCGTCTGTGGAGGAATTGAAGCTTGTGGACATGGTGAGATGTTTTCTGCTTTCTTCTCTCTCTCTCTCTCTCTCTCTCTCTCTCTCTCTCTCTCTCTCTCTCTCTCTCTCTCTCTCTCTCTCTCTCTCTCTCTCTCTCTCTCTCTCTCTCTCTCTCTCTCTCTCTCTCTCTCTCTCTCTCTCTCTCTCTCTCTCTCTCTCTCTCTCTCTCTCTCTCTCTCTCTCTCTCTCTCTCTCTCTTTTCTCCATGGTATGTCTGGGAGGCTATGAAGCCGAGACCCTGAGTTATTGGAGCTCTCCAGACCTCTCCATCTCTTGTGTGTGATATTGCGTACTTCTGAAGTACGTACAACTTAGGACTGGACTTGCTTTGTTGACTTATTGCAATGATGAATCTTCTTGTACGATGTGCTGCTCAGGCTGACTTGCCACCCATGGCAAAGTCGGTGTACGATAGCCACTTGCGTGCTGATGCACCCGACTATGTTGAAATTGACAAGCAGCTTCTTCGTGATATTGAAGGTTACATCCAAGGCACTCAGGTGAGTGACAAGCACTAACGTTACATGTCACCAGCACTGGTACATGTATTGCACTGGTACAAGTGCGAAAGAACCATTGTGTGCTTTTGACTGCTTTACGTTGTACAGGGTAACAGAGTTGGCTGCCCTAAGGTAATCCTGTAATATCATTGAAAAATTCCCTGTCCTGGAAGTCACTGGGAAGCCCTGTAAAGTAGAAAGATTGTCAGGTATCCTGGAATGTTTGCCCAATAACCCCTGGAATTGTTTGTACTCGTCTTCTGGCACACGATCAACGCCTGATACCATCATGTGTATGTGCAAGTTACATGTACAACGGACGGAACTGAGGATGATCATACAACACCTGAACATCCTATGATAAATATTCATGTTGAGCTTGGAGACGGAATTTCTTAGATCTGACACCATCTGCAGGTTGAGACTTGAGAGGGTTGCATATGCCCCCCCCCCCCCCCCCGACCCACACCTGGCATGTACAGTTATGGCAAGTGAAATCCCACACTTGACATAAGGGACTGCACCATGCAGTCTGCAGCCCCTGCAGCCTTGCATACGTACAGTACGAGGTGATTTGTAAAAATTTTACATGGCATATTATTTTACAAATCGGGTAAAATAGCATTGTTGAGGGCGATTGCATTCTTCCCATGAATTGTTTTTGTTAGTTCGACAGACAAATGAGTGGCCATTGTATCGTAGTTTGTAAGCATCAGCAGCGTTTTGCGGAATTGTTTTCTTCCACGGCCTTGTGAGTTATCAATCATGGATCGAAATTCGTGAATTTGTGGTCAATGAGGTAAAATATCCCTCAATGGATACTTGAAGGACGTCCAAGAGCCAGCGAGCATATTCTACGGCAGGTGGAAACCCTAGGCTGGTCCCCGAGGCCGGTATTGAGTCTGCCACACCGTCAAAAGTAGCAGGGCTGAAGAAGAGATTAGCCAAAAAGGTGAAGGTCAGAAACCGCAATTTTGACAGTAGGTGTATTTCACTCACCTATCATGAACTTGAGGTGATTCAAAATCCAAGTTCGAAGCTGCTGATGCTTATGGCGTACAGGTAAATAATTAGCTGTTCAGTAGATCTACGTATGAAACTCAGCTTGCTACCTTAGAAGTGCTGGTAGAGATTCACGACGGCAAATTGCGAATGCAGAAATGATGTGGCATGAATGTATGTTGGGTGTTGACGGCGGAGCACCCATTGAGGGTGGTCTGCAGTCTTCTTCCAACACAGAAGTATATGAATGAGGTGAAGGAGTCACTGCACTTGTCTTGGAGAGTATGGAAGCTCCGACACTGTCAGCAGGTGCTGGTTAACTTAAAAGTGCACTGTCGTTCACATGCACGAGGGCACCCTGTTGTGGGACGGCTTGAACGCATCATGGCTGGTATGCTTGATTAGTGTGGTTGTTTCACACATGACGATGAACAGCAAGTTGAAAGAAATGGAGCAGCAAGATAAGGTCTGCGTGCTCATGCTCTACAATGCCGGTAGGCGGTCAAAGATTACCTACCGTTTGCACTGGAGCTGACGACGTACCGTGAGAAACCAATATGTTGGGCAACCTGCAAAACCAATCTGCTTTCTCTGCATGTGACTTGCTTCAGATGTATCTTGATTTCCCATTGCAAGCTTATTGACACATTTAGGTCATATTTGTTGATATTAGACCCTATTTTACTGACTTGTAAAATTTTGTACACACTTTTTCTGGGTGAAAAAATGCATGCAAAGCAACCCCACGCTGTGTCTCTCATGTTTGTGTTGTGCGATCAAGAAGTTCATATATGGATAGAGGACATACAGAGTGACAAAATGAGACCATGCACACTTCAAAACTCGCCAGGGCAACGGAATGATAGCCTTTTTTACTTTCATGTAAAATTATTACAAATCACCTCGTACATGTGTTACATACAATTTTATCTGTCTGAAGACAGAACTCGTACTCATCACAGTCAAGGTTCAAAAGGTGCTGGCAAAAATGAATGGGAATTGGATACCAATACTCCTTATGTGTACCATATTTTGTGAACTGTGTGTATCTACGCTGTGACCTTTCGATCTGTTTGGGATGCATACGGCTCTATAGTACAAATTAGGTGCAGTGCATTACATCATTGGTGTCCATTTGTGGCGCTGTCCCCTATGGCAAGTGTCGGATTTCACTTGCCACAAATGTACATCTATGCTACATCCATACGATGAAAATTCCCATATCTTGTCTCCCCATGTTATAAGCCTGTCACCATTGCCGGCATTAGACTCATTGGGCTTGAACTTTTCCTCTTTTTCTTGTACGACGACGCTGTAGGGCCCCAATGGATTGTTCGGTGCTCTGGATCAGGTAGGCATGCCATGCATTGTCCACAAGTGATGTGCAGTTGCGCTCTATGAGATCCAACCCAAAGTGCATAACTGGCGCCCTGGACCAGTTCTGAGTGCATCCCTGTATTCGTACATGTGTACGTCCAGCCGCATTCGCACCACTTCCAGCATGCCAAGGACCGTGCAAGTTGAGGGTGCTTAATATGCACTTTGAGTCGGATTTCACAAAGTACAATTGTACATGCTTGATTGATTACCTTGTGAATGTAAACCATTGCTATATTTCAAAATAACTGAAGTTGATTTCCATGAACTTTCTGGCATCTCATACAACGTTCAGTGAGTGTGTTCAAGTACCATGCATGTTATTAATTGCCGTTGGCAGCAGCAAAGGTGTGACAGTTTTGAACCAAGCAGTACTCGTACCTTCATCTGAGCTCTCTCTCTCTCTCTCTCTCTCTCTCTCTCTCTCTCTATTTCTCTCTATTTCTCTCTTTTAAGAAGTTTAAAAACTTCCTTTCTCTTGTGTCTGTGCACTTACTGCTCTATAGGTTCTGGACTTTGTACACAAGGAGCACTATGAAGATTTCTTGCTGAGTGATCTCTACTACACATACATCACTGCTGAAGGTGCAGAGGAAAAAGAAGATCCTACCTCGTTGACAGCACAAGCTCAAATCATGAGTACCTCGCCACAAACAGGTACTACTTGTAGCAGGTGGTATGTACTCTCTAAGCTCATGCCGGGAACACACATGTACCCACAGGCGCTGGCACCACACAACTATGCAATCATCATCAATACTGAAAATACATACTTTGTAGAAAGGACACGATCAAGACTGTCAAGAAGCTACAGCTGACAAGCACTAACACAAGGCCACACTGCAGAGAGCGCATTATACTCAGGTGCGCGTTATACTCCGGTAAATACGCTAAGTACATGTGTGAAGACAAAACATAGGTCTCCTTCAGACCTTTGTTCTCCACTTGACAAGCCATGTGAACTGGCAAGTTATTACTGATGATCGCAAAATGCAAAACAAGAAAAGGTCGGAATCCAAAAAAAAAGGAAAGGAAAAGCGAATAGAAGCCGAACGTAGCAAGGGCACCAACAGTCTAGGAGGAGCGTGCACACGTGCATAAATCTGCCCTGCCCTCACTGAAACCGGCGACCCATGAGCGAAAGTCACATGTTTCACCTTCCACTCGTCCGTGCAATCTCCGTAGATGCTACTTGTACAACCCCCGACCCTGATGCACATGTATATAATCTGTTACGCATATATGTGTGTGTGTGTGTGTTTGTGTGTGTGTGTGTGTGTGTGTGTGTGTGTGTGTGTGTGTGTGTGTGTGTGTGTGTGTGTGTGTGTGTGTGTGTGTGCCTGCGTGTTGACGTGTGTTGATTTTGTGTATATGTGTATATGTGTGTGTGTGTGTGTGGGTGGGTGGGTGTGTGGGTGTGTGGGTGTGTGTGCCTGCGTGTTCCCGTGTGTTGATGGTGTCAGGATATGACTATGGCCGTGCTTCACTTGAAGTCAAGAAGGACTTGCTACGAGTCAAGGTACATGTTTTTCTCTCACTTTCACTCACTTTTTGTGTAGTGTAGTTACTAGTTGCCTATCTTACCGCTGTGGCACAATGAATGGACCAGAGGTATTGAAGTTGCTTTGTCTCCTGAAACCCGTCTGATAATTGAAACTTATCTGCATGTGCATTGTGCACACATGGATCCACCACTGGTAGCCTGTCCATCTTGCCATACATGAGAGAGAGACAGACAGAGACACAGACACAGAGAGACAGATGAATGAATGAATGTTGCCCAAACATGATGTATGGCCCAAGTCAAAACTAGTTGAGTACATGTACTGTGTATTTGTAGTACATGTACACTGTAGCAGATGGGCCACAGCCAGCTAAAGCATGCCTTTATAATAGAGTGCCAATTTTCCAACACATTTTATTCCAGAAAATTGTCACTTTACTACTTGAACTAGACCGCCAAACGAAGTCCGGCAAGACGCTATCACCACTGGTTGTTGAATGAAGTACAGCGTGAACGTTCAAACGCGCTCGACAAACAATTTTTCATTCCGCCTTGTCTCAAAAAAATTTCGAAACCCCAAAGACAGGTTTTAGCTGATCTCAGTCCAGATAACATCCGCCCAAATGTGTACAGCTGTGGTTGGCAAATTACCGGCATCAGTCAGCGATGTACTTGGTACTTGTACTTGTACTTTTATGTACACTTGTTCTTGTATGTACAGCGTTTGTACACAACGGGAGTCACCCTGATCTTTTGGAAATACATACCCTTTCACCTGTATGTGTATGTGATGTGCTGCTGCTGTTAATGCTGTTACTATTGCTTTTGTTTATTTTGCTACTGCACAGCAAGCTGAGCTAGTTGAGGCACAGCATGGTACAAAGACGACAGTTGCAAGTCCCGTAAGTGTCAACTATTGATGCATTGAAACCTGTACAGCACTGGCAACTCTCTTTCTCATCAATAACTTGTGGACACAATTATGTGATGTTGACTGCACAGACTTGTATTTGAATTTTTTTTACAAAAGATTGTAGGATCAGCATGGGTTTCATTGCTATTTTGTGTATGTTCATTTGTTTGTTTGATGTAGTCATACATTCGTATGGAGCAAGAGGTTGAGACTATGCGCCATGATATTCAAGTTCTGGAAACGCATTTAGAACGGCAAGGTAATTCAGCTGCAACTCCGCTAAGCCTATCATCTGTGTATGTGTATGGGTCTGTGTGTGTTTGGGGGGGGGGGGGGGGTCTACATGTGTGCCACTGTGTGAGTTTGGAGGGGGGGGGGGGTCTACATGTGTGCCACTGTGTGAGTTGGGCTACGCATACTAGTATGGCAGCGGATGTGAGCAAGTGTATGAAGACATTGTCACATATTGCCCTGTCATCTGGGTTAATTTTCTAGCCACTCCAGTGTGCAACACACGTACCGTATTTTCCGGTGTGTTAGCCGCACTTTGGAACTCCTACAAAAACTCAAAAATCACCCATGCGGCTTAGACTCTGAATTCTGGCCATGAATACGGTATTTGTATGTGTTGTCATCCACTAGTAAGGTTTGTGTTACTCTCACCATTTCTTGTTGACAGATCTGTGGTTTGAAAGGATGGGTAATTGGCATGTTCAAGTTGACTGTGCTGAGGTAAGTTACCACGGCTACTGCGTCTTCCTTTGCTTGTCCCAATCCTCTTTTACTTGACTAGTACATGTACATGTACTAGTGGTGATTCTGACATTACCATTGGGCATTGTATCTTGTGCCGTACAGGGGTCGATTTGAGAACCAAGAACATGTGTGATCAATTGTTTGTGTGCATGCATGTGTATGTGTGCACGTGTGTGCCTGCATGTGCGTATGAGCATGTGCGTATGGACGTGTATGTATGTGTGTGCATGTGTGTGCGTGTGTGTGTGTGTGTATGTGTGTGTGGGGGGGGGGGGGGGGTGCATGGGCATGCCGGCCTGGCTGTACTTGACCGGGTGTCCATCTTTGCTGTACAGATGACCAATGACAAGGGCAAGATGGTTCCATTAATGACGTTGATGGTTTCACGATCAGTGGGTGTTGATCGACCCAATTCTCCCCCAGCAAGTACAGACGAAGAGAAGGCTTTACGGGAGGGTGAGGAAGAAGGATGGGTGGTGCATCGGTTCCTGACGGAGTTTCAGCAGCTACACCGCGCTCTTAGGGTGGTATGTTTGTGTGTGTGTGGGGGGGGGGGGGGGTGCGTGTGTGTGTGTGTGTACGTATGTGTACGTGTGTATGTTTGTGCATTATAATTGTGGGGTTTTGCAGTGATGATTTCTATTGAACATCACTTGACAAAGCATATACACACTCACACCAACACACCCATGTCCTGGACAATGTTCGTACAAAACAAGTGTATGTCTTATCAGTGCAGTTACATGTACCAGGTGAGTTCCACTATTCATACACACACACACACACACACACACACACACACACACACGTGAGCGTGCACGTGCACTCACGCACACGTACGGTAGTTGGTGTTGTTTGTGTGCTTAGTGGTCTCTCCCACTACACGTTTTCATTGACTCAAACTCTCTTGTTGGTCTCTTTCCTCCACACTTGCAAAAGCTCAGCCTGCAACACACTGTTTGTTTTTCGCTATGTCGTTCAGTTCGTTGAGGGACAGACAAGAATATGTCACATTGCACTGTGTGTATGTGTGTGCGTGCATGTGTGCATGCATGTGTGTGTATGTATGTGGGCGCGTGCATGCGCGCGCGTGTGCGTGTGCGTGTTTGACACTGTGTTGGTATTCTGTTAGGGTGCTAGCCGCGTTCTGAGTACTGATGTGTTGATGAAGGACTTGCCAGTTCCGGGCAAGTCCATATTCCGGCAAGTTGAAGAAGAATATTTACGGAAATTGTGCAGGTCATTGCAATCTTACTTGCAGGTAAGCCGTCTCCTACTGCTGGGGTAGCAATGTTGTTTGCGTTTATTTCCTACTGCTGGGGTAGCAAGGTTGTTTGGGTTTATCTTCTACTGCTGGGGTATCAAGGTTGTTTGGGTTTGTCTTTTACTGCTGGGGTATCAAGGTTGTTTAGGTTTATCATTTATCTCCTACTGCTGGAGTAGCAAGGTTGCTTGGGTTTATTTTCTACTACTGGAATAGCAAGGTTGTTTGGGTTTATCTCCTGCTGGGTTAGCAAGCTGACCTACACCACCACCAGTGTATCGATATCACCAGTCCACTCTACTGGTACCGGAACTCCATAGGCCTAGACTTGATCTGCATGTCTAGGCCTTGATCTGTTGGCCAGCTAGCAAGCATGGAAATCACAATACATGCATATCCTGTGTGCAATCTTCAACTACATGCTTCCATGCAGAGCAGGGAAAGATTTGGCCTCGAAAGTGAGGTAGCCTGCGCCACACCTGTTCCGACATCCTTGGTTTGTCTTGCCTTACAGTGGCTAGACTCATGTAGAGCCAGGTATTCTGCAGAGGCTGTTTTAAAGGGGAAGTTAAGGCAAAAATTAAAATTTCACCAGTTGTAGTCTTCGGGGTGCTGAGTCGAATGGTCGTGGTCCGAGGAAGCTGAGACGCTCCCTTCCTACTTGAATCCTAATCGAACTCACGCACTTCCACCGAAACTGGGTGACTGCGCCCTACTAGATGGGGATGTGTATGCAAAATGTCACTAAAAGCGCCATTTCGTTCTTATAAAAGCACGGATGACCGCGATTGGCCCATATGTTGTAGTCTTTTGGACGCTGAGTCGATTGGTTTTGGTCCGAAAAGGCTGCGATGCAGCGTTCCTCCTTTATTCCCAATCGAACATGGTTGAACAAGCGGTCACGTGCTCCTGCGTACACCAGTCACCTGGTCACCGTGCCTGCAGGGTACAACTTACTAGCCTGTTTGACCTTTTTTGGGTGCAGTCCTGTCACTCGAGCTGAACTCGAGTTGAACCTTGGTGTGAAAGTTGTCGCCTGCTGGCGTGGTGACCAGGTGATTTGGGCACCCAGGAGCACGTGACCGCTTGTTCAACCATGTTCGATTGGGACTAAGGGCCGAACGCTGCATCGCAGCCTTTTCGGACCAAAACCAGTCGACTCAGCGTCCAAAAGACTACAACATATGGGCCAATCGTGGTCATCCGTGCTTTTATAAGAACGAAATGGCGCTTTTAGTGACATTTTGCATACAAATCCCCATCTAGTAGGGCGCAGTCACCCAGTTTCGGTGGAAGTGCGCGAGTTCGATTGGGATTCAAGTAGGAAGGGAGCGTCTCAGCTTTCTCGGACCAAGACCCCTGACTCAGCACCCCGAAGATTACAACTGGTGAAATTTTAATTTTTGCCTTAACTTCTCCTTTAAATAAGACGTACATGTATTTACTCTCACTTGACTTACACTCCGCTATGATCATGTTAATACAGCTTATACAGGTATTGCAGAGGCTGGAGTGAACACAATCGTGGAATTGTGTGACCTTTACCATGCATACCTACAAGAACATGTATTCTGTGTGCATGCTCTGCCCTATTACTGCAGGCATTGCTGACAGACGAGATTCTGCAAAGTAGTGAAGAATTGTATCGCTTCTTGTGTCGCGGTATGGTTGATGAGCAGCGCAAACCGTGAGTGATTACTAGAACAGCCACACACGTGTGTGTGTGTGTGTGTGTGTGTGTGTGTGTGTCATGGTGTGTGTGTGTGTGTGTGTGTGCGTGTGTGTGTGTGTGTGTGTGTGTGTGTCATGGTGTGTGTGTGTGTGTGCACGTTGAGCACTGCACCATAGAGGAACAAGAGTGTTATTCTCAATGTGCAATGGAGGGCACATGGTCGCTAGTCTGCTATCTAAACGCTGCAGTCCTCTCCTTTGTGATTGGTATGCATGAGAGTGTGCAGTAGTGGTGTAGATTGACAAGCATGAGAGTGTGTAGTAGTGGTGTAGATTGACAAGCACCCGGCGTATAGACTGTGTACTTGCTGGTTGTGTAGCGGCTGGTATATCTAGTCTTTAAACTAGTGAAACAATGAAAACGCAGTGCAGATCACTTGTTTTAGCAGAGTCCAAGATGTGCTGGCTCTTGTACATACTTCAGTACTTGGTTGGTGGTTGTTGTGCTTTGCTATACTCATACAAGTAGGTTCATGACTGTATACTTATCTTATTGCATGTGCCCACATTGTGTTGTGTTTGTGCCCCATGCATGCGTGTGTGTGTGTGTGTGTGCACATACATGTGTGTATGTGCATGTGTGTGTGCATGTGTGTATGTTTGTGCATGTGTATGTCTGTCTGTATGTCTGTGCATATGCACATGCATGCCTGTGTGTGTGTGTGTGTGTGTGTGTGTGTGTGTGTGTGTGTGTGTTTGCGTGCGTGTTTGCGTGCGTGCGTGCGCATATTGTGGTATTTATGGTAGCAGTTCGGGAGATTCATCTTCCAGCTTTTCCATCACCTCCTTGTTGAAGAGGTTAGGGAACAAATATTAAGAATGTGTTTTAGTTTTGACAGAAGTTGGTTAGGTAGGTAGATGGTTTGCTCACAGAGCACTTTGGTTTAGTCTATGTATGCCTTTAACCCCATGTCACCTCAAGCGTGTTGATTTCTAGCAAATGTGCTGGCTCTGGAAGTTGTGCTTGCACAGTATTCTTAATACACTGTATTGTAGTACAAGTACTGGCATGCTACTATGGAGCTCATTGGAAGACGCACTCATCAGTTGGCTGGTGATTGCTGTTCGCAAGAAATCCTGAGTAGCAACTAGATTCCGGTGGGTCCTTTCTTCACTTGTGTCGCAGCTCTGCGCTCTGTGCATCCAATACCCTGCTCGCGGTGGCAGTTACTACTACCACCACCCACTTTACTACTGTGATGTGTAGGAAGAGAGAAGTGAGGAAGTTCGATTACGCCGCTTCTCAAGCCCCGCCACCGTCACTAACGTTACTTAGGGCATTGTGTTACACTGTACATTGAAAGCTGACGGCGACGAGTGTACCGGCAGCCCTGGTTAATTTAAAACATCCCCGAAATTTGACAGAGGAATCTAACATAGGGTTGACCTGAATTTGTGTGTGTGTGCGTGCGTGCGTGCGTGTGTGTGTGTGTGTGTGTGTGTGTGTATGTGTGTGTGTGTGTGTGTGTGTGTGTGTGTGTGTGTGTGTGTGTGTGTGTCGCCTGCCTGCCTACCTTCCCTCTTCCCCTCCCTTTCTCTTTTTCACAGCTTGCCTGTTGTTGGTGGTGGTGATGAGGAAGATGAGGTATGCTTTACAGGTTGTTGCTGCATTCTCTGTACAGTAACTACAACTGTTATGATCTTGGCCTTGCTCTACATTCAGCTGTGACACTAATAGTCGTGTCATTGTGATCGCTTTTCACTACTTCAAAGTACACTGTAATAGTCACTGTTCGAAAGCAATGTTTTCACCAATCTCTTTTTAATATTTCATGTTGAGAAACTTGGTGTTACTCAATCCCATGGAAATTTAGCATTCATACAGAACTGCTCAATGAAATCCGATTGAGTGAATGAAGTTTGTGCCCTGCATCAGTTCACCATCCCAGTGTTCGCAGGTCTAGGGCAGCACAGCGCCTGGCGTGGCATTGACTCGCTAGATCGGAGTTCGTTGAGCAGTACTATAGTCTGTAGTATTAGTACATGGATGTGTGTTGGAGAAAGAACGCCTCATTGTTTTGATAATTGCTATGCACACGTGGTAGAAGTGCGTTGACCATTCTCGTGTGGCATTCATGTGCCAAAAGGGAATGCTTAGCATGTTCGTGGCGTTCTGTGTGTGTGTCTTTGTTTTGCATCAGGATGGCCTTGGCTTGGATGAGACAGATGGGTAGGTGCTTGTGCCACCGCCGTCTTGGATTCAGTTTTGTGCGTCAGTGCACTGTTAAGATGTAGTCGCTTATCTTATACAACGATTGTCTTCTCTTTGTCATAAAGCAAGTCTTAGTATTACCAGTAAAGGATGTTATCACGTTGTGCGTGTCCGCCATGTTCAGATCTCCAGCTAATATCATGACCACCATGTTACATGTACATGTACATGTACATTACATGTATTTTCCAGAGTATAAGCCGCACGTTAAACACCGGTAATTCACCCAAAAAAGTCAGTGCAGCTTCTACTACACTGGTCAAATTAATGGCGGCAAATGGGGTAGATGTCTGTATTTCGTGACAAACATCTGGGTGCGGCTTATACTCCAGTACGGCTTATACTCCGGAAAATATAGTAGCTATAATACTTACTTTATGTGACTACACCGAATGAAATTTTGCTAGTCTAGGTCTTGCCAGCGAAGTTTCGTTCCTTTATCTTTGCGCATTGTCTGTTTGACTATCCATGTCCTTTGTAATACAGACGTGAACAGAAAGACTCCATAGCTGAGCCACTGTATGTGTTGGTCAGCGAGCTCTTTGAACTTCATGGTGGTGAGTAATTTTCAGTCCTTGGGACATGGGGACATGTGCGCGTGTAGGGGAAGCAGCAGCGGGAGTAGTGGCAGTGAGGCAGTGGCAATGCAATGCGTTTGAGCATAGATCTCGGTCATGTTGCTAGTCAGGTGCACCGGTCGGAAGAGCTAGCATTGGGCGACAGGGGGGGGGGGGGGTTGGGGTAGTAGAGAGCGGAGTGGTGCATTTGCTTGTATCGACGGAATAACACATATAATTTGCAATGCAAAAAAGACCCACATAGTACATGCAGAAGAGCGGATATTGAGAATAAATTTTCACATACATGTAGTGATCATTACACCTCACATAGTGTGAGAGAGAGAGAGAGAAGCGGAGAGGGGGGGGGGAGGGGATAACTTCATCAAAGTGGTCAGTCCTTGAACATGTTGCCGTCATTCGTCAAGTCTGCCGGTCTGGCTGAGTATTGAGGACCTTCTGCTGGGATCCTCAAGAAAAAAGCAGGTTGCTAGTCATGTTGTGCATGTGATCGTTTGTTACTGTTGACGAATCACTTTTTACCAGCCCTGTTGTGACGACTACTGTCTTTCTATGTGTTGTAGTGTTCAAATGGCTTCGTCGTCAGCTTATGGTTTTCGTCCAAGTCACATTTGGTGGAACTATCAATAAGTATGTTTGCGTGTTGAACTATCAATACGTATGTTTGTGTGTTGGCCGTGTCCTGTCGGCTTATACTTTCATATGTTCTTTGCATGTTCACCTACATGTTTGCTCTTTATTTGTTGTTGCTGTAAACAGATAATCGTGTGAGTGAGTGGAAGAGTGAGTGAGTGACATACATATGTGTGAGCTCAGAATGCTGAATGTGAATGTTGTTCATTATTTTCTAGTGTTCTTGTGTGTTCACTGATGTTCACTGGTGTTTGCTGTATGTTCTTGCATTGCTAGGCAGCTAAGGCAAACAGTACAGTGGCTACGATCAGAAGAAATGCTGGTGTACTACCTGCACAACTTCAGGGATTCCTGGTGGCCGAATGGACAGTTAGCTGCTGTCTGGCCAACTCGTAGTGATGAGGTAAGTCTTTGTTTTCAGTTGACTATACTCTGACATGTGCTGGAATGAAGCCACCGGCTGTGAAAAGGGGGTGCTGCTGTCATGTTTCAATGAAAATGAGTACTCTGTTGATTCTACAACTAGTGTTACGACTGAACCAGATGCGAAAAAACGGATGATGAAATCTCCATTTTGACATACGAGTAGCTATGGTCAATTTTGTCGAAGGAGTTGATGCAATATCCTCTACGTACATGTAAATGCGCCGAATGTACACTCACCCCATCAAACAATTTGAAGCTGTGCGTGGGTGGATTTTCACACTTGACACACTCTCAGACACTGGCTCTCGGAAAGCCCAGATGCAGCCTGGCACGACAAAATCGGCCAGGCAGTGCTGTAGGAAAAGGGGAAACTCCACAAAGTGTAGTACGCACTGTGTATAAGCGAGTACTGCACTTTCAAGTGTTGTTTTTTTCTCACTTCATCGCGCGACGACACTAGCACCCTTTTCACAGCCTGGGGCTCGGACTCACTATATGTACTGGTATTGCCATGGTATCCCAGAAAGGCAGGGGCGGATCCAGGGGGGGGGGGGGTTCGGGGGGTTCGAACGAACCCCCTTGATTTTTCCGACCATAGTTCGGGTGTGACCACTAACCCATGCCCATGCGACGTGCGCGCCCCATGCTATGGCCCAGTCGGCCCAGGCCAGAGCGGTCCGCTAGCTATGCAGCTTTGTAGATATACAATCATGACGCTGTACATAGTTGTCGTCTTGTACTTAGATAACACAAAGTAAAGAGGTAGATCTGCACTGAATGTTCAGCTAGCTGGGAGTTCGCTTCGGAGAAAGAGGTGCGCAAGCATTTGTTGAGCTGCTGCGGAAACTTCGAAAGTAAGTTTCAAATACTGGCCGCGCAGTGCTGTAATTGTTGTCGCGGGCTTGTGCTTTTTGAGCTGTCTTTTAAGTGCTTTTTGAGCTATCTTTTAAAGGGGAAGTTAAGGCAAAAATTAAAATTTCACCAGTTGTAGTCTTCGGGGTGCTGAGTCGAATGGTCGTGGTCCGAGGAAGCTGAGACGCTCCCTTCCTACTTGAATCCCAATCGAACTCGCGCACTTCCACCGAAACTGGGTGACTGCGCCCTACTAGATGGGGATTTGTATGCAAAATGTCACTAAAAGCGCCATTTCGTTCTTATAAAAGCACGGATGACCGCGATTGGCCCATATGTTGTAGTCTTTTGGACGCTGAGTCGACTGGTTTTGGTCCGAAAAGGCTGCGATGCAGCGTTCCTCCTTTATTCCCAATCGAACATGGTTGAAGAAGCGGTCACGTGGTCCTGGGTGCCCAAATCACCTGTTCACCACGCCAGCAGGTGACAACTTTCACACCAAGGTTCAACTCGAGTTCAACTCTAGTGACAGGACTGCACCCAAAAAAGGTCAAACAGGCTAGTAAGTTGTACCCTGCAGGCACGGTGACCAGGTGACTGGTGTACGCAGGAGCACGTGACCGCTTGTTCAACCATGTTCGATTGGGAATAAAGGAGGAACGCCGCATCGCAGCCTTTTCGGACCAAAACCAGTCGACTCAGCGTCCAAAAGACTACAACATATGGCCAATCGCAGTCATCCGTGCTTTTGTAAGAACGAAATGGCGCTTTTAGTGACATTTTGCATACAAATCCCCATCTAGTAGGGCGCAGTCACCCAGTTTCGGTGGAAGTGCGCGAGTTCGATTGGGATTCAAGTAGGAAGGGAGCGTCTCAGCTTCCTCGGACCACGACCATTCGACTCAGCACCCCGAAGACTACAACTGGTGAAATTTTAATTTTTGCCTTAACTTCCCCTTTAAGACAGCTCAAAAAGCACGAGCCGCGTTAAAAAGTTCGTCGAAGCGTCTAAAAGAGGCAGGCTCAAGACCAGCTGCTATTGAATTTTGGTGACACTCCAAAGAAAAGTGTAGCCACTAGTGTTGAAGGTAAAACAAAGAGCGAGACTTTGAAAATCACCTTCAAGTTCAACGTCCCATCATCCAGTAATCCAAAAATTTCGAACTGGGGACAATGTGACTGAGACACAAAAGATGCAGGAAGCCTGCCTTATGGAACTTACTGTACAGTGGAGTCAACATCGGGCGGATCGGAGTACAATATTACGGACAATTATTGCAGACGAGCTGCTGGAGAAAGTACCAATCAGCTATTCTGCGGCAAAGAAATTGAAAATTTCTTCCTTGTGCTGCGTGTCTTCAATAATGTTTTAGCTGCAGAGTGTTGAAAATAGGGGTACTGAATTCTCATTTGTATAGCATTAGCAGCTGGCATGTTCAAGTACAGGATGCAATGCATGTGGGCTGTCCCGATAACGCGAACATGTGAACATGCTTTTGTATGTCATCATTTCGTCATTGTGGGTAGGTAGGCCAGGGTGGGAAAAAATTGAACCCCCCTTGGAAAAATCCTGGATCCGCCCCTGGAAAGGGGGGGGGGGAGGGAGGGTGCGAAAAATAACACCATCGGCATCATTGTACCCAAGGAAGTGTGACGGATGTGAAGTGTTGCTGGATTTGCTCAGCAGGTCTTATTGCCGTGTGGGTGTGTGGGAGGGTGTGTAAGAGGGTGTATGGGTGGGTGTACATAGGGATTCACTGGCCAGAAAAAGCCACTTCGAATAGCTGTGTTGTGTAGACAAGGCTGAATCGTGGCAGTCAATTCTTCAGCCTTGCAAGCTGTTGAGTGGTGCAATCCCAGTACAAGTTGCTATGGCTTCTGTTGTAGTATCACTATCATTGCCTCTGGCGATAGGCGTCAAAAAGGTCAAGAAGGTGTGTGGGTGGGTGGGTGGGGGGGGGGGGGGGGGGTATGTGGGTGTGTGTGCGTGTGTGTGTGCGTGCATTAGCTTTTCCATGTGGCTCCTGTGCACCAAGTGTCACAAGTCAGTTCTTCTTTACAGGGCTTTATGCGCATTGTACAGATGTGCGAAATCCCGTAGAACCCCGTAGACCTGGTTGGGTGTTGAATATACGTGACCCTATTGTGTTTATTGCTATTTCCAACATGAAACGTGCCCTGAAAGCCTTTCATACAACTTTTTTTCGGAGGAAGATCTACAATGTAGCTAGTCATTGGCTCTATACAAAGTGATGAAACTGGAAAAGCGACTGTCTTCTATTGGTGATCGGGCTAATTGGTCCAGTGCTCATGTATAGCACACAATGAGTACAATGTCTTCCAAGCTCTAACTCAGCTCGCATACGCATGTTTTATTCTGTGTTTCATCATATTTTCGTAGGAAAAGGCGCAAACCAAACTGGAGGCAAAGGAAAAGCTTCTGAAGAATATTCCTGGTAGGTACCGTGTGTTGCTCTCATCATGCTTGACAGCTATAATTATAATGTAATGTTACTGTTGATTTTAGGACGCACACCAGGACAGCGTGTTAGGTTGGGTCTACACCTGTTCTGGATCGGCCAGAACATGAACATGTTTTTCTTGCTCCAGCCAGAGCAGTTTTATTTTTTTTTCACAGTGAAACCTGGCGGGAACGTGGAATTTTGTCCAAAATGATCATGTGCGTACTTTTAGGTTGCATTTGGCATGCACTCATTATACCATACAAAGTGACCATGGAGACTCGCATACATTTTGACGAATGCAACCAAGTTCGGCGCACTTTCCTGTTCTAGATCGTACCAGTCCAACCAAGTGCACCCTGGATCACAAATCAAATGGACATGAAATGAATTATTCTGTATGCTATCATCATAATCTACTACAGTATGGATGTGGTAGATCTAATAATTATAATGCACCGCTAAATAGCAGACATTCTGTAGACATTTATTCGTCGGTAGTATAACTCGCAGTTATGCTAACCACTTTCTTTGCTATGCTATCCTGTGTGTGGGCATATACCACATCCCGCAGAGGTACTCGCAAGTTTCGTTGGCCAGAAGAACAGCAGGATCGGTGCTACAAAGGTAAGTATGAGATTCTGTTGTGGAGTTCATGTATGTTTTCTCCTACGTTTCTTATAGGTAGCATTGCATGTTCACCTTATTCGATCCAGGGTGGGGTTTCTTTCCATTCCCTGTGGTGTTCTCTAACATTCTGCCGCAAATCTCCCATGTCAAATACTGACCCCTCCTCAAGCGGGTGTCTCCATTCAGCACCCTGGAGACACTCAGGAGACTACAGGTTCTGAAGTTTAAATTTATCCCGGAGTTCTCCTTCAAATGTTCCCAACTTTCATTGTTTGAAGAGTGTCGTATCCGCTGTGTGTACACATGTACGTGTGTGAATGTTCGTGTGCATGCAGATGTGTTTACGGATGAGGTTGTGTTTGAAGGCAGGTCTTTGGTGATAATTCTGTGCCTGTCTCTGTGTTGCATGGTTGGTGTCTTTGGTGATAATTCTGTGCCTGTCTCTGTGTTGCATGGTTGGTTTATTTTGCACATACTGTAGATATTCGAAGGCTTCCAGGACGCTCGTGCCAACAAGCAGCTGTTCTATGTAAGTTTAGGGCTCACAGTACGAATGCTGATAGCCAGTGGACATCGGCGCCATTTTGATTGGGGCACTCAAGTTCACGTGATCCTTTCGCGTGCAGAGCTGCATGCAGTTCTGTGCTGGCGTGTAGTCTCTGATCTACGTGCAGGCTGCAGCATGATGGAGCTGCTGTTTTCTTGCTCTGTCGGCAAACAAAATTTCCCACAAGTAGCTAGAAGATGGCATATGGAGAAGCTTGGGAGGCCTTGATCTTTTCTGTAGTTCAGGAGATGGACATCGAACATTACAATGGTAGTTCTCCGTGACTTACCCTTGGTACTGAGCTGTGGCTAAGGTGAAGTGAGGGACGAACTACCCAAAAATATCGCAAGCCTACAAGCGCTTCGGGTCACTAATGCCCGGGAAGAAATTGATGAAGAGTACTAGTCTGCCACGACGATACTCCACAATAACCAGCTCACACTCGGCTCTACTCACACCTGACCATGGATTTGGAAGGCCCTAAGGAAAGGAGTTTGTTCCACTGCGCAGTGAACGAAACGGCAGGTGAGCGAAGAGTTGTGCACGCCGTCGCGTAATCTTTGTAGTTTGAGCAAAGATCTGCGGCCCTTCTCACGACCCTAGGCAAACAGGCCACGAACAAGCCGTCCATCCACGATCAGATAGTAGTTGCAAGGTCGTTACCGGGAACGTTTGCAGAGCTGATTCCATGAAGAACAACATGAGCGCACAAAACAAATCACTCGAACTCGGCGCTGATCGCCTTGCGAGGTGACCAACACGTATTTTAGGTAAGTGAGCTTTTCTGGAATGCAAAGCGATGTTTTCCACACGCAAGGTACAGGAAATCTGTGGTGGTATGCGTGACAAGGTTGCGCATCATCATTATTTTTCTTGAGTTGCCGTTTTCTGTCATGTCAGCTTGCGCACGGTCTTCTTCTTGACCTTGCGCGCTTCAAAATGTAAGAACTGCACAATGGTTGCTCCGATTTTGACGATCTATGGCTCAACATTTTCTTGAGGGACCTGGCCAGAGGATTACCGAGCCATATTTTTGGTTTTCACCGAGCTTGTGTCATCGTTTCCCACAGATGTTTGTCCTATCGAGGGACGAAAATCCACAAAATCCCGTTCGTGGGTCTCAGAGCACGGATTTGAAAAAATCGTTCGGTAATCCTGTTGTACCTGCGCCTGCACGTGTTATCTCTTCGTCGTAGCTGCTGCTGTATTTGTGTCTCTGTGTGTACATGTGGTTGCACGTGTTGTCTCTTCGTTGTAGCTGCTGCTGTATTTGTGTCTGTGCTGCTGACCCGTACATGCTGCTGCGCTGCTTTGTTGCTGACCCGTACATGCTGCTGCGCTGCTTTGTTGTTGACACGTGCACCTTTTTGTGCTGAGTACACCACCTTTTGTGCTGACGAGGGCACCAATTTCTGATATCATGTTTTCCTTTTGCCATGTCGTCGTCAGTTGTCCGACGGTCGTCGTCAGTTGTCAGACGTTCGTTGTCAGAGTCAGTTGTCCGACGTTCGTCGTCAGTTGTTAGACATTCGTTGTCAGTGTTAGTTCTCCATTATGAGTTCTTCCGTCGCCGCTTGAAGTAAACTATGAAAACTCTCTCTCTAGCTCTAGAGAAAAACCACTGACTTAGTTCGTTTTGAGGTGTGGCGTGGCGAGGATAGAAGAGGCAGTTCGTTCTCAACCTTCCGAGACGACAATCCTGTAGTCCTTCAGCCAAGGAATCCTCCCTGAAAATTTCATGGCTCTCCGGCAAGTCGATCTTTTAGAACGAATCGATAACGTTAGAAGATTCAAAAAATATTCAAAATTCCAAGCCCGGTGATTGGCTGAAACACGGTTTTCACTGATCACGCCAGCACCTCGTGGAACAAAATGGCGCTGATGTTGAATGTACGCAACTGTGAGCCCTAAAGTTCCATGTGCACGGAGGGTCGATTGCTGTCTTTTGTTGAATCATGTTCTAGTCTATGTCTAACAGTTGTGTGTCAAGTTGGAGTATCAAGTACTGGCACTTTCTGGTCATTGTTGTTTGTCTTTTTATTATTTTTAATTGGTGTCCCACTCCGAATGTACTGTAGTGTCACGTATAAAAGCATGACCTGTATAGAAGCATGGCTCGAATAGAAGCCTATTTTCCAAAGCGTGCCATGGCACAGAAGCATGGTTTGAATAGAAGCAGATGTACTTGCACACTACATGTGTGACAATGTGCATTGTACAGTGTAGACTGAAGATGTTGACATGTAGAAGCATGTTTTGAATAGAAGCATAACTTGAATAGAAGCACGGCTTGAACCCTTGAACCCCGGCTTATACGGCTGTAAACACCTGCTTTTATATGCGACATTACGGTAAGTGTAAAGTCTGAACAGACACACTTGTTCTTGTTTTTGTTGTCATAGATCATGTTTGAATTGGCCATGTTCTCCTTGTTCCCGGAACTGAAGTCGCAGAATGTCATCAACTCTGCCGGAGAGGCATGAGTCTAATTGTCAAACTTGAGCGGCAGCAGCAATTTAATTGCATGCAGTAGTCATGTGCATGTGTGCCACGTGCTAAGGGCGGTGAGTTGATATCCTGTGCTAAGGGCGCTGAGTTGATATCCTGTGCTAAGGGCGCTGAGTTGATATCCTGTGCTAAGGGCGCTGAGTTGATATCCTGTGGCATTTCTTACCAACTTTTCCTTTAGCTGTCTTTGCATGGTAAATGTATGCTTTCTACGTGGAGGAGATATGATATGCTTTCTGAGACACTGTCTGAGACACTTGGAACCCTTTCCTGTAAACCCAACATACTTGTCACAATACATACTTCGAGTACTAGTACTGTCATCAATCCATGTTGGAACAATGTCATGATACGTTCCACTACTGACAAAACACATGCTGCACAAAACACATTGTATTTCTTTTTGTATGTCCCGCTTTCAAAGAGTGTAACTCTTGCTTAGCCTGGTCAGTTCTTTTTAAACTGGATCTGATGCTGTGTAGTTTTTGTTCGTTTCTTATGAATTTGACTGATTGTTTGAGACAATGTAGGCCTTTTACTGATTGTGTATGAACTATGCAATTCTACCTTGATCGATATATACCTATTCTACAGACGTCCGCAGCTGGTTTCTGCCTATTGTCCTAATAATACGCTTCATACAATTTACAATTTACAATTTGTTCTTTGGTTTTGCAATATGTTGTTCATTCCAAGTCTCTTACTTGAAGTACCTCCGAGTCGCCAGATTGTTATCACAGTGTCTACAGTCTATCAGTCTACCTGTCTTTGCCTTCACTGGTGTCTCAACAATGAATATCACTGATTTTATTTACAAAGTGGAAAGGCGTAAGCCAAGGTCTGCAGTTTGGATCTGTGAACTGGGACTGTAGTCAATGTCTTATATTTGCCATGCAAAGCTGGAGCTAAATGATATTTCTACTCTAAAGTTGATCTCTCTCTCTCTCTCTCTTCCACGAACCTCTCTTTCCATACCCAGCTTCAAGCGATTTCAATGATGCCATATGGCTGTACTGTTGCCTGTTAGTGCCCTTGGCCTTGTGCTTGCATGTTATCATGGTTATCATGCTGTGCATGTAAGTATATGAAGGCGGTTCTGCTATAGGAGTTAGTACTTTCCCTTCCTTTTCCTTCTCTTCAAGTTTTGCGCTCATGCAAATAGTTCGAGTGCCGATCAAGGTATTGAAGACTCCTGGCCGTCTCGAATCTCTGGGCAGTCACATGGGTGTGTGGAAATGTCAGCGATGTTGAACCGGGTCCGACATATGGCCATACTAATACGGTTCATTTATTGATTTATTCATGCGGATTACATTGGCTCACTCAGGCTCCGAGTTCAGTATCATCAAATTTGGATTGAATAGCCATGGAATACCAGCGTGATTTGTTGACTTTATTGAGACTTAGAACCAAGGAGTCGGTACTTGACGACGACATGATTGTCACATGATTAAAATAAAAATTATAATGAAAAGTGAAAGAAAAAAGGGAAAAAATCCAGCGAGCAGATCATAATGCACGCACGCATGCATCCCGAGATGTCTTTCGCGCAGACGTAGACCTTGACAACGCTGCGCTAGCGATTCCCTGCCGCGCCGTGCACGCTTCCGTGGCCCAACGCTGCTAGCGCTGGCAACAAAGTGCAAAACGTCGACATCGTTGCCACGGTCCACTGAACTGAAGACTGTGCATGACCTGCCCTGCACTGGGTTCACTGAGGAAAGTCATTTGTGACGTTTGTTGTTGAATCAAGGAGTGAGAGTGAACCTGAAGGCTGAAGCTAGTCAGTTAGTTGTTTCTCAGCTTGCAACATTTCATCGAACAGCCGTAGAAATGGCGGTGTCAGATCAGGATGTCGAGAAACAGATCCGCCACATGATGGCGTTTATTGAGCAGGAGGCCAAAGAAAAAGCAGAGGAAATCGATGCCAAGGCTGAGGAGGAATTCAACATTGAGAAAGGCCGTTTGGTGCAGAACGAGAAGTTGAAGGTGATGGGATTCTATGAGAAGAAGGAGAAAGCCCTGGAACTTCAAAAGAAAATCCAAAGGTCTAACCTGCTGAACCAATCTCGTCTCCAAGTTCTTAAATCTCGTGACGATCATGTCAAGGGATTACTGGAAGAAACCAGACGTAGACTTGCTGAGATCACATCATCTCCTGCAAGGTACGACAAGTTCCTCGAGGATTGCATCACTCAGGGTCTGTGCCAGCTGCTGGAGCCAGCAGTTATTGTGAGGTGTCGACGTGATGATGTCGATAGAGTAAAGAAGGTTATGAGCAAGTCTCAATCTGAGTACACCAGGATTACCAAAGGAAAGAAGTGTACTGTGGCTGTGGATAGTTCTTTCTTGCCAGCTGATTCATCTGGTGGCGTGGAGCTGTACTCCAAGGATGGCAAGATTAAAGTTGCCAACACACTGGAGAGTCGATTGGAGATGGTCAGCAGCCAGATGCTGCCGCAGATCCGCACGGCACTATTTGGCAAGAACCCCAACCGGAAATTTGACGATTAAATTTGGATGAAGAAGTTGGCAGGCGGGGAACGACTGTCACTGTGTAGGTATTTTATGTGTATATTTCTTCTTTTCTGCTAGTGGAATATACTTCCTTACAGTGCTTTTAATCTTTTTTTTTAATACTTCTAGTGCCAAACTGTTGCCATATTCTTTGCCGCGTAAGTTTGGCCTGTTGTAGCTGGCGCCGCTTGACATTCCATCAGGCTTGTGTGATGTGAGCTCATGAGGAACTGGTGCGAAACGTTTATGAATGCACGGATTATACTCATGATCGTGTAAGCAACAACAGCAGCAGTGTGAATCGCTGGGCGCATTCACTGAGTTGTTCATGGCACAGTGAGAGAGTTGTGTCTGTTGTGCTGATCCTTCAGTTCATGTGTAGGCTTTAGTTACAACATGCTGTCATTATTATTTCTGCTGATGTGAAATTAAACCATGATAGCTGCTTCTACCGCATATGTTTGCCATTTGTCATGACTACTACGCTCATACTGTATCATAATACTTGTTCGCCATGGATGATTTATCAAATTTTAGATACATTGCCAAATATTTCTGATATTGTCTTTCCTCAAATTGTAACCCTATCGTGAATCACCCCTTGGCAAGCATAAATAAGTGCAGCTCTTTTAGTTATACTATTGTGATTGTGTGTGTGTGTGTGTGTGTGTGTGTGTGTGTGTGTGTGTGTGTGTGTGTGTGCGCGCGCATGCTCGTGCACGCGCATGCGCACATGTGTGTGTGTGTGTGTGTGTGTGTGTGTGTGTGTGTGTGTGTGTGTGTGTGTGTGTGTGTGTGTGTGTAAAAGCCACTTCATAGCTGTGTGGTGTAGACCAGGCTGAATAGTGGCGGCCAATTCTTCAGCCTTGCAAACTGTTGAATGGTGCAATCCCAGCACAAGTTGCTATGGCTTCTGCTGTAGCATCGCTATCATCGCCTATGGCGATGGGCGTCCAATGGTCCAATGGTGTGTACAGCTCTTTTTGTTATACTCTTGTGGTTGTGGTTGTGCATGCGCACATGTGTGTGTGTGTGTGTGTGTACTCATGTACTTGTATCTGTGGCTTGAAGTGCCACCGTTACAAGTAACTAGTTGTGTGGTGTAATCCTAAGACAGTAAGACTACAGGTTGAGATCCTAATTTCTCTGTCATCATGATCATGCATGCTTCTTAATTGTGTTGCAACATCAGCACAATGTACTTGTATAGTTGTATTGTTTGAGCTATTTTCGCTTCATGTGATGATGAAGTCGGAGCCGGAGAGGTGCATGTGTGTGCACGCACGTGCCCGTGTTTGTCCTTCTGGTTCAGACCTGCGAAGCATCAAGTAAAACAAAACAGGAGTAATTCTGATTCTACGGGTGAAGTTTCTTCCGATCCTACAAAATTCCTATTCTATAATAATTATTATGTGTATTAAATGGTGATGATGTGTGTGTCTGAAGGCCTGGGATAGATACCCTGGTGCTGTCAATTATTTTCTGCAGCGCTTGCATTTAGTGAGCCCATGAATTATGGTGCAGTTCAGTCTGCAGTTGAGGCCTTTACTGACTCCTGACCTGTCTGCTGCATCTGTCGAAAGTTTTCAAATGCCCTCAGCACATAATGATAATGCATGTATGTACTGTAGGTGCATGTGCATGTGCCTCATCTGTGTGGACAGGTCTCGACTGTTGGTCGATTGTACCTACACGCCGCTATATGTTGGGAAAATCATGACGGAGCGTTATGTTACCATTGAACAGCCCACGGCAGCTACTCAGCATGCAGCGACTGCTGCTGAAGTGTGAAGTACGATTGAGAACTGTGTACACTATGCTACAGTGTTTGTGTGCGTGTTTGTGTGTGTGTGTGTGTGCGTGTGTGTGTATTTTCCGTTGACGACAGTATTCACAGTGGAGCATGCCATTCTCAATATGACAGAATAAACTGACTGCCACTATTGCACCATCAGTGTATCACCTATCGGTACTCAAATAAATCTCCACTTGGAAAATTTCCGATTCCAAAGGTACCGTATATGGAAATAGATAGTGTTTGTTCTCGTGTTCTGTTCTCACAAGGACTACCGTACAATGTCAATATTGTACTACTCCCTGATAGAATGTAATACATTTAGACTCTTCCGCAGTGCTTGGCCAGGTTAGTCCGTTCCAAGAACTGTGCACACCAGACTGTAGCCTGATTGTGTTATCACACTTATCACAATCTGATATCATGTCAGAGATGTACATGTGATTGGCATGAGAACATATCCATAAATAATATAGTAAACAATGCCAAGGATAATGCGATGGAGACCACAAAATCAAACTGTTTCAAATAGTAGTATTTCACAAAGTACGGGAATAGAAAGGGGAAAGTCGTCTATACAAAATTACGGGAGTGTGAATTTCACAATGGCCAATCAAGTTATGAAAGTGTCCAGTGATGTGTCCATAGTGTTACCAATATAACTAAATAATTATAACTACAAATGTAGTACTTGCAAGTATGCAGAACAGTGAAGAGAGTTGAAATTTTAATAATACACTGTATTGCGATATGACCAGCATATGTCAACACCTTTAGTACACACTGATGTCAAGCCCAGGTTACGATCCAGCACCTCATTGGAGTTTAGGTAGCCATTTCAGGCCCAGGGTTGTATCACCTATGAAATACAAACAAAAACAACAACAACAACAACAACAACAACAACAACAACATCTCTTATTGGCGACTGGCTATCGTGAGAATAAAGATTTGAAACAACAACAACAACATCGTGAGAATAAAAGATTTCAAACAAACAACAACAACAACAACAACAACAACAACAACAACAACAACAACAACAACAACAACAACAAGACACACATGCGTGCACGTGTGCACGCCCGGCACATGAACCCAGACGGGCACATAGTACACTCGGTGAAACTGTGGAAAATGTGTCTGATTCTGCTGATAATTCAAAGTTAGCAAGTTGTACAACTAGTATTTCAACGTTCACTGCACACTCTACTAGCCAGTTCAGTGAGTCTGAGCAGGCTGAACTGGCCACCAGTTCAGCGAGGGTGAGCAGGCTGAAGTGGCCACCAGTTCAGTGAGTCTGAGCTGGCTGAAGTGACCACCAGTTCAGTGAGGGTGAGCAGGCTGAAGTGGCCACCAGTTCAGAGTGCCCGAAATCTGCATCGTTAGTGCATGTCGCAAATTTGTGTGAGAAAGTGAGAATTTGGACATAGAAATTGGGCATGTTTGACTACGCTCGATTCCGTTCATTCTAGAACTCCCTACGATGCATACACGGATTGATTTCACAGATGTTGTTGTCAGAATCCACAGAATCTAATTCTGCTCATTCCGAAGTGAAGAGAAAACTCCCCAAACCTGAAATCTTGCCTAAACCTCAACAACTATGCATCCATCGCACTAAGCTGCACCGTAGCAAGAGTACATAGCCAAGAGAGCGCACCTCCTACCTTCAACTGCGATGGACTCAACCAGTGCAGAATTTTCGTATTATGTCATTTCGGCAGGAGTACGATCAAGTGCTTTCCCGCGCTTGTCATGTAGATATGGTGTCAGTTCATCAGGTTCAGGACACATGGATCTATCGCCCACTGTTTCGCTTCAACTGCCGTAGCTGCAATGTTTGCGTTCAACTGTCGTAGCGGCAGTGTTCGCAACTTTGATCTCTAGCCAGTGATGTCATACAAAACTGCGCCATGGGCTGAGAGATCGTTGAGTTGCACACTCTTGGTACGAGTAACGTATTGTACTTTTGACTAAAGCAAGATGTACATCTACAACTATGCATCTATTGTACTGAGATTTGCCATAGCAAGATATAGGTGTACATATACTATACTAGAGTGTCCACCATAAAATCTGTTATCGTCACTAGACTCACCAGCGGGTTTGTATTCACAGCCCACCCAGCCGTCATACCCCAATGACTTGATATGGGAAAACAGATGTGAGTAATTCAGCTCGCCGGATTGGTCGGGTTCGTGACGTCCTGGTACCTGACCAATTTGAATGTGACCTGGAGTTTAGAGTGGAAGAGATATAAAAGTACTAACTTGCACACAAGTCTGCGACTGGAGGGTGCATGAACATATACACGAACAAATGAGTACGGGAAATTGTGACTCAGAGATTGATGTACCACATATTGTGCCAGTCCGGGACAATTTTACTTTGCTAACTGTAGAGTGTGCACTTTGCTGATCTGGGCTATCATCTTTTTAACACCACACAACTGTAGCCGGTACAGAGACCAGGATAAGTGGACAGCTTACCAATAGAGTGGATGTTCTTTGACATGAAGTCACATAAATTTCCATCCATTCTTTGAGCATGGTAAATATCCTATCATGGAGCAAATAACAAGAGAAGACATAGAGCAAAGTACTAGTACTGTTTAGAAAGAACCAGGAAGTATCAGGAATGGTGACAGTATATCTACAAGATAGTACTAAGTTGCATGTACATCGTCATCCTGGTAATGGACGGTCAGGATTAGTCAGCAAACTGAACAAGAGAAGATAGAGATCTACTTCGCAGTACTCATAACATACCACCAGATCATATAATAGTATTACAGTTGTCTGCATTGCAAACCAGTACTTGGTCACTCACTCATACCACTGCAAGAAGCAACCACTTACAAATTGAAGCTTCAAGTTGCTGTGGCCGACCTTGTGGAGAATATCCAGTGCTGAAATTAGATGGTACCAGAAAACAGAAAGAAAAACTAGGAATAGACATCACTTTCTTTCATATCTTCAAATCAAGATGTACGCCGATCATCCAAATTCAGGTGAGAGTTTGAGATGCTAATCAACCACTGTAAATCAGATATATTTTCATGATCGTTTTTATTTAAAAAATTGTAACCGATGCTACTATGGTACGAGTACTCCATAGCGACGAAGCCGATTGTAATTCCGATAAGGCCTTCAATACCACTGTCTCCCAAATAAGTACAATCATGGTAAAATGTAATGAAGCACAACCATGTCACTGCCTCAAAACTCAATAGTCAATCCTGTTTGTGTGGCAGATTGTGCTTTTTTTGATTTCCCACCTGCTTATGACGATTACAGTGCTCTCACACCTGGCACAACTTGCACTATCATTTTCCAGTGAATGTTTCATCACCACTTCACCGCCAACAAAGCGGTATACACTGATAAGAGGGAGGTTCAGTGACTCGTTGTGAACTCGTTACGAACTCGTACACTAGACAAAATTAATTTCGATTTGTGTTTGAATTGTGTAATGTGTAAAAGACGTTCAGTGACTCGTGATCAAGGTGCGTTTTGATTGCCAGGGCAACACAACGGCAACTGAAACAGCATCAGAAATACGGGTACTAGATCATACTTCTTGTTTTGCCAGGATGTTATCCTTTTTCGGGACAGTGCAATCTCGGAGCTGCTCACGAATCAAACAGCCCGGACTCGTGTAAACGAATCCAATCTACGAGGCTCTAACCCAGACCTGACCCATTGACTCGTTCGTATGAAACAAATGAGTCACTTAACCTCTCTATTGTTGTGCTTCATCCCATTATTACAACATAATATTATATGATAAGTTCACTGGTTGGAGGGAAAGACACAAACGGGAAAAGTCTGATCATGTCGAAGTCGGAATACATTATAATGTATTCCTGATTTGGGATATAGTGGTACATAGCATCACACGTAACGATGAAGACACTCGTAATTCTGATAAGGCCTTATCAGAATTACGAGTGGCTTCATCGTTACGTGTGATGCTGCGTTTTCGCTGTTTGCGAATATTGTTTGACATTTGGTCTATAGTACAGTCAAACCTCTTTAGGACGAACACCAAGGGACCGGCGGTATTTGTTTGCAATAACGGGAGTTCGTCTTATCCGTATTTTTATACCCAGTGAATACACTGTAATCTATCCAATAAAGTTATGAATACTAGTTCTTCTAAAGCGAAAGTTTGTCTTATCAGTGTTCTTCTTAACGAGGTTTCACTGTAACTGCATGTTTCGATTATTCTGGGCATTGTCTTGAGAACACGCATGCACACTGGCTTCACTTTCTTCCAACCTTGTTCCTGGTGCTGCAGGAAGTACCCAGGAATTGTAGAAATTGGCTCAATGAGAAGAAGAATCCCCTCCTGCAGAAATAACACCAAGAACAAGCAATCTGTAAGTTGTGAGCTACTATTTGAGTATTCATTAAAATAACAGATGCTGCAGTATGTAGTCAGCTTATTCAAGCAACAGTTTACATGGTACGTGTGTGGCAGAGCACTGCCATTTATAGATGAAAAGTAAAGTTCGCACATCTGCGTTACCACCGGCTATACTAAAAGTACAATTATGTTGAGAAACAAGACCAGCTTTAAATAGGAAGTTTCGCTTGTGCCAGGGCACCACCATGCCTGATTATACCAGGGTGGCAGATGGCGAGAGTGAGGTGGTAAGTCTCACAACCAATGCCCGACAAGGGGGAGGGGGGGGGAGAGACGAACCTCGTTAGCTGCACCCATGTTACCCTGCATCACCGCATGTGTTAGCACAAGATACGCTCCCTGCTGCAGCACTGGTCTCAAGCTCGGGACCTTATTATTCGCAGGCAAGAAGCACTCAGCCAAAGCGCTGGTCTACCATTAGATAAGCACAATACAACATTGCAAAATGGACGCAAAAGTCTAAAAGCAGAAACAGCTTGCAGTACCTTGCTGAGTTGATCTGCTGCCCACTTCAAATTTTCGACAAATGTCCTCGTCCATTGCTCCTTATCACATGCTTCACTGACTACACCAGCCAGTGCATGTACCCTATAGTCGAGTCATCAATCAGCAGCACACAAATGCAAGATGCATCGATTAGAAGTCCAATACTGATACAGTAATGTTATCTCATGTGGGGTAGTGCCTTTGCTGTTTGTGTTACGCAGAGCTCGCTGACTTGTCAGTTTGAGCACTCTGGCAAGGTACATTAGGGCCTGGTTTAAATCTAGCTTTGGAAAAATTTATTTTTCAATGCTATCAGGTTCGGCGTCATTCTCTCTGGTACTGCGCTGATGAGTCCACAAGGGGCGAAACGGTTCTGTCCGCAGATCAAAGATATAGTAATGTATAAAGTCTTCCAGGCTTGCAAGAAGCAAAGTCAATTCGCGACGCACCTTTTGCAGCCCAGTGCATTGGCATACTTCACTCCTGTCTCCACACTCTCTTGGAATTCTTTGACCTTGGCTGGATTCGCTGCAATACCACGTTCACCAGCAGCCCAATCACCTACAAGTACATACATCGCCATCAGACAATGAGCAACACATTAGTCCCCAACAAACAACCAGGATGAAAGGATCAATCATACATCCAGCCAACACGATCTACTAATAATAGGTTTTTCATTTGACCCGACGAGACCACACGACACTTGCAGACCACAGCACGAACAGTTCACCAGCCACACTCCACGAAAGCAAGTAGTATTACTCCTGACAAGTCTTGTTTCGTTCCATAAAGATGACGGATGACGGGTCGTGTGGTCTCGTCAGGTCAAATGAAAAACCTATTACTACTATTTGACGGACCTATGGAAGATGGCAACAAAGAATTAAGATCTACTAAGCCAACTACAGTAGAACCTCTCTTAGTAGGTACATGCACATGTAAAGGGATTTACCCACACCCACATGTGCACACATGCGCACGTGCTTGCGCGTGCACACACACACATGCGTCCGCCACATGCGGATATGGACATAGACATGCCCATATGCATACATACATACATACATGTATAGGAATTAGTAAATGCCTACCTGCTGGAAGATTCAAATGGACGTGCTGGATACCTGCGGCTTTCTGTGCACTGGCAAGACTGTCTAGTGTGACACTGGCAGGGAAGGCACACTCAACTCCGCTAAACCCTGATACAGTGTACAAACAACGACATGATAACACATCGTAATTATAGACATACAAAAAATAGCCTTTTCAAAGATGCGAAGTTGGTGGCAGCAGTCACGATGAGTCCTTGATTTGTCTCCTAGATTGTATCTATCCGCACACACTGTAGAAGGAAAAGCAAAGTACCGTATTTCCACGAATATAAGTCGCGCCTTTTTACACAAAAATCAAGAGTGGAAAAGGGGGTGCGACTTACAATCGAACTTGACTTACTACTGAAGTCAATACATGTCAAAACGATATTCCTCCAACCTGAAAATGGGGTGCGACTTATAACCGGGGAAACACGGTAACGTCACAACGTCCCCTGAAGGTAAACAATCTTTCCAACCAATCTCATCTGGCTTATAACTCTTGTCCGAAAACTCTGTGGACAAAATCAATTTCCCCATGGATATTTCTGGGTGCTACCAGTATGTGTACGATGTACAGTACAATCTTGTCTAAGCCGACCACTCACGGGCCCCTCAAAAATGTGGTCGCCATGTACAGCTGGTCCCTCCTGTAGGGTCATGTTAGCGGAAGTGATGCCCGTTGGTCCGGGATTTTGTGGTCGCCATATGCGAGTGGTCGCTGTGACAGGTTTTACTGCATACTCATTGAGTAAAACACTACAGTGTGGTATTCAGGCGCAAAGCCCAGTCATGGCCGCCAGCAGACTCCTATGGTCGTGCAGAGTGGCAGCACCTGGCATTCATGTACCGGTCGTTTTATTCATGGTGGCAGATTCACTACGCACTGCCTATTCAGCACTTTACTGCAATCTGCAGAGTCTTCATCCACGCACGCTTGAATTTATTGACACGTATCAAAAATCAGAATACGAATTGCAACCATTAGGACTAGCCACAAGATGACTGTGCACTGAAGATTTTCTACTACGAAACTTGTGTACAGCACAGTGACTCTCACCGCCACTGTCCTGACCACTCCCCCCCCCCTCGCTCCTTGCTCCCCGACTTCTCACTGGAGCGAGGAGGAGAATGGTCAGGAGAGTGGCGGTGAGAGTCACTGTGCTGTACACAAGTTTCGTAGTAGAACATCTCCAGTGTACAGTCATCTTGTGGCTAGTCCTGATTGTTGCAATTCCTATTCTAATTATTATTTCACTGTATTGTGCCATGGACGTCATGGATCTGGGTTGCAGTTAAAAGTGTTGGAAGCCATTTATCAGCGTCCGACTACATGTATGACGTGTACCAGATCAAGAAATACGTATTGGCGCGGACATTGAAATCCGATGGAGTAACCAGGGCCGGCGCCCTTATTGCCTTAGCGAGCACACACAGTGGCACACTGTAGTTCACATGCACACTGTAAAAATGGACCAGCAGTGCTCACGGCTGCAAGGCCAGCACCCCGTAGCCGCTTGACTTCCCAGCGGATTTCGATGCCCATAATAATGCGAAATTGTACTATGAGTATGATTTACGCATGTTGTTGTATTTGGTTCTTGTCTCGTAGAGTCCAGTGTCTGATGTCATATATTATGGTCTAAGTGTACGTGCGAGTATGGTGTGATGTGTGACGTTTATGGTATGTGGTGTATGCTAGAGTACGCGTTGTCAGCAGGGGCGTAGCCAGGATTGTGGCTGAGGGGGGTGATCACTGGAAGTGTGGGCCTGCGCCCGAAGGGGGGGAAAATGGGGGGGGGGTCCGGGGGCCCTCCCCCGGAAAATATTTCGATATTGAGTGCCAAATCCTTCATTTTTGCATCTATTTCATTATTTTCCATTCCACCAATGATTCAATAAAAAGTCAGATAAACAATTTCGCAATTAGATTCGTCAGATTCGGAAATGGCACTGGCACTGCTGCTACTGGTATCTGGTCTCTTCGACTTCCCTCGGCTGAAATACTTCAAGATCGACATTTTCATAAGAATCCATTCGACTTGCGGATCACAAAACGACGTTGTCACTTCTCTTTCACTTCTACCAAGTCTAGCTACACAAAGTGCGAGTCTATATACCGGTAGTTGTACAATGCGCAGTGCATCCGAAAACGACCAAACTCACATTCAAAGGCAAAGATCTACACACAACTATACTACCACGGTAGTACTAGTTCAAATTACAGTACCGGTAGTACTACATTGTACTAAAAATTAATAATTTAGCACTACTGCGCCTGTCACCGGCGAGAACATGACTGCATGTGCAGCCATGCATGCAGTCTCAAGTGCAACCTGCATGCGCTACTAGTAATACAGTTGGCCGGGCCCCGTCGTGCAGCGCAGCGTCGTGTGGCGTCGATCTTGTCGACGTCGAGTCTCGATCGCGGGCGGGCGTAGATCCACAGCAGTACGAAAATGGTACCTGAAATTTTGAGGGGGGTGCTTGGGCACCCAAAGCACCCCCCTGGCTACGCCACTGGTCAGAGTGTACTAGTGTGAGAATCTGCTTCCGTCTGTGTGAGAGTGACTGTCAAGTGAATGCTGTACATGCGCAGTGCTAGTTTGGTCTGGGAACAAGAGTCATGCGTTATTCGCCCGTGGTCTGGTTGTCTTGGTCTTGGCCATGTGTTCTGCACGCATTCGTCCCTGATTGGTCGTCCCGATTTGTCGTCGCTTTATCACTGCTTGTTCTTTGTTGTTTTTTGGTGTCTTTTTCCTTTGTCTTTCGTTTCACCTTTGTTTTCGTCTTTCTCCTCCTGTGCCCTTTCCGTTTGTATAAGAAGTCAGAAACTCTACCAAGTTGTTTGCGTTGTTGTGTGGCAAGGGCCAGGGGGAGAAGGCACTACTATTTCAATAACACCAAAAAATCTACAAAAATTCAAAACTTGTATAATTGCCTCAATCAGTCTACACCAGGGAGTAGTAAAATATTTTACTACTCCCTGGTCCACCAACTATCCACTGTTTTGTACGGTACCTGAATCCTTTGCTGCCTTGAAGCGCTGCAGGAAATTGACCTCGGAGAAGAGGAATCCATCTGATATATTTGCAGCAAAGCGAAGTCCTTGACTGCCTTCCATGATCTCGCACCAACTAAACTGAGACGTAGTCTACTGTCAATCACTAGCTGCTGAGAGCACTTCACTCGAAGCAGTTATCAATGATAGTGAATAGTGGTTTGAAGTCCGGTCTTGTCACTGGCTCGATCTTTCAGACGATCAGATCTTCCGATTTTGCCGCAAGCAAGTAATTCTTTTCAGCAGAGCACACCGATCTTTGTGAATGTCAGCTTGGTGTCTTTCTCGTCATACAATCATGATTATCTCACTGTCTGTCTTTGAAGCAGTTCAACACACATGCGCATACGCGCATATGCAAGAAGAACTCATGGGGTAAACCCCTTTTTGATTGTACGTATCAAGAAGTCACCTGCCTCCGTAGCCGGTCCATGACGCACAGACTCAGTGCACACTGTCTGCATGCACTGCGTACTGCGCTGGACATCGTCCGTACTCGATCGAGTTCAAAGGTTACCCGATAGGTGCAAGACCGACAGCGACTTGTTTGCATTATTATTGGCTCGATCGCAGTCGCATTATGAGCAGATCAATTTTAGATAGCGGAAACAAGAATATTTGAATCCACGCAGGAATCACCTCCTCCAAAGTAGGTCCTGGCTTTCTTGACACCAGTCCAACAGTCAGTCTCTGAGTCTGAGAGTTTTTGCAAACCAACATCTTAGTAGCATATTGCCTACTGGCTGCCGTGGATGGTCACTCGTCATCTGATTCGTCGAAATATTCAGTGTACCAATAGTCCATTGCAGGTTTTGATAATTGGAATACTGGGCGAGTGACTGAATGAGTGTGCTGCTGCCAAAGCAATGCACAATGAACAACTTGAAAACGGGCATTACTTTCCTGGAATCTGCTGCAGCAGAGAAGGTGAGATCATCGTGTAGGTTTACATCGCTAGAGACATGCGTGGAGCAACTACTGTACAGCAGTTTGGAACGGAGTGCAACTTATGTGCACATCAGCCTCATTTGCCATGATCGTGTGCATTTGAGAATCAAAGATGATGGGAAAAAGCTGCGACTGGGTTCTTGCAATCCAGCACTGGATCCAGTTCCAGCACAAGCACAGGCCACTTCCAAGCAACACATGGGAAACGGCTTCGGTGAAGATCTCTCACTGCTCTCCTTCATCGCTGATGCTGTTTGTGTGAAGTCAATGGGAATTGATGGTAGAGAGGAAAGTACCGTTTTGAAACAGGGAGCAAGGTGTAATGCTGACAGCTATTCCAAATTCATCTGGCCTAAGGTACCACGAGGTTCAGCTGGCGGTACAGATATCACGATTCAGGGCCTGTTCAGCACAATTCCCGTACGGCAGAAAGATTTGGTCGAGAGTTTTGGGAGACATTGCCGTTCGGTCCAGTCTTCTATTGCACATATCTCACTGTGCTATCCAAAAGCTACGTTTGTAGTGACTGAGATTGCATGTGACGGCTTAGCTCAGAAGACGAGTCTTGTGCTGAGAGGTGTATCATCACTGGAAAAGAGGCTAAAACAAGCTAGTGTGGTCCCAGCTAACTGTCCTAAATTGCATCGCATCCGAGAAAGCCAGATTGGATCCATTTCCTTGCAGGGCATTATTGGTTGGCCGGTTGAGAAGCAGCATGATTTCCATGCCCTCTTTGTCAATGGTCGCCTACTTGATGCAGGGGACAAAGATCACATATCCTTCTTGTCTTATCTGAGACGTGGCTTGAACAAAGACACAGATATGATGACACTAGGGACCAACAATGAAGCAATTCTTTATGTTCTGCTTTTATCTGAACCGAAGGCTTGCCAGACTGCCAATGAGAATGATTCTTCATTTAACCGTCTGCACCGCAAAGTCGCGTCTTCACTGTCATATATGATCAGAGGTATGATTGCCAAATCTTCCGGTCTTAGCACAAGTATTTTAACAGAGAAATCCACAAGCCATCAACACCTCGAGCTTCCACTAGCACAGTACACATCTGGGCTGCGGTTGGCAGTGAACAATGCCTCCTCCATCGGCTCAGATCAATTTGGTTGTGCATCGCACCGTGCAACCAGGCCTCACCAGCAATCACACAATCCACATGCGCCGCTGAAAGAAACGCAAAGCAAATCAGTAAGATCCACTGCATCAGTAAACATGTCTCCAGCAAGCGAATTAGATAATGATGAGAAAGAAAATCATCAGCAAAGCAGCATCTGGGCGAAGGTGGTTGATGAATATGGACATGTCTCCTTTCTCAACAAGCTGACTGGTTGTAGTCAATTGACAATTCCTCGTGCAGCACAGCACTCAACACCTAGTACAGCCAGTGGGTCAGATATCTTGTGGTCACGTACCAATAGCAGTGCTGACAGCATACGCGCCTATTCAAATTCATGCAAGGATCTGCATCCTGGATCAGCAAGCACTCCCGTGGCTAGAGGGGATCTGCAAAATCCTCTCTTGTCACCCCCACTCACTAGTACTGGAAGGTCAAGTTCTCGTGTTCGGAGTGATCCACAACTGAATTCTGGAAAGAAGGCAAGCCTGGCTGGTATTCTGGAGTCGTGGCAGAATCCGACATTTGGTACATCCTCCAAGGTAGGGCCAAGTGTGCGAGCATAGGCATGTGACTTGCTGAATATAGGTAAAGCGAAGTGGAGTGTCCCCAGAGCAATGTGACATTCATTGTAACAACTCACGTAGACAAAAATGCACCACAAACATAGGTCACAGTGCTCAGTGTAGGCAGCATGGACCTTTTTAACATGATTAGACTAGCAGGCAGCACCGAGGGCTTGTGGCATAGTCTCTGGGCGGCTAGATTAGTTAGCAAAGGGATTGCCATCCCCAGGTCACACCGGGGATGGGAATATGACTTTTATAAAAAAAGGTGTGGACTCTGTTTGTACAGTGTACTGCCGAAGCAGGATGCATGTATTAGCGCTCTAATATTATGAAGGCAGACATTGAATTTGTGCAGGCATTTTGACACTACATGACTATTGTATCTCCAACTGATTGTTTCACGATGCTCTGACTTGTGTGCATTGCTGATGTATAGCTTTCAGGGAGACACAAATCACACCTATTGACGGCGCTGTGCTATCCAATAGGTGTGATGGTCTCGATCAGTCACAACTAGTGGCAATATTGCACATGAATCTAAACTCTCCCTTTCCAATTTTGGAACCTAAAAGTAACCTAATAGCTGTCCTGCTTTGGGAGTGCATGTATGTGGTACGTCTTACACCATAGTGTAGCACCTCCCCACATCCAACATCTACAATATCTGTTGATATTGTGCTGAATACATGTGCCTCACACCTACCCGATTACTGACAACCTACCTCCATTATGCCTATGAGCATCACACTTATAATAATCAACTGTCTGCTTGGTACCAACATAGTTTACTGTTGAGTGCTCCACGTTCTAGCATAGCCAATTCTCTTTACTAGATACTTACTGGCAGCTTGTGGACTTTTACATGGAGCTCAGCTAGGCTAAAAAACACTGATCTAAATGAACCGGCTGGCTAAGATAATGTAAGGTAGGTCCCCGGCGTTTTGATATCACTGTATATGTACTCATTATCCACGCCCCCTTCTGAGATCGCAGTGCTGGGGACCATAGCTGCAGGTGTCGGGGTTAGCTATTCGGTCTTGATGGGTATCCCTGCCCCCTGCTCACTTACAGTGTGTCACTGTGTGTGTGTGTGTGTGTGTGTGTGTCCCTGTGTATGTGCGTGCATGAGTGAGCGGGGCATGTCTATATCTGTGTCTGTGTCTCTCTGTCTATGTATCTGTGTGTTTGTGTATTTATGCATGTATATTCATCCAGAAACTGGTGCAGCCCGTTGCAAACATATCTTCCAGAGCTTTGTCTGCGGCATCCAAGTTGTCTAAGGCATCCCTCCATGACATTGAAGTAAGCGAAGTGTCAGGAGAGTGGTGTCTGCAATATAAGTATATCCTGACATGGAATAGCTACTGGTATTTTAGTACTTCTGGGGTATGAAATGTCAGTTTCAGTCCAACTGATTGATATGCATCTTAATATTTTGCATTGGTGTAGCATTTCTGGGGCTCAAGGTACACTTTTAGGTCCAAAAGTTAGGCACCAGTACGAAAGAATGGCTTGGTTTAATTGGTTCTGGCCTCAGAACAGCGTTCAACATCTGAGTGTGCTGAACAAACTGTATCTTGTGAGTACACTCATACATTCAAAGTGTGCACTATATGCAAGGGCCGTACACCAGCTAGCGCCACTTTCCTGTGTATGTTAACAGCATCTGTTTTCTTTTCACTGTGCAGGTAATAGGTCAAGTCGACAACAAGTTCATAGCTTGCCTATGGCAAGAGGCAGGTATGGTACCGAGCAACGATGCTACAGCCGCTATCTTCTGCAGCTGAAAATTGGATAATATGCATGATTGTGAACACCAGTAAGCAAGTGCATGTATAGTCAGTATCACCTATTAGGTTGGCGGCTCTCCACTAGTAGATGGGCCACATCCTGAGCTCCATGTAGCCATGTAGCCATGTAGTGATGTAGCCATGTAGCCATGTCGTGATGTAGCCTTAGTGTTACGAATGCTCTTGCTTTATAGGACTTTCTTTCACTAGTGTGCTATTTCCTTCGGATTCGTCAGTCATGCACGTAGCACAGGTTTCATAGGTTAGAGCCACAGTGCAGGCTCTTCAAGACACAGAGTGCTAGAACGTTAGTTAGCAGCACTATGTAATGTGAAATGGTCATCCTGTTTTCTGATTTAGACCTGACTACAAAGAAAGTTGTCCTGGTTGATCAGCATGCTGCTTCTGAACGTGTGCAACTGGAAGAGTTGGAGAAAGGTCAGTTGGATATACTTCAAATAATTGTGTTGTCTTTTATAGCATTCTACTTCTTCCCTCTTTTCTAACAGGCCAGGCAGAGGCAGGTTTCGCTTGGTCCAGCCATGCCAGCGGGTGTTGTACTTTGTATTATGATATGGTGGGTGCATATTACTTGCTTAGCAGTCGACACATATTTGGTGGCCGGAAGGTTGATTCAGCTATGGGCTGACCAATCTAACCGCTTGCACCGGGTATATCTACAAGTAGTTGGATGTGTGTGCACGCACGCACACAAGCATGTATGCACGCATGCATGTGTGTGCGTGTGTGTGTGTCTTTTCTGTGGTTGGCTTCAGGAATGATCACATCTGTTCCTTGTGGTTGTGGTGGCATTGTGACGCGTAACAAGAACTCTAGCAAGTCTAGCATACCGGCGGCGCTAGGCCACTGTTCCATGGTCAAGTCTACTCCAGTTCCATGCATCAGCATCCATGTTCCTGGCACAATGGTACCATGCTCAACCCAAGTACTAAGAAATTACCTTCTTCATCATGGCGTTCAGGTCGCTGCTTGCAATATTGACAGTCAGCAATATCAGCTGTCCATTGTTGGTGTTCCTGACCTTCTCCTAACAAGACTACGTTCCGACGACCCACAACTGAGCAAAGCTGTTCAAGTAAGCGGCCGTGAGCTGATATCTGAATAGAATGTCATGTACCTGAACACGGAGCTCTGCTATTGGTATTGTCGTCCTAGCAAACATGTGCCAGCTCAGTCAATGTGTACGCAAAGCTACTGTGTATGTGTGCGTGTGTGTGTATGTGTGTGTGTGTGTGTGTGTGTGTGTGTGTGTGTGTGTGTGTGTGTGTGTGTATGTATGGGTGTGTGGTGTCTGTGTGTGTCCATATCGATCTTCAAATGTGGGCTGTGGAATACGAATCATACGAACGCAGGAGCTGGTACTGGAGGGGATCCAGGTATGAGGAGGTTTATTCATTCACTTTGACATCATGTATTTCGAGTAGCTACTGTGCGCTGTAAGGTTCACTTTGGAAGCAGTGGCTGTTGTAATGTAATGAACAGCACTTACTACAAACAGGTGTTTTGTTGAATACTGATTCACCGACTGGACGGATGTTCTGCTACAGTACTGTCGGGCGCCGAAGAACGGACCGCCGAAGAATGACCAGGCTTGGACTTCACCAATTTTTAAGAAAAGCGTAGGCTGCATTTTTTTGCAGATAAGAACGGAAACCGTAATTACACACTATAATGTACACTCAGATGCATAACTGCATAAATGTACATGTAAGACTGTACCATCGAATAAGAACGAAACTGCTGTGTTCGCTAAAAGTGAGAACGAGCTAGGCTAGAACCCTGACCCCCAGTTCTTCGGCGCCCGGCAGTACTGTATTCCCCGTACACGAGTGATGAAATTCAAATCATTTATTGGTACCTCACCAACCTGCCCACATTCTCCAACAGGTCACATCTCCAGAGGCATAGGCCAACTGGTTCATGGCATGTCTGGGAAGCAAGTTATTCCGCCAATATTGTCCCAGGCCAGTGCTTCACTGCTGTGCAGGGTTGATACCTGCTGATATGTAGAGCCTAGATACATGCAGAGCCTACAGGGGCATAGCTGGTCCCCCTTTCAGGGGGGGGGGGGGGGTGCACGGCCGCATATGTGTAATGGCTGGTGCATGTCTAGGTCGAAATGTTTGGGGGGGGGGTCCACGTGCCCATGCAGGCTATGCGCCTGAGCCTAGATATATATATTCACTGGATACCACTTCAAATGTACATGGTGTAATGTATATATAACTGAACCTATCTATCTGTCTATTGCTTCACTATTCATTGATCATGCTGTAAGCCTACATGGGTAGTGTTTCACCCAGTATGACAGTTTGCCCTTTCATCAATCATCGTGGTCTGCTGCACACGATGCATGGATGTGTTTCCTTTGTTTTGCATTGCTTGCTGTATGCACGCTTTCAGTCTTATCATGCTATCGTTAGTTCCGGTATAGTGCGTTGTTGCGAGTCTTGCGTGCTGTGCGTAGAAGTCGTACCACCGCACTCAGTATCGCTCTAGCCCGATAATCCATATGCATCTGAGTTGGCTGTACTCAGTTGCCTTTTGGGAACTCTTTGCCATGAGTTCATTAGTAGTTCTTATGTTGTCGTTTTGCTCTCAACTTGTTTTCTCTCTCTCTCTCTCTCTCTGAAATGTTCTTCCCTGAATAACAACTAGTTACTTTCGTACTGCCTGTTGGTCGAGTTGGCGTGCATGCCTGCGTGACTGAAGTTCCATAACAATGGGCTTATACACACGTACTCTCTCCTCTCTGAGACACTGCTACCGCTTGTTGGGAGGACCCTCTAAGCGGCACTGTAAAAAAAGTGTGAAGAATAATCGTCGCCATCTGACTCGGAGTATTTTTTTTACTATATTCACATACCCAACTCGTAAATAATAAAGAAAGACAATGTCAATGGTACTGAGACTAGTATATCTTGGCATATACATGTACCAGATCTAGAGGAGGTAATGTTACATCTTCGGATATTTGTTACATCCCTACATGTAGGTTGGTAACTTAGAATCTGGTTTTGTACAGCGCTTCATTTACTGTAATGATGTGCACATGTGAGGTGTATGTAAAAGACCAACAAGTTTTTAAGTTACCTGGTACATGCAGTGGTGATGGTTGTGTGAAGGAGGGTCTGGTCGGCTAAAGAGGGCAGTGTAATGGTGGTGGTACATGCATAGGCAAGTATTTCACGTGTTGTCGCTGTGTGTCTGTTGCTCCACATCTGTCTAGTTCTTACGCGATGGAGTTTTCTGCAATCGGACAGCAACCTTGACGGAGTTGTTAGCATCTCTTTCATGTCATAGTGAGTTATTATGCTGTGGAGTTTTGCACTTCTGTGATACTAGTGCTTGTATTCGCAATAATGCACTACAGTCCGTTCATCCGAAACTGGCACCCAAACTTTTTGGTGTCTCGTACGTATAGTGTAAACAACTGTACATCCTGCATTGTGTGGGTTGTGCAATTCCTACTTGCCACATTCAAAGCTGGAAAAAGTCCATAGATAGGGAGTTAGCAATCCGGCCAGGTTTAACAAAATTAGGATGGGTGTACCATGGCACGTGTATGGAGCATCTTGGATGAACGGACTGTATGTTTTATGTCCAGCTGCCAAGGCAGAATCGGAAAACTCTCTCATCAATTGACCAATGCAAATGTGAAATCTCCAGCTGCCTGTGAACTAATCCAAAATCCATGCCATTGGTCGGCCTGAACCGATTGTACCAGCCGGCTGTCTCTTTTTCTTTTTGCTGGAAGAGGAAATGGACCAGTTCATTGCCCTCCTCCGGTACCTGCACCATGCTGGCAGGTAGCTTAGAGTGCCTCCCGTAAACTCGTCACAGAAAGTTTAGTTCAGATATTCAATCAAAGAGGCACTGTGTAGGGGCAATTCATTTCTTGATAAAGCCATATCCTGCTTCTTGTGCTGATCAGGCGCCATTCGTTTCGGAGACTGTTTGTCGAAAGAAGAGTGTTGTGAGCTAATCAAGAGTCTGTCAAAATGCAACTTACCCTTCCAGTGTGCCCATGGACGGTGAGTTCTAACACACATTCTTATTCTTGTTGGTGTAATTACCCCTCAGTTTGCCTGAACTTGGGGTGGATCGTGCCGCGGGTAGTAGTAGCAGTATGGTAATCACCACTCATCTCACTTGACCTTAGTTTCTGTCTAAGAGTAGGGAAAGGAGGGGAATCTCTTTCGCGGACTTTGGGAGCAATTATCGACAGCTGCAGATTTGCCAAATTTTGGTTATTTGGAAAGACCTACCGTAATGTCATGTATAAAAGCATGACCCTTAGGCCAAGTAAAATAAAATCCCAGTTTATCGTCCTTTTTTCACAAAAATCGGGGAGGGAGGGCGGATTTTATTTTTATTTTTTATTTTTTGATGTGCTACAGACTAGTATAGTTCTTGGTAAACAATGACACATCATGTGCAACAATCTGCAACAGAATAGTGGTAGTGTATGGAATACACAATGCTATAACAGTTATATGTACATAAACAACGACGGATTTGCAGCAAAACAAACGGCATGTCGCTTCTCAACAAAGTCACAACTACGGAAAGAACGGAAAACTGTCGAGGTCTCGACAGGATGAAGACGGACTTTCGGCAGAAAGACGAAGCTGTGTTTTCAAGCCTTAGCCGACGTAAAAAATCAAGCTTTTTGGCAAAATTCTAGATTTAAAAAATAAAAATAAAATCCGGGCGGCCTCGAAAAATGGGACGGGCGGGGACGATAAACTAGGATTTTTTTACTTGGCCTTATAGAAGCATGACTCGAATAGAAGCTGGTTTTTCGAAGCATGCCGTGACCAGACACAGAAGCACGATTTGAATAGAAGCCTTGCACAGTACATGTGTGACAGTAAGCACTGTACAATGTACAAGCCATGTAGCCTGTAATGCACAGTGCAGGAATGCATCACTGCACGAAGGTGCAAGGCGTGCACTTCGTAGAAACATGTTTTAAATTGAAGCATAACTTGAATAGAAGTATGGTTTGCACTCCGGCTTGTACGACCATGAGCTCCTGCTTTTATACTTTATACGCGACATCACGGTGTGTTCCACAGAATTTTGAGCCACTAACATGATTGTTACCACGGCATGCCCCAGAGTCCATGGGGTATGTACTATTGCAACAGGTGAAGACAAACTTTTGAAACCTCTGTCATTCTCTGGGCATGAAATTCCGTCATAATGGGTAAACATAGATATTGAGTCCATGCAGTTGGCAGAAATCTTACTTGGAATATTCTGTAGGATTTTGAAACGAATGGGAGAGTGCCTATTCTACTCGTATATTACCTGGCCGGCTGATATCCACAGCAGATGTATCAGAAATCCTGACATGTTGATCGTGATTCTGGCTATGCCCGTGGCTATGCCCCTGGCTACACATGTAGCCAGTGACGTATGGCATCATCCGCTGGAATATGGTACAGTGCTGCAATTTTTCGTGCAAGTACAGTATGGCACATGAATACTATAAGCTGCAGTGTGGAAGGCGCTGTACCTGAGACCAGCACTGAGTTCTGAATTCCATTGTTCCGTACTACAGTGCGTTGGCATTGTCGATAATTTTCACGGAACGAAAAGGTTTAGTACAGTTACAACCCTCCCCCACCCCCTGAACGAAAAATATACTCACCTGGCGACTACAATGGATGAATGTTTCAGCTATTTATTTATTTTTATTTACTGTCTGCACTTCATGGCACATAATGAAAATAAAGTTGAAGACACCACTGCAGCTGTACTTATGGTTGATAAATATGGTGGTAAAGACACACCTGGCAACATGGCGGTAAACACACGCCTGCCCACACACGCTCTCTAGGCTGCAAAGTTCTGGCACAGAGCTCTCCTTCTCACCACCACCACCATCAGCTCGCGCCTGGCGCCTGGTCGATGCATGGCTGGCGGTATCCGACATAGCAGGCTGGTACATCAAGTAGCGCATGGCACATAGATGATGACACAGCAACGACATAGCTCGATTGCGACGTACGTTTCGTCCCCGCTGGACTCATCAGGCAATCTTCTTCTTGGATGTCTTCATACGGAGCTTGACCCGGGAGAATGAAGTTGAAGACACCACTGCAGCTGTACTTATGGTTAATAAATATGGTGGTAAAGACACACCTGGCAACATGGCGGTAAACACACGCCTGCCCACACACGCCCTCTAGGCTGCAAAGTTCTGGCACAGAGCTCTCCTTCTCACCACCACCACCATCAGTATAACCTCAAACTTGTCAAAATAAATAAATAAATAAATAAATAAACAAATAAAATTTAACTTCATAACTTGTTTCCATGTGATTTCTTCTATTTTAAAACAAATAAAATAAAAGAGGAGCGTTACTTACGAAGAGCCTATGAATATTTTCAAAATGAAATTCTCCTTCACCCACCTACCCGGTTCATGTAAAAGATCGATGATGACGGTATGGATGGCCCCTAAATCTGTGATGACTTTGTGTATAAATTTCCGAAACTGGGCGTTTGTTGTTCAACCCCTTTGGGGTCAATATGACAAAATAGGGGAACCGCCTGAGCATTATCCCGAAGAAATTTTCAATAGGCTCAAACCAAATTCGACCTAGTCAACTTTGCGAACAACGACACTCGGCGACAATCAGAAAAGTGTCCTTATTCGCGAAGTGTCCTTATACCCCAAATCCCATATGAATGTATGCGAACCCGTATTTTGTATAGTACACCTAATGTGAAGCAAAATAAAAATAAAATACCCCCCCCCCCCTGGCTGCATCTTCTTTCATGTGTGCCTTTATCCATTGCCATGGGTTCTGGTACTTCTGCATGACAGGTACTTGAAATACCGTAGAATCCCGCGGATAAGCCCACCAAGAGTCCATAAATTATTTGTGTTTTTTTTAGTATGTATTTATGTATGTTTTTTTGTACATTTCAACACAATCATCGGTTGTTTTTGTTTGCACAGTGGCTCTCAGCAATGTACTACTCACTTCCTTGGTACTTTTCAATAGCACAATTTTGGTGTCAGCGTATAAGCCCATGCCTGCGTATAAGGCCATATCCTTGTACAAGCCCACCGAAATGTCCTTGTGAAACAGATACGCCCATGGACTTATCCGCGGGATTCTACGGTAGCTGTCAAAAGCCCAGAAAGTCGTTATTCAAGCATTGAATACGACCTCGGGGCGCTAAAAGCATGTCCATGTCTCGTTATTAGCGAAGTTGACTGTACTTTTAAAAGTCTGGACTTTTGAAACACACTGTAAGAACATCTCTCTCTCTCTCTCTCTCTCTCTCTCTCTCTCTCTCTCTCTCTCTCTCTCTCTCTCTCTCTCTCTCTCTCTCTCTCTCTCTATCTCTCTGCATACAAGGAACAACAGCAAGGGCTACATTTTATCGAACACTTGCATATGAATACGTCTAGATTAAAAGTAGTTTGCTTCTATGTTCCATCCTCTGCATTGAGTCAACCAAGTGTCTGTGATACTTGCTTTCATTTGATCAGGCCCTCGATCATACCAATAATGGACATTACAGAATTGGAACTCAACTCGTTGGTGAGTAGCAGTGCAGTTAACTGTTATCGATGTACATGTACTTTCCTCTGTAATGAACAAGTTCAATTATTGATGTACCGGATATGTACTTTCCTTCGCAGCGAGGTACTACAAGCTATTACTGAGCACTATGGATGCACATTATAGTCCATTTTGAAAACATAGATGTGTGACTCTGCACAAGTTATGTTGTTGTTGAGACTCTGGACTGTCTGTGCCACCATAGCTGGATCTAAAGAGATATAATGCCCGTGTGCAGGGTAGCAACGTATGAACAATTGTGCCACATAGATTCTTTGTTGTGGGCCTCTTTTTTGCCTTCACCGAACGTGTGCTTTCTTCCTAAGGATCATGGAAGATGCAGCCCCGACTCTTGAGCCACGATGAAATCTAATTTAATGAATATGGTATAAAGTCTCACGTCCGAACTCTGAACCAGGATTTCACTCTACAAACTCTCCAAGATGTCAAAAGAATATCCCCTGCGTGGCATACGCACACACTTTGAGCAACGCAGGCATCTATTTAAACACTTGCAAAGAGACAATCATGGTTTATCAGCTCGAACCTGCACAAATGCAGCACTGGCTGAAATCAACACTTTGTTTCTGAAGAACAAAATAATCTGAATCTGCCACGTATGTGCATGTAAGTTTCACTTCTTTGATTCCCACCGCTTGTTAGGAGCTGCATCTGTGCCTTGATCCTTGACGGGTGGTGGCGTTCCTACGGATGCGGAAAACTGGGCTTCTAGCCTACAATTGTAGTCTTATGCAAACCGTGATTTTTCTTTGACTCCAAACTCGCCCTGGGGTACCACACATGTTGCAGCTAGACAGTACAGAGGTTCCGCACTACGTAAAGTTGAGCACCTTTATGTTTAATAGGGCGGGAAAAACCCATGAATTCGCGAGTTTGCACTCCACTTACGGAAAGTTATCTACGTAGAGTACGTAGATAGGGCTCTGACAACGTAGGTGCTCCATAAGCGGATTGGAGTACAAATTTATGACTCTCCCCAGTTCGATCCGGTCGTACACTGCCGCGTTCGGAGTTGGCAAGGGCAGCTACGTGATTTGAAAACTCCGTATGGCGGAACACAGATCCGCATGCAGTTTACGCAAGACTTTCCGTAGATCGACTACGTTTTTTTACTAATGTAATTATGTTATGCGGAACCTCTCTAGTGCCTCACTCATATCATACACAGAATGCTTCTATGTAACAGTTGCTCTAACAAGAACACAGGTCATTGCAAAGCACAGTTCCCTAAAACCATAACAGTAGGTCAAAGCACATTAAAACGTACTCACGATCAAAAGTCAGAATGAATAATAAGAGTTAAAGAGGAAAAAAAACTAGTCGCACCTCAGAACTAAGACAAAATGTACACCATGATCTGTGTGATTTGAATGCGCTCATGACAGGGTGTTGTCTACAAGCAACCCAGCTTGCGCAAGCTCTATCAGCTCACGCCCAAGTGACAAGCCAAACTCTGATGGAGGGAATTGTCCAGATATGCTCGCTCGAGTTTCCAAATTTTATGAACAATCAAACAGTTTTCATGTACCATGAATAATGGAATATTTGTGGGCACATGCATCAGTGTGTGTGTGTGTGTGTGTGTGTGTGTGTGTGTGTGTGTGCTCATAATTACGAGCGTATGTGTTGATATGACAGCATATTGCAGGTAATTCAGGTAAGTTCGGTGATGCTGGGTTGGTTTTCTGAATGCCATGCCTATATTTACATGATGAAAAACATATGAAAGGTTAAATATCGTAGGTAGACAGTGGCAGCTATGCTTGGCTACATGCCACATTGATCGTTCTACGTATTTCCTCACCATGTGCTAATGCCTGCTCATAGCACTGACGCAAGATTGACTGGCTGATTGACTTTCCACCTTGCTTTGTGATAGCACAGAGTCTCTCTTGATCTATTGCAACCATATTGACGAGTGCTGAGGCTATTCTCTCCTCTTCACCACATGGTGAGCACACCAGCTTATCACTCGCCACAGCAAAGGATACAGACGTTGGTATACACTTCAAGCTGACAGGCTGAGATGAATCTGACGAGCGGACGACACGCTGCGTTTCCTCTGATATCTCAACGCTTGGCAAGCGTAAATTTCTTAACGCTGTTACCAAAGCAGCTAAACATGCCTGCTGAAGACTGCCATCGTAATTCAAACATGTTATGTCCGCATACAATACCCAACATAGCTTGCCAGGTGAGATGCACAACTGTTTCACGTCCAGCAATTCGCATTCAGTCCAGACATCATGTAACCACTGACTCAGGGATTGTGCCTCTTCATTAGGGGGTCCAGTACGGAACGATGATGAACACATTGCTGATAAATTCACATTCGCCACGAGATAACCTTCATCAGGCTGATTTACTGCTGGAGTTGTCAATTCTGCTTTAATTCCACACAAGACACATGTGCCACCTAAGCGAACCATAGAAGATCCGTCCGCGGTGCCCACGGGACCTACATTCACAACAAACGGCTGAGGATCGGCCATAGTGTCTTCAGCAAGCAAAGTTCTAACTGCACTATATAAATAACAACAAAAAACGAACAATGAACAATGCAAGCTGCAGTGATGTGCTAAAACAGTAAAACTAAAAGTAAAAAATAAAAAAAATCATTACCGGTACCAGATCTGCATGCATGCAGTGCAGAAACTGCAGATCGATGAAGTATTGAAGAGCTCAGCTGACATGACGTAGGACGAAATTTTGTAGTGCAGTGTAGCCATGGTACATGGTAGCTAGCTGTACTCAGCGCGCCTACAAAAATTTTTGTAGCGCCATGCACTGGCTAGCATGGCATCAAGAGTACAGTCATGAAAACCAGAGTGTGCAGCTTGGGGCCTTTTCTGCTATGGGTGTCTGTCACGGCGAAATTCCGTGATTACATCATATTTGGCCCAGATCTAGGCGGGAAATGGCGTAGTGCGTACAACTGAGCTGCAGTTGTGCAGAAAGAGACCTGCTTGAATCCTGCTTGTACGCACTACATCACTAAAATGATGTAATCACGGAATTTCGCCGTGACAGCAACCCATCCGAGCTGCACACTCTTGTTTTCATGTACTCTTGATGGCATGCAGTCCACACGTGACCATGGTGACCGCTTTTTCTACCATGCATGCCCATGATGCAGTGTGCATGTGGTGTAGATCTACCATGCAAATGATGCATGGTGTAGACCAGGGAGTCGTAAAATACCGGTATTTTACGACTCCCTGGTGTAGACAGTCATGATGTCTTGATCATTGATGTAGTCTAGTCGACTCCCGAGTCCCGATACCGCTATGTCCAGCCTATGTAATCTAATAATGATGATTGTGGCTTCCACAGTTTCAGCGCACGCTTTCACACAGCACAGCACTTCTGTCCTGACTGTAGTGTAGCACTCCAGACGTCTAGACTCAGAGTCAGAGGAATCGGATTCGTAGGCTTTGAAAAATTGAATGATTCGCTGCGCTTTCACTAGTTTCAGAAGTAACTACTTTTCTGTGGACGGTGTGCTATTCCATACGACGTTACGCCAGCATTTACTTACTCACAGTGAACTGCATACGATGTGGGTGAGCATGAGCTTGCTCTGCTGATGATGAACAAGAAAAAACGAGTTTCTGATAGAGAAGCAATCTAAGGATGAGCTGAGCCACAGCATTCCGATTACTAGTAGTATTACTATTAGATGATTTTGTCAAATGACCAACCGCTAGGCTGCGATAATGAGTGAAAGGTTCGTAAGCTGCTATAAACGATAAATGTAATTATAACCGATACGCATGAGTACCGGAGAATAGAGTCCACAACCACCATCATGTTGCTGACTGACCACCATCGTGTTGTTGGCTGACCCCTATGCATATGTACTAGTATATCCAGCCAGATTGAGTATATCCATTATCCACCCACAATCATTTTGATAAATCAGTCTCTACTTTCCATGTAACTTCTAATCTAAGCAGATACAGTAGCTACATGTAAGTACATGTACTAGTTAGTACTGACCGTGACATGCCGATATTGCAGCACTACACATAACAGAGAAAGCCAGACAGTGCCAGACTGCTGAACAACCAGCAACCAGTCAGTACACAGTATGCAAGATAACACACGTGATGATGGTGACCATGGTGACAGTGCCTGAGAACTAGCAGGGGTCAGCAATAAGTTGTCACCGGAAATTGTCACCAGCTTGGCCGAGTGCAATGAGTAAACAGAACACCCATTTACTCTTCAATATTCAAACGCGGGCTTTCATTAATCTACAATTGTAGCCTGACTGTGCTAGAGCCTGTGTGCATGTACACACCGTGACACGGTGCGTAACGTTAACAGTGTGGTCGTGTAAAAGAATATACTGCCTACAAGAATGAACTCTCATGTTTTCGTAATCATAACATGGGTTTCAAGTGCACAATTATTCTTACAAGCAATTTTGTCGCATAGTAGAATATATCGGTCCTAAGAATGGACTTTGTGTAGCGAAACATGCCAGATTAGTACAAAGTGTATCGCCTGTACTTGTAATAACATTTGTTCAATGCAGTTCTGATCTGACTCACGTTGCGTCATAGTGCTTACGTTGCATGTACGATGATCTTCCTGCCCCTGCACACATGCATATGGCATGTCACACTTGATTTACCGTGTGTAAGAAATATCGGAAATAAGAATAGAAAGTCGTTTTTCAAACACCCACGCTATAACCGATACCAAGAATACATAAACCAGAGTGTGCAACTCGGGATGGTTCCTGTGGGAGCGTAATTCGTGCAGTACGTCGTTTCTGACGGCATGGTAAGCCACAGGTACGGTGAAAAGTTGCGTAACCAGTCGCGGTGGTGCAGGTCACCGAGTTTCGGTTTTTTGATACGGATAGCCTGGTGACTTTACCTGTCGGTGGATGTACGCAGCGTACACAGTCACACAAAACACCGAAATCCTGAAACTGTACGTCTAAAATCAAGCAAACTGGGCTGATTTCCGGGCTATGAAACATGAAAATTTGAGCTGTCCGCAAGTCGCGGCTTGGCTGACCTCATCAAGGTGATGTAGTGCACGAACTGCGCTGTTTCAGATCTGATATGCACAGTTGCACACTCTGGTTTAAGTACTCTTGCCGATACCTACTGTACTAGACTAGAGGTTGTGTGTCTGCTAGATGTGGTGTGCATTGCTAATATTATAGCCTGGACTGTGTGGAAAACGAAGCATGTGTGAACGTTGACTTACTGTTCTGCCCTTGGACTGTAGACTGTAGTTTGCATGGCTGTCACCATTATTATTATTATTAGACTTTACTGTGTGCTTACTGTTCTAACCACTACGCTGCCCTGTAGCTGGCACTGCCCTGTAGCTGGTACTGCCCTGTAGCTGGCACTGCCCTGTAGCTGGCACTGCCCTGTAGCTGGCACTGCCCTGTAGCTGGTACTGCCCTGTAGCTGGTACTGCCCTGTAGCTGGCACTGCCCTGTAGCTGACACTGCCCTGTAGCTGACACTGCCCTGTAGCTGGCACTGCCCTGTAGCCGGCACTGCCCTGTAGCTGACACTGCCCTGTAGCTGGCACTGCCCTGTAGCTGGCACTGCCCTGTAGCTGACACTGCCCTGTAGCTGGCACTGCCCTGTAGCTGACACTGCCCTGTAGCTGACACTGCCCTGTAGCTTGCACTGCCCTGTAGCTGACACTGCCCTGTAGCTGTCACTGCTCCGACTGCCTGGAAAGCTGACATATGTTTTGAATGGCAAAGTTTGCTCATTTGGTGATTTCACCTTTGCATGGATTTTGAAGAGACATTAACGGTGCTGAAATGATTCTTAAAGGTTTCATTGGATTTCTGGTGGCTATTTTGTTAAATGTGCTGATTTCCAGGGAAACCTCTCTACATTGACTCATGTGCATGTACCCGGCCAGTGTACTTAGCCCACCACCGACTATCGTCACCTCTCGTATTGTTATGCCGGTGTGTACTGAAACTCAATTGTGTCCTCGGTAGCCTTGTCTGGCAATCAATATGACTGTGCTTATACTTTATGTGTGTATATGTGTGTGTGTTTGTGTGTGTGTGTATGTGTGTATGTGTGTATGTGTTTATTTGCGTGTGGTCTGTGCAGTGTAAAGGTAGCTGTTCGTGTGCGTCCGTTCAATCAGCGGTAAGCACACCTTTTGGTCATGGTGGAACTGTACTACATGATGTGTTTGTGCACTTGTTGGCAGTTGCATGAACAAGTTGGTACAGGGATGCTGGGCACATTAGGAAGTTGTGCTGCTAGCTCTACGGGGGGGGTGTTAGTAAAATCACCAAGCAGCTATGTACGTGTGTCTATGTGCAGTGAGAAGCAGCGCAATGCCAAGTTGATTATTGACATGAACGGTGCGACAACCTACATTCAGAATCCGGACAATCCCAGTAAGTGAACTTTGGTGATCTCGTTCTCTGGCGAACAATTCAAATACATGTAGCGGAATGGTGCAGGGTTAAAACACCTATTATCTGGTGAACGTATCATTTGCTCTTGAGATTTTCCCCTTTGAAATGAACAGCGATCGCGTAGCGGGAGGTAAATGAGAAGTATGAACACTCGCAGCATCCAGCTCAGGCTACACACTTCATGAAAGATAAAGACTGAGCTTTTCCTCAAACAAGAACTACTACAGTCGTAGTTGCATAGCAACCGAGTGGGGGGGGGGGGGTCTTTTGCTGAATATGGCGATATGGACCAAAATTTAGAATTTTGCTTTCTCCATCATCAGCTAGTACTGTATGCATAACATAGAATCCGATTGTGTAATTTCTGTACTTCAAATGCAATTATGGCCATCAAGAAAGTAATGTCGGAATTGGCCCAGCTATAGAAAGTAGTAGAAATGCAGATGTATTTTGATTGGTGGTTGACTAGGCCTTTCGTACCATTACTCAGTTTCAAGTCGAATACAATGGTGAATAACAAGGTAGCAATCAAGTCCTTATAACCGGCACTTTGGCGGTCAGAGCAGGGCCGTAGCAGGCGGTCCGGCAGGTCCGGCAGCTGCCAGACCAATATTCGGCCAAAAAAAAAAAAAAGCAGGAGCTCATACATGTAAGCAGCTCAGGATGTCCACCCATGATATGTGCAATAAGTAGAGCCGTAGTGAGGTATAAGTAGAGGTAGTACATGGTAATAGCAAGAGGATATACTTTGAAGTTTGAACTCTAGTAGTATTCATGTACATGACTGTCATGTACATGACATTGTTGCGAATACCATGTACATAGATCCATGTACATATATCCATGTGGGTGTTGTCCTGTACTTTATCATATATCGGACCTCCTGCCATTCCTCCATTGCAATGTCCTTTCTCCTCCTCCAAGGGACCAAAGGTCCATTTGTGGTTCTTTTATCACATACGTTTAGATACTGTTGCTATCCCTTCATAGGCTTCAGTTAACAAGTTCTGTTTGGACGGACACAACATGCTGATGCCCTTTTCCCTGACTCATGCAGAACATCCTTCTTCCTTTTCTCGCCCTATGTCACTCTGCATGGTCACGATTACATGCATGTACATACACGTACAATCATGTACATTTTGTACCTGTACACCGGCATATGTCACGGTAATACTACTAGGAGTGTGGGCTCGGGGGGGGGGGGGGGGGGAGCATCGAGGTCGGATCTTGCCGGACCAACCAAAATGGGGCTGCTACGGGCCTGCAGAGCATTGATAAAATAGCACTTTAAAAGATAACGCTAGTGGCGCCAACTACATATTTGGCAGTCAGACAGGGAGAGGCCGACCAGAGGCGAACCAGTCAAGGACATCACCGTCACCGTCAAGAAAGGGAGAAGAAAATGAACACCGATCAAACCACCAGCAATCGCCACGAGACGAAGTAAACGGCTGCGTCTCCGCAACAACGCTCTGCAACAAGTGGCTGATACGGGATCAACATGTGGAACAGTGTATGACCCCTCACCCGGCAGAGAAGTCACCAGTGGCACAACTGCCCTGCATAATAGCAACCGCACAAATGGACCACCGGACGCTGACGATAGCGAGAAGGACTCGGCAATACTCCGTCACCTGACATCGTCACTGGCCTGCCTCAGTGCAGTCTGCAAACATGGCACCCATTCTCACTTCACAATTCAAGCACGTGCACGCAACAAATCTCACCTTGCTGTGCTGGAGGCAGTGTACATTGCCAAGCTGAAGCCTGAACTGTGTGTGCGAAAGTTGTCACTGTTTTGCCATTGCAGTACCGTGGTCCCCACTGTTGTTTGATACTAATAATATTCATTGTTTTACTATGTAGTTGGCGCCACTAGCGCTACCTTTCAAAGTGCTATTTGGCCAATGCTCTGACCGCCGAATATGTAGTTGGCACCACTAGCACTATCTTTTAAAGTGCTATTTTGTCAATGCTCTGTATTCGACTTGAAAAGTAATGGTACGAAAGGCCTAGTCGAAACTATGGCTTCTGTGCTTGGTGTGCTGATTTGCTTTCCTCCAACCAAGCATCTATTGGTGGTCGAATATCTAGAAAATACTGAGATATGTGGCATTATGCAAAGCAACCCATTTGTTTTTGATGGGCTGAAAGGCCGCTGATGTGACTTCTGCGCTTTTTCTTTTTTTTGTTCTCAGGTCAACCCGCACATAAGGTAAGTCCAACAATGGGTCTTCACCACTCTGACTAGTTCCTCATAGACACTACTGCAGAAGTGAATATCATGACTGTGTTGTGACACTGCTGCTTAGACGTACATGTGTAGTTAAAGTCATTTTCACTGTACGTCCTACAGACAATTAACATGTCACATTTGCAGTGCTTTTGCTTGCCTACAACTTAAAATAGAGAAATTTTATTTCCGCTGCTTTCTTTGCTTGTCAAGGCTTCTTTACCGAACCAAATTCCTAGCTTGTTCTAACTTGTTAGTTATGCAAAGCATTGGTTAGCATGGAGCGAGGAATCCTACAAGTAGAGACTTACGTCCTTCGCATCTCCTTGGCGGCAGTTCTTTCTCGTATCCTACAAAAACTGATCTTCCTCCAGTGAATGTACCGTAAAGTACCTGCAGCCAGAGTGCCTCATCTCGTGAAAGCACTCCACCTTGGTGTATGGCCAGGGGAAAGCAACGCAGCAGTGTCGCCGAGTGAAAAGAGGTTCATACGGGGTTTTTCTTTCTTTCTAAAAACAAGATTAAGTGCGCTTGGGTTACACATGGCCCTGCACCAGCTCATTGCTCATGTGGTCCTCACTCGAAGAGGGAATCAGTATGAAAATACATATTCTTGAATAGTGGAACCAAGTTCTACTTAGGGAAAATAATCAAAACACTCCTTTTGCTTAGACCATCAACATCTTAAATTACTGGTACATGTACGCCTACCTGTTTTCAAGTTACAGAAAGTTCATACGGATTACTGTGTGTATTTTGTGCTATGTGGGGCTTCTCCTTTTCATTCCGACCATATCTATGCCACGTGCCATTCAGTTCACGTTTGATTTCTCGTACTGGTAAGTAGCTGCATTGGCATGTCTGTGCGCATCAATGATTGTGCATGTGTGTATCGATGGCTGAACCTTACTCATATAATTCACTGGCTGTGCTTGTATGGTTCCGTTGACAGGGGTTTGTCGGATGAATAACATTCAAACAAACAACGTGTGACTGTATTCATTTGCATGAGCAGGACGGATTAAACACTTTTCTAGTACTTGTAGAATGTATGTTGTACTTAGAAATCTTGGGTAGATTAAAACTACTAGATTTGGTGAGAGTTGATCATGATGCATATTGGAGAATTCATTCACTGCATTGACATTGCCTGTAAGCCATCTGAATAAAATCATAGAGTTATGATGCTTACCAGAATAACCTTTGCTGTCACCTTATCCCCCTGCAGGAGCCATGATGGGTATTCCGAGACAGAAGATGGTGTTCTAGAACCAGACACTGACAAGTATGCATCACAGAGGCGCGTGTTTGATGATCTTGGGCAGGGTGTCTTGGACAATGCCTTCAAAGGTGAGAGAAGGGTGCAGATTGAAACTGTAGTCTTGCATTGACGACTTGTGTTTGCTCAGTTTCAATGAAGGGTCACAAGCCCTTGCTATGCAAGACAGTCCATACTGGCTAGTAATGTGTGCCATGGAGTCACTAGCATATTGTAACCACGTTACCGTGATTGTGTGACCCCTCAACCCCATCCCCTCTCATCACACACACATGCACACGCATACACACACACACACACACACACACACACACACACACACACACACACACACACACACACACGCACGCACGCACGCACGCACGCACGCATGCACGCACACACACGCACACTAACACACACACTAACACACACACACACACACACACACACACACACACACCTTGACCTTGATACACGTTGCCTTGATAGGTTACACGGTCCCCGTCAGGGGAGAGGGGTGGAAGAGGCTGAGGAGCAGCACTTTTGATGGCGCACTAGATGGTGACGTAGTCGGAACTTCCTTTGGCAAGGGCACTCAAACGGGAAGTCGGCCCTTTCCGACACTGTCCTACGTTTCGTGCGGTCACACTTGTGTCTGGCCAAGCCGCTGCTGGACTTGAAACTCCGGTGGCAGGTGCTGCACTGCGGAGTGACCGGGTTGCCGGGGTGCTCAATGTTGGGAGCAGGTCCGTGATCGCACCGATGGGTAGCCAATCCACCGGGGCTGCGAAACCAACGTTGGCAGAGACGACATTGGCAAGCGCCAGCCTGATTGCACACTGGTTTCTGCCGTTCTGCCAAGCATTTGTGACGCTTCTCATCTGATGGGCGAGAGAAGTACCAATCACATACTTGGCAATGGACATTGGGTGTGGGCGGTTCGGGCTCGAAACAGCGGTACATGCGGCGCCAGTCGGGGCGAGAATCTGCCAGATCGTACCATCCCTCCACAGCATTCAGGGCCTTCAGGTCTGCACTAATGCAGTCCTTCCAGCGTTTGCGTGGACCGCCAGGTGGACGGCGGGATGGGAGCAGACCGAACAACAGAATCTTCGGGATGCGCTCTGGTGGCATGCGAGCAACATGACCCAGCCACTCAAGTCGTCGCTGGCGAATCCGGACAGCAAGTGGGCGCTTGTCGCCCCACATTTCCAGCAACTGATCATTGCTGATCCGCTCTTGCCAGGCGTCTAACCTTGTTATGCCAAGAACGGTACGCAGACACTGCATGTAGAACGTGGAGAGCCTCCGGATGTCGGCTTGGAGGGGTACCCAGCACTCAGCTCCGTACAGCAGAATGGTGACAACGCACGCATTGAAGATATTCTTCTTGGTGCGGACGGACAGATGGTGGCTGGCTTCCGCAGGGAGCCAAACGCACGGGAGGCAGCCGCAATTCTGGAGGAGATGTCAATCGAACACCGGCCAGACGTATCGATGATCGACCCAAGGTAGCGAAACTCCGTTACGCACTTGATCTGGTTCAAACCAACACAAACAGGGGCGAGGTCTGCATCAGAAATGTCTCTGCCGATCACCATGAACTTGGTCTTGGAGAGACTAACTGTCAGTCCAAACTCGGAGGCGACTTCATCGAATGTCACTGCAGCTCGCTCGAGCCCGGATCGAGATGTCGCAAACAGTGTGGAATCATCCGCAAACTGGCATTCAGTTACGGTGTCTGACACTGCTGTGCGACGAGGCTTCTGCATTAGGTGACCATTGATGTTGTAGCGGATATCGACACCGAAGCCATCCACGCCTTCCATCCGCTGCTTCCAGGTATGAAAGACAGCAGCCATGTACAGGTTGAAAAGGACCGGTGCCATGGAGCAGCCCTGGCGCAGGCCATTCTGTACCTCTAGCGGGTCCAACAGCCGACCATCAATGCGTAGACATGTCTCCATGTCCTTATGGAATGCTCTGATAATGCTGACCAGTTTCTCCGGTACACCGAGACGGAGGAGAACAGCCCAAAGCGCGGCACGGGGGACGCTGTCGTATGCCTTCTTCAGGTCGATGAACAGTAAGAAGGCTCGGTCATGATGTTCCAAGACCTTCTCGCTGATCTGGCGTACAGAGAAGATCACATCAGTGCAGGATCTAGCGCGACGAAATCCACACTGGGAATCAGGAAGGACTTCTTCAGCCACTGTCTGCAGCCGGGTTTGGACAACGCGAGCGACCACCTTGCCGACCACATCCAGCAGAGCAATTCCACGCCAGTTGTCACAAAGTGACAAGTCGCCCTTCTTCGGAAGAGGGACCAGGACAGAATTTACCCAGTCTTGCGGGACTCGTTCTTCTTCCCACACGGTGGCCAGCAAGTTGGTGAGCGCATAGTTGAAGGTGTCGCCGCCAGCCTTGACCAGCTCTGGGATAATGCCTGAGCTGCCGGCTGCTTTGCCATTTTGGAGTTGCGCAACGGCTTTGGTCACTTCAGCTAGCTGTGGTGGGATCGCGAGATCATCCTGGCTCTCCAGCTGTAGCAAGAGCGCAAGGATACGGGGGTCGGCGCAGCTACGAATGTTCAGGACACCTTTGAAGTGACCACACCACCTTGTCGCACGTTCCTCCTCTGTGGTGCACACACAACCGTGTTCATCCTTGATGGCCTGCACCTTAGTTGGGGCAAGGCCAAGAGTAGCACGCTGAATATCACGAATACATTTCCAGACCGTTGCGCCATTGAAGCGTGCTCGCTCCGCCTCCGCAGCTTTCTCCTCTAGCCACTGTGTTTTCGCACGGCGTATGGTAGAACGGGAGGCATTGCGCACTGATCTAAATTCACGGGCAAACTGATCGTCCTGGCGACCATGGGCAATCCATGCTGCATAGGCATCATTTCTACGCTTCAGCAATGGGTCCAGGGTGTCACTACTGCACACACACACACACACACACGCACGCACGCACGCACACACACACACACACACACACACACACACACACACACATAAACATAATTATGCACTTATGCACACACATACACATACACACATGCATGCACGCACAGGCATCCTCCTACCCCCCCCCCCCCCCCACGCACACACACCGGCACAGACAGGGCACCACAACCACCACCACAACAACATACCACCACCATCACGACGACCACCACCACCCGCACACCACCACCACCCACACACTACCACCACCCACACACCACCACCCGGTGACCCACACACCACCACCACCCACACACCACCACCCACACACCACCACCTTCATTGTATTTAATCCGGCTACTTCATTTGTTGTTCACTGCATCAGGATTCAACTGCTCCCTGTTTGCCTATGGCCAGACCGGCTCAGGAAAGTCCTACTCAATGGTGGGCTATGGTGCTAACAGGTAGGATCATTGTGACAGAACTGTTAGAAGTACTCATCGACTTCACAAGCTTTGAACTCTTTAAGAACTAAGATGTTGCGACATCGGTGGTAATTCGTGAAGAACGAGTCTGCTCCAAACGCCGGAGCTCGTGCTCCTTGCCGACTGACTTGACACTTGACTTGACTTGAGCAGGGAGTGGTGCTTTCTTGCAGGTTTGCCGAGTGGAAAGTTCGACTGGCTTGTCGCGTGCCCCAGACGCAGTTGTGAGTCAGTCAAGTGTCAAGTCAGTCGACAGGAAGCGTGAGCTCCAACGTTTGAAGCAGACTCTTTCTCCGAACTTTTTGTTACCAGTACAGGGGCATAGCAGCCGGTACGGCTTTGGCCGGACCATTTTTTCGCCCAGAAGTGCCCAGAACGCAGGATTTTGCACCCCAATTTCATGATTCTTCACGGGGACACCTCCCCCCCCCCCCCCCCCGGAACCCCCTCTGCCCAGACCACCTCCAACGGCGGTGCTACGCGCCTGCATTATTATGAGGGTAATCAGTGCATTTCCCAGAGACCGCAGTGCTAAACTTCTATTTGAAATATTCTGGAAGGCAATGTTGTATTATAGTATTCGGACCAGAGACATTGTACTCTGTAAGTTACTTACATTACATCTATACATGTACCTGACTCAGCCACCCAACCATGGAGTCCAATGCTCATTACAGGCACACACCATGGTATTGTTTCAAGCGAGGAGTGTGTACAGTCAACTTCGCTAATAACGACTGCGGATATAACGACAATTCGCGAATAACGACAGAATTTCCATGCCCAGAGCAAAGTCCCATCCCACTGTAATACATACAATGAGACTTCGGATATAACGACACTTCGCGAATAAGGACACCTTTTTGATGCCCCGCCAAATGTCGTTATAAGCGAAGTTGACTGTACACGGCTATGTTTAAAAAATGCCATTCGATTGTGTCACGATTTCTGAGTCCAACTGCCGCTGACGTTTCAAGACTCTAATCATGTTTCTATTTATGTGTTCATCAGGGGAATAGTGCCAATTACCTGCGATGAATTGTTCAAGAAGATCATGTCTTCGGAGGAGACTGGAGTGGTAAGTTGTGTTTTGCAAGCAACCCGTGCTAGTAATCAGATGGTATTGCTTTCAGACAGGTATACTCAGTAACTACAGTCGTCCCTCTCTAATCCAGCACTTTATAAACCAGCACCCTCGATAAACCAGCACAATTTTCAGTAGCCAAAATGTCCTGTTCATGCACATTGAAACAGTACATGATATTTGTTAATCCAGCACCCTCCCTAATCCAGCAGATTTTCCGTGGCACAAATGGTGCCGGATTATAGAGGGACCACTGTACTTGTATTATTCTCACTCATTGATCCCGTGTTCCTGGTTTCAAGTCATGGACAAGTGCAGTACTTGCTTCTGGCTGCTCAACTGAATCACATCGGGCTGCGGCCAAGTACCCTTCAATTTGGGTGCTGTTGCTATTGCTGTCTATGTCTCGGTGTATGCCGTGTGTGTGGAGCGAGAATAGGACATAACGTTATGCCTCGGATTATTCCTCTGGTATTAAAAAGGTCCAGCTGGGGCATTCGCCTGGTGTTTCTTTTCATGCCTTTTGGCTGAGCTGATGTCCTAGAGTTGTGTTCCTGGGTAAACAATTGTGCAGTTGTGCCCCTTATCAGCTACTAGCTACTATTGCGTCCTGGCATTACAGTCCCGGTACAGAGAACTGGACTTTGCTGATGGCTGCTGCTGATCCTGCTGTTTTGCTGCCATCGTTGCTGTCGTCGTCATTGTTGCCATTGTCATTTTTATAGAGATATGAGATAACCTTCAGTATGTTGGAGATCTACAATGAGCAAGTTCGTGATTTGCTGAGCAAGAAAAATCCCAAAGGAGGTTTGAAGGTAACAGAACATATCCCAGTGTTTGTCCTCGGCTTACACACATCAGTGCTTGCCGGTTGCTTTTAGAAACAAAAAAAGTCATGCCATTTTGGCCAAGTTTCCACAAAGTGACCAAAGCAAGCAAAACAAGAATCAGAATCACGTTACACGATCTAGGCATACGCAGCTACATAATCCATGCCTACGCATTTACGTGATCCAGGCATGCACTGTTATATGATCCAGATATGCACAGTTACATAATCCAGACATGCACAGTTACACAATCCAGGCATGCACAGTGTCCTACGTGATTAGACAGGAAAGTGCAGATGTTATAGTATAGCTACTCTGCACGGAGACACGTGCCACCCAATGTGTCAGTCACATCTTGCATAGTGGTATGTTGGGACAGTGGCGTATTGTGTGTGATGTGCTATGTTGTGACACTCTCCACTGTAGACCCAGTGTTCTGGCGCAATTATGCATGGATCTGCACCAGTATGATCTCATGATCACATGTTTTTTGATTTGTTGATCTTTTCACTTAGATCCGGCAAAACCCATCGCAAGGAATGTTTTACGTTCCTGATCTGAGAAAGGTACCAGTGGCAAGCTATGAAGAAATTGAGAAGCGAATGTCTGAAGGTATGCACTAACAGAGCCAGTGACTTGACAACACTTGATCCAAGGTCATTGTACCAATTAAAATACATGGCCGTGACCAGTTTCAAAGGGACTGTGTAACCGTTAGGAGGAGAGGTATAGGTATCTTTTGGTGTTCGTGCGGTTGGCTTGGCATGCTTTCAAGCACTACCAGCAAGCAGAATGCTGGGGAGTTGCACAGAGCCTCGATGGGTGGGGAAATCCAGGTTTGTATGCCTGGCAGGAGTAATGGTCATTGTCTGTGAATTTGTTGGTTCAAAGGACACACAGGCTCCACATGGCACCCCAGTCATGGAGTGCTTTTACCGACTTCTACAGGGAACTGGCAGCTGTACGGTAGGCTCTATTGAGTCCGTTCCACCGTCCAAGGACGAGGACGAGGCAATACAGGGTGGTGTCACCGGCATATACTTCCAGAGATGATCCAGAGGAGAGGCACTAGTCAGCATCATTTACTTTATAGAGTGGATCCGAGCACACTATCCTGAGACGCGCCAGCACAGATTATCAGAGGCTGGGATGTGCGGCCATCAATAATGTACTTAACGGGTTGGTAAGGCATGATGATAGCCAGATCAAGAGTAGAGTGGACCAGCCAAGCCGCTCTGGCTTGAATAGCATATTGGTGTGGGATGGTCTGTCGACTGCTTCCGGCTGCACTGTAAACTGCAAGGACGGGAGCAGCGCTATGGCCACTGACAGCTTTGATTCACACTGTATGGAGAGAGCAGTAAGACTAAGCATCAGCAGTCTAAAGTAGCTGGCGAAAGCCATATCGGTGGAATATGAGGAAGTGGGATCGCTGAAGATGGTACAGGATCTGTTCATTGATGATTGTTTGCATGACCTTAGGGTTGATGGCAAGCAGGGGCCCTCAGTACAGAGTGAGAGGATCGTTTTTGCACTGGTGCAATGTTGGCTACTCTCCACATACAGGCTGAACTCCTTTGGAGAACCAGAGAGAGAAGAGACAAGCTAGTAGTGCAGATGGCTCTTTGGCATGTTCTCCGAGCATACATGCGGATATTCAACCTAGTTTAGTAGCCATTGAGGTGCCTTCGGGATTAAGTGTTCGTGAAGGGTGCTGTGTATTGAGCCCCCCCCCCCCCCCCCCCACACACAGCACACTCAATAACTGCAAACTTGCCCCAAGATTGTGCATTCTAAATATGAAAAAATCCTGCCTGCGAGAGAGTCAGCAAAACTGAAACTAAAGTATGGATCTTTATGCATGCCGGCATATACTTCCAGAGATGATCCAGAGGAGAGGCACTAGTCAGCATCATTTACTTTATAGAGTGGATCCGAGCACACTATCCTGAGACGCGCCAGCACAGATTATCAGAGGCTGGGATGTGCGGCCATCAATAATGTACTTAACGGGTTGGTAAGGCATGATGATAGCCAGATCAAGAGTAGAGTGGACCAGCCAAGCCGCTCTGGCTTGAATAGCATATTGGTGTGGGATGGTCTGTCGATTGCTTCCGGCTGCACTGTAAACTGCAAGGACGGGAGCAGCGCTATGGCCACTGACAGCTTTGATTCACACTGTATGGAGAGAGCAGTAAGACTAAGCATCAGCAGTCTAAAGTAGCTGGCGAAAGCCATATCGGTGGAATATGAGGAAGTGGGATCGCTGAAGATGGTACAGGATCTGTTCATTGATGATTGTTTGCATGACCTTAGGGTTGATGGCAAGCAGGGGCCCTCAGTACAGAGTGAGAGGATCGTTTTTGCACTGGTGCAATGTTGGCTACTCTCCACATACAGGCTGAACTCCTTTGGAGAACCAGAGAGAGAAGAGACAAGCTAGTAGTGCAGATGGCTCTTTGGCATGTTCTCCGAGCATACATGCGGATATTCAACCTAGTTTAGTAGCCATTGAGGTGCCTTCGGGATTAAGTGTTCGTGAAGGGTGCTGTGTATTGAGCCCCCCCCCCCCACACACAGCACACTCAATAACTGCAAACTTGCCCCAAGATTGTGCATTCTAAATATGAAAAAATCCTGCCTGCGAGAGAGTCAGCAAAACTGAAACTAAAGTATGGATCTTTATGCATGCCACATAGGAAAGTGTGGGTGTGTGTAGGAATACCGCCACGCTGAAGGATTGATGTCGTTTTGCAGCTCCTGTACGGTGGGAGTTGAGTAGCTCAGATCAACCACAAGTTAGCCTGTAATTGACTGCATCTCTGTTACCATTGTGCTAAGACATGACTGAGGACCTTCCATAAACTTTTCAAGAAGCAGTGGATGGAGTTAGGGTGATCAGTGCTTGTAGTTTTACTGGCCATTCCATCCAGATAATATGCAGGCTTTGTTGTGCTTCACTCTCTAGTTTCGGCTGTCTTTTTGCTGTCAAATCTGTCATTCGTGGGTACTACTGGGAAATATATTTGGCTAATACTGTACAATAGCAGTATCAGCTGGAGCACTACACATACATCTATATACAATGGCAGTATCAGCTGGAGCACTACACATACATCTATATACAATGGCAGTATCAGCTGGAGCACTACACTTACATATATATACAATGGCAGTATCAGCTGGAGCACTACACTTACATCTATAGTGAAGACCTTTATTGCTGAACTTACGAATTGTGATACAGATTGTGAAGAACCATTTGAGGTAGAGAGCCATTTATGAAGAAGGAAAAAAAAAGGTTATTGTACCATGCCAGCCGGCTACTATTTTAAAAGTCATGTAAGAATTGTAGTAGATGGAGTAGTAGTCACAACACAGGCTCTCCTGTACATCTCCTGTACAGAATTCTTCTCACCAATGACCCAGGCTCTCCTGTACAGAATTCTTCTCACCAATGACCCAGGCTCTTCTGTACAGAATTCTTCTCACTAATGACCCAGGCTCTCCTGTACAGAATTCTTCTCACCAATGACCCCACCAAGACTGATATATGATCATCTGAGCGAACACCATTGGTCAGCACATGTATCCCCGTAGGCTGGACCAGTACTTGGGCTTCAGGACTCCAAGGTGGGTTTCACCAGCAGAACAGTCTTTGCTGCATTTGTATAATAGCTGTACGTCGGGTCAATCTCCTTGATGGATCCGCCAAATCTCCTTGATGGATCCGCCAATCTCCTTGATGGATCCGCCAATCTCCTTGATGGATCCGCCAATCTCCTTGATGGATCCGCCAATCTCCTTGATGGATCCGCCAATCTCCTTGATGGATCCGCCAATCTCCTTGATGGATCCGCCAATCTCCTTGATGGATCCGCCAATCTCCTTGACGGATCCGCCAATCTCCTTGACGGATCCGCTAATCTCCTTGATGGATCCGCCAATCTCCTTGACGGATCCGCCAATCTCCTTGATGGATCCGCCAATCTTCCACTCGACTCGCCATCATCCGCGTACCAGCACATTCATCTAGGGTGCTTGTAATGACTAACATTGGAGACGTGTGAAGTTTGAATGCCGGTCATGTATTCTGGTGTGTACATGTATGCTTATGCAGGTACCAACAACCGCACCGTTGCCAGTACTAATATGAATGCTACCAGCAGCAGAGCGCATACAGTTGTCACTGTGGTTTTCAGTCAGGTAATGATGCACTCCGCATCCGCACTTTCCATTATTCTGGAAATAAGCGACTTTAACAATTACTTCGATTCCCCATAGTTTGACAAGATTCACTGCACCCTCCACAGAATCTAAACCTGCCGGCCATCCCTATCAGTAAATCAATCAAACAAAACTAGTAAGGACACCATTCTGCCGGTGATGATATCCGATCACGTGCAATCATTTCAAGAATGGAACAGTGCCTTGCATGCAAATCCTACATATAGGATTACTTGGCGACAGGCAAGGACAGGCAAGGAGTTAGCACATCTATCAAACACTCAGCTGATTGTGATATTCTGCATACTGCACTGTTTCGACCTGTGTGGATTCAAACACCCCTCCATCCCGGCGCGTCTGCCCAGTGTTGACTCTGAGACCACCGGTCGGACGAGCTGCCCAGGCCTCACCACCACTGCCGCTTCTGTGCAGCCTTCTCTATACATACGCACCACGTACACTGTGTATGTGCACATTCACATGTCTGAAGGTTTGTGGTTTTCAATAAAATAAATAAATAAAAGTGCAGTCACAGAAAAAATTCAATGACATTGCATGGGTGCGTCCATGGAGCTATGAAGCCGAGACCTCTGGTCGGCGGAGCTTAATGGGCCCCACCACCACACTCCACCATTCACCCCAGTGTCTGGAGATATGTGGATTTTGTAGAGAAAAAAAAATATGGTAGTGAAGAACTGATGCATTCTGAAAAACCAGAGTTTACACCAGGTGTGCTAGAGCACTCAAACGTATAAGTCAGTGAGCTACTTGAAGTACACAGCACAAGCAAACAAACAATGTCAGAGTGCTTTAGTTTGCTTTGCTAACCAGTTCCGATTCATAATTTTCATGTCCACTGCTGTGTGTGCATTCAGGTGTATGGTGAAGCGGGCGATGCCAGTGCTCGGAAGAAGACTAGTGTTATCAACCTTGTGGACTTGGCCGGCAGTGAAAGAGCTGATAGTACTGGTGCCACGGGTGATCGTCTCAAGGAAGGTGCCAATATCAATCAAAGTTTGTCAACGCTTGGTAAAGTGATCTCGGTAGGTAACTCCTCACATTGCTAGCAGTGCATGCAATCTTAGCCATGCTGTCCTATCCCCAAACCATATTGCCATGGTGCATCATGTGAGTTGGTACTCAGGCTTGTGCTATATAATGAGGGTTACACTGTTCATGTCCTACATAGAGTTTCTAGTACCTCAGGTCAGTAGAGCACTACACTGCCGGTATGGTGCCACATCAAGTTGTTACACCCGGTGTGGTCGGAGGTCGTATTTGCCCATTACATTTCGGGAAAGTGTGTGTGTGTGGGGGGGGGGGGGGGCGTTTTTGTCTGTGTTGTAGATGACCATGCGTTCAGCCAGTGACTAGGTTCTGGTCACATGATGCTTATGATCCTGCAAGTACCCGGACAAGCGGGTAAAGTAGATAGAGAACTTTCTGTTGGTATGAGCTTGCTACATGTAGATCTACATGACCACTGTACTGTAATACTCCTCCAGAATAGGCTGACCTGGCACTTTCTGCTGGCGTGTACATGTATCCACCCTTGCCCTGCCCTTTCTCATACGGGAACCTGTGACCTAATACTTGTGACAGTGGAGCAAAACATACAAGGATTCAGCAAATGCATGTGTGTGTGTGTGTGTGTGTGTGTGTGTGTGTGTGTGTGTGTTAGTGTGTGTGTGTGTGTGTGTGTGTGTACATGAGTACATGTGTGTGTGTGTGCCACTGTGTGTCTGCCTATGTCTGTGTGTCTTGTGTGTGTGTGTGTGTGTGTGTGTGTGTGTGTTTGTGTGTGTCTGTATGTATGTGCATGTATCTGCATTGCAAAGTTACTGGCGGAGGGACAGAAGACAATCCCGTACAGAGAATCAGCATTAACAAAACTTCTGAAGAATGCCCTCGGAGGGAACAGGTACTGTCTGATGGACATGTATTGGTAGATCATGCTTGATGTTTTGCAAAGTGTGTATCTATTTCTTGTGAATGACACATTCCCCACCACAGGAAAAGTATGGTTATAGAAAGACAGTCAAGAACCAGCTAGCAGAGGCTGCAAATGAAGCATACATGTATGGGCATGTGATGTGCAGTTGGCTCCTTGACCAAAAGTCTCGCTTTCCTAGCCTGTGCTGCACATCCCAAAGGCACAGAAAAAGGTTACAAGAATATAAAAAATGGAAGTATAAATATAACAATGCAGTGGATATGAATGGGAAGGAGCACCAAGTGAAGGACTGCGCAGCTATCAAGTTGATAGTAAAGCAATAATAACTGGTTTTCGGTATTCTGTCGTGGGCCTAACAGGTATGAGGTTAGCTAGGTAAGGAGGGCTCCTTGGAGTCCACATCTCTGAAGCTTCAGTGGAACACCTGCGGGTGAGACCTTGCCAAAGGTACTGACTGCAAGCATTCGTGCCGTATGGCCGCGTCCAGTGGCATATGCCCGGGAGTGGTGTAGTGTGGCAAAGACACTGGCTGTACCCGGCAAGGCTCTGTCTAAAGCCAAACTGGTTCTGTGCAAGGAGTGCATGAGTGCATGAGTGCATGCCCCTCGAAGTGATTCCTAATGTGTTTGTAGGTAACTGTTGTCCCTGCCCTTTTGGAGGGTATGTGCCCCTTTTGGCACGCAACATAACTACTTGCCTTCATCTTGCAGCAGATGGCAGAGGACTGAGTTCCGAAGTGGACACGGTGGAGTTGATAGGTGTGAAAGAGCGGGTGTCAGGGTGTCAGGGTGCCACACGATGCATGACTTATGTCCCTGTCATACAGACTGCATTCATTCAGTGCTATGACAGAAGTGAGTAAAGAAGTCAACTCTCTTGATACTGCTGATGTACTCCTTTCTAGCATTATCAGGCTATGAAGAGAGGGATGTCAGAGTGGCGCCCAAGACCCCATGTAGCTTTAATTGACATTGCCACACAATTCCGTATAGTGGACTGAGCTGCTTGTGAATCTGTCCAGTGGGTGCCGTTCTTTCACCTATTTGGAATGTTGTGAGGTCATGGTAGCATGGGTAACTGAATCGATCAAGGCTTGCTTCTTGGTGTGATTGCCATGTCTCTATTTAGTCCCTTTCCTATCACTGACATACATACTTGTGTGTACTAGGAAGTCCACCATCTGGGATCAGACAAGCAAGTTATTCTTAAAGGGGAAGTTAAGGCAAAAATTAAAATTTCACCAGTTGTAGTCTTCGGGGTGCTGAGTCGAATGGTCTTGGTCCGAGAAAGCTGAGACGCTCCCTTCCTACTTGAATCCCAATCGAACTCGCGCACTTCCACCGAAACTGGGTGACTGCGCCCTACTAGATGGGGATTTGTATGCAAAATGTCACTACAGTGCATTTCAAAACTATAGACGCGTAGGGTTTTTGAAATATTTCAAATTTGGCTGGAACTTTTTGAGAATAGTTTTCGGAATATTGCTCAGGATCGCTCCACAATTACTCTCATATAGTTTCTAAAGGATTGGATAACAGACGCCCAATTTGGAAAAATTTATGCACAAAGTGATCACAGATTTTATGTGGTATAGATGCTGGCATAACGGTTTTTGCCTAGGTACGCGTCTATAGTTTTGAAATGGACTGTAAAAGCGCCATTTCGTTTTTATAAAAGCACGGATGACCGCGATTGGCCCATATGTTGTAGTCTTTTGGACGCTGAGTCGACTGGTTTTGGTCTGAAAAAGCTGCGATGCAGCGTTCCTCCTTTATTCCCAATCGAACATGGTTGAACAAGCGGTCACGTGCTCCTGCGTACACCAGTCACCTGGTCACCGTGCCTGCAGGGTACAACTTACTAGCCTGTTTGACCTTTTTTGGGTGCAGTCCTGTCACTCGAGTTGAACTCGAGTTGAACCTTGGTGTGAAAGTTGTCGCCTGCTGGCGTGGTGACCAGGTGATTTGGGCAACCAGGAGCACGTGACCGCTTCTTCAACCATGTTCGATTGGGAATAAAGGAGGAACGCTGCATCGCAGCCGCTAAGTTTTTCGGACCAAAACCAGTCGACTCAGCGTCCAAAAGACTACAACATATGGGCCAATCGCGGTCATCCGTGCTTTTATAAGAACGAAATGGCGCTTTTAGTGACATTTTGCATACAAATCCCCATCTAGTAGGGCGCAGACACCCAGTTTCGGTGGAAGTGCGCGAGTTCGATTGGGATTCAAGTAGGAAGGGAGCGTCTCAGCTTTCTCGGACCAAGACCATTCGACTCAGCACCCCGAAGACTACAACTGGTGAAATTTTAATTTTTGCCTTAACTTCCCCTTTAATGTCTAGTGGGGAATGAACTGCTTCATGCTGTCGACAATGGTGTTGGTTGCATGTGGGCAAGATGATTATAGGTCATCAGTGACTAAGACCAAACACATAACAGGGTGTACAAATTTTGGATTATACCCTTCCACTGCCTTGGCTTCTGCATTAATTGTGGATTAATGATTTTACAAAGTAGAGGATGGGTAGTTTTGTTTTGTAACTCGGAGATTCACAATTTGACGAACACCCACCAGCTATTGATGATGGCTCTATCATGAAATCCGGGGTTAGGAACAATGACTTCTCGTCCTCTGTGTGCTCTGTGTATTTGTACACATTGAGCACTGTAATACTGGTGGACTAACCTGGTAGACTGCCCTGTGGTTGAATAGTGATCATGGCTACCTGGTTTGGTAACCTATGAAAAGACATGCTTCAACCTGTTGCTCTGTGTCTGTATCTGTTGCTCTGTATCTGTTGCTCTGTGTCTGTGTCTGTATCTGTTGCTCTGTGTCTGTGTCTGTATCTGTATCTGATGCTCTGTATCTGTATCTGTTGCTCTGTGTCTGTATCTGTGCAGCAAAACCGTGATGATTGCAGCTCTGTCTCCTGCTGATATCAACCATGATGAAACGCTCGGGACACTAAGGTCAGTTCAGTGATGTATCTGACAACGTCCACAGTGGGTAAGACGGTATCCTGGATAATGACAAGGGAGAAATCACCGCTAAAACTCCTCGTTTACCCTACCCTCAATTTTGGGCTTTGGCCATTCATGGATTCTCCTGTGTAGTGAGCTGATCGTAAGTTCATGATTGGTAGGTGCATTTCAACTAATATTTTCATGCATGCTACATGTGTTTGCCCTTGCGTCTGAAACTTCTACTGTTGCTGTGCTGTTACTGTGCTGTTGCTGTGCTGTTACTTAATGTAGGTATGCTGATCGGGCTAAGCAGATCAAGACGAAAGCTACGGTCAATGAAAACCCATTAGACAAACTAATTCGCGAGCTCAAGGCAGAGAATGAGAAGCTGAAGGCTCAACTAGGACCTGGCGGACCAAGTCAACCAATTTCAAGCGCTATTGACCCTGAAGGTAAGACACTTGCTACAAAGTGCTATACACTAAGTCTTGTACGGCACATACTTTGAACTAGTGTATTCTATTGATACATGTACATCAGCCCTAGACGGCTAAAGGAAACGTCAAATGCGACCCCGTTCTTGTTTGAATGCTTCTATTGCTGTTGCTGCATCCACCCCCGCCATCACTGCTGCTGTTGATGTCGTGGTGGTTGCCACTGCTGCTGCTACTGCCGCCACTGCTGCCGCTACTGCTGCTGCTATTGCTGCCACTGTGGTTGGTCATATTGCCACTCTGGCTTTTGCTGCTGACACTGCTGATGCTGCCATCTCTGCTATTTGTAATCATGATACCATAGCGGAACAGCGACTACGGGCTGAGATTGAAAATGAGATGAGGGAGAAGCTTCTTGCCAACCAATATCAACTGAGAGAGGCGAATACTGACTTCGAGGATCAGGTATAGTGTGTGTATATGTGTGTGTGTGTGTGTGTGTGTGTGTGTTTGTGTGTGTGTGTGTGTGTGTGTGTGTGTGTGTGTGTGTGAGTGTGTGTGTGTGTGTGTGTGTGTGTGTGTGTGTGTGTGAGTGTGTGTGTGTGTGTGTGTGTGTGTGTGTGTGTGTGTGTGTGTGTGTGTGAGTGTGTGTGTGTGTGTGTGCACGTACATGTGTGTGTGTACAGAATGCATTATTGACAAGGCTCCGATGATACACTCATACCTTGGTTATCTGGACCCCGAAGCTACGGGCACTTCGATCTACCAGGCACCCTTTGGCCGAGTTTCAGCGGAACTATTACTACTCTTTTGTAACTTTTTGTGGAAATAGTGACGTCATGTGCCATATCTATGGCCTTTCCCCATCAAAATGTATGTAATTGGGAGTTACGGACATTTCAAAGTTACAGGCAGGGCCCGGTCCCGGACCACCTGGATAAACGAGGTATGAGTGTATGCGGTTAGGCCTGGCCCAGTCCGTGGATTCAAGCACTTTGTAGTACATTCTAATTTGGAAGATTGTGTCACAGAATGTGTACAGGTCATCAATGCAAATAATGATTTGTGTACACATGTATTGATACAAACTTAGAAGTTGCGACTTCGGCGGTAATAGTCATGAAGTTGATTGTTCCAACTAGGAACACACGCTTCTTGTCGAACTTGACACTTGACAGATGGCAGTCGTGAGTCAGTCAAGTGTCAAGTTTGGCAAGAAGCGTGTGTTCCTAGTTGGAACAATCAACTTCATGTATTGATACAGTTCTTAATCTCATGCTATGCTAGACACAGGCATACTAGTACTCCACCACTCCACCATTGACATCACTGACTCTACAGAGCTTTTTCAAGGTTGGACCAACGGTCACTTTTTGGGGTCATGTGCAAGAAATTTTGAATCGCTGGTGAACAGGCTAAGCCCAGTTCACGTTCACGTTGTATGGGAATGGATGCATGGAAGTGTTCACTTTGTATGGGAATGGATGCATGGAAGTGTTCACTTTGTATGGGAATGGATGCATGGAAGTGTTCACTTTGTATGGGAATGGATGCATGGAAGTGTTCACTTTGTATGGGAATGGATGCATGGAAGTGTTCACTTTGTATGGGAATGGATGCATGGAAGTGTTCACTTTGTATGGGAATGGATGCATGGAAGTGTTCACTTTGTATGGGAATGGATGCATGGAAGTGTTCACTTTGTATGGGAATGGATGCATGGAAGTGTTCACTTTGTATGGGAATGGATGCATGGAAGTGTTCACTTTGTATGGGAATGGATGCATGCAGGTGAAAGAAGTTTGTATGGGAATGGATGCATGGTGGTGAAAGAAGCACTAGAATGGTGCTCCACTTGATGTCCGACACTCGTGTTGAGTCAGAGCAGTTGCCAGGAAGCCCTTCCATGGCTTGGGCGAAAAAGATCAAGCTTCAGAATCGCTCCAAGCGCTGGTGGAGACGAACCTGTCACATATTGTATACCTTACAATGCGTTTTGACATGCGACCTGTTCACCACAATCTTAGGGTGAGCGCCGGTGGCGGGCACAGCGCCCCATCCTTGACAAAGCTCTATTACTAGCACACTACATGATGCAACAAAGCATCAAAGCATCAAAGCAGGTGCAACTAATGAATGTTCATCTTACAGTGTACACGGGCCTATTTTGTATTCTTGCTTACAATCATGGACAGACCTGTATTGCTTACAATCATGGACAGACCTGTATTGCTTACAATCATGGACAGACCTGTATTGCTTACAATCATGGACAGACCTGTATTTCTTACAATCATGGACAGACCTGTATTGCTTACAATCATGGACAGACGTGTATTTCTTACAATCATGGACAGACCTGTATTTCTTACAATCATGGACAGACGTGTATTTCTTACAATCATGGACACACCTGTATTTCTTACAATCATGGACAGACGTGTATTTCTTACAATCATGGACAGACCTGTATTTCTTACAATCATGGACAGACCTGTATTTCTTACAATCACGGACAGACCTGTATTTCTTACAATCACGGACAGACGTGTATTTCTTACAATCATGGACAGACCTGTATTTCTTACAATCATGGACAGACGTGTATTTCTTACAATCATGGACACACCTGTATTTCTTACAATCATGGACAGACGTGTATTTCTTACAATCATGGACAGACCTGTATTTCTTACAATCATGGACAGACCTGTATTTCTTACAATCACGGACAGACCTGTATTTCTTACAATCACGGACAGACGTGTATTTCTTACAATCATGGACAGACCTGTATTTCTTACAATCATGGACAGACCTGTATTTCTTCCTTTCTAGTTGCGCAATGCCCGGGCAGAAATCAGTGATGAGGAGGAGCGGCTTCTGCAAGTGAAGAGAAAACGCCAGCTTGTTCCTCACTTTCTCAACCTGAATGCTGATCTACAGCTCTCCAGAGTAGTTGAACATTTCCTGCCAGAAGGTCAGTGCAAGAAGGGTATCTGTTGCACAAGTGTTTCCTTTCGCTGGTAGAACAGCCTTTCTGTGTTGTCTCTCTCTTTGGAAATTGACCTGCACTGACCATCCACCCAGGGCTACACAAATATTATAATAATATTCTCTCACATGGAAGTGCATTGTCAGAAGAAAGTATTTTGTTTGGATTTCAGTTCATAGATGAGCCCTGTGCCTTTCTTCATTTCGTAATTCTATAGCGATTTGTAGCTTCATGTGGCGAATGGAGTAAAGTTCTAGCTGATGCATTGTAGTTGGGTTCATTCGATTTAAAGTGCCTCATTCCCATGTAGATCTCCCCCTGTATGTAAATGTGTCTCCTGTTCCTAGGAGGAGGGGCATGGTCAGACATACTGATTACTAGTAGCGACTTCAGTCCAAAATTTTAAAATTAGAATTATGGCCAACAGTTTACACGACTGGGTAGGGGCACCTCTGCAGATTATACACAGAACATCTCATGGGAATATCTTGTCCCATACTGGAGCTACGCGGCCACAAAGTTGGTATGCAATCGTCAGAGACCGTGTATGCAATTGCATGTGGAGCGATGGCACAAAAGTGGGTTTCTCCAACCTCATGACCGTCGTAGATGTTGGACAGGATCCCGGATGTGTTCTACTTTGGTGGATTGAAATCATCAGCTCCTGCTCAAGCACGTCCAGAATCTCGACAACAGCGGCGGCGATTTACAAGCCGAACGTCTGCTCGCTACGTCATGCCGAGCTCCTCAAGTAGTGCACTTCAATAGTCGACTTCAACCACTGGGCACAAACTTTTCAAACGGCTGAAAACTGCTACGGAGAAGAACATTACCGTGAACCTACATCTAACTAATTTGAGGCCGCGGAACACGTTGGTGACACGGTCATTGACGGGCAAGCTAGCTGAGATGCTGAAAATTCACTTCAGCGAAAACTAAACATACGGGCAATATATCAGAAAATCGATGAACCATGACATGCAACACACCGTTCGAAAGCTATTCATGTATGCTTGCCCATCATGCAAGAATCAAAGCTATTCATGTATGCTTGCCCATCATGCAAGAATCAAAGCTATTCATGTATGCTTGCCCATCATGCAAGAATCAAAGCTATTCATGTATGCTTGCCCATCATGCAAGAATCAAAGCTATTCATGTATGCTTGCCCATCATGCAAGAATCAAAGCTATTCATGTATGCTTGCCCATCATGCAAGAATCAAAGCTATTCATGTATGCTTGCCCATCATGCAAGAATCAAAGCTATTCATGTATGCTTGCCCATCATGCAAGAATCAAAGCTATTCATGTATGCTTGCCCATCATGCAAGAATCAAAGCTATTCATGTATGCTTGCCCATCATGCAAGAATCAAAGATGCAGGGCATATAAATACTGTAAAGCGTGAAATTTTCGCGGCTTTTTCAGTTCGCGTTTTCAGAATCCGGACAGGTTTGCGAGGTTTTAATTTTGCGATTGCAGAATGTGCTACTGTGGCATTCATGCTAAACCTTTCATGGATCTCCTTTTCGCGCTGTCTAAATTTCGCGATTTCCAAGCGGTCGCGAATTTCTCAGAAATTAGACCATGGCAATAATCATACCCGGTTAACAGTAGCGTGTAGGCAGGCGTAGAACTTCAAGAGAAAAATTGTTCCATGCACACCACCCCTTGCACCATACATTCGTGTGGCGAAGGATTTCTGCCTTTTGGTCACGTGATTGATGTTACTAGTAACTTGCTGGACGCAGTAGTCTGTGCACACCGTAGTGACTGTGCGGTAAGACTGCATGTGTATGCGTATGTGTGCAGTGTATGTGTGTATGTGTATGTGTTTGTGTTCATGGTGTGTTCTGTGTATACTTGTTTTATCCAATTGGCAGGGAAGACTGTTGTCAGCCGCTTGTCCAGGAATCGGTCACCTGCTGCTGTACAAGATGAGAATGAGTGGTCTGAAGAGATTCTACTGGAAGGTATCAGGTTAGTGTGTATGTGTGTGTGTGTGTTGCATTGACTACATCATCACTGGCCAGTGTGATAGGATGCTGTGCATGGATTCTCAGATCATCCCAAGTGCAGAGTGTGGCAGTGACCATCAACTGCTTTGTGCACGCTTCCTTCTTGGCACGTATCACCACTCTGTCAACCCGCAAGCTGTGCGTGTGCAACGTAGCAAGGGTCGCTTCGACACGTCCAAGTTATTTCTTTCTGCCGATGCAAACAACAACCCTGATGATGGCGCCACCCCGTTGTCTGCTTATGAAGACGCGGTGTCCACTCTCGTATCAACACATTGGCGCCCGCATGATCCAATAGATGAAAAGTGGAACGTCCTCCGCGATGCTGTTGTCACTGCCGGAACGGACACTCTTGGTCAACGCAAGCGTAAACAACCTGATTGGTATGTGGACAGTGGCCCGACTATTGAACCTCTGTTACAGGAACGGAATCGGCTGCACGCGCTCTGGCTTCAACATCAACGTCCTAGGGATCACACTGCTTTCAAACAGGCTCGCAGTCAAGCGCGTGCCGGAGTGCGGAAGGCTAAACGTGACTGGATATCATCCAAGGCAGAGCTCGCCAATGCACAAAGATTCTCAGGACGAACTGTGTGGAAATGTGTTCGTGCACTACAAACAGTCGAACAAGGCCCGACCCGCATCACAACTGCTGCGATCAACGACGAGAATGGAAATCCATGTGCATCTGCCGAAGACCAGGGCAAACGTTGGGGCCGTCATTTCTCTGGTGTTCTGAATGTGCAAAGTACGTTCAATTCCAGTATTCTTGACTGTGTTCCACAAATGCCGTGTCTGGATAGTTTGGTTGCGCCGCCTGATCTGTTGGAGTTACAGCAGGCAATCACGCAATGTCGAAGTGGCAAAGCTGCAGGTCAGTCAGGAATCCTGCCGGAGATGCTCAAAGCCTGTCCAGATCTGTTTACTGACCACCTACTGGAGCTTCTCCATTCAGTCTGGGACAGTGGCAGTGTTCCTGGCGACTGGGTCAACGCGCAGCTGGTGCCTATCCCCAAGAAAGGTAACCTTGCAGAATGTGACAACTGGCGAGGCATAGCTCTCCTCGACGTTATTGGTAAAGTGGTTGCTCGCGTCATCCAGAGCCGACTTGCTGATAAACTAGACGATGTGCTACCAGACTCTCAGTGCGGCTTCCGCACAGGACGTGGGTGTGCTGACATGATCTTTGCGGCAAGGCAACTAATCGAAAAGAGCTACGAGCATGAGCAGAAGTGTTTCTTCATCTTCATTGACCTGAAGAAAGCCTATGACTCAGTTCCGCGAGAGTGTCTGTGGTTAGTACTGCGAAAAGCTGGCGTCCCCGAGAAGCTGATCGCTGTTATCCGTGCATTCCATGACGGCATGACCGCAACTCTCCGTCTGTCGAATGTTGAAGCTGACCCCATCCCTGTGACGAACGGCTTGCGGCAGGGATGTTGCATGGCCCCTGTCCTATTCAACATCTTCATGTGGGCAGTGATGCATTGTTGGCGCCAGCACGTGCAGCCTATCCCTGGTGTAGGCGCAAAGGTCTTCTTCGAGCCAGATGGGAAGCTACTCCACCACCGTAGCCGCCGTGATAGATCCCTGGAGCTGACAGAGTGTCAGTTTGCTGATGATTCCGCTCTTGTGGCCGCGACACGCCAGGCCGCAGTTTCAGCCTTGGAGGTATTTGTGGATGTATGCAGCGATTTTGGCCTCACCGTCAGTGCCACCAAAACCAAGTTCATGGTCTCTGGCCCCAACATCTCTAACGACGATCTAGAGCCGCTCGCGATTCGAACTATGGAGATTGCCCATGTGTCGTCTTTTCGTTACCTTGGATCCAACATACACAGCAACGGCCGATGTCATGATGATGTCACATCCCGGATTGCACAAGCTGCCACAGCGTTTGGCGCTCTGAAGAAATCGATATTCCACGATGTAACACTGACAATATCCATCAAACGGTCAGTGTACAATGCTTGTGTGCTGTCGACTCTGCTCTATGGGTCCGAATGCTGGGTACCGCTACAGGCTGATGTTCATGCGTTGTCTGTCTTTCATCTCCGTTGTGTCCGCACCATTCTGGGCATCAGTCGTCAAGATGTATGGAATGACAGGATAACTAATGTTGAAGTCCTGGAGCGCTGGGGAGATACCTTGGACATTGAGTGTCGTCTCAGCAGACGTCGCCTTGAGTGGCTTGGTCATGTGGCAAGGATGGAGGATGAGCGCATCCCGAAGGCTCTACTGTTCGGTTCGTTTCCAAACAAGAGACCTGCCCATGGTCCGCGGAAAAGGTGGCGAGACTGTGTTCGGAGTGACGTCAAACCACTTGACGACTGGTATGAAGTGGCCACCTCTTCTCGCTCCAAATGGCGCCAGGCTTACCGTTGTCTGCCAGACAAGCAGAACAGACCTCGACCATCACCGGTTGTGTGCCAAACTTGTCACCGCTCCTTCAGTCGTGTAAGTGACAGGAAGCGACACAAGTGTACAGCTACGCGTGCCCTACCCGTAAGCCAACAGCCAGGAAGCTGTCACTGCGATCAGTGCGACAGATGGTTCCGGAGCAAGGGTGGATTTGCCCGACACAAGTGCTCGCCACCAACATCACCAGCAGAGGCATCTTCTGACACACTTGAGTCACCGGTTACAAACAATATGTCCTGCGAACGCTGCAGTTTCCACTGCGCCCGCTGCAACCGCTGTGTGCTATCGCGCCAAGGCATGAAACGTCACAAGTGCAGCCGTGGCTCGGCCAGAGCAACCAACACAGACCGTAGCTCCTTCTGTATCGTTTGCAATTGCGGTCGGCGTTTCAGTAGACCACAGGACCTATCCCGTCATCGCCCCTACTGTTCCGAACCTGCTCAACCCCCCATGGGGTCCGCATAGCCAGAATATGGCAGCGCGTCCAAGGTCCAAGGTCCAAGGTCCAAGGTGTGTGTGTGTGTGTGTGTGTGTGTGTGTGTGTGTGTGTGTGTGTGTGTGTCTGTGTATGTGTCTGTGTGTGTTTGTGTGTGTGCTTGCACTGTGCCAAAACTTCACTGAGTCAGTATCATGACTGTACCAACCGTGTGACACTGCTTTGGACTGGTGGCTGCTGGTGTTCATGTGCCTTCACTGCACTGGCCGTGGGTCAAGGTGCTGGTGCTCCTGTGCATTTTTGGCAGTGGAAAAATGTCCTGCGTGTGCTAGGTTATATCAAAGCATATCAAAGTGTCCTCAGTTAGCTGAGCTTTCTCATTTTACTCGACCCCCCTCTCTCTCTCCCCTCTCCCCCCCCCCCTCTCTCCCCTCTCCCCCTCTCTCCCCTCTCTCCCCTCTCCCCCCCCTCTCTCCCCCCTCCCCCCTCTCCCCCTCTCCCCCTCTCTCCCCTCTCCCCCTCTCCCCCTCTCTCCCTCTCCCCCTCTCTCCCTCTCCCCCTCTCTCCCCTCTCCCCTCTCCCCCTCTCTCCCCTCTCCCCTCTCCCCCTCTCCCCTCTCCCCCTCTATCCCCTCTCCCCCTCTCCCCTCTCACCCTCTCCCCTCTCTCCCCTCTCTCCCCTCTCCCCCTCTCTCCCCTCCCCCCCCTCTCTCCCCTCTCCCCCGCTCTCCCCCTCTCTCCCCTCTCCCCCCTCTCCCCTCTCCCCCTCTCTCCCCTCTCCCCCTTCTCCCCTCTCCCCCTCTCTCCCCTCTCCCCCTCTCCCCCTCTCTCCCCTCTACCCTCTCCCCCCTCTCCCCTCTCCCCCTCTCTCCCCTCTCCCCCTTCTCCCCTCTCCCCCTCTCTCCCCTCTCCCCTCTCCCCCTCTCCCCTCTCTCCCCCCCTCTCCCCTCTCTCCCCTCTCCCCTCTCCCCCTCTCTCCCTCTCCCCCCTCTCCCCTCTCTCCCCTCTCCTCCCTCTCCCCTCTCCCCCTCCCCCTCTCTCCCCTCTCCCCTCTCTCCCCTCTCCCCCTCTCCCCTCTCCCCCTCTCCCTTCCCCCTCTCTCCCCCTTCTCCCCTCTCCCCCTCTCTCCCCTCTCCCCTCTCTCCCCTCTCCCCCTCTCCCCTCTCCCCCTCTCCCCTCTCCCCTCTCCCCCTCTCCCCCCTCCCCCTCCCCCTCCCCCTCCCCCTCTCCCCTCTCTCCCCTCTCTCCCTCTCCCCCTCTCTCCCTCTCCCCCCTCTCTCCTCTCCCCTCTCTCCCCTCTCCCCCCTCTCCCCTCTCCCCCTCCCCCTCTCCCCCTCTCTCCCCTCTCCCCCTATCCCCCTCTCCCCCTCTCCCCTCTCCCCCCTCTCCCCTCTCCCCCTCTCTCCCCTCTCTCCCCTCTCCCCCTCTCCCCCCCCCTCTCTCCCCCTCCCCCCTCTCCCCCTCTCCCCCTCTCTCCCTCTCCCCCTCTCTCCCCTCTCCCCTCTCCCCCTCTCTCCCCTCTCCCCCCTCTCCTCTCTCCCCTCTCTCCCCTGTCCCCCTCTCTCCCCTCTCCCCCTCTCCCCTCTCTCCCCCTCTCTCCCCTCTCCCCTCTCTCCCCTCTCTCCCCTCTCTCGCCTCTCCCCCTTCTCCCCTCTCCCCCTCTCTCCCCTCTCCCCTCTCTCCCCTCTCCCCTCTATCCCCTCCCCCCTCTCCCCTCTCTCCCCTCTCCCCCTCTCCCCTCTCCCCCTCTCTCCCTCTCTCCCCTCTCTCCCCTCTCCCCCCTCTCCCCTCTCCCCCCCCCCTCTCTCCCCTCTCCCCCTCTCCCCTCTCTCCCCTCTCCCCCCTCTCCCCTCTCCCCCCTCTCCCTTCCCCCTCTCTCCCCTCTCCCCCTTCTCCCCTCTCCCCCTCTCCCCTCTCTCCCCTCTCCCCCTCTCCCCTCTCTCCCCTCCCCCCTCTCCCCTCTCTCCCCTCTCCCCCTCTCTCCCTCTCCCCCCTCTCCCCTCTCCCCCTCTTTCCCCTCTCCCCTCTCCCCCCTCTCCCCTCTCCCCCTCCCCCCTCTCCCCCTCTCTCCCCTCTCCCCTCTCTCCCCTCTCCCCCTCTCCCCTCTCCCCCTCTCCCAGAGCATGTCTACATACACATGTACACTGACCTCAGACTTTACCACAAAGCAAGCTATTGGCTTCACTTCATGTGCTGTCATTCATAGCAATCCATGTGCAGGACGCTGCGGATCTGCCTCACAATGCAGCATGTACATGTACAGGACACTGCTGATCTGCCTCACTATACCGCCAGTGTGTATGTGTGTGTGTTTCTTTCTGTAGTATACTGCACAATCACTGCCAGCTTGAGAACAAAGAGAATGAAGTCTGTCTAACTGCACTGGCGGCAAATGCTGACACCAAAGTGAACGGTACACCACTCGTTGGATGCCGAGTACTCATGCACAATGATAGAGTTGTGTTTGGTGAGTTACAAGACAAGAGCTGTGATCACTCGCTCGTCATATCTACAGATTTGAGATAATTTGGAGAGTGACCCAGAAGTGGTATTCTATTGGCGGGGGGGGGGGCATAGCGTGACGTATAACTATGCTAGTTTTGCACATGGCAAATTTGAAGACGAATGAACTACGGGCTATTATGTGGGGTTGACTGGAGTGTTCTTTACATTTACATGTATGCAGTGTCCACTGTCTGTGTATATACATGTATGCAGTGTCCACTGTCTGTGTATATTTGCCACCCCAGCTCTGTACACCAAAGTGCATGTACATGCAACAATCTACTGTCAGTTTGGAATTCACTGTGAGGGTTTAGACAGTTCTCTGCCGAAGGAGTTTGTTGTTGCATTGTGCAGCTTGGAGCAGTACACACACTTTCCTTCACTTTGGATCATTGCATGTTACTACAGGAACCAATCACTACATGGTCTTCATCAACCCTATGAACATGTCGATGTCAGCCAACTCACCAGACTTGGTAGACTGGCAGTATGCACAGCAGGAGATTGCAGAGCAACGTGGATTGGTTGTGAAGTCTGGAGAACATATTCTAAGCAAAGGTACACATGACAAGCAATGCCAGTGCTCATGCACTTGTCTCATCCAAGCGTTGTCGTGTTCCGAATGGTCAGAAAATATCCTGCATTATATCTATTGTCAACAACAGTCTGTCATGAAGAGGTTGTTGTGACTTCGGATATAAAGAATGGAATCGTGCGTCGCTCCCTACGTGGGAGCTCATGCTGAGTCAGCCATGCTGGTTCCAAATATTGCCGTTGAGAAACACCAATCATGATAAAGTAGGAGCATTTTGAGTCTACAGCAGCTTGGCAGTGAGAATTGCAGACTCGGAATTCAGCGAATACTATAGCTATCGTGCAGATCAGGCTGCACAGCCTGCATGGATGCCAAGTTAAGGAAAATGAAGACATGACAGTTGAAGCCCAATAAAAGTGGATCCAATGAGTGGATCCAATGTACGTGATCGGGGAAGTGGTTCGTAGATGGGTCCATGTTGAAAAGTACATGTCAAACGACTCGAGTGACAAGGATGGCCACTCAGAATCCTGCCACTTCCTGCCTAACACTTGTCTCTAAAGTTAAAACCTAGTTTCAATCCTAACTTGATTTTGGATCCTATCTAAGAGTGCATCTCATCCAAGTCCATAAGCATTTGGACACTTCTGCTTGTTCTTGGGACCCGGAAAAAGAGTTCGTCTAATTCAAGGGTTTGTTCAACCCAAATTTGTTTGATTAGAGAGTTTTGCTGTATTTATTGTGTGCCTATGCAATATGATTCACAGAGGAGCAAGTTTTCCATGATCAAGTTGTGGACTTGTTACCAATGGTGAATGAGGTCAATGCTATCAGTGAAGAACTCAACAAGTACAAGTATGTGATTTCTGCTGTTGTCCATGCTCAATACCCAGTTGTTGAGTGACTGCACTTCAAGCATTGGATATTCCATCCTACTGTTCTGGCAATAAATGGCTCCCTGCCGTATGACTAGGAATATGATTCATTGCTTAGGTTATAACATTAGTAACTTAGGTAATGGAACTTCTTATCTGCTCGTCCGGGCTCCCAGTACTATTCCATTCTTACAGGTTTAGGTATACTCAAGCTGCGGACAGAACTGTTTCATCCTTTGTGGACTCATCAGCGCAGCACAGACGAAATGAGGCCGAACCTGATAGCAATGAAAAATTTATTTTCCAAAGCCCTATTTAAACCAGGCCCGAACGTACCTTGCCAGAGTGCTATATGTAGGTGCTGTGACATACAAAGTTCTCTATTGGCTTTCTGATGCTCTTGCAGGACGTTTGAAATAGTCGTCGTCCCAGTTGAAGCCACCTATGGAAAGAAGAAGAGAGATGCTACAACACTGTGAGTACATACTTAGTAACAAGCAGACTGATTGGGGCTGCTAAGGGACTGAATCCCCTCATAACCCTGGTTAGCCGTCTTGGTATAGGGTTCTCATTTTCTCAGTAGCCGCTTCATCCCCATGCGGTGTGAAGATTACAGGGAGATTGCTCTGTGTGTGGCACACCGGAAGAATGCAGCACATGTGGCTGGTATCCATGGATGCAAGATTGCCTGTGAACAATCCCAGGGGTATTAAAAGCTGTATGGTACTTCAGTATGATAATGCTAAATTCAGCTCAACTCTCTCGTCCATTGTTTGTCTTCGTGTACTTCAAGTAGGTGTATCCGTGTAAGGTCATTAGAATACTCAATACTGTAATGTATGGTGGATGCTGGTCACACATGTGTGCTTTATCAATAGGTTGATTGTGATACGTCAGTGCATAATCACTATCATGATTTGTGGCTCATTGGGAACACTTACCCTAAAGACTCAGATCAACTATGGTGTTGGCAGCTACATTTTCATCACTTCTTGGAAATAATTGCAAGTCATGTTTATGAAAAGCTGAACAACATGTGTGATGTTTCTGTGATGTTTCTGTGATGTTTCCCGTTTCAAACTGACCATTTCAGACCTGTTGTGATGATGCGCGATCTACTGAACGGAAACTGCTGGTTGTGGCAGTACGGAACATTTCTCAACCGCCGCTATATGATACAGGTGGGCTTGAAAATAGGTAATGGTTGCTTGAGTGCTTCATAAATATGCACCCACAACGATACGTGGGTGTCTTTGATCATCCATACTGGACCAATTGTCTGTGATCATCCATACTGGACCAATTGTCTGTGATCATCCATACTGGACCAATTATTGAACTTTCTGATCTTGAAGGTGTACACTACTGAGTATGTAACTGCTGTAACTCTAGCTCTTCAGACTGAGATTTTCACCGGTATGTTGAGTGCCTGTGTTCACACATTCCCACTTGAAAATACCTGCCGAGCAGCAGACACTATAGAGTTACATGTAAGACCTGCAGCAGACCTAGAGCGGGGTTCTAATGTTATGTACAGGTAGGCAGCACCGCCCGCGACTTATGACTTCACCGAGATTTATTGGTATATTTTATACAACTCAGGCCGCTGGTGATATGCTCTATTTCCACACGGCCATGCAGCCTAGGCCGGTTTGCAATGCCACCAAGCTTACTTAGTACTCATGCATTGGTTGCCCTTACATCATGATGATGTCATACTGATGCCATGGGAACTTGAAGACACGTGTATTTTCAGTGCATGTCCTACAACTTCACTCCTTGTCTATGTTTGCCATAATCACTTGTGATTGCATCAGGAGCTTTATCAACGTTGGGTCGATGGCGAAGTCATGGATGCGCAGACCATCCCGCAAGAAGATGATCCATTCTGGGAGCCACCTGAGCCAATTCTTGTTGGAACTGCATGTGTTTACTTGCAAAGTTTAGCATACGGAATGGATTTCCAGGATAAACTGGCACTCAGCGACTACCATGTAAGTGCTTCAAATGATTTGTTCTGGCTGCACAATGTTTATTCAAGGTTTCCCCAAGTGCAGTTGTGGTAGATGACTGTCCAGTAGAACCTACCAAGGACATGTATTTACACTCATGCATGCGCCCACTCACTCACTCACTCACTCACGCACTCACTCACGCACTCACTCACGCACGCACGCACACATGCACACATGCACACACGAACACACACACACACACACACACACACACACACACACACACACACACCATTTGCCAGTGTACTTGGGTGTGTGATACACTACAGACATGTCTCGGCATGCCTGGATGATTGTGCCAAATGCAAATTGCTTTGATATAATTCTGATGTGATCAACAGTGTCTTGAAACCGCTGCTCCCTCCTTGCCATTTCTTCACAGAATGTGGAGCAAGGCAGCATAGCCGTGGCAGTGGAGCCATGCAATGCCGACTCAAGTGCACTGGATGATGATTTCTTTGTAGAAGATCCTGATCAACTAATGGGAAAACCATTTCATTTCAAAGTAAGTGCTGCTGGGCTAGCTTAATTTAAAACTACTTGTATTTAAAACTATCTTTGTTGGTAACATAGTGTGATAGCATGATATGCTTGTATCGTATGATAGCTTGTATCTTATGATAGTTTGTATCGTATGATAGCTTGTATCGTATGATAGCTTGTATCGTATGATAGTTTGTATCGTATGATAGTTTGTATCGTATGATAGTTTGTATTGTATGATAGCTTGTATCGTATGATAGCTTGTATTGTGTGATAGCTTGTACTGTGAACTACTGTGCGTGTTTGTGTAGGTGTGCGTTGATCAAGTGTCGGTGACCAAACAACGGTTCTCTCTGGGTCTCCACGTGGAGTATCGCGTATACGGAGAGGACACTAGCATTACCACACACACTGTGCATGATACGCTTGACGCAAAGTTTGATCATTCTCACCAGGTGTCATTAGATGTACTGGACAAGGAGCATCTGCATTACTTTGATGATGGTTGTATCATGTTCCACGTCTATGCTCACCAAAGCAATCTGCCGCCCGATCTTGGAAAGTCGCTGATGACAACGACGGTAAGTCACCAATCTTTGACAAACAGATCTTATCACATCATTCCAGTCTGGGATCATTACCATGCTTTCAGAGAAGACCTTTCAGAGAAGACCGGCTTCAGCACGACACACAAGCGCTGTGTGCGAACCAACTTCCCCCACCAACTCAGTACCAAACGCTGCCAAAAATCAATTGTCCCACATAGCCGCTTTCGGGTGCGTGGTTACCGTAGCTCATTTCCTCTTTTTCTTTGTTCTCTTATTAGAACAGTGTCCATTGGTCAATGTCTACTTGATTACGTCATGCTGCTCCTAAGTGAGGCCAGAATCAATTCAATTGCGGCCTTGGTTCATTGTACAGAGTAAAACATTTTATAAGATGGCTGTTATTCAGTATATGTACCAGCACTACACGCAACACACAAAGGAGGCTCGCGGATTTGCCAAAAGTCCGAATTGCTTGCGAGATATTATCATCAGGTACCGTATTTTCCGGAGTATAAGTCACACCCAGATATTTTTGTCACAATTTACGGACATCTACCCTATTTATCACCATTAATTTCATTAATTTGACCATCATAGACTCATAGTACACTGTAGGAGCCGCACCAACCTTTTTTGGATGAATCACTGGTGTTCAAAGTGCGGCTTATACTCCGGAAAATACGGCAGTACTGGCTGATGAATCCGCTAACCTAGTTTGTGTGATCTGTGTAGCATACTTCAAGTACATGTGAACTGCGCAGATAGTATCCGGGCACTATACTAGTGAACTCATTTATTCCCCGGGCAGCTGGGATTTTTCACAAATATGGTGGAAATCAGCAGACTCATGGAACCCGGACACCAGTCATGATCCTACAATACTCCATCTGTATGGCAAATGATGGAGGAGTTGACTACAAGTACAAATCGATGTGTCGGAGCTAGGCGTCAGGTTGTTGATTGTCTCACTAGAGTGTCAGTTGGGTTCCTAGTTGTCGCATTGTCTCATCTTATATTATTATTACAGTCGTCCCTCTCTAATCCGGCACCTTTTGCTACGGCGTTTTCTGCTGGATTAACGAGGGTGCTGGATTAAGAAATCCTGCCCTCTGACCCGGCCCTACCCAATTGCATGCATGTGTCATACGTCAAAACGCAGGGTTTTTCCATGTCGATCCAAGTATTTGGTGCACAACTTTATATTCTCAACTGTTCTCCAAGAATACACACAGTGATAAAGTGATAAAGTAAAACAGAGAACATGTTCACATGTACTCTTGCACACACATGCACACACACACACACACAGACCTGAAAATTGGCAGGACACTACTCCTTGCTAAAATAAGAAAGTATGGTTGACTGCTTAGCAGTTGTCTCCTGGACAACATTGACCCTCTTGAGAAGGCCACGCAAGCAGTCGACATCATGCAGGTCGAACGACGGATGTCCTTCGAAGCAAACAATTGCATCAGCAAGTGCACGGGATGCTTGTGCCAGAGTTGGAAGGCTGTTGGAGTGCGCATCCAAGATGTGCTAGAGCTGTTAGCCAGTTAGTTGTAGAACGTCAGTACCGTCGGTCAGTGTCGTGCATCGTAGCTGATTGTTTAGTAACTGGTGGTGTTAGTGGACAGTATAGCGTAACTTGTAGTTCCTTGGTCTTTCTCTTTGTATAAATTGAGTTCGGGTTCGGAAAAGTCCTAACAACCAACCGAACTGAACTCTCCCGCGTGAGGTCGAGTACAGTTGTCAACTGAATTCGATCGATAACTGAACTCTGAAGTGGCCCCGCGCGCGCGGCACTGACCAGACTGGCCTGGCAAGGAGTGCACCTGTACGGTACGCGATTTACGACTGCCGGATTATGAAATCAAACTACGTGCAGTTTGAGCGATTCGTTTCAAAAAGTCACTGCCGGAGGCGGAATTCAAGTGCCGGATTACGATGTAGGAATTGAACGAAAAAAATCGGTTTCATCAGAAAGTGCGCCGGTTGGCAAGGGTTCCGGATTAACAAGTGCCGGATTAGAGAGGGACGCCTGTATTATCGAGTGTTAGTCATCAGGCTCACCTCCCACCGCTTTAGGAGCTGCATCTGCGCCTTGATCCTTGAAGGGTGGTGGCGTTCCTACGGATGCGGAAAGCCCGGCTTCCAGCCGAGTCTCACGCGAACCGTGAAATTTTTAATTAGTCATCAGGGGACAGTTGCTGGGAACACCAATCCATGTGTCCTTTCTCCTTTCTACAAGTATATCATAGGTTATTATGATCAGCCACCACCACTACACAAAGGTCTAAAATAAAATATGTTCTAAAAAATTATATCATAGCTTGCCCAGTTTCAGCAATGTACATGTACATGTATATATTATGTATATGTACTGTATTGCTTTCACTGAACACAGGAGCTGCGCAAGGCAGAACGGATGCAAATGCAGTATGGATCTAGCTCTAATGAAGCTAGGCCATTCACCGCAGTCACGCATCGCTCACAAGAATATCTTCAACAGATGAGATCGGAACTTGTCGTCTTGAGATCGCGTGTCAACCTACTCTCTAGAAAGGAGAAGAGGATACAGGTGAGTGATGTGTTTCTTTACAGTGTAATAGCTGCGGTGTTCATCAGCGGCATACATGCTGCAGTATGTGTCGTAGCATATCACCATGAGTAATAACCAACAGCATTTTGTGTGACAAGGCAATAGTGGAACATGGAAAGAATGGGTGTACTGTTTGTTTCCCTACCCCACCCCAAAAATATTCCTGGCTAGAACCCTGAGATGGATACCTTGATGCCAGCAATCCTTTTTTCGGCACCTTGTCCTCACCCACTTACTGTGGTGTATGAGCCCTTAAGTGGTGTTCTTTCTAAGTCCACCCAGAGTCTGATGATTTCAGGGGGTGTCGGCCGCTGGGCAATTCAATGCCATGAATGGCTAATTCTGTCATCTTTGGAAGATTACTCCTGGGATCCCCTCTCTCGGAGGGATTCGCGTGACCGATTTCTGGCAGTGAGGAAGCTCACTTCAAGTACATGTGTGTGTTTGTGTGTTTGTGTGTGTACATGTACACTCAAACGCCTCTTACCCGGACGCCTCGGATACGGGCACTCTCTACCGGGCACCTTCAGCTTGAGTTACTATGGCAAAAAAATTGGGAATTTTGAACTTTTTTTTTGATATGCACAAGTGTGTATTAATTGTCACTGCCAACTCGTGTAATCCACACATTTTCATCAATGGATTCTTTTTTATCCTGAGCATGTGCAATACGTGCCAGATAAACTTCATCAAAAACTGATAGCGTACATGATAGATGAGTTATCCTGAGATGCGGGCAAATCTGAGATACAGGCAGTGCCCGGTCCCAAGGTGCCCGGATAAGAGACGTCCGGGTGTAAGTGCCTGTGTGTGTGCATGTGTATATATGTAAATGTGTGGGGTATTACGTTCCTTGGCATTCGTCTTATTGAGCACTCTCTGTAGGCTGCTTTATTGCTGCTGTGTTATGCATCGCTCGCTATTTTTCGTAATTAGAGAACTCTGGTGCTAGAGCGACCAGCTATCTCAAGGTATGTGGTGCCACCTTTGCACCATGGCCAGTAGTTCGGCTTACTTAAAGCTCGTAGCTGTACTGATGAGGCCTAGATGGCCGAAACAGCTTCCTGTCTACAGCAATGGGTATGTGTGTATTACGCTCCTCGACATTCGTCTTGTTGAGCACTCTCGGTAGGCTGCTCCAGTGCTGCTTCATTATGCATTGCCCGCTACTTTTCGTAGTTACTGTAAAAGCCAGTATTCTAACGAGGCGCATATACAACGATTCCCAAAATTGACTGGTTCACGTGTACCAAAAGAAACGATTCTCACTCATTCTAAACGCTCAATAGTAACAGTATATGTATCGATTACTGTATAACGATTTCTATTTTAACGACAGATTTCTCCTCGTTAACTCGTTAGAATTAGCACTTCGTTATATATATGTATGTATGTATGTATGTACGAGTGCGACTTGTGCTGTACATAATAACTGCATAAATAACAATTGCACTGTTATGTTTTTTCCCATTATCTTTGTAGACATTGGTTGAACAGTGGGCAATGAAGCCCAAAACAGAGCAGTCCTTTCGACCGTTTCACCGAGCTGTCAATGCTGCTGTTTTCAGCACAGGCTCCAGACTACGGACAATTGCGAAGACGGTTGGAGCTGTAAGAAAAATGGTCTATTTTGTGTGTGTGAGTGTGTGTGTGGGGGGGGGGGAGGAGGGGGGTCCGTGCGTATGTGTGTGCATGTGTGTGTGTGTGTGTGTGTGTGTGTGTGTGTGTGTGTGTGTGTGTGTCTGTCTGTCTGCGTGTATGTGGGTGTGCATATGTGTTTGTTTGTTTGTTTCGAGATCTCCGACTCAGAATTCTTCTTTTCAACCGGAACTTTATATAAAGTTTGCATCGTCGTGTCAATGCTACCATTTCAAAACGCTGATGATTGTTTTTATAGCTGACCAGTTGAGATGTTGTGCTTTTAATATTACGCAGCATGCTTATTACTGTCGCACAGGAATGTCTTTACCTTGGAACCTTTTATGATATATTGGCATTCTTTAAACTTTTGTGTGTTGCTATCATTTTGTGAATGAATGTGAATGTTCTATCCTAGACCCTGCAAGTGCAAAAATTTACCTCCGAGAAGAGCAGAGGATCTGTTTCAGACATATCAGACCACGAGCGGGAAGAGAGCGGTACAGCTGCTGCAGTTGCTTCTACAAGTGAATCACCTCTATCAGCCGATGCTTCTGCTGGTAGTGATGTTGCTGGATTTAGTCCTACAAGATCAGCAAGTACAAGTCGTATGACCGCCGCTGATGTCCAGAATATTGACAAGGGAGCAACACAACAGCAGCAAGCAGCATCACCTCCACCTCGCAAAGTACAGAGCAGTCAAGTTTGTGTTTTGCAGTAGAGTTTACTCCTTTCAAAAGACTTTGCTGTGTCTGTATCACATCTGATCGCGGGCATATATGCGTGGTATGTGTATGTGTGTGTTTGTGTAGGGTATCTGTGTGTGTATGGTATGTGTGTGTGTGTGTTTGTGTGTGTGTGTGTGCGTGCGCGCGCGTGTGCGTGCACACGCGAGTATGCGTGTATGGGGGTATACATGCATATACTCGTAAATGTGAATGTGCCTGTGTGCATGCATGTATTTCCAGGTTGGGTTCAGGAATGAGCTTCACTTGGAATATAGGTAGGTTATGCTGTTTTCTGTTGCAGTGCAATGAAAAACTCATGACTTTGCCCCCCCTCCCCCCCCCCCCCCCCCTCTCACCAACTGGTGTTTTGGTGTTTTTCTTCGACAACATTTTATCCTTACATGCTTTTTCATTGCTTCCATGGATTTGACCTGATTTCTCCATGCTGAGGCACAAAATGATGAAGTGAAAATCATGAAAACAGTACTGTCTGCCGATTTTACATTGAGATTTTATAATTACTTCATTATTATCCAGATCATGCTAAGCATTTCTTCAAACTTTCATACCATGACTGGAGCATCTTTACAGTTGAAAATACTTCAATTACAGACTCTGCGCGGCACCCGATATAAACACAACCGTAATAAACTGAATTGGCAAACAGTTTTTGCCTCTAACTTTCTCAGTGGAGACAGGAAGCTTATCATGGAAAGAAATACTACAAATCTCCAGCTATTCTTCACAATCATCATCAATAAGGACTCCGAAATTCATGAAATTTAGCAAGAGGAACTAAAACACACTGTGTAAAGACAAACACTAAATGGACCCCTACATTCTCTCTCTCTCTTTCTCTCTCTCTCTCTCTCTCTCTCTCTCTCTCTCTCTCTCTCTCTCTCTCTCTCTCTCTCTCTCTCTCTCTCTCTCTCTCTCTCTCTCTCTCTCTCTCTCTCTCTCTTTCTCCGGCTCTATCTATCTCTCTCTCTCTCTCTCTCTCTCTCTCTCTCTCTCTCTCTCTCTCTCTCTCTCTCTCTCTCTCTTTCTCACTTGATCTCCCCCCCCCCCCCCAGCTGCATTCCTATTGATGCCTGGTGTAGGCTATGATTCCGAGACCTCCGGTCGGATGAGCCTCACCAACCACATTGGCACATCGCCCCTATTCCCCTTGTCTTGTTGTCCAGTGTCACTCAGTTGTCATCTTTGAAGCTCTTTCCCATATTATTATTATTAGCAGGGCTGTGTTTGCTAGTAAAAAACAAAAAACAAAAAAACAAACCTTGTTTTGTTGAAACATGATTGTTGTTGGTTGACAGCATGTAACAGAAGTATAAAGGTCACTACTGTAGCACTGTTTCCGAACACGGTGGTCCTCCCCTTGTCGCAACTACACGTAATACTTACAATTCATGCTGTCAACCAACAACATATATTGTACATGACTGTATTCTACTTTCTAGCCTATTCTACTTTCTAGGCCACCGACTGCCGAGGCTGGTCGGTGACTCAGTCTGTCTTATGTACGATGCATGATGTTGGCATAATATGCGGATACTGCCGGCAGAAAAATGGGCAGGATTCGGTACTTTTTCTGGTAAGTTTCGTGCATGTTTGGTATGTGGATAAAGGAATGGAGCAGAATTCGAGGAATTGCCCGCCATAAGGTTTGTATGGTTCTGCCGATTTCACTGCTTTTCGAGCAGAATCTGCCACCTTTCCGAGCATTATCCGCCAATGCCTAGGACTCTCAGTCTCATGCTCAGGTTTCAACACTAAAAGGCGTCGCCACTAAAAAGTAAAGCGATAAAAGCCATGATACCGGTAACCATGGTACTGCAGAGTACAGCTACAAATTGTAGCTAGCAGCAGACTACGACTACGAGTACGAGAACGGTTCTGCTGGCCTTGGCTTGGGCCTTGTGCCAGTGCTGAGGCTGCAGTACCGGTATCATGCCTGAGCAGGCTGAGGCAGCCCATTGCCATGGCCGCGCCGAGTAGATGGAGTATGCTCGTACAGACTGTCACAGTGTCACAGACACTGTCAGTGTGGGTTTCGCCTCCGATCCATAGCTACTGTACTGTAGTCTGTGGCTGGTGCGCGCTGCCGCTAGGCTCGGAACTAACTGTTACTTTGAAGTCGCGGGAAAAAGGCTGTGCAGTTCATGGCGACTTGCCGTCACATCGCGGCACGGAGTCTTCACTTGATGGATTGTATTGTAAAGGCGGCGATCTGCTATGTTGTCAAAGCTTCGTCGACGGGAATACCGCAGATTGTTGTTATGCTGGAGTTGAAAAGTGAAGCTGAGCTGGAACAGCGTCTGACTCCGTGAGAACTGTTATCCCATAATAACCGAAAGACGTATTTCCTTTGCCGGTCAATGCAAATTTTGACACTAGGAAAACATCGACACCACCATGGATTTCGACTTATTCCTTGTGAACGACCTTCCCGATCTTCCAACTTTCGACTCAAATGCTCTGGAAAATGAAAACGTGGAGGCTGTGTGCGTACCCCAGTATGCACCGGGTTATCTACGCTCTGTTCTACCGGCGGCACTTCCTAACGATGGTGAAGCCTATCGGAAGGTATTGAAGGAAATCAGGAAGTACATCAGACCAAAGGTGAGCAATCGATAGAGTCCACACTGCTCACTAGTGAGTAGACCATACACATTACACACTGCGGCGAGAAGCATACTATTACTAGTGGGAGCAGTGAAGAAGTAGTGGAATCACAAGTACGGTGGTGGATGCAAGGTGGGGTCCTGATGGTACTGTCCAGTGTAGTATTAGTATGTTCCTAGGAAGATGGGCCTAGAACAGTGTAGCACACAATCCTGTCCCCGGGGAAAATTGCGGAAAAAAATCGCAAAAAACGCGGGGAAAAACGCGGCATAATATGGCATAATTTGCGGTAAATATGCGGTAAATATGCGGTGAATAATATTGATGTGCGGCAATTTTCAGTGAGTATGTAGTGAAATCAATCAGTTACAAGTCTCTGGTGTAAGCACTCGTCATATTTGAGTAAAAAGCCGCCACGATGAGACGTTGCTGACCGAACAGTGCACTGTGTGTACGTGTAGTGCAACAAAAAAGTTCAAAAAACGCGGGAAAATCGCGGAAAACGCGGTCTTTTAAAAAATCGCAAAAAACGCGGAAAAAAACGCGGCCGCGGAATTGCAATTTTCCCCGGGGACAGACAATCATGACATTTTGGTCATGTGGCCATATAACATGGCATAGCAGGGCCACATAGCATGGCAAGGCTGAATAGCATGGTTATAGAATGGCCGCATAGCATGGCATAGCCGTGAGGCTCAGTACAGGTATAAACAAGTGCCTACCCGTGTCTGGCAGGTTGTGAATGAAGACTTGTCTAGGTTGGACTGGTCATTACTTCATCGGCATTCTGATGTTGATGATGCCATTGTCCTGTTTGATGCTTTACTACAGTCAGCATTCCATCGTCATCTGTTGCCTTACAAAGTTATTCCGCGGACAGGAGACTACATTAGGCCTCGTCCTACTATGCGGGATGCATCCCGACCCTGGATCACTCCGGACCTCAAGTGTGCTGTGAAACTGAAGCGAGATTTGTATAGCATTTATAGGAAGTATCCAACCAGTGAAAACTTCATTGCCTTTAAGCGCAAGCGTAACGAAGTGAAATGTTTGTCACGTACCCTCCATCGTCAGTATGTACAGTCGGTTCATGCCACCCTGTCTTCCCATGATCGCCCTAGTCTCCATCAATTTCTCCGCCATCTCCGTAAGAACTGTAGTCGGGAGCCGATCCGATCAATGACAGCTTCAGACGGCACGGTAGCAACAGATCCCGCAGACATAGCAGACATATTGAACACGCAGTTTACGTCGTTTGGACTTCCTGACGACCCTACGTGGCCTATACCACCACTCACCCCTTCACCCTCAATACCTGCGTCCCTCCTATCATTGTCGACTGGTACAGCCCAAGTGAGGAAATATCTCCGTAATCTGAAAACTGGCAAGTCCCCTGGTCAAGACGGAATTACCAACGAAGTTTGGAGAGCTCTTGCTCCGTCTGTTGCCTATCCTGTGTCAATTATCTTGAATATGTCATTTCGTGAAGGGAAATTCCCAGCCATGTGGAAAACTGCGGTAGTCGTGGCCACCTACAAAAATAGAGGACCACGCACCACCCCCAGCAACTATCGCCCTATCTCATTGCTCTCTACTTTATCAAAAGTGTGCGAACGTGTTGTATATGACATCATTTATGATCATGTTCGCATTTCACTTTCGCCAGCACAGTCGGGCTTTTGTCGGGGTGACTCCACCAGGTACCAGGTTACCCGCCTCGTGCAAGACATCCACACCGCCCGGAACGCCCATAACCATGTTGCTTTAGTTTTCTTCGATCTCGCAAAGGCCTTCGACACTGTTTGGCACAGGGGTCTCTTAGCTAAGCTGCGAACAGTATATCGCATTGATGGCAAGGCTATCGGCTGGCTCTCATCGTATCTCTCTAACCGACATCAGCTTGTACGCCTCTCAACTGTGTTATCGGAGCCTTTACCCGTTACTTCTGGAGTCCCCCAGGGTTCAATCCTTGGGCCACTGCTATTTCTCCTGTATATTAATGACCTCCCCGATATTGCCCCTGGTGTCAGCCTTTTCGCTGACGACACAGCCCTGCTTTGCTCCAATGCTTGCCCTACACGCCTGCACGAAGCCATGCAAGATAGCATTGGGAAAGTTATAACCTGGATGCATGATTGGAAGTTGCAGCCAAACGTTGATAAAACGGCAGCTATGTACATTTCCCCTTCTCCCCCTTCCCTGCCACTTTGTTTTCCTTCTTCAAGTGTTGCTATTCATATTGTTGAAGAGCATAAGCATCTTGGCGTTATTATTGACTCTAAATTGTCGTGGTCACCCCATGTGCAGTATGTCTGCAAGCGCACAAGCTCCATCCTTGGGGCTCTTCAAGCCCACTGTAGACATCTTCCTCTTTCTTGCAAACGCTTGTTTTATCGTTGCTATATATTGCCCTTACTTGACTACTGTGATACTGCTTGGTGTGGCATAACTACTACTGTATTGAACAAGCTAGAAACCCATAACCGCATGCTCCTTAAAATCTTATTTAGCAAAGATCGTCGCTTTCCCTCCGCTAGTCTTTACGAAATTGCCAAGATCAGTCCCCTTTCCACTCGACATAAGTACCACCTCTGTGTTCTCATACATAAAATATTACTAAATAAAATACCCTTGCATATGCAGGCTTATAATTGGTTCTCCGAAACACGGAATACCCGGAACTCACTCAGTCTCCCACGCGCTGCCTCCACCCTATTCACTAGATCCCCGATCTTTGCTGGCTATGTGTTTTGGGCAACATTACCAACGCAGGCCAAGACCAGCACGTCGATGGATAATTTTGTTGCTAAAATCTCTGCTCAATTATAGGTTTCATGTATATCCTGCTGGTTTGTCTCCTCCTTTGCCTTCTTTGCCTCTTACTTGTATTCTTTTATCTGTTTTACTGCTGTGGTTGGCTTTCACCCTTGTCTCAGTTTTATTGGCCGTCGTCATGATGTGCCATGAGATAATGATATAAATACAAAATACAAAATAGCATGGCATAGCAGTGGCTTTTCGTTGGTGCGGTTTGTATTTTGGAAGAAGGGCTGAGGCTTCCTGCAGCTTCATCTGCGAAAAGAATTCGGGTGGGTTGTATTTTGGAGTTGTGTGAATTTTTTGGGTCTATCATGATCATGGAAGAGTGTTCTCTCGACGGGAACAGGGCTTCAACTGTAGCTTTACAGCAGGAAAGAAAATCGATGCTGGTGGTCAGAGGGAAGACGTGATTGAGCGATTTGTTGCTTAGCTGTTGGCAAGTCAAATATTCACCCTGTCGAGCCGTAGGCAGGATAGTTTTTCTGTAATTGCGTGGGCCGATTTTTCCATCTGCTGCTGAGCAGCCAGAGTCCTCGACGTCAACTGCTGGCCAAGCATATCATGTACGGCCTCTTACGGCTGTTCATCCAAATATAGTGTGATCTACAGCGAGACTACCAAATTTGTCCATTGACGCTGTTCAGCCAACTACATTTTACTTCGTTGCTGCCTCTGGTCAGTCAAATCAGTGTCAACTGCTGCGAGTCTGCCAAATTTGGCAATGGCTGCTACTTCTGGTCCATCACATACAGTATCATCTGCGGGGAATCTGTCAAATGATTCGTCCAGTTCTGCCCGTCAGCCAACCATCGTGTCACCTGCTGCAGGTCTGCCAAATTTGAATGCCGGCATGGCGTAGCATGGCCACATAGCATAGCATGTCTGTATAGAATGGCCGCATAGCATAGCATAGCATGGCCACACAAGCATGGCCGCATAGCATGTGGCCACCCTTGAAAATCGCTTTGGGGGGGGGGGGGGGGGAGGGGAGGGCTCTCTTTTAAAAACCGTATTATAATTACTGTTGCTATGTAAAAAAAACTGGAGTGCTAGCTGTGACAAACACCTAATGCTAGCTGTGACAAACACTCACAGGCTGTGGAAATGCTGGCTGTTTGTTTTTAAAATCACTTCCAAATACCAGCGGTAGTGCAGCTGTAGTAGTAGCAGCGGTGGTGGTGGTGGTGGTGGTGATGCTGCTACTGCCGCAACATCTCATCTGTTGCTGTTTCTGCTGACTGTACGTGTAACACAGGCGATACCATGGCAAGGTGCTAACTACTTTGCCGATCTGCCAACCAGCCAACACTACACCAGTGTCATGAGTGATATGATCTCTGACTCAATTGGACGTGGGAAACATTCCTGGGTAAGCCAGAAAAGATGGCCTTTTTTGGTCCGCATACATGTGTGTGTATGATAAGTGCATGCATGCGTCTCAGTAGGTGACTGGTGAAACTGCTCGTTTTGCATCGTGCAAGCACGCGTGCAGCATACAAACACTCAGTAGGTGTCCACACTCTCTCAGGAGTTCACAGACGGTACCAGACAGGTAGCTGTGACACTGATCCATACCTTGTGCACTTTATACGTAGTGTATGGGTATGTGCCTTCCTTTTGCCCATCAATAGCGTTAGCCTCAGGATCATTGATACTGATAACCAAAACTTCCAAAAAAAGTTTTTCCGAGCCGACTGAGTCTGCTTTTTGGGTATTGCCGACCCGAAACAAGCTTATTTTTTCGTCCCGGCCGAATAGACGACTGTCAGAAATTTAGGCAGTTCGTCTGCTATGTGGTTTCAATTGCTTTCCCGATGCCTTTCACATGTCCTGATCATATTCACCACATTGGCAATTATGCTGGTAGATGTTTCTTTGTTACAGTTGTAGCGACTGAGGGGTAGTGCGAAAATCATGGATATGCATATGCAAGCTCGAACAACTAGCGAATAGTGTGTGTGTGTGTATGTGTGTGTATTTGGTGCATGCGTGCATGTGTGTGTGTGTGTGTGTGTGTGTGTGTGTGTGTGTGTGTGTGTGTGTGTGTGTGTGTGTGTGTGTGTGTGTGTGTGTGTGTGTGTGTGTGTGTGTGTGTGTGTGTGTGTGTGTGTGTGTGTGTGTGTGTGTGTGTGTGTGTGTGTGTGTGTGTGTGTGTGTGTGTGTGTGTGTGTGTGTGTGTGTGTGTGTGTGTGTGTGTGTGTGTGTGTGTGTGTGTGTGTGTGTGTGTGTGTGTGTGTGTGTGTGTGTGTGTGTGTGTGTGTGTGTGTGTGTGTGTGTGTGTGTGTGTGTGTGTGTGTGTGTGTGTGTGTGTGTGTGTGTGTGTGTGTGTGTGTGTGTGTGTGTGTGTGTGTGTGTGTGTGTGTGTGTGTGTGTGTGTGTGTGTGTGTGTGTGTGTGTGTGTGTGTGTGTGTGTGTGTGTGTGTGTGTGTGTGTGTGTGTGTGTGTGTGTGTGTGTGTGTGTGTGTGTGTGTGTGTGTGTGTGTGTGTGTGTGTGTGTGTGTACAATGTATAATGTAAACACACCATACACACGTATGGTGTGTTTACATTATACATTGTACTGTTCCCTAACTGCTCTACGTGAACTCTCCCATCCACTCAACTCATATCTATATAATAAAAAAAGGCGAACGGTTCAATGATCTTCTTGGTGTGTATTAGCGCACCTGCAACTGTTATTAGTCTTATGACCCGTGTATGTCTGCGCACTGACCACTGACCAGGGATTCCTAGCATCTAGGCGGGGACAACACACGCGGGTTCCACTCCTGGGCTGCCTCATTGTTTTGTCGTTAAAGAGGAATGGCGTATGCCATCACTAGTCTAGGCGGCATGTGGGGTCACCATGCAGGTTGATGCCTCAAGCACAACGCTGGAGACCTTCAAAGCTGCAGCAGTACCTTACGCAATTGGTCATGGACTGTGCCTGATGTATTCCTTGCTAAATACACGCAACAGTAGCAAATGCCATGTTTGACAATGGATCCGTACTATTGATCTCCAGCTGACTATCATTTCCAGTGCATACACACTTTTTTCTCTCTCTTTTTTCCTTCCCTCTTCGCTGCCTTGTCATTGGGAAGAAATTTCCGTTTGGATTTTGCGAAGTAAAACAAAGTTTTAAAAATATCGCGATGGCACGGTGCATAGAGCACAGATCAAGTCACGCGGAGCTGTCGAATGCTAGATTGAGATACCTGGCCTAGGTGTCAGGTACTATGGCTGTGTGTTCACGGTATTCCGGAATAGTGTACTACGAGGTGAATTGCTAATTCTGGACATTGTACATTTCTGGACATTTCGAGTAAAATAATTTTTCGTCGCGTGTAGAGTCAAGTCAGTCAGGTTGATGAAGTTTTTTCTTGTTGTAGTTGGCAGCTGGGCTGTTGTAGTTTCTCCTCGTGTCGGTGCCTTGTTGATAGCCTTTTCTTGGGAGGCATTTCAACGAGTTTTGTGGGACTATGTCGCATGAGAATTTTGAATTTTGAGTAAAATAAGAAGTAATGGACGAATCGTTGGCTTCCCCATGTGCACTCCACTTCAGACGCTGTACAGTTTTGGACCTGTTGGCTGGAAGTGTGAAGAGGCCAACTGCAGTCCACCAATAGAAAAAATAACAAAAATGGTGCAGTATAGGATGACTATTGACGCTATTTTACTTTCATGTCCAGAATTCCATACACTGAAATTTAGGCCAAAAAATTGGCCTGTCGAAAACATCCTGCTATACAGTCTCTGGGATCACAGCATGAGCAATTGTCACATATTTGGAAAGATGAAGGATTAGGCCATACAATAGATACAAAAGGATATGAAAAATAAAAAACACACAGCCAGTGGGCCTCTATTTTATTTTCATGTCCAGAAATTGCTATTCACCTCGTACTCTTTGCTGTTCTCTGACCTCACTTTCTCTGAATATGTCTCTCCCGGTCTTACCAACGAGCCAGGCCTTTTGTATTTTCCTTCACTTGCGTGGCATTGCCATCTGAACGGTGTGTTTCACTTGTACTTCAAGTACATATCCTTGCTTATGTACGAGTAGATCACCTGGAATGTGTTTTTTCTTCTAATCTTTCTTGCGATTTAGATCCATAGTAATGCAGCTGATGATCTTGAAGAGATTATGTTGGACTGGCTAGGTAAGAACTTTCTCACTATACTGTTGTGTAGAGTAATTATCCACCCAGACTATGCCGGTGGATGAAAAGTGCGGAACCCCGGAACTCTGTACCCTTGTTGCAAGTTATAGTCCAAAGTTTTGAAATGACTATCAAAAGTCGAACCTACTTGAGAGTTTGACTTTTTCTCTGGCAAGTATGTGCATAATACATCAGACACTGAAGCCCTATTACATTGTACTTATCAATCTTCAAACAAGCAATGTGTCAGGTCGGTGTCACATCATCTTGAAACTGTCACTGCACATTGTTATTTGTAATTGATTTTGTTACTTTGCTCAACTGCATTCTCTGTTCATGTTCTTGCTGCATTCAACAGCAAAGATGCTTGGCTTACCAGTGGAGTTTCATTTTTGTGACTCAAGGGGCAAGGAGACCGGTGGTGGAGGAGTTATACAGGTACGAGGACATGTGTGCAATTATACAGACGGAATTGGATAGAACAAAGTGTCACATTTTCTGGCTCACGACAGCCGTGCTATATTTCTGTATTATACTCTATCAATAACTATAATAACTGTAAAAACTGTAATAAGGGTATGTCTTGTGTGTCTTGTGTGTCTTGTGTGTCTAGTGTGTCTTGTGTGTCTAGTGTGTCTTGTGTGTCTTGTGTGACTTGTGTGACGTGTGTGTCTTGTGTGTCTTGTGTGTCTTGTGTGTCTTGTGTGTCTAGTGTGTCTAGTGTGTCTAGTGTGTCTTGTGTGTCTTGTGTGACTTGTGTGTCTAGTGTGTCTAGTGTGTCTAGTGTGTCTTGTGTGTCTTGTGTGTCTTGTGTGTCTTGTGTGTCTAGTGTGTCTAGTGTGTCTAGTGTGTCTTGTGTGTCTAGTGTGTCTTGTGTGTCTAGTGTGTCTTGTGTGTCTTGTGTGTCTTGTGTGTCTTGTGTGTCTAGTGTGTCTAGTGTGTCTAGTGTGTCTTGTGTGTCTAGTGTGTCTAGTGTGTCTAGTGTGTCTTGTTACTCCACCACTATGCTCTCTATCTCTTCCAGCTAGCACTCCAGCACACTCGCACATGCACTGAGCCACAACTATCAACAAGGAATCAAGAGAGTTGAAATATTGAAATAGTGGTAAAGTTGGGAGAAAAGAAAACCCTTCTTTTTCCACGAGATCCAAGATCCATCAGGAAAAAGGACATGCACAAAATGGCGACCATGTCGTCCATTGACGCGTAATCATGGTAATCACAAACTAGTGCAGCGACCAAAGAAAAGACACAAGTGAAGAAGAAGAAACAGCGCTGCAGCAAGAAGATCGGATCGCTGCAGTCGCTAAAATGCACTAGCCTACTGACTGTAGTTCCACGTGAGCATGCAGTCACGTGGTCATAAACAGAGTGCGTACACACTCACGTCATACCGATACGTCATACATGACAAAAGAAAAGAAAGGAAAGTCACGCGCGAGTCAAACAAATCAAAGAGCGCGAGACTACGTACTGCAAATATTACGAAGAAGAATTTGTTTGAGAACAAATGCACAAGACGAGGAATTTGTTAGAGAACAATTGCACAAGAATATATATCTCTTCGAAACTAGAATGGAGTCCGTGATGAGAATTCCAACGAGCCTGGACGCAGCTACAAAGTAAGAATACAATCAAATAACTAATATCGTCAGAACTATTGTAACAATACAAGCAGTCGATTTACCACAGTGTTATCTCTATATTTACACCAGTCCCCCAGGTAACACAGTGTCAATCGATGTAGCGACTCGGGCGTTGGATATGACGACGGTTACGCAGACTACGATCGGCGACAGCCAACGGCTCAACACCGAGATCACACTGCACGGGCGACGCAGGCACAGATCCAGACTCACACGACAACACAGATTCAGCAGCAGGTTTAATCAACTGAATGTTAACAGACTTTTGTTGATCAAAGCCATCCACAGAACGACACACACGCACGGAACCAGGACCAAGGATCTCGGTGACCTTCCACCCAGCTTCGAACGGTGGCAAGCGCTTCTGCGAACGAGCGGGGTGACGGAGCAAAACAGCATCACCGACAGCATATGGATTGGAAGCGCTGCCCTCAACAAAATCATGAGACGACAACTCAGCTTCGACAAAGTCACGAATACGAGCGGACCGACCAGCAAGGCTGTCCACCCATGTGTCTTGTGTGTCTAGTGTGTCTTGTGTGTCTTGTGTGACTTATGTGTCTTGTGTGTCTAGTGTGTCTTGTGTGTCTTGTGTGTCTAGTGTGTCTTGTGTGTCTTGTGTGACTTATGTGTCTTGTGTGTCTAGTGTGTCTTGTGTGTCTAGTGTGTCTTGTGTGTCTTGTGTGACTTATGTGTCTTGTGTGTCTAGTGTGTCTTGTGTGTCTAGTGTGTCTTGTGTGTCTTGTGTGACTTGTGTGTCTTGTGTGTCTAGTGTGTCTTGTGTGTCTTGTGTGACTTGTGTGTCTTGTGTGACTTGTGTGTCTTGTGTGTCTTGCTTGCCTGCTGAAGTGTCTTATCCAAGCTTCATAGTATGTCATGGTTGGTGGTGGCTGTGGTGGCAGTGACAGTAGTGGTGTTGGCAGTGGTGTTGGTGGTAGCGCCAATAGCACTAGCAGTGGTGTTGGCAGTGGTGTTGGCAGTGGCGTTGGCAGTGGCGTTGGCAGTGGCGTTGGCAGTGGCGTTGGCAGTGGCGTTGGCAGTGGCGTTGGCAGTGGCGTTGGCAGTGGCGTTGGCGTTGGCGTTGGCGTTGGCGTTGGCAGTGGCGTTGGCAGTGGCGTTGGCAGTGGCGTTGGCAGTGGCGTTGGCAGTGGCGTTGGCAGTGACGTTGGCAGTGGCGTTGGCAGTGGCGTTGGCAGTGGCGTTGGCGTTGGCAGTGGGGTTGGCAGTAGCGTTGGCAGTGGCGTTGGTAGTGGCGTTGGCAGTGGCGTTGGCAGTGGCGTTGGCAGTGGCGTTGCGTTGGCGTTGGCAGTGGCGTTGGCAGTGGCGTTGGCAGTGGCGTTGGCAGTGGCGTTGGCAGTGGCGTTGGCAGTGGCGTTGGCGTTGGCGTAGGCGTTGGCAGTCGGGTTGGCAGTTGGGTTGGCAGTGGCGTTGGCAGTGGCGTTGGCAGTGGCGTTGGCGGTGGCGTTGGCGGTGGCGTTGACGGTGGCGTTGGCGGTGGTGTTGGCGGTGGCGTTGGCGTTGACGTTGGCGTTGGCAGTGGCGTTGGCAGTGGCGTTGGCAGTGGCGTTGGCAGTGGCGTTGGCAGTGGCGTTGGCAGTGGCGTTGGCAGTGGCGTTGGCGTTGGCTTTGGCAGTGGCGTTGGCGTTGGCAGTGGCAGTGGCGTTGGCAGTGGCGTTGGCAGTGGCGTTGGCAGTGGCGTTGGCGTTGGCGTTGGCACTTGCGTTGGCAGTGGCGTTGGCAGTGGCGTTGGCGGTGGCGTTGGCGGTGGCGTTGGCGGTGGCGTTGGCGTTGGCGTTGGCGTTGGCAGTGGCGTTGGCAGTGGCAGTGGCGTTGGCAGTGGCGTTGGCGTTGGCAGTGGCGTTGGCAGTGGCGTTGGCAGTGGCGTTGGCAGTGGCGTTGGCAGTGGTGTTGGCGTTGGCAGTGGCTTTGGCAGTGGCGTTGGCAGTGGCGTTGGCGTTGGCAGTGGCGTTGGCAGTGGCGTTGGCCGTGGCGTTGGCGTTGGTGTTGGCAGTGGGGTTGGCAGTGGGGTTGGCAGTGGGGTTGGCAGTGGGGTTGGCAGTGGCGTTGGCAGTGGCGTGGGCAGTGGCGTTGGCAGTGGCGTTGGCAGTGGCGTTGGCAGTGGCGTTGGCGTTGGCGTTGGCGTTGCCAACGCCACTGCCAACGCCACTGCCAACGCCACTGCCACTGCCAACGCCAACGCCACTGCCAACGCCACTGCCAACGCCACTGCCAACGCCACTGCCAACGCCAACGCCACTGCAACCGCCAGTGGCGTTGGCGTTGGCGTTGCCAACGCCACTGCCAACGCCACTGCCAACGCCACTGCCAACGCCACTGCCACTGCCAACGCCAACGCCACTGCCAACGCCACAGCCAACGCCACTGCCAACGCCACTGCCAACGCCAACGCCACTGCCAACGCCAACGCCACTGCCAACGCCAACGCCACTGCCAACGCCAACGCCACTGCCAACGCCACTGCCAACGCCACTGCCAACGCAACGTTGTCAGTTGCGTTGGCAGTGGCGTTGGCAGTGGCGTTGGCAGTGGCGTTGGCAGTGGCGTTGGCGTTGGCAGTGGCGTTGGCAGTGGCGTTGGCATTTTCGTTGGCAGTGGCGTTGGCAGTGGCGTTGGCAGTGGTGTTGGCAGTGGCGTTGGCGTTGGCGTTGGCGGTGGCGTTGGCGGTGGCGTTGGCGGTGGCGTTGGCAGTGGCGTTGGCAGTGGCAGTGGCGTTGGCAGTGGCGTGTGCAGTGGCGTCGGCAGTGGCGTCGGCAGTGGCGTTGGCGTTGGCAGTGGCGTTGGCACTGCGTTGGCAGTGGCAGTGGCGTTGGCAGTGGCGTTGGCAGTGGCGTTGGCAGTGGCGTTGGCAGTGGCGTTGGCAGTGGCGTTGGCGTTGGCGTTGGCAGTGGCAGTGGCGGTGGCGTTGGCAGTGGGGTTGGCAGTGGCGTTGGCAGTGGCGTTGGCAGTGTCGTTGGCAGTGGCGTTGGCAGTGGCGTTGGCGTCGGCGTCGGCGTTGGCGTTGGCGTTGGCAGTGGGTTGGCAGTGGAGTTGGCAGTGGGGTTGGCAGTGGCGTTGGCAGTGGCGTTGGCAGTGGCGTTGGCAGTGGCGTTGGCAGTGGCGTTGGCCGTGGCGTTGGCGGTGGCGTTGGCGGTGGCGTTGGCGGTGGCGTTGGCGGTGGCTTTGGCGGTGGCGTTGGCGTTGACGTTGGCAGTGGCGTTGGCAGTGGCAGTGGCGTTGGCAGTGGCGTTGGCAGTGGCGTTGGCAGTGGCGTTGGCAGTGGTGTTGGCGTTGGCAGTGGCGTTGGCAGTGGCAGTGGCAGTGGCAATGGCGTTGGCGTTGGCAGTGGCGTTGGCAGTGGCGTTGGCAGTGGCGTTGGCAGTGGCGTTGGCGTTGGCGTTGGCAGTGGGGTTAGCAGGGGGTTTGGCAGTGGCGTTGGCAGTGGCAGTGGCGTTGGCGTTGGCAGTGGCGTTGGCAGTGGCGTTGGCAGTGGCGTGGGCAGTGGCGTTGGCAGTGGCGTTGGCAGTGGCGTTGGCAGTGGCGTTGGCGTTGGCGTAGGCGTTGGCAGTCGGGTTGGCAGTGGGGTTGGCAGTGGGGTTGGCAGTGGCGTTGGCAGTGGCGTTGGCAGTGGCATTGGCAGTGGCGTTGGCAGTGGCGTTGGCAGTGGCGTTGGCGGTGGCGTTGGCGGTGGCGTTGGCGGTGGCGTTGGCAGTGGCGTTGGCAGTGGCAATGGCGTTGGCAGTGACGTTTGCAGTGGCGTTGGCAGTGGCGTTGGCAGTGGCGTTGGCGTTGGCAGTGGCCTTGACAGTGGCGTTGGCAGTGGCGTTGGCGTTGGCAGTGGCGTTGCCAGTGGCGTTGGCAGTGGCGTTGGCAGTGGTGTTGGCGTTGGCGTTGGCAGTTGCGTTGGCAGTGGCGTTGGCCGTGGCGGTGGCGTTGGCGGTGGCGTTTGCGGTGGCGTTGGCGGTGGCGTTGGCGTTGGCAGTGGCGTTGGCAGTGGCAGTGGCGTTGGCAGTAGCGTTGGCAGTGGCGTTGGCTGTGCCAGTGGCGTTGGCAGTGGCGTTGGCAGTGGCGTTGGCAGTGGCGTTGGCAGTGGCGTTGGCAGTGACGTTGGCGTTGGCAGTGGCTTTGGCAGTGGCGTTGGCAGTGGCGTTCGCAATGGCGTTGGCAGTGGCGTTGGCAGTGGCCTAGGCCGTGGCGTTGGCGTTGGCGTTGGTGTTGGCAATGGGGTTGGCAGTGGGGTTGGCAGTGGGGTTGGCAGTGGCGTGGGCAGTGGCGTGGGCAGTGGCGTTGGCAGTGGCGTTGGCAGTGGCGTTGGCAGTGGCGTTGGCAGTGGCGTTGGCAGTGGCGTTGGCGTTGGCGTTGGCGTTGCCAACGCCACTGCCAACGCCACTGCCACTGCCAACGCCAACGCCAACGCAACTGCCAACGCCACTGCCAACGCCACTGCCAACGTCACTGCCAACGCCACTGCCAACGCCACTGCCACTGCCAACGCCAACGCCAACGCCACTGCCAATGCCACATCCAACGCCACTGCCAACGCCACTGCCAACGCAGGGGCGTTGGCATTGGCAGCGGCAGTGATCGTGGCGTTGGCAGTGGCGTTGGCAGTGGCGTTGGCGTTGGCGTTGGCGTTGGCAGTGGGGATGGCAGTGGCGTTGGCAGTGGCGTTGGCAGTGGCGTTGGCAGTGGCGTTGGCAGTGGGGTTGGCAGTGGCGTTGGCAGTGGCGTTGGCGTTGGCAGTGGGGTTGGCAGTGGCGTTGGCCGGGGCGTTGGCGGTGGGGTTGGCAGTGGCGTTGGCAGTGGCGCTGGCAGTGGCGTTGGCAGAGGCGTTGGCGTTGGCGTTGGCAGTGGCAGTGGGGTTGGCAGTGGCGTTGGCAGTGGCGTTGGCAGTGGCCTTGGCAGTGGCGTTGGCGTTGGCAGTGGCAGTGGCAGTGGCGTTGGCAGTGGCGTTGGCGTTGGCAATGGCGTTGGCAGTGGCGTTGGCAGTGGCGTTGGCAGTGGCGTTGGCAGTGGCGTTGGCGTTAGCGTTGGCGTTGGCAGTTGCGTTGGCAGTGGCGTTGGCAGTGGCGTTGGCAGTGGCGTTGGCGTGGGCAGTGGCTTTGGCAGTGGCGTTGGCGTTGGCGTTGGCAGTGGCGTTGGCAATGGCGTTGGCCGTGGCGTTGGCGTTGGCGTTGGCGTTGGTGTTGGCAGTGGGGTTGGCAGTGGGGTTGGCAGTGGGGTTGGCAGTGGCGTTGGCAGTGGCGTGGGCAGTGGCGTTGGCAGTGGCGTTGGCAGTGGCGTTGGCAGTGGCAGTGGCGTTGGCAGTGGCGTTGACAGTGGCGTTGGCGTTGTCGTTGGCGTTGCCAACGCCACTGCCAACGCCACTGCCAACGCCACTGCCACTGCCAACGCCAACGCCACTGCCAACGCCACTGCCAACGCCAACGCCACTGCCAACGCCAACGCCACTGCAACCGCCACTGCCAACGCCACTGCCAACGCGTTGGCAGTGGCGTTGGCGTTGGCGTTGCCAACGCCACTGCCAACGCCACTGCCAACGCCACTGCCAACGCCACCGCCACCGCCACTGCCAACGCCACAGCCAACGCCACTGCCAACGCCACTGCCAACGCCAACGCCACTGCCAACGCCAACGCCACTGCCAACGCCACTGCCAACGCCACCGCCAACACAACGTTGTCAGTTGCGTTGGCAGTTGCGTTGGCAGTGACGTTGGCAGTGGCGTTGGCAGTGGCGTTGGCAGTGGCGTTGGCATTTTCGTTGGCAGTGGCGTTGGCAGTGGCGTTGGCAGTGGCGTTGGCAGTGGCGTTGGCGGTGGCGTTGGCGGTGGCGTTGGCGGTCGCGTTGGCGGTGCCGTTGGCGGTGCCGTTGGCGGTGGCGTTGGCAGTGGCGTTGGCAGTGGCAGTGGCGTTGGCAGTGGCGTTGCCAGTGGCGTCGGCAGTGGCGTCGGATCTGGCGTTGGCGTTGCCAGTGGCGTTGGCAGTGGCGTTGGCAGTGGCGTTGGCAGTGGCAGTGGCGTTGGCAGTGGCGTTGGCAGTGGCGTTGGCAGTGGCGTTGGCGTTGGCAGTGGCGGTGGCGTTCGCAGTGGCGTTGGCAGTGGCGTTGGCAGTGGCGTTGGCAGTGGCGTTGGCAGTGGCGTTGGCGTTGGCGTCGGCGTTGGCGTTGGCGTTGGCAGTGGGGTTGGCAGTGGAGTTGGCAGTGGGGTTGGCAGTGGCGTTTGCAGTGGCGTTGGCAGTGGCGTTGGCAGTGGCGTTGGCAATGGCGTTGGCAGTGGCGTTGGCCGTGGCGTTGGCGGTGGCGGTGGCGTTGGCGGTGGCGTTGGCGTTGACGTTGGCGTTGGCAGTGGCGTTGGCAGTGGCAGTGGCGTTGTCAGTGGCGTTGGCAGTGGCGTTGGCAGTGGCGTTGGCGTTGGCAGTGGCAATGGCGTTGGCGTTGGCAGTGGCGTTGGCAGTGGCGTTGGCAGTGGCGTTGGCGTTGGCGTTGGCGTTGGCAGTGGGGTTAGCAGTGGGATTGGCAGTGGCGTTGGCAGTGGCAGTGGCGTTGGCGTTGGCAGTGGCGTTGGCAGTGGCGTTGGCAGTGGCGTGGGCAGTGGCGTTGGCAGTGGCGTTGGCAGTGGCGTTGGTAGTGGCGTTGGCGTTGGCGTAGGCGTTGGCAGTCGGGTTGGCAGTGGGGTTGGCAGTGGCGTTGGCAGTGGCGTTTGCAGTGGCGTTGGCAGTGGCGTTGGCAGTGGCGTTGGCGGTGGCGTTGGCGTTGGCGGTGGCGGTGGCGTTGGCATTGGCATTGGCAGTGGCAGTGGCGTTGGCAGTGACGTTGACAGTGGCGTTGGCTGTGGCGTTGGCGTTGGCAGTGGCGTTGGCAGTGGCGTTGGCAGTGGCGTTGGCGTTGGCAGTGGCGTTGCCAGTGGCGTTGGCGTTGGCAGTGGCGTTGGCAGTGGCGTTGGCAGTGGCGTTGGCGTTGGCGTTGGCAGTTGCGTTGGCAGTGGCGTTGGCGGTGGCGTTGGCGGTGGCGTTGGCGGTGGCTTTGGCGGTGGCGTTGGCGGTGGCGTTGGCGGTGGCGTTGGCGGTGGCGTTGGCGTTGGCGTTGGCAGTGGCGTTGGCAGTGGCGTTGGCAGTGGCGTTGGCAGTGGCGTTGGCTGTGGCAGTGGCGTTGGCAGTGGCGTTGGCAGTGGCGTTGGCAGTTGGCGTTGGCAGTGGCGTTGGCAGTGGCGTTGGCGTTGGCGTTGGCAGTGGTATAGGGGTTGGCAGTGGGGTTGACAGTGGCGTTGGCAGTGGCATTGGCAGTGGCGTTGGCAGTGGCGTTGGCTGTGGCGTTGGCGTTGGCAGTGGCGTTGGAAGTGGCGTTGGCGGTGGCATTGGCGGTGACGTTGGCGTTGGCGTTGGCAGTGGCTTTGGCAGTGGCGTTGGCGGTGGCGTTGGCGGTGGCGTTGGTGGTGGAGTTGGCGTTGGCAGTGGCGTTGGCAGTGGCGTTGGCAGTGGCGTTGGCAGTTGCGTTGGCTGTGGCGTTGGCGTTGGCAGTGGCGTTGGCAGCGGCGTTGGCAGTGGCATTGGCAGTGGCGTTGGCGGTGGCGTTGGCGGTGGCGTTGGCGGTGACGTTGGCGTTGGCAGTGGCTTTGGCAGTGGCGTTGGCAGTGGCGTTGGCGTTGGCAGTGGCGTTGGTAGTGGCGTTGGCAGTGGCGTTGGCCGTGGCGTTGGCGTTGGCAGTGGCTTTGGCAGTGGCGTTGGCAGTGGCGTTCGCGTTGGCGTTGGCAGTGGCGTAGGCCGTGGCGTTGGCGTTGGCGTTGGCGTTGGTGTTGGCAGTGGGGTTGGCAGTGGGGCGGTTGCAGTGGCGTTGGCAGTGGCAGTGGCGTTGGCAGTGGCGTTGGCAGTGGCGTTGGCAGAGGCGTTGGCAGAGGCGTTGGCAATGGCGTTGGCAGTGGCGTTGGCAGTGGCGTTGGCAGTGGCGTTGGCAGTGACGTTGGCGTTGGCGTTGGCGTTGGCAGTGGCTTTTGCAGTGGCGTTGGCAGTGGCGTTGGCGTTGGCGTTGGCAGTGGCGTTAGCAGTGGCGTTGGCCGTGGCGTTGGCGTTGGTGTTGGCAGTTAGGTTGGCAGTGGGGTTGGCAGTGGGGTTGGCAGTGGCGTTGGCAGTGGTGTGGGCAGTGGCGTTGGCAGTGGCGTTGGCAGTGGCGTTGGCGGTGGCGTTGGCAGTGGCGTTGGCAGTGGCGTTGGCGTTGGCGTTGGCGTTGCCAACGCCACTGCCAACGCCACTGTCACTGCCAACGCCAACGCCGACGCCACTGCCAACGCCACTGCAAACGCCACTGCCAACGCCAACGCCACTGCCAACGCCACTGCAAACGCCACTGCCAACGCCACTGCCACTGCCTGGCGTTGGCAGTGGCGTTGGCAGTGGCGTTGGCAGTGGCGTTGGCGTTGGCAGAGGCAGTGGCGTTGGCAGTGGCGTTGGCAGTGGCAGTGGCGTTGGCGTTGGTGTGGGCAGTTGCGTTGGCAGTGGCGTTGGCCGTGGCGTTGGTGGTGGCGTTGGCGGTGGCGTTGGCGGTGGCGTTGGCGTTGGCAGTGGCAGTGGCGTTGGCAGTGGCGTTGGCAGTGGCGTTGGCAGTGGCGTTGGCAGTGGCGTTGGCGTTGGCAGTGGCTTTGGCAGTGGCGTTGGCGTTGGCAGTGGCGTTGGCCGTGGCGTTGGCGTTGGCGTTGGCGTTGGCAGTGGGGTTGGCAGTGGGGTCGGCAGTGGCGTTGGCAGTGGCGTGGGCAGTGGCAGTGGCGTTGGCAGTGGCGTTGGCGTTGGCGTTGGCGTTGGCGTTGCCAACGCCACTGCCAACGCCACTGCCAACGCCAACGCCACTGCCAACGCCAACGCCACTGCCAACGCCACTGCCAACGCCACCGCCAACACAACGTTGTCAGTTGCGTTGGCAGTTGCGTTGGCAGTGACGTTGGCAGTGGCGTTGGCAGTGGCGTTGGCAGTGGCGTTGGCATTTTCGTTGGCAGTGGCGTTGGCAGTGGCGTTGGCAGTGGCGTTGGCAGTGGCGGTGGCGTTGGCGGTGGCGTTGGCGGTCGCGTTGGCGGTGCCGTTGGCGGTGCCGTTGGCGGTGGCGTTGGCAGTGGCGTTGGCAGTGGCAGTGGCGTTGGCAGTGGCGTTGCCAGTGGCGTCGGCAGTGGCGTCGGATCTGGCGTTGGCGTTGCCAGTGGCGTTGGCAGTGGCGTTGGCAGTGGCGTTGGCAGTGGCAGTGGCGTTGGCAGTGGCGTTGGCAGTGGCGTTGGCAGTGGCGTTGGCGTTGGCAGTGGCGGTGGCGTTCGCAGTGGCGTTGGCAGTGGCGTTGGCAGTGGCGTTGGCAGTGGCGTTGGCAGTGGCGTTGGCGTTGGCGTCGGCGTTGGCGTTGGCGTTGGCAGTGGGGTTGGCAGTGGAGTTGGCAGTGGGGTTGGCAGTGGCGTTTGCAGTGGCGTTGGCAGTGGCGTTGGCAGTGGCGTTGGCAATGGCGTTGGCAGTGGCGTTGGCCGTGGCGTTGGCGGTGGCGGTGGCGTTGGCGGTGGCGTTGGCGTTGACGTTGGCGTTGGCAGTGGCGTTGGCAGTGGCAGTGGCGTTGGCAGTGGCGTTGGCAGTGGCGTTGGCAGTGGCGTTGGCGTTGGCAGTGGCAATGGCGTTGGCGTTGGCAGTGGCGTTGGCAGTGGCGTTGGCAGTGGCGTTGGCGTTGGCGTTGGCGTTGGCAGTGGGGTTAGCAGTGGGATTGGCAGTGGCGTTGGCAGTGGCAGTGGCGTTGGCGTTGGCAGTGGCGTTGGCAGTGGCGTTGGCAGTGGCGTTGGCAGTGGCGTGGGCAGTGGCGTTGGCAGTGGCGTTGGCAGTGGCGTTGGTAGTGGCGTTGGCGTTGGCGTAGGCGTTGGCAGTCGGGTTGGCAGTGGGGTTGGCAGTGGCGTTGGCAGTGGCGTTTGCAGTGGCGTTGGCAGTGGCGTTGGCAGTGGCGTTGGCGGTGGCGTTGGCGTTGGCGGTGGCGGTGGCGTTGGCATTGGCATTGGCAGTGGCGTTGGCAGTGACGTTGACAGTGGCGTTGGCGTTGGCAGTGGCGTTGGCAGTGGCGTTGACAGTGGCGTTGGCAGTGGCGTTGGCAGTGGCGTTGGCGTTGGCGTTGGCAGTTGCGTTGGCAGTGGCGTTGGCGGTGGCGTTGGCGGTGGCGTTGGCGGTGGCTTTGGCGGTGGCGTTGGCGGTGGCGTTGGCGGTGGCGTTGGCGGTGGCGTTGGCGTTGGCGTTGGCAGTGGCGTTGGCAGTGGCAGTGGCGTTGGCAGTGGCGTTGGCAGTGGCGTTGGCTGTGGCAGTGGCGTTGGCAGTGGCGTTGGCAGTGGCGTTGGCAGTTGGCGTTGGCAGTGGCGTTGGCAGTGGCGTTGGCGTTGGCGTTGGCGTTGGCAGTGGTATAGGGGTTGGCAGTGGGGTTGACAGTGGCGTTGGCAGTGGCATTGGCAGTGGCGTTGGCAGTGGCGTTGGCTGTGGCGTTGGCGTTGGCAGTGGCGTTGGAAGTGGCGTTGGCGGTGGCATTGGCGGTGACGTTGGCGTTGGCGTTGGCGTTGGCAGTGGCTTTGGCAGTGGCGTTGGCGGTGGCGTTGGCGGTGGCGTTGGTGGTGGAGTTGGCGTTGGCAGTGGCGTTGGCAGTGGCGTTGGCAGTGGCGTTGGCAGTTGCGTTGGCTGTGGCGTTGGCGTTGGCAGTGGCGTTGGCAGCGGCGTTGGCAGTGGCATTGGCAGTGGCGTTGGCGGTGGCGTTGGCGGTGGCGTTGGCGGTGACGTTGGCGTTGGCAGTGGCTTTGGCAGTGGCGTTGGCAGTGGCGTTGGCGTTGGCAGTGGCGTTGGTAGTGGCGTTGGCAGTGGCGTTGGCCGTGGCGTTGGCGTTGGCAGTGGCTTTGGCAGTGGCGTTGGCAGTGGCGTTCGCGTTGGCGTTGGCAGTGGCGTAGGCCGTGGCGTTGGCGTTGGCGTTGGCGTTGGTGTTGGCAGTGGGGTTGGCAGTGGGGCGGTTGCAGTGGCGTTGGCAGTGGCAGTGGCGTTGGCAGTGGCGTTGGCAGTGGCGTTGGCAGAGGCGTTGGCAGAGGCGTTGGCAATGGCGTTGGCAGTGGCGTTGGCAGTGGCGTTGGCAGTGGCGTTGGCAGTGACGTTGGCGTTGGCGTTGGCGTTGGCAGTGGCTTTTGCAGTGGCGTTGGCAGTGGCGTTGGCGTTGGCGTTGGCAGTGGCGTTAGCAGTGGCGTTGGCCGTGGCGTTGGCGTTGGTGTTGGCAGTTAGGTTGGCAGTGGGGTTGGCAGTGGGGTTGGCAGTGGCGTTGGCAGTGGTGTGGGCAGTGGCGTTGGCAGTGGCGTTGGCAGTGGCGTTGGCGGTGGCGTTGGCAGTGGCGTTGGCAGTGGCGTTGGCGTTGGCGTTGGCGTTGCCAACGCCACTGCCAACGCCACTGTCACTGCCAACGCCAACGCCGACGCCACTGCCAACGCCACTGCAAACGCCACTGCCAACGCCAACGCCACTGCCAACGCCACTGCAAACGCCACTGCCAACGCCACTGCCACTGCCTGGCGTTGGCAGTGGCGTTGGCAGTGGCGTTGGCAGTGGCGTTGGCTTTGGCAGAGGCAGTGGCGTTGGCAGTGGCGTTGGCAGTGGCAGTGTCGTTGGCGTTGGTGTGGGCAGTTGCGTTGGCAGTGGCGTTGGCCGTGGCGTTGGTGGTAGCGTTGGCGGTGGCGTTGGCGGTGGCGTTGGCGTTGGCAGTGGCAGTGGCGTTGGCAGTGGCGTTGGCAGTGGCGTTGGCAGTGGCGTTGGCAGTGGCGTTGGCGTTGGCAGTGGCTTTGGCAGTGGCGTTGGCGTTGGCAGTGGCGTTGGCCGTGGCGTTGGCGTTGGCGTTGGCAGTGGGGTTGGCAGTGGGGTCGGCAGTGGCGTTGGCAGTGGCGTTGGCAGTGGCGTTGGCGTTGGCGTTGGCGTTGGCGTTGCCAACGCCACTGCCAACGCCACTGCCACTGCCAACGCCAACGCCATTGCCAACGCCACTGCCAACGCCAACGCCACTGCAACCGCCACTGCCAACGCCACTGCCAACTCGTCGGGAGTGGCGTTGGCGTTGGCGTTGCCAACGCCACTGCCAACGCCACTGCCAACGCCACTGCCACTGCCAACGCCAACGCCAACGCCACTGCCAACGCCACAGCCAACGCCACTGCCAACGCCAACGCCAACGCCACTGCCAACGCCAACGCCCCTGCCAACGCCACTGCCAACGCAACGTTGTCAGTTGCGTTGGCAATGGCGTTGGCAGTGGCGTTGGCAGTGGCGTTGGCGTTGGCAGTGGCGTTGGCAGTGGCGTTTGCAGTGGCGTTGGCATTTTCGTTGGCAGTGGCGTTAGCAGTGGCGTTGGCAGTGGCGTTGGCAGTGGCGTTGGCGGTGGCGTTGGCGGTGGCGTTGGCGGTCGCGTTGGCGGTGGCGTTGGCGGTGGCGTTGGCAGTGGCGTTGGCAGTGGCAGTGGCGTTGGCAGTGGCGTCGGCAGTGGCGTCGGCATTGGCGTCGGCAGTGGCGTTGGCGTTGGCAGTGGCGTTGGCAGTGGCGTTGGCAGTGGTGTTGGCGTTGGCAGTGGCGTTGGCAGTGGCGTTGGCAGTGGCGTTGGCGTTGGCAGTGGCGTTGGCAGTGGCGTTGGCAGTGGCGTTGGCAGTGGCGTTGGCGTTGGCGTCGACGTTGGCGTAGGCGTTGGCAGTCGGGTTGGCAGTGGGGTTGGCAGTGGGGTTGGCAGTGGCGTTGGCAGTGGCGTTGGCGGTGGCGTTGGCGGTGGCGTTGGCGGTGGCGTTGGCGTTGGCGATGGCGGTGGCGTTGGCGTTGACGTTGGCGTTGGCAGTTGCAGTGGCGTTTGCAGTGGGGTTGGCAGTGGCGTTTGCAGTGGCGTTGGCAGTGGCGTTGGTAGTGGCAGTGGCGTTGGCAGTGGCAGTGGCGTTGGCAGTGGCGTTGGCGTTGGCAGTGGCGTTGGCAGTGGCGTTGGCAGTGATGTTGGCGTTGGCGTTGGCGTTGGCAGTGGCGTTGGCGTTGCCAGTGGCGTTGGCAGTGGCGTTGGCCGTGGCGTTGGCGTTGGCGTTGGCGTTAGTGTTGGCAGTGGGAAACGCCACCCCCAACGCGTTGGCAGTGGCGTTGGCAGTGGCGTTGGCAGTGGCGTTGGCAGTGGCGTTGGCGTTGGCAGTGGCGTTGGCAGTGGCGTTGGCGTTGGCAGTGGCAGTGGCGTTGGCAGTGGCGTTGGCAGTGGCAGTGGCAGTGGCGTTGGCAGTGGCGTTGGCGTTGCCAGTGGCGTTGGCAGTGGCGTTGGCAGTGGCGTTGGCAGTGGCGTTGGCAGTGGCGTTGGCAGTGACGTTGGCGTTGGCGTTGGCAGTGGCTGTCGCGTTGGCGTTGGCAGTGGCGTTGGCAGTGGCGTTGGCAGTGGCGTTGGCCGTGGCGTTGGCGTTGGCGTTGGCGTTGGTGTTGGCATTGGCGTTGGCAGTGGTGTTGGCAGTGGCGTTGGCAGTGGCGTTGGCAGTGGCGTTGGCAGTGGCGTTGGCAGTGGCGTTGGCGTTGGCAGTGGCGTTGGCGTTGCCAACGCCACTGCCAACGCCACTGCCAACGCCACTGCCACTGCCAACGCCAACGCCAACGCCACTGCCAACGGCAGTGGCGTTGGCGGTGGCGTTGACGTTGGCTTTGGCAGTGGCGTTGGGTTGGCAGTGGGGTTGGCAGTGGGGTTGGCAGTGGCGTTGGCAGTGGCGTGGGCAGTGGGCAGTGGCGTTGGCAGTGGCGTTGGCGTTGGCGTTGGCGTTGCCAACGCCACTGCCAACGCCACTGCCAACGCCACAGCCACTGCCAACGCCAACGCCACTGCCAACGCCACTGCCAACGCCACTGCCAACGCCACTGCCAACGCCAACGCCAACGCCACTGCCAACGCCACTGCCAACGCCACTGCCAACGCCACTGCCACTGCCAACGCCAACGCCAACGCCACTGCCAACGGCGGTGGCGTTGGCGGTGGCGTAGGCGTATACGTTGGCGTTGGCAGTGGCGTTGGCAGTGGCGTTGGCAGTGGCGTTGGCAGTGGCGTTGGCAGTGGCAGTGGCATTGGCGTTGGCAGTGGCAGTGGCGTTGGCAGTGGCGTTGGCAGTGGCGTTGGCAGTGGCGTTGGCGTTGGCGTTGGCAGTTGCGTTGGCGGTGGCGTTGGCGGTGGCGTTGGCGGTGGCGTTGGCGGTGGCGTTGGCGTTGGCAGTGGCGTTGGCGGTGGCAGTGGCAGTGGCGTTGGCAGTGGCGTTGGCTGTGGCGTTGGCAGTGGCGTTGGCAGTGGCGTTGGCAGTGGCGTTGGCTTTGGCAGTGGCTTTGGCAGTGGCGTTGGCAGTGGCGTTGGCGTTGGCGTTGGCAGTGGCAGTGGCGTTGTCCGTGGCGTTGGCGTTGGCCGTGGTGTTGGCAGTTGTGTTGGCAGTGGCGTTGGCAGTGGCGTTGGCAGTGGCGTTGGCAGTGGCGTGGGCAGTGGCGTGGGCAGTGGGGTTGGCGGTGGGGTTGGCAGTGGGGTTGGCAGTGGGGTTGGCAGTGGGGTTGGCAGTGGCGTTGGCAGTGGCGCGGGCAGTGGCGTTGGCAGTGGTGTTGGCAGTGGCGTTGGCAGTGGCGTTAGCAGTGGCGTTGGCAGTGGCGTTGGCAGTGGCGTTGGCAGTGGCGTTGGCGTTGGCGTTGCCAACGGCACTGCCAACGCCACTGCCAACGCCACTGCCACTGCCAACGCCAACGCCAACGCCACTGCCAACGGCAGTGGCGTTGGCGGTGGCGTTGGCGTTGACATTGGCGTTGGCAGTGGCGTTGGCAGTGGCAGTGGCAGTGGCATTGGCAGTGGCGTTGGCAGTGGCGTTGGCAGTGGCAGTGGCGTTGGCGTTGGCAGTGGCAGTGGCGTTGGCAGTGTCATTGGCAGTGTCGTTGGCAGTGGCGTTGGCGTTGGCGTTGGCGTTGGCAGTTGCGTTGGCAGTTGCGTTGGCGGTGGCGTTGGCGGTGGCGTTGGCGGTGGCGTTGGCGGTGGCGTTGGCGTTGGCAGTGGCGTTGACAGTGGCAGTGGCGTTGGCAGTGGCGTTGGCAGTGGCGTTGGCAGTGGCAGTGGCGTTGGCAGTGGCGTTGGCAGTGGCGTTGGCAGTGGCGTTGGCAGTGGCGTTGGCAGTGGCGTTGGCAGTGGCAGTGGCGTTGGCGTTGGCAGGGGCGTTGGCAGTGGCGTTGGCGTTGGCGTTGGCAGTGGCAGTGGGGTTGGCAGTGGGGTTGGCAGTGGCGTTGGCAGTGGCGTTGGCAGTGGCGTTGGCAGTGGCGTTGGCGTTGGCAGTGGCGTTGGCGTTGGCAGTGGCAGTGGCGTTGGCAGTGGCGTTGGCAGTGGCAGTGGCGTTGGCAGTGGCGTTGGCTGTGGCGTTGGCGTTGGCAGTGGCGTTGGCAGTGGCGTTGGCAGTGGCGTTGGCAGTGGCGTTGGCAGTGGCGTTGGCAGTGGCGTTGGCAGTGACGTTGGCGTTGGCGTTGGCAGTGGCGTTGGCGTTGGCAGTGGCGTTGGCAGTGGCGTTGGCAGTGGCGTTGGCAGTGGCGTTGGCCGTGGCGTTGGCGTTGGCGTTGGCGTTGGTGTTGGCAGTGGCGTTGGCAGTGGTGTTGGCAGTGGCGTTGGCAGTGGCGTTGGCAGTGGTGTTGGCAGTGGCGTTGGCAGTGGCGTTGGCGTTGGCAGTGGCGTTGGCGTTGCCAACGCCACTGCCAACGCCACTGCCAACGCCACTGCCACTGCCAACGCCAACGCCAACGCCACTGCCAACGGCAGTGGCGTTGGCGGTGGCGTTGGCGTTGACGTTGGCTTTGGCAGTGGCGTTGGGTTGGCAGTGGGGTTGGCAGTGGGGTTGGCAGTGGCGTTGGCAGTGGCGTGGGCAGTGGGCAGTGGCGTTGGCAGTGGCGTTGGCAGTGGCGTTGGCAGTGGCGTTGGCGTTGGCGTTGGCGTTAGCGTTGCCAACGCCACTGCCAACGCCACTGCCAACGCCACAGCCACTGCCAACGCCAACGCCACTGCCAACGCCACTGCCAACGCCACTGCCAACGCCACTGCCAACGCCAACGCCAACGCCACTGCCAACGCCACTGCCAACGCCACTGCCAACGCCACTGCCACTGCCAACGCCAACGCCAACGCCACTGCCAACGGCGGTGGCGTTGGCGGTGGCGTAGGCGTATACGTTGGCGTTGGCAGTGGCGTTGGCAGTGGCAGTGGCGTTGGCAGTGGCGTTGGCAGTGGCAGTGGCATTGGCGTTGGCGTTGGCAGTGGCAGTGGCGTTGGCAGTGGCGTTGGCAGTGGCGTTGGCAGTGGCGTTGGCGTTGGCGTTGGCAGTTGCGTTGGCGGTGGCGTTGGCGGTGGCGTTGGCTTTGGCAGTGGCTTTGGCAGTGGCGTTGGCAGTGGCGTTGGCGTTGGCAGTGGCAGTGGCGTTGTCCGTGGCGTTGGCGTTGGCCGTGGTGTTGGCAGTTGTGTTGGCAGTGGGGTTGGCAGTGGCGTTGGCAGTGGCGTTGGCAGTGGCGTGGGCAGTGGCGTGGGCAGTGGGGTTGGCGGTGGGGTTGGCAGTGGGGTTGGCGGTGGGGTTGGCAGTGGCGTTGGCAGTGGCGCGGGCAGTGGCGTTGGCAGTGGTGTTGGCAGTGGCGTTGGCAGTGGCGTTAGCAGTGGCGTTGGCAGTGGCGTTGGCAGTGGCGTTGGCAGTGGCGTTGGCGTTGGCGTTGGCGTTGCCAACGCCACTGCCAACGCCACTGCCAACGCCACTGCCACTGCCAACGCCAACGCCACTGCCAACGGCAGTGGCGTTGGCGGTGGCGTTGGCGTTGACATTGGCGTTGGCAGTGGCGTTGGCAGTGGCAGTGGCGTTGGCAGTGGCATTGGCAGTGGCGTTGGCAGTGGCAGTGGCGTTGGCGTTGGCAGTGGCAGTGGCGTTGGCAGTGTCATTGGCAGTGTCGTTGGCAGTGGCGTTGGCGTTGGCGTTGGCAGTTGCAGTTGCGTTGGCAGTTGCGTTGGCGTTGGCGGTGGCGTTGGCGGTGGCGTTGGCGGTGGCGTTGGCGGTGGCGTTGGCGTTGGCAGTGGCGTTGGCAGTGGCAGTGGCGTTGGCAGTGGCGTTGGCAGTGGCGTTGGCAGTGGCAGTGGCGTTGGCAGTGGCGTTGGCAGTGGCGTTGGCAGTGGCGTTGGCAGTGGCGTTGGCAGTGGCGTTGGCAGTGGCGTTGGCAGTGGCAGTGGCGTTGGCGTTGGCAGGGGCGTTGGCAGTGGCGTTGGCGTTGGCAGTGGGGTTGGCAGTGGGGTTGGCAGTGGCGTTGGCATTGGCGTTGGCAGTGGCGTTGGCATTGGCGTTGGCAGAGGCGTTGGCAGTGGCGTTGGCAGTGGCGTTGGCAGTGGCGTTGGAATTGGCGTTGGCAGTGGCGTTGGCAGTGGCGTTAGCAGTGGCGTTGGCAGTGGCGTTGGCGTTGGCGTTGGCAGTGGGGTTGGCAGTGGGGTTGGCAGTGGCGTTGGCAGTGGCGTTGGCAGTGGCGTTAGCGTTGGCAGCGGCGTTGGCAATGACGTTGGGGGTGGCGTTGGAGGTGGCGTTGGCGGTGGCGTTGGCAGTGGCGTTGGCAGTGGCAGTGGCGTTGGCAGTGGCGTTGGCAGTGGCAGTGGCGTTGGCAGTGGCGTTGGCGGTGGCGTTGGCGGTGGCGTTGGCGGTGGCGTTGGCGGTGGCGTTGGCGGTGGCGTTGGCGGTGGGGCTGGCAGTGGGGTTGGCAGTGGGGTTGGCAGTGGGGTTGGCAGTGGCGTTGGCAGTGGCGTGGGCAGTGGCGTTGGCAGTGGTGTTGGCAGTGGCGTTGGCAGTGGCGTTGGCAGTGGCGTTGGCAGTGGCGTTGGCAGTGGCGTTGGAGTTGGCGTTGGCGTTGGCGTTGCCAACGCCACTGCCAACGCCACTGCCAACGCCACTGCCACTGCCAACGCCTACGCCAACGCCACTGCCAACGGCAGTGGCGGTGGCGTTGACGTTGGCAGTGGCGTTGGCAGTGGCAGTGGCAGTGGCAGTGGCGTTGGCAGTGGCGTTGGCAGTGGCATTGGCAGTGGCGTTGGCGTTGGCGTTGGCAGTGGCGTTTGCAGTGGCGTTGGCAGTGGCGTTGGCAGTGGCGTTGGCATTGGCGTTGGCGTTGGCAGTTGCGTTGGCGGTGGCGGTGGCGTTGGCGGTGGCGTTGGCGGTAGCGTTGGCGGTGGCGTTGGCGGTGGCAGTGGCGTTGGCAGTGGCAGTGGCGTTGGCAGTGGCGTTGGCAGTGGCGTTGGCAGTGGCGTTGGCTGTGGCGTTGGCAGTGGCGTTGGCAGTGGCATTGGCAGTGGCGTTCGCAGTGACGTTGGCAGTGGCGTTGGCAGTGGCGTTGGCGTTGGCGTTGGCAGTGGGGTTGGCAGTGGCGGTGGCAGTGGCGTTGGCAGTGGCGTTGGCAGTGGCGTTGGCAGTGGCGTTAGCGTTGGCAGTGGCGTTGGCAATAGCGTTGGCCGTGGCGTTGGGGGTGGCGTTGGCGTTGGCAGTGGCATTGGCAGTGGCAGTGGCGTTGGCAGTGGCGTTGGCAGTGGCAGTGGCGTTGGCAGTGGCGTTGGCGGTGGCGTTGGTGGTGGCGTTGGCGGTGGCGTTGGCGGTGGCGTTGGCGTTGGCGGTGGCGTTGGCGGTGGCGTTGGCGGTGGGGTTGGCAGTGGGGTTGGCAGTGGGGTTGGCAGTGGGGTTGGCAGTGGCGTTGGCAGTGGCGTGGGCAGTGGCGTGGGCAGTGGCGTTGGCAGTGGCGTTGGCAGTGGCGTTGGCAATGGCGTTGGGGTTGGCGTTGGCGTTGCCAACGCCACTGCCAACGCCACTGCCAACGCCACTGCCACTGCCAACGCCAACGCCACTGCCAACGGCAGTGGCATTGGTGGTGGCGTTGGCGTTGACGTTGGCAGTGGCGTTGGCAGTGGCAGTGGTTTTGGCAGTGGCGTTGGCAGTGGCGTTGGCAGTGGCGTTGGCAGTGGCGTTGGCAGTGGCGTTGGCAGTGGCGTTGACAGTGGCAGTGGCGTTGGCAGTGGCAGTGGCGTTGGCAGTGTCGTTGGCAGTGGCGTTGGCAGTGGCGTTGGCAGTGGCGTTGGCGTTGGCGTTGGCAGTTGCGTTGGCGTTGGCGGTGGCGTTGGCGGTGGCAGTGGCGGTGGCGATGGCGTTGGCAGTGGCGTTGGCAGTGGCAGTGGCAGTGGCAGTGGCGTTTGCAGTGGCAGTGGCGTTGGCAGTGGCGTTGGCAGTGGCGTTGGCAGTGGCTTTGGCAGTTGCGTTGGCAGTGGCGTTGGCACTGGCGTTGGCAGTGGCGTTGGCAGTGGCGTTGGCGTTGGCAGTGGCGTTGGCAGTGGCGTTGGCAGTGGCAGTGGCGTTGGCAGTGTTGTTGGCAGTGGCGTTGGCAGTGGCATTGGCAGTGGCGTTGGCGTTGGCGTTGGCGTTGGCAGTTGCGTTGGCAGTTGCGTTGGCGTTGGCGGTGGCGTTGGCGGTGGCGTTGGCGGTGGCGATGGCGTTGGCAGTGGCGTTGGCAGTGGCAGTGGCGTTGGCAGTGGCGTTTGCAGTGGCAGTGGCGTTGGCAGTGGCTTTGGCAGTGGCGTTGGCAGTGGCGTTGGCACTGGCGTTGGCAGTGGCGTTGGCAGTGGCGTTGGCGTTGGCAGTGGCGTTGGCGTTGGCAGTGGCGTTGGCAGTGGCGTTGGCAGTGGCGTTGGCAGTGGCGTTGGCGTTGGCAGTGGGGTTGGCAGTGGGGTTGATAGTGGCGTTGGCAGTGGCGTTGGCAGTGGCGTTGGCAGTGGCGTTGGCATTGGCGTTGGCAGTGGCAGTGGCGTTGGCAGTGGCGTTGGCAGTGGCGTTGGAATTGGCGTTGGCAGTGGCGTTGGCAGTGGCGTTGGCAGTGGCGTTGGCAGTGGCGTTGGCGTTGGCGTTGGCAGTGGGGTTGGCAGTGGGGTTGGCAGTGGCGTTGGCAGTGGCGTTAGCAGTGGCGTTGGCAGTGGCGTTAGCGTTGGCAGTGGCGTTGGCAATGGCGTTGGCCGTGGCGTTGGCGGTGGCGTTGGCGGTGGCGTTGGCAGTGGCGTTGGCAGTGGCAGTGGCGTTGGCAGTGGCGTTGGCAGTGGCAGTGGCGTTGGCAGTGGCGTTGGCGGTGGCGTTGGCGTTGGCGGTGGCGTTGGCGGTGGTGTTGGCGGTGGGGTTGGCGGTGGGGTTGGCAGTGGGGTTGGCAGTGGGGTTGGCAGTGGCGTTGGCAGTGGCGTGGGCAGTGGCGTTGGCAGTGGTGTTGGCAGTGGGGTTGGCAGTGGGGTTGGCAGTGGCGTTGGCAGTGGCGTGGGCAGTGGCGTTGGCAGTGGCGTTGGCAGTGGCATTGGCAGTGGCGTTGGCAGTGGCGGTGGCGTTGGCGGTGGCGTTGGCGTTGGCGTTGGCGTTGCCAACGCCACTGCCAACGCCACTGCCAACGCCACTGCCACTGCCAACGCCAACGCCACTGCCAACGCCACTGCCAACGCCAACGCCACTGCCAACGCCACTGCCAACGCCACTGCCAACGCCACTACCAACGCGTTGGCAGTGGCGTTGGCGTTGGCAACGGCAACGGCAGTGGCGTTGGCGTTGGCGTTGGCAGTGGCGTTGGCAGTGGCAGTGGCGTAGGCAGAGGCGTTGGCAGTGGCGTTGGCAGTGGCGTTGGCAGTGGCGGTGGCCGTGGCGTTGGCAGTGGCGTTGGCGTTGGCAGTGGCGTTGGCGTTGGCGTTGGCGTTGGCAGTGGGGTTGGCAGTGGGGTTGGCAATGGCGTTGGCGGTGGCGTTGGCGGTGGCGTTGGCATTGGCAGTGGCAGTGGCGTTGGCAGTGGCGTTGGCAGTGGCGTTGGCAGTGGCGTTGGCGGTGGCGTTGGCGGTGGCGTTGGCGGTGGCGTTGGCGGTGGCGTTGGCGTTGACGTTGGCGTTGGAGTTGGCAGTGGCGTTGGCAGTGGCGTTGTTAGTGGCGTTGGCGTTGGCAGTGGCGTTGGCAGTGGCGTTAGCAGTGGCGTTGGCAGTGGCGTTGGCAGTGGCGTTGGCGTTGGCAGTGGCATAGGTATGATGGTGGAGGCATTGGCGGAAGTGGCAGTGGCGTTGGCAGTGGCGTTGGCAGTGGCGTTGGCAGTGGCGTTGGCGTTGGCAGTGGCGTTGGCGGTGGCGTTGGCGGTGGCGGTGGCGGTGGCGTTGGCGGTGGCGTTGGCGTTGACGTTGGCGTTGGAGTTGGCAGTGGCGTTGGCTGTGGCGTTGGCAGTGGCGTTGGCAGTGGCGTTGGCGTTGGCAGTGGCGTTGGCAGTGGCGTTAGCAGTGGCGTTGGCAGTGGCGTTGGCAGTGGCGTTGGCGTTGGCGTTGGCATTGGGGTTGGCAGTGGCGTTGGCAGTGGCGTTGGCATTTGCGTTGGCAGTGGGTAGGACAGTAGTGGTGGTAGTGGTGGCTGCGGAGGTTGTGGTAGTGGTGGTAGTGGTGGAAAAATGAGGCTGGTAAGCAAAACCTGACATAGGTATGATGGTGGAGGCATTGGCGGAAGTGGCGGTGGCGTTGTTGGTGAGCGAACAAGGCTAGGAAGAAAAATCAAGCCCCCCCCCCCCCCTCCCCCTGCCCAGGACAGGACAGGACAGAACAGGTGTGTGTGTGTGTGTTTGTGTGTATGTGTGTTTGTGTGTGTGTGTCACTTCAATCAGCTATGTGGTGGATACCAGGCTAAAAATAGTGGCGGTCAATTCATCAGCCTCGCAAGCTGTTGAATGGTGTAATCCCAGCACAAGTTGCTATGTCTAACATAGCTGTTCGCTATCATCGCTTCCGCGATGGGCAGGTCTGAGGTCTGAGGTGTGTACGTGTTGATGTGTGTGTGTGTATGTGTGTGTGCGCGTGCGTGTGTGTGTGTGTGTGTGTGTGTGTGTGTGTGTGTGTGTGTGTGTGTGTGTGTGTGTGTGTATGGTGTGTGCGTGTGTGTGTGTGTGCGTGTGTGTGTGTGTGTGGAGAGGGGGGGGGGAGGTGAGGAGGGAAAGAAACAATGGTGCAAGCTTCATTTGCAGGCGATAAGTTGAGATGACTATGGACTAGGAACCACTATGCTGTAGCCGAAGGGGGGGGGGGGGGGAGGGGTATACTATATATGCATTAGATGACATACTAGTACAGTGCTGGTGGGCTCAGGTTGTAACATGCAGTTAAAAAGCACGGGCAGGGCAAACAAGCATACAAACAAGGGACAGGTTGCATAGCTAGTAGCTACAAAGCTTTGTTCGCACAAAGTTGTGGACAAACGGTTACAAAGATAGAACCATGTTCTCGTGACGGCACTTAGATAGAAGCTGCCAACTCTTGTAGGTAGCGGGTTTTATCGACCCAGGTGATCTGTTGCTTTTCTGTGAGACAGAGATTGTAGGTCTTCAATGTGTTGAACTATTGTGTGGTTCTTATCACAACCAGCCCGTCACTGTAGTCACATGATGGCTTGGCTTCATGGCTTAAGTCTCCAAGGATGTTTGTTCTCCTTGTGCTTTTTACACCTAGGCAGGTTTGCCAGGACTAAATTTCATCACATGTATGTATTCCACAGCCCACATTATTGTGTCATTGCTGCATGGCTTGTAGTCCTCAGTCTTCTCGACTTATTGCCTGCACCTGAAGCTTGCGCTATTTCCCCACCTTGCCTCGCTCCCCCTTATGCGCAGGCTGCCGGTTTTGGATCACCATTTGCCTGATGATCGTGAATAGTGCCAATCTTTCTTCTCAGTATGGGCACAGAGAGGAAGTGTAAGGAAAGCTGGATACAGGGCATGGGTAGCTTTGGCAAATATGGATCATGATGAGCATGTACTGTATGCAGCTAGCCAGGCCAATGGAAGATATGGTGCAATACGTTTTAACTGCATAATTTACATGTATTACGAATTGTCAACAGGGTGGATTGACCACTGCCACATCCTCTACCATACTGGCAAGCATGCAGAAAGCACTGCTGCATCTTGATAAGGAGTTCCCTGAAACAAGTGAAGGAGAGGATTTCTCTCGCATGGTGGCGTATTGCTCAGATAAGGTAATTTGATGCTATTTGTGTGCCCTGGTGGTGACAGTCAATGTTTTCTTCAGACTTTTTCCCTTTTCCATTCCCTCAACTAATGAGTATTATTCTCATTTGATGCCATTCTGTGCCCTCTTCTACCCCTTTGGCGGGATTCCTGCTGGCACAAAATTAATATTGATATCGACCAGCACAGTGCAATAATAGCTGTAGTATATAGCTGTACTATTCTTACCTATGCTTAGGGGTGGGGGTTCTTAGGGGTGGGGGTTCTTAGGGGTGGGGGTTCTTAGGGGTGGGGGTTCTTAGGGGTGGGGGTTCTTAGGGGTGGGGGTTCTTAGGGGTGGGGGTTCTTAGGGGTGGGGGTTCGTTGTGCTTTTAAAAGTGTGCTCGCAACACTTACCTACCCAGTTTCCTTTGCGTGTGCTGTTTTCTTTTCATAGGTGGTGTCTTTGTATGCACCACGTATTACGATACGTCCAGTGGATAGCGACTTGAAAAGAGCTCTACAAGGACGTGCTCTTGAAGCTGCGATTGAGGTGACTACACCTGTGTTGTGTATGCATGCTGTACAGCTAGACCTTTGTTCTGTGCAATGAAAGCCCAGAGCCCTCGCTATGCTTTTTTACCCAAGTCATCATGCGTGTTAGTCAAAATGATAGAAACAACTTTTTCAATACAAAAACATGTCCTCAATATTCGTATTGCAAAAACGTTTCTACCATTTCGAATAACACGCATGATGACCTAAGTAAAAACAAAGCATAGCGAGGGCTCTGGGCTTTCAAGCCCTTTCATTCCTATTTTTAAAGTAAAAACTCATAACTTGAACTCCCAGACAGGTAAACCCTACCAAGTACTGTTATATCACGCTATGGTCTTGGCTTTTCCCCAAACGTACATGTAACATGGGATTCGAGCCCCTACTATCGCCCTGCATGCATCTCCTCAATACACTTCACATGCACACACATTCTTCCAAGTTGCTTCACCTTATGATCCTGCCGTTGAAATCCCTATTTGAATTATGGTGGCCAGCTGTCTTTGACGATACGGTACGGGACATGTGCGGGATAGTGCGCCAGGCCTGCCAAGTCACGTGATGACGGCCCTACGGCCGACACACCCAATTACAGTGCTGTGGACCCTGGCTAGCGCCAGACGTTACGAAAGTAACGTATTTTGCATAGCTTCGGGAATAAATGCAGTTCAGCCTAGCTTAAAGTGAGTGCACAGGCAATACTAGTACTGTATTGGCTCTAACACCGTGATGCTCCCTCTGTCAGTGCCCTCTGGCATGTATGAGTAGGCATTGTGGGTACTGTATTGCCGGTGAGCAGGCCCGACTATCAAGTCATAATACATACTATTTACTATTTACTGTACCGGACTGGTCCTACATGTATGATCCATGCGCATGCTTTATTGTACACACTACTGTCTCTAATGCGTAAACAATTGAAGGAAACTAAGTATTCCAGAAGACAGTCTTCTAAGCTGGCGACTGGCATATTCACCCTGCGTAGCTCTCACTGGGCCATTATGTTGTCACCAGTCTCTTCTTTATTGGCCGGGGGTTGTGTTCACCAGTCTCTTCTTTATTGACCGGGGGTTGTGTTCACCAGTCTCTTCTTTATTGGCCGGGGGTTGTGTTCACCAGTCTCTTCTTTATTGGCCGGGGGTTGTGTTCACCAGTCTCTTCTTTATTGGCCGGGGGTTGTGTTCACCAGTCTCTTCTTTATTGACCGGGGGTTGTGTTCACCAGTCTCTTCTTTATTGGCCGGGGGTTGTGTTCACCAGTCTCTTCTTTATTGACCGGGGGTTGTGTTCACCAGTCTCTTCTTTATTGGCCGGGGGTTGTGTTCACCAGTCTCTTCTTTATTGGCCGGGGGTTGTGTTCACCAGTCTCTTCTTTATTGGCCGGGGGTTGTGTTCACCAGTCTCTTCTTTATTGACCGGGGGTTGTGTTCACCAGTCTCTTCTTTATTGGCCGGGGGTTGTGTTCACCAGTCTCTTCTTTATTGGCCGGGGGTTGTGTTCACCAGTCTCTTCTTTATTGGCCGGGGGTTGTGTTCACCAGTCTCTTCTTTATTGGCCGGGGGTTGTGTTCACCAGTCTCTTCTTTATTGGCCGGGGGTTGTGTTCACCAGTCTCTTCTTTATTGGCCGGGGGTTGTGTTCACCAGTCTCTTCTTTATTGGCCGGGGGTTGTGTTCACCAGTCTCTTCTTTATTGGCCGGGGGTTGTGTTCACCAGTCTCTTCTTTATTGACCGGGGGTTGTGTTCACCAGTCTCTTCTTTATTGGCCGGGGGTTGTGTTCACCAGTCTCTTCTTTATTGACCGGGGGTTGTGTTCACCAGTCTCTTCTTTATTGGCCGGGGGTTGTGTTCACCAGTCTCTTCTTTATTGACCGGGGGTTGTGTTCACCAGTCTCTTCTTTATTGGCCGGGGGTTGTGTTCACCAGTCTCTTCTTTATTGGCCGGGGGTTGTGTTCACCAGTCTCTTCTTTATTGGCCGGGGGTTGTGTTCACCAGTCTCTTCTTTATTGGCCGGGGGTTGTGTTCACCAGTCTCTTCTTTATTGACCGGGGGTTGTGTTCACCAGTCTCTTCTTTATTGGCCGGGGGTTGTGTTCACCAGTCTCTTCTTTATTGACCGGGGGTTGTGTTCACCAGTCTCTTCTTTATTGGCCGGGGGTTGTGTTCACCAGTCTCTTCTTTATTGGCCGGGGGTTGTGTTCACCAGTCTCTTCTTTATTGGCCGGGGGTTGTGTTCACCAGTCTCTTCTTTATTGGCCGGGGGTTGTGTTCACCAGTCTCTTCTTTATTGGCCGGGGGTTGTGTTCACCAGTCTCTTCTTTATTGGCCGGGGGTTGTGTTTACCAGTCTCTTCTTTATTGGCCGGGGGTTGTGTTCACCAGTCTCTTCTTTATTGACCGGGGGTTGTGTTCACCAGTCTCTTCTTTATTGGCCGGGGGTTGTGTTCACCAGTCTCTTCTTTATTGGCCGGGGGTTGTGTTCACCAGTCTCTTCTTTATTGGCCGGGGGTTGTGTTCACCAGTCTCTTCTTTATTGGCCGGGGGTTGTGTTCACCAGTCTCTTCTTTATTGACCGGGGGTTGTGTTCACCAGTCTCTTCTTTATTGGCCGGGGGTTGTGTTCACCAGTCTCTTCTTTATTGACCGGGGGTTGTGTTCACCAGTCTCTTCTTTATTGGCCGGGGGTTGTGTTCACCAGTCTCTTCTTTATTGGCCGGGGGTTGTGTTCACCAGTCTCTTCTTTATTGGCCAGGGGTTGTGTTCACCAGTCTCTTCTTTATTGGCCGGGGGTTGTGTTCACCAGTCTCTTCTTTATTGGCCGGGGGTTGTGTTCACCAGTCTCTTCTTTATTGACCGGGGGTTGTGTTCACCAGTCTCTTCTTTATTGGCCGGGGGTTGTGTTCACCAGTCTCTTCTTTATTGACCGGGGGTTGTGTTCACCAGTCTCTTCTTTATTGGCCGGGGGTTGTGTTCACCAGTCTCTTCTTTATTGGCCGGGGGTTGTGTTCACCAGTCTCTTCTTTATTGGCCGGGGGTTGTGTTCACCAGTCTCTTCTTTATTGGCCGGGGGTTGTGTTCACCAGTCTCTTCTTTATTGACCGGGGGTTGTGTTCACCAGTCTCTTCTTTATTGGCCGGGGGTTGTGTTCACCAGTCTCTTCTTTATTGGCCGGGGGTTGTGTTCACCAGTCTCTTCTTTATTGGCCGGGGGTTGTGTTCACCAGTCTCTTCTTTATTGACCGGGGGTTGTGTTCACCAGTCTCTTCTTTATTGGCCGGGGGTTGTGTTCACCAGTCTCTTCTTTATTGGCCGGGGGTTGTGTTCACCAGTCTCTTCTTTATTGGCCAGGGGTTGTGTTCACCAGTCTCTTCTTTATTGGCCGGGGGTTGTGTTCACCAGTCTCTTCTTTATTGGCCGGGGGTTGTGTTCACCAGTCTCTTCTTTATTGGCCGGGGGTTGTGTTCACCAGTCTCTTCTTTATTGACCGGGGGTTGTGTTCACCAGTCTCTTCTTTATTGGCCGGGGGTTGTGTTCACCAGTCTCTTCTTTATTGGCCGGGGGTTGTGTTCACCAGTCTCTTCTTTATTGGCCGGGGGTTGTGTTCACCAGTCTCTTCTTTATTGGCCGGGGGTTGTGTTCACCAGTCTCTTCTTTATTGACCGGGGGTTGTGTTCACCAGTCTCTTCTTTATTGGCCGGGGGTTGTGTTCACCAGTCTCTTCTTTATTGACCGGGGGTTGTGTTCACCAGTCTCTTCTTTATTGGCCGGGGGTTGTGTTCACCAGTCTCTTCTTTATTGGCCGGGGGTTGTGTTCACCAGTCTCTTCTTTATTGGCCGGGGGTTGTGTTCACCAGTCTCTTCTTTATTGGCCGGGGGTTGTGTTCACCAGTCTCTTCTTTATTGACCGGGGGTTGTGTTCACCAGTCTCTTCTTTATTGGCCGGGGGTTGTGTTCACCAGTCTCTTCTTTATTGGCCGGGGGTTGTGTTCACCAGTCTCTTCTTTATTGGCCGGGGGTTGTGTTCACCAGTCTCTTCTTTATTGACCGGGGGTTGTGTTCACCAGTCTCTTCTTTATTGGCCGGGGGTTGTGTTCACCAGTCTCTTCTTTATTGGCCGGGGGTTGTGTTCACCAGTCTCTTCTTTATTGGCCAGGGGTTGTGTTCACCAGTCTCTTCTTTATTGGCCGGGGGTTGTGTTCACCAGTCTCTTCTTTATTGGCCGGGGGTTGTGTTCACCAGTCTCTTCTTTATTGGCCGGGGGTTGTGTTCACCAGTCTCTTCTTTATTGGCCGGGGGTTGTGTTCACCAGTCTCTTCTTTATTGACCGGGGGTTGTGTTCACCAGTCTCTTCTTTATTGGCCGGGGGTTGTGTTCACCAGTCTCTTCTTTATTGGCCGGGGGTTGTGTTCACCAGTCTCTTCTTTATTGGCCGGGGGTTGTGTTCACCAGTCTCTTCTTTATTGGCCGGGGGTTGTGTTCACCAGTCTCTTCTTTATTGACCGGGGGTTGTGTTCACCAGTCTCTTCTTTATTGGCCGGGGGTTGTGTTCACCAGTCTCTTCTTTATTGACCGGGGGTTGTGTTCACCAGTCTCTTCTTTATTGACCGGGGGTTGTGTTCACCAGTCTCTTCTTTATTGGCCGGGGGTTGTGTTAACCAGTCTCTTCTTTATTGGCCGGGGGTTTTGTTCACCAGTCTCTTCTTTATTGGCCGGGGGTTGTGTTCACCAGTCTCTTCTTTATTGACCGGGGGTTGTGTTCACCAGTCTCTTCTTTATTGGCCGGGGGTTGTGTTCACCAGTCTCTTCTTTATTGGCCGGGGGTTGTGTTCACCAGTCTCTTCTTTATTGGCCAGGGGTTGTGTTCACCAGTCTCTTCTTTATTGGCCGGGGGTTGTGTTCACCAGTCTATTCTTTATTGGCCGGGGGTTGTGTTCACCAGTCTCTTCTTTATTGGCCGGGGGTTGTGTTCACCAGTCTCTTCTTTATTGACCGGGGGTTGTGTT